TTCAAATTATTATCCCGGTTTCCCTTGATTCATGTACACACACCTCATCCTACGCCGTATCGGAAAGTACCTACGCCCTACCTGTAATCATTCCGTTACTGCGTCACAACGGTAGAGACTTGTCCTAAAATCCAACATTTCCGACGCAAGCGCACAGGCCTATTCAGCAAGAACACGGAACATTCATTCTGGCTCGCAGCTCTATCCAGCCACATGGCCAAACCCCAGATTTGACAAACGGGTTAATTAGGTAGGGAGGGTGCTTGGGCAGGGTAGAACCAACGAACTAATCGCGGCACGAGCCTGTGACGAAGGGGCGTTTTCCATGCTCCTTTTTGGAAGACCCTGGTCGAGAAAATACCCTTCAGCTTCTAGATTCGGTAACCCTGAAAAAGCTCTGGTGGCCGGAAGTGTCTACAAAACGCTGTTGGCGCTATCTTACCAGCCTCTCCCGATCGTATTAGCGCATAACGCAAGAAGCTGTTCTTGGCCCAAACAGATAATTGATTGGCAGAGTACCTTGACGTATAACGGGCGTTTGATATAGTTCATCCATTGGAATATTATAATGCCTACACAACTAATACGTCAAGGATGTCATTGTATCAGATGTCCGTCATTCTCATCTCCTTGCAGTCCTTTTTTTTTTTTTCTGATCTCCGCATTCCGCAATACACAATCAACCATGTTGTCTCGTGTAGGTAGGGGACACCTTGCTGCCCTATAATACAAGTTATAATAAGTTAGATTATTGGCCTTATTAGCTGAATACTCGCATAGCCTCCTCGCGAACAATTCGTGCGGGCCAAATCCAGCGTGGGATGAAAATCGGCATTTCGTCAACGGCTTTTGCCCTGTCCCAAAATCCACGTGCGTTGCAACGTCTACCAATACCCGGCCCGCCAACATAGCGGATGCGGTGTTCCTTTCCGACTGAGTACGATACCACTATACCTACAGCGGTAGACAAAGACCCTGCTGTTGTGATGCAGTAGCGACTGCATGTGCCATGTGCTGAGTTGTCCCACCCTTTATGCTAAGTACTACACAACCATGCGTATTTGAATAATGTAATAGCACTCGACGCTGGTAATCGTTGATGACTACAGGACCCGAAAGAGCCGTAGTTGCTGAATACAGTATGTTTCGGATGCGAGCTTCTTCTTTTGGTCGTTTGGTGGTTTTATCTGGAAGTACTCAGAGCCTAGAAGCATAGTATATCATGTACCCTCTGCTTGTGCACCTATTGTTGGGTAGCGAACCCACTAGAACCCGTCGAGTCCTGTTGGTAATAGTGTCTTCTAAGATCCCGTTGGCACCGCAATGCATTCATCGAGATTGAGGCGTTCTCGCTGCCCGCAATCTCTTAACTTCCCGTTCCCGCGATCTCTTCCCCGTCAAAAGGACCGTCTCTTTCTCATTCCCCTCTTCTTTTTCTTTTTCTTTTTCTTTTCGCTTCCTCTGTCTCCCATTCCCCCCACTCAGCACACTTCCACATGGTGCTGACCGCATTTTATTCTGTCAGCATTCAACATATCGCGAGGCTACCTACTGCGTACCTAGGTATTGTACCTATACAATCGCCAAATAGCTCCCAAGTCAGGCGCACAAGGAAACCATACGGAATGGCTGACGTTGAGGCCAACCTGAGACACATACACAGCCATATTACGCTGCTTTATAATAACATGACCCTAGTATATTTACATGCAAATTTCTATATAGTACAAGGGACATCACGACGGCTGCATCGTGTTTCAAACTACGAGATTGCATGCGAAGCCTTCCTGCTTGATTGATCCATTTCCTCGACAAATCATCATGTCTGCCTCGCCGCAAGACTGCGTCCTCCTGCGTCCGCCAATACTACCTGCCTACCTATTCCAATCTTCCTGTAGGCTGCACTACCTGCGGCGCATACCATTCTTGTAGGTAGTTATGGGCTGTAGACTTCACAATCCTACCTTAAAGTCACTGCCTAGGTAATATTCCCTTTGCGGTCTTGTATTGCTATCATGCAGCTGGTCTTGTTGCTATTTCGGGTTTTGCATATGCGAGCTGAGATTGAGAGGCCATGTTGGTCAATCATTCTGACAGGCACGGAGCTTACAGCTCGAGTCATAGTCAGCAAAGGTACGACACGCATAACTCGCCGATCAGTGATTCAAAATTGACGATAGGTATCATCCTATCCCTACATATTATATGCTTACATACGTGACCGTATTATGTACGTGTAATTGGATTATCCATCGCCATTGCTATTGATTATTGGAGACATGTCATCAATTTCTAGCTATTAAGATAAAGATGTAAAAAAGCATTTCCCACCTTACTATTCGTGGAGGTTGACCGACAGTTGGGATTTGGAATGAGAGCTACGATTGGATGAGCCCCCGGAGAGCATCAATTTTTTTTTTCTTTAAGCATGACGAGACACACCACCTCACCGTTACACCGGTTGTGAGCCAGGGTCTTCCTGTCAGCTGTCTATTTCCTACGGTTGAAGTGTCATAAAAATTTCCCTATTGAGGAAATCACCGTCTATTCGAAAATTCAGCCAGACTGAACTGGATTTCCTAATCCACCGGCTTTGCAAAATCCAAGCCTTAGTTGCTTCCGCTAGGCGGACCCCTGGTCCACGATAGCCGTGTTCGCAACCTGGAAGATTCGGTCGCAGCTCCTACATGGCGACACATTCGCCGCAAGGGCCAGGATGGTGCATATTATCGCCGCCTGCTGCGGTCCCCCTCCTCTGCCTTAGTACAGCTCTTTAAACGGCATCCTACAGCAAGCTGTTAGCCACACACACTACAGTACTTTGCTTGCTGCATAATACAGTATTAGAAGACTGTGTGGATGGGTAGTTGTCCCGTAGGTATCCTTGTAAATACCTACAGCTACGTACAGCTTTTCGAAGGTCTAGAAAAGGACACGCACACACGCATATCCTTCAACTGCAGAGGATACGAGACCGGCTTAGGGAGGCTTCTTCGTTCGAAGTGGAGCTTCGCCGTAGCGCCCAGGCCTAGCCATTCACTCCCAATAGAGCCCAAATCTTGGGAACAGCCCGCTAAGCTACGTGTAGTCCCGTCTGGGGAAGATTTCCCACGATTCCTACATCGGGGATCCTGGGGCCTAACGCCATCAATGAAGAGAATGCAGGGCCACTAATCACTAGGGTCATCACATCGTTCCCGCTCATGCGTTGTTCCTCCCGGGCATATGCACCGGGGGTTCCGGTCGAGCTTTCTCAATGCACGGCGGGATGAGGAATGAGACGGACTACCCAGGAGCATATCTAGCAATGTTCATAGTTAGAAACTAGGGCTTAAGATAAAAGTGTGCTAGGTCCTGTCACATGTTCTCTCATATGTTAGTCATACACGTCAAATATTGATAAATATGCGTCTTGTTAACGGCCACGTCTTCTTTCTTCACATGTTCTAAAGGGGATACCTATACCGCCCTTTCAAGTTGTGGATGTGGGTGTGGGTGTGGGTGCGGTCCTGCGTAGAGGGGCTAGACTACAGGCATTTTCGGAGTGTAGTCGGCATCTTCCACGATATCGATACCCTCAGAAGTGAAACAAAGATACTCCTCTAAGTGATGACTTCTGTACCGTTCAAGACTATCCATGCACGTCACTATCACATCAAAGATATCCTAATCCGTAGCTTCTCTAGATGATCATGATGGTGGGAGGCTATTAGACCCCCAAGACCCGCTTAATGATGTTCGGCGAACCTCTATCTCTGCCTTAAAACCTCGTACTTTTTTTGCCGTGTCCTTTTTCTTCCTGTAGTGGCTATTCAGGGCGCTAAGGACATCCAGGGCTGGCATGGGGGTAGAGGGAGGGGGAGGGGGAACGGGGGAGGAGGTTGGATCCTCCGCTATTGTTATTGTTGCTCGATGGGTTACAGAGCCTTTACGATACATGAAGACCTCCCCCCTTAATCTACATCCTACGAACTCCCCACGGCTAAAACTACCCCCATCAAGCTTCCATTTATCGAACCAACTATACTCGTGTTGGTAGTTGGTTCACTTGTGGGTTCCGGGCGATCTCCCGCTCCTACGGGCTTCGCCCCACCTGTTTAACTCATAACTCCGCCTCTCCCCAGGCTTCCTTGATCCGGCTGGGGCCGTGGTTACATCTCCATTACAGGGCTTCCCACGGAGGCTAAAGAGCTGAGACATACGTACGATGTACTTAATCTGATCCTGTCGATTTTTACTCTCATTGTCTGGGGCAGTGTAGACGACATATCATATTATTCAAGTCACGCATCTCTTGGAAAGAGGCAGGAGCTTCAAAGTAAATCATCCCAAAACCTCCCACGCCTCAAGTGATGCCATCTTTGAGTGCCCCTTTCGCTTAACTCTCGGTCCGCCGATAACCGAAGACGCACCCTCTATCAAATTGGTATAAGCCAAAGTTTGCTAAGTCTTGTCCCTTGACCTGTACTATACCTAATTCTAAACATCATTCTTCCCTGATTAGCTAAGTGACACTAGGTAGATGCTCATGAAAGGATTGCGGCGGGATTGTAGTAAATTTGGTGTTAATATGACTGACTTGGATTCTCCCTCAATGATCATGGAAGACATCCCTTAACAGCCCCAAATAATTACGATAAACATGTTCGGCCCGTACCTACCAAGGTAGTCACCTAGATAAGAACTTCGGAACGTCCAGCAAGCTATATAGAGAGTATTTCTATAAACCACTTGGAGGTATTTGGCATATGCCCGATCGTGGCCTTATCTTTTCCCGTGTAACCCGCTTGTCTACCAGGGCAGATGAAGTGAGCTGCGATTTCTAGGAAAGTGTCATCGGAATGTTTGAGTAATAGTATGTATAAATCCCCGCAAGGGTGATCTCGTATATCTAGATACGCGTTGACTTAGTGATTGACCCGTAAGACTTTGCTGCAGACGATCGCTCTTAGACGTATTCGTCATCTGCGCCGCCTTCAAGGTCTAAGCCACGCAACATCGTATTTCTTTAGCATCTCTCGTTCTGGGTCTAACTTCAACTCGGGGATCTTTCAATCTAGCTAGATTAGGTGAGAACGATAAGATATAGGGTATATTGTTCCGCAGGTGGCTGTATACGTCTATCTTCTCGAATTCCGACCCTTCCGATGCTTAATTCTATGGTACCATACACTCGTAACACATACGATCTCATAGGAATCATTTTTGATTCAAGACCTCAGCCTTGTATCTTGAGTCTATGTCAGTTGTCTGAGACCCCCTTGATGCGACCATCTAACGCGACCAGGTACTACTCTAGTAATATGAATGAGAAGATCTATTTCTTCCATGTCGAAAAAAAAAATTAATTAAAATGAAACGGTGACCCTTCGGATCTTATCCATGGCCCTATTATATCCCCACTACCTTTGCTTCACAAACTTCGTATGTGTGCCATTCGCGATGATAGGACCAGTCTTTCCATCAACAACTTTGGAGATGACGACGCGGGTGAAAGCCAACGAGCCACCAACTTTATCAGCCTCAGCCGTAATCTCGATCTCATCGCCCTCAGCGGCAGATGACAGGTAAGAGACGTGAATATCGACGGAGACACCCGTGCGACGGCGTAGATCCCATGTCGCGATAGCCATGCCACCAGCCCAGTCAACAATAGCAGCCGATGCGGCGCCGTGGATACCCCCACCCGAGTTGATATGATTGCGCGTTAACGTCAGACGCGCCGTCATCGATCCCTTAGACGCGGCAAGGATCTTCGCGTCCGAGAGCAGGAAATTGTAAATCGCGGAGTTGGGTAATTGCGCTGCTAACAACTCCTCGAGATGGGACTTGATCGCGGCTTCATCGTGCTTGGTCTCCACTGCTGGTATTTCTTGTCCCTGTGATCCCATATCGCTGGTGATTATGTCGCAGATGACTGGTTTCGCAACTTATTCGGAGGCGATGAGATTGAGGTCTATTGATTAAGATCTAAATCTTTGGGGCTCCGGATTGAAGTGAATGAGTGATATTTCATGAGATTCAACGAAATGTAAAATTGTTGAGAACTTGGACTAGGCCGGTCGAATTTTTGTTGCAGCTGCTGTAGATGATGCTATCGTAGTATTTCAGCTGCTTGACGGCTGAGAAATTTCATCGTCACTTGGCGTTTTTTAGTAGCACAATTTACATAATCAGGTTCATGATTTCATAGTTCATAGAAATAATGAGATGTAGTTGGGAAAAAGATGTCTCAAGTTTTCGATATATATCTAGTGCCTATCTACCTACCTGGATGTATATAATAGGATGTGTTGTGTTGATTCGACTAATTTACGACACTCAATTATGTATTGCTGTCGCTGGTTGCTTATTCACGTATTTTCCCACGACGATGAAGATTTTCATAAGTAATAAGGTGAGATGCTTGAATTCAAAGACAGTAAAGTAAGTCTTATCGGATTCGAAAATACCTTCACATCAACTTACGGTTTCAGTTACTGGTTCGATGAGTGAGAAGCTATATTATGTATTGACCAAGTATATTATACTAACGCATGATAGATAATGATTTAATATCATAAGTCGTGATTATGTAAGCATTATGGCAGAAAACTTGGTTGGGTCCAATATAGCAATTTCAGCAATAGCCACTGATATAGGTGAGAACAAAATATTAAACAATGAATGAAGCACTTGGGGTAAGGTATAGGGTATATATATGGCTTATAGTCTGAGATTAGGAACGTTGTCGTCGTAAGTATAAAGTTAAACGGTATTAGAGAAGATATACCGGATAAGTATATCATCAGGGGTATTTCAGCTGATAATTGAATAAACCCATACTTGATGCTCCCTGTAGGTCAAGCTAGGCAACAACCCTTCCGTCTTTTCATGGTCAGTTAACATTAAAACTTGTACATCATATTGCCTTCTAAAGACGAGGCGTACGGCTTCTTCATAACACCAAAAATATGCCGAAGAACCAGAAAGTATGCTCACATGAGGCCCTAGAGCTAGAACCATCAGCGTACGCTAAAGAGGCGGGATTCGTTTGGTCAAGTCCAGATCGAAGATTGGCTGCGACAACCAAGTCTGGCAGAAATCCGTTGATTACGAAGGGACAGAATGCTAAGACACTTGAGGTTTTGACCCAGGATTCCGCAAGCAAGCTGTCTAGCGCGTTCCCAGGGCCATTAGTCTTACCAAATGACGAGTTAGCTCTGAATCCCAAATACCCACCGCAATCGTTTCGATCCTGGCTCAATGAGAGCCTACGAAAGAATCGTAAACCGAATAAGAGGCGTCAGACTTTGTATGTTGCGACTGCTCCTGAGATTACATCTAGTGTGGGTTTCATGAAGAAATGGCTGCAGCCACACGTCAAAAAGGGAGGAAAGCTAATGGCTGCTGAGATGTTAAATTCACTGCCAACCGAAGATCTTGTCAACTTTACAGGCGCTTTTTACCATGGGATGCCTGTCAAAGCTTTTCCACATCGCTTGCAATTCGTGCCCTGGGATGAGCCGAAGAAGTCGGGCAAACGGGATAGCAATATGGACTACGTTGGACTGTTGGCTGGTAATAATTGCACCCGCATTCGCGCTAGGCCATGTCCTGATGGTACTTTCGGCCGTCAATTGAATCTTGAGGATCTACTTGACGCCGCTATTGAGATGCTGCTTGGAGATGCCTATTCCATTATCTTACTGTTTGACCATGATATGTACGAGGACGAAGACGACGACTTTTGTTGTGGTAGAGCGTATGGTGGGAACCGTGTCGCGGTGGTCTCTACGGCAAGATACCACCCCGCTCTGGACGATCATGCTGAAATCGATTTTGCGCACATGTGGCCAGCTTCCCACTGCAAGTCCTATGTTGATAGCGCATGCACATTGGAAGGCGTTGAACCAACCCCGAAGAAGACTCAACGGATGGATGATGCACTTGGGCCATTACAGGCTGCGTCAGAAGCAGCAGGAAATCTTGCGGAACCTTCGACGTCGGAAGATCGAAAAGCTCTATGGTTCTCGAGGATCGCAAGGACAACAGTCCATGAGCTTGGTCATTGCCTTGGCATAGACCACTGCATTTACTATGCTTGTGTCATGCAGGGTACAGCGCGGATGGCGGAAGACGTGCGACAGCCTCCTTATCTCTGCCCCGTGTGTCTAAGTAAAGTGTCGCATGCGATTGCTTGCGAATTAGGTGGGCGGGATGAGGCAGGAAAAGAAGAATATGTGAAAGAAAGGTATCGATCAATCGCGAATTTCTGCGAATCGTGGAAGCAGGTCGGTTTATTTGCTGGATACGGAGCCTGGATTCGAGCTAGGCTAGAGCAGCTCGAATGATCATCAGCGCTTAACCTGGCAGACCGTAAATCTGTGCCAGCCATTTCTAGGTACTAAAGAAACAAGTATTATGACCTTTTCCTTGTTCCGAGCGCTACAATAAAGTCAGGAATTGGTTACCATATCATGGTGCGGTCCGGTTGAAAACACGAATCTTGGACTTGGTGCATGACATGGCCAACCAACAGCATCACGTTACCGACTGCGAGATATGCACTCGAGCCCCAATCTGTCAAAAACAATTTGCCGCCTTTCAGGTGACCGATCTTTTCTCTCTTCGGGGCCGACTGTTTTGGCCGAAGCCGAGCGACAACTCCGTTGATGCATGATCTGTGGACATGCTTTTTGGAAGCCTTCGTAGTTAAGATATTGGCGATGATCGGGTATCAGCAAAAAACAAGGAGTAAAGGCACATTGGGAGGAAAATAACTGTTATTTACCACCGTAGATATTGGCAGAATCGTGGGCTTCGCGAGAAGCGATTACGTCTAAAGTTCCCTACCACCCTCCGAAGCGCCGGTTGGACTACCAGTCAAGCTTTGAAATCTTGCATTTTCGCTCGACCTGAAGCCCCCCAATGTCCCTGCCAATTCGACGGCATAGTAAGGCGCGACATGATACGAATGTTGTTACCTGGGTATTTTCTTAGATGAGATTTTTCTTCCAGTGTGGCCGAACCCTTCTCTTATTCGTAAAAATCTGGACTGCGACGGCTACAGTAATAATAAGATAAATACTGCAAAAGGTCAAACTGGCTATGTCGATGAAGCTCATTTTGGATGAAGGTGTTTGTAGAGCTGGTAGGACGCGTCTGACCGGGTCGAGAGCGTCGGTAATTTGCTTCGTTGAAATCATAGGGATCGTGGTATGCTTTTCTGTTGCCGGCCAGTTGAGAACGTAGATTGGACTTCAGAGATTCGGTACTCTTGGTCGTGATGTGAAAACACGCCGAGAGGACAGGATGATTAAATTTTCTTTATGGTTATATCTGGATACCTACCTGGTCTAGGCACCTACCTACCTAGATTTTCTTGTTAATTCGAGCTTGAGCATTGTGAGTGAATATCTGATGGTTTAGCCAATGGAAAAGTACTGATTATGAGTTATGAGTCACTTGTAGAGTCCGTTTATGTGATGTTTGGGAAATTCCGTGTGGCCTGCCTCCTTAGTTCCCTAGGTCTGGCCTAATAAGCGACGATTCATCTAGTCAAGTAGTTTCTAGTACCAAAGTAGCAAACTAGAAACTATAAACATATATCAGACGAAATTGTCAGCCTCCGGGGTTCTAGAGGGAGTTTGGACTGAAGCACGGGCATATACGCTGGTTGCGCGTGGTTTGTGACGGTTCAGTGAATTCCTTGCATCCAATATGGGTTATCTACTTCTCTCAGCGCTTTGCGCCGAGCTCCATACTTGTCTTTGACAAATAGTGGCAACGAAAATGGAAGCCGGTCACCAACAATCGAAAGATTTGTTACATACCGAGTCCCTAACGAGGAGGTTGAATGAAAGGGATAGGTATTGAATAACGGCAACTCCGGGGATGAAAACTTCAGGCTCGGACATGGCCTCCGGCCGTATATCGTAACACCGAAGTTGCCTTCTCTTTTTTTCGCGCTCTAAGAGTGGGATGTTGATCCATATTATCCTATTCGTTTTGACCAAAGCCCAGAACAGAGGTTTCAGGTAGATATTGGAACGTTATTCGCGCATCGTGCCATAGAAGAAATGTATGAAGCCAATTGTATTTCTTCTGCGACGGCGGTCTGCATCTCCTTAGTCGGGGGCTGCAGTGTAATGTACCCGGGAACAAAAGGGAACTATGATCTTGGCATCATGTGCTTGAATAAGGGCAATGTAGTTTCCCTTGTGACAATGGTTCACTACGTCAATAGATTCGACCCGACCTCCTGGTACGCGGAAGGAAACTATTGTCAGAACGCCACCAGCCAACATTTCCTTCCGTACACCTTTCCGGGAGGATGCATCCGGGTTCTGCTGAAGGATTGGAAACCCTGTTCATAGAACAACTAGCCATAGAAAACCACTTACGTGAATTTTTTCGTAGAGAATGTGTAAGATAGTTTATGGATGTCGGAGTTACTCAATATGTAGATTCGCAATCATATACGCGTACAGCGTCTGTTAGATATACGAATAGCGTGTAAAATGGATGATACGGCTTCCTACATACCTGTTCTTCTCAATCAGGGAAGCCTATACCAAAAGCGGTAAGACGAGCAGCTTCTGAGGAACCGTACATGCATGCAGGACGCCGGTAGTTCTCCCATTGTGTTTGTGAGAGGAATGGACGGGTAACACGATATGAGTAGGGAAGACAACCGAAAAATCATTTATGATACTTATCATAACTCGACTGGCACCTATAAATATTATATGAGTTATATATCTTGTATTTCACACGTCAGTGGCTGACTGACTTCCTCTGAAGATGCACGCTAACCCTGTTGTTGTCTCGTTGTCTTAGACGCCAATTCAAGGGACTCAGCCACTTTAGGTAGGTACTCGATTTCTACGCTCACCTAGGTACCTATTAGAATGCCATTCGACTGTGGGGTGATCGTCCATTCAAGTAAGCTTATTGACGTAACATTGGTTCTGCGGAGTCGGAAGGGTTTAGTAGAACAATGCATACAGACAAAGTATCCACCAACGACACAAAGCGGAGCTGTCTAATTACCAAAGCATGCGTGCAACGCGGAAATCCGAACGGAGATCCGAGGTCTTTCGGATTTCACTGAAGAATAGCTTCGATGATGTGTTTCCCCTGGAGGGTGCATAGTCAACGGCAACTGTGACTGTATGGTCGTCCTGGCATGTTAGGTACGTAAGGTAAGGGCGCTGCAACATATAAAGGCCGCCATGTGTGCGAGCAACAATGGTTCGAGGCGTTGCTTTTTTCTTCATAGCGAAAGCATTGTGTCATACATCTATCATCTGATATTAGACATTTGATTTCCAATTTTATAAGAACTACCTACCAAGGTCCCTTCACGACAACTTTCCAGAACTAACATTGTCTATCTAAGACTAGTTGAACGCTATGGCCGGAGAAGACCAAAAACTTAGCGTCATCATAATTGGATCGGGTCTCGCCGGTCTGGTTGCCGCCCGCATCTTACGAGAGAAGGCCCAGGTTACCGTATACGAGCGCGGAGAGCCTTCGGTTGCCACAGGCGGCCAAGGAATCGCAAATTTCCCCAATGCCATCAACATCATGAAGCAATTGGGTTACGACCCAGAACGATCCGGTTCCGTTCCAATCCAGGGGTTTAGAACGAGGGACAAGCTCTGCAACATGATATTCGATACTGGTTTCCCTTTTGAAGAGAAGTACGGTTCGCCATGTTTGTCTCACATGAGGGTCGACTTCAGGGCCGAATTGTTACGTATCGCCACAGCCCCGTCTAAGGATCTAGGTATTGGCGGTGACCCCGCTAAGGTTGTGTTCCGTAACGGCGCGAAGGATATAGACCCCGAAGCAGGAGAAGTAACACTAGATGACGGAACAAAGGTTAAGGCGGATGTAGTCATAAGTAAGTGTCCTACCCAAACATTTTCGTGTTACAATTGTCTAATAGCACGTCGCCAGTTGCGGACGGCATCCACTCTCGTTTGCGACCGAAGATCGTCGGTGAGAACTCTCCTCAGCCCCAGAAGACTGGCTTGACGTGCTGCCGAGTTGCCATCGACGCCAACAAAGCTATTGAGGCATACGGCCGATTGCCTGAATGGTGGGAAGAACAGAAGACCAGTGAGAAGCGCATCACAATCTACGAGGCCGGCGATGGTTCTGATCGCATCATGGTCGTATATCCTCTTCGTCATCTCAGTTACATGAACATGTCTTGCATCTATGCCACCACGGAAGAGAAGGAGAGCACCACCGTGTCCTGGATGGCTGATGGTAATCGCGAAGAGATGTTGGAGATCTTCCACGACTTCCACCCAAGTCTAAAGGCGCTTCTAGGGTAAGCAACCAAAGCCCAATTCATTATATCATATACCAAAAATCGATCAATGCTAACATATGCGAAGTGCGGCGACGGAAGTAAAGGTGTGGGAACTCCAAGACCTGGAGCCACTCGATACGTGGGTTAAGGGCCGCGCGATTCTTATCGGTGATGCCGCTCATGCGATGACGCCGTTGCAAGGTCAAGGTGCCAATGCTGGTATCGAGGATGCTGAGGCATTTAGGCTCCTGTTAGAACCTGGTGTAACTTCCGACGACGTCCACGGTATCCTAAAGAGAATAGAATCAGTAAGACTACCACGCGCTACTGCCGTTCTCAACAACACACGGGCGATGAGCCGTGGTATTAAGGGTGACGAAAGATATCAGCGTATGGATGAGAACTGTACTTACCATGGCATCTACAAAGCTCTTGAAGATTTCGAGAAAGTCAAGTAAAGCATATTTGGAGTTGGGAATCCCCTAGGGCCATGAGCGTTGGTATTTGTTATCGTTTAGAGAAGAATGAGCTGAATGATGATTAACATGACATAGATGTTTAGATTGTGTACCATAGAGTTAGGCAGTATATATAGGGATCTCAGAGCGGAGTTTCTCTAGATCTCCCCTCGTATTCTTTTGAACAGATCTTCTTTTCGTCCCATTTTTTCCTAGATAAACCGAACAATCCTTGTTGCACCTATTCTCTGTTTCCTTTCAACCATTATCGTCGTGATGGCTTGGTGAGGTTGGATGCTCGTCGAGTGTTCGTGCGGGATTAATAGAGCCGCATAAGTCCATTTATTGTATGCATCGATGACGAGTGGCGCACATAGTGTATTACTTATCTGCAATCCTTCGGACGCACAAGAAGGATGTCGGCATAAGACATTAAGCCACATATGCGGCCACTTTCAAGACCTTTCTGCAAGCCAACGCATACAGTTGTGCCGTCTCTTGTACCGGTACAAGACATGGTTCATCGGAAATTAGATATAGTGGCGTACCAGCTTTGAGCTGGTACATATTTAATACTAAAAATAGAGTTAAATAAGCATACCGGTATTTAAAGGGTCTGGTTCTGGTTATGATACTTGGGAGTTAAGTTGAAATCACAACTGTATAACATAATGACATGTATACGCACTGCTGGATGTTCATAATAAACCGGGAAAGGACACGTAATTACACTAGCTGGCCAGTGTCTACCTGGGTATAGATCATCATAGGATTTTTTGTACGTCTGAATAGACTCGACTCCATATAAGTGAAATTGCTAAGACGTAAAAAAAGGTTATGAATAGATGCCTGGGGTATCTGGGTATCTCAGACAATTCTTCAAATTGCAACTAATTAACAAGGATACATACAGATATCTAGGTATATGTGTAACCCCATAAAATCTAGGACCGTCCACAACTCAACGATTTGGTTATTGTAACTGCGAGTCGAATTTGAAGCTATTCGCTCCGCCTTTCCCCGTACGTTATGCCTATCTAAGTAAGTATCGTCAACATCTCAACATGACAAAAAAAATAAAGTCCTAGATATAAATAATTCCTAGGCAAATGGGTTTGTATATAACTACGGCATAGTTATCGAATAGAATTTTGTTGGGTATATTAAAGAAAAGAAGAAAAAAAAGCAAAAATCTCAAGGGGCTACAAAGACTACAGGGGTTACAGGGGCTATTACTCATTACAAGGACTAGCTTGGTTTATTATGTAAGTCGGACTACCCCTGAAGTAACCCCGCAGCTCCCCGCCATCTTGCCTTACCTCATCCATGGATCTTTGCCATAAAAAAAACATAATGACTAAGATTGTTACTCAGCGCACTTATCACGTGCTTCCTTCTTGTGTAACAGAAGACCTATGTCCAATCACAGCTCGTTGCAATTATTAATTATTATCCGCTACAAATTTAATCGCGGCGCCAAAACTTACCGATTACTTGTTCACTAATCATTCCAACGCAACCTCGGATCTATTGGTTACCCACCACCTCAACTAACACGAATTGGATGGATTGGTCCAAGATCGTTACAGTCCCTTCGCATTCACTTACCTAAGGTACTCTTATACAACTAGAAGTCTCCATCTGTCCCCATTGCCGCTCTCGGTGTAAGAGAGAAGTTGGGACGGATACCTTGACCGCTGAGTCCATTCTGAACCACTCGGGAGCAAGGCAAAAAGCCCGGCCCCATTCATTCTAGATTCAAGGTTGCAACGTTGGACCCCTCTAAGGCCTATACGGAGCATCCTAGGGGACGTCTCGGATTCTACATTGGTACACAATATGGGGTCTGGGTCTTTATCAGTACCTCCATATGTCCTCAACGTCACCACCAAATCCCGGAATCCAGTCACACTTCACTGGTAATGATGGCAATGGCTTGCAGGCATATAGCTATAGGGGATACCCTAGTCAGCCTTATCCCCGACGAGATGATTTGTCAGAGCCCCTCTTGACAACATCAACACCTTCCTTCTCATTTAGAGCTTACCCCCCAGTTATTTTCACTGGCGTAGGAGAATTTCCTGCCGGTTTTCATGAACATTCGCATCCACCTCTTGTAACCGGGACGGCATTAACCCAGAATACTCCCGGTAATAGCGGAGTACAATCTGGTTCTCAATCATCGCGAGTGAACCTTCAATTGCCCCCAGCTTCTACTACCACGCCGGTATCACAGCCGGCACAAATGCGATACTACCATACCGACTTGGCCGTGCTTAGTGCCGAACAATATAATGAAGGACATTATTCAAGGCGATCTGCTTCCAAAGCTAACTTGAAACCTACCGCGACGGTTGTTCCCGTTGATAATGCCCCGAATCCGAAGAAGAGAGGGAGAAAAGCGGTGGATGAGGAACAGAGGGATACAGCAGAAGAAGTGAAGAGGACGCGGGGCCGTCCGCGATTAGAAACCAAGGACCAGACTCCCACCGAGGTTAGTGAGAGATTCCGATCTCTATCTTTCGTTAATTAGTTTATCTACTTATATGAAAGTTCTTGTGCTATGAAATCAATGGTCTACTTGGCTTGGGCCGTTCTAATCCTGTACATATTTGAGTAGATGCCGAGATTCATGCTTACATATAAGATTAGCGTCGGCGCACTCAAATTCGGCTTGCACAGAGAGCATATCGCAATCGAAAAGAGAATGCTATTACCGATCTCCAGGAGAAGATAGACAATCTCAAGGAAGTAAACAGCGAGATAAACAATGCGTACCAAGACCTATTCGATTATGCTTCAAAGCGTGGGCTCTTGGCTCAGGCGCCCGAGTTTGGACAGCAGCTTCAAAGACTTCAGTCGCTTATCAAAGAGACGCAAGACAAGAATAGCCCTAAAAGCGACCGGGATAGCCCGGAAGAAAGATCCGATGATGCTCAGGATGCTCAGAGGACCGAAGATGCGGCCGCAATTAGCGAGGAACCCGTCACTACATTGCCTGAGGATGAGACAACGCAACTATGGGGTGGAATAACGGTTTCACACGAGTCTGTGGCTCCGGAAGAGATACCGTCTACGATGCCTGACTTGAATCCTACATTGAGCAACCCACAGCCACAACAATACGAAATTGTTACAGCGCCGAATTCGGATAATGCTAGTTTTGGGCTCAATTTCTTGGACAATATGAATTATGGAAACCCGGCGTATTCTGGCTGGGCTGAACATCCCTGGAACCGACTCACTGGCCCTCGGACAATGTCTTTCAACGAGTGGTCATTTGCTCGGAGGTTGCACCGTCACGCTGTCGAAAGAGCAGCGGCCCTAATATCAATGCCCAATCCACCCCCTGCTAAGGTATCGCGGGTTTTTGGCTTCGTCATGTTGTTTGAAACTATGGACGAGATTAGAACACGAACACTAGCAACGCTTGCTAAAGTTAGGGACGAACCTTTGAATTACTGGGAACATCCCTTCCATAGGCTTGGAGGTTCAGGCACTCACTTTTCTTACCGGGGCGATGGCCCTTCTAGTCTTTCGGGATCATCGAATTATGAGAGTACGGGGTATGCGATGGGGCCTTTCGACGAACCGACTATGAGGGTGCGCGATACTCTACTCGGGGTGTCGCAGTACATTAATATGAGTGGGTGGGAGGGTACGTGGTTTGATTCAGGCGAGGTCGAGACTTATCTGGCACAGAATGGGATTATTATTCCTACGTCGGCCGATATACATACAATCGAGCTTCAACCGGATGCGTTTTCCGACGTACATACACATTCTCAGATCCAGCTCATGCAGACCATCCCTCCTAATGTCCCACCCGGGTTTTCTGGGAACCAATCCTATAATCCCGGAATGTCTACCGATGTCTCGTCTGGATCAGGAGGTACTGCCTTTCCAACGAGGATTGATCCTCCCTTGAATTCTAGTGCTTCCTCGTCGCAAAACGATCCCTGGGCGCCTACTTCTGTCACCTCAACCCTCTATGGAAATATGCCTACCGCTGGCATAGGTATTCCATCCTTCACCGGTTTCGATAATATGACGGTAAATCCTTACACCAGCACCGAGCCATATGCATTCCCGCATCAAATGCCAGCAGCTACAAACACGCAAATAGCCCCGAAGAGAGTTGTCCTGGATGTAAATTCATTCATTTCAGGTAAGGTCACAATCACCTTCTCACTGCCTAATATTCTACCGCCAGTTAACCTTAACTATAGATTTAATTAACCACGCTACATGTCTCGGGCGAGCTCCTGCTTTTAGACCGAAAGATATCGCGACTTCATTTTGGAACTCTGTGATTAAGGATTAAAGCATCGTGCGTAGGTATTCTGATAGCGTTGACGTCTTTCGTTCATATTTATATATACATGGCACGGATTGAAAAGCGCGTCTATCTGGACATTATTATTGGGTTATTTATATACGATGGTAACGATCAGAATTGAAAAGGGGTTCGGGAGCATTTAAAACTACTTATTTGGCATATTAATCAATGATTATGGATCGGAAATGGGGGTATATATTTTAATGTAGCTAGTCTTTCGCTACAAACTTCGTAGATAATACCTACATCACATCTTACAAGATCAGCTACCTCCCCATGTGACTAGATGCGAGCTTTATTCTCTTCTAAATTAGGGAATTGCTTCTGCCACCCTTCTCCATGTAATTCCAACATCTTAGCCTCCCAGCGTTTCCGCTTCTCAGTCCTACGCTGCTCTTTCTCCCATGCCGCCATCCGTGTCTCTTCTTCAATAATCCCACGCATAGCATCCGCCCGCGCAATAAGATCTAACCGCTCCCGCGTCAACATATCCTCCATATACCTGAGCCCATGCGTCGATATCGTCTCGCGGAACGTATTCCTCGTTTTTAAGTCCTTGCGTATCTCCTGCGCCATACTCCTCCCCGCACGTCCGGCGCGCCGGGTATTACTATTTCCACCATCCCACTTCTCCATCGTGTCGGCTAGGATATTCTCCCATTCGTCCTCGAGCTCGGCATCTGGAATCGAGTCTTCGCGGAACCTGATTAGCGTCTCTGTGCGTATTTGCCGCTTTTTTATCTTTTGGTGGAGAACGTGGCTTAGCACCGTCGGTTGTGGTTTTTTGAGACGCAGGAACGGGAAGTCGGATGCCATTTCTAAGCGTGGGATTTGCCGTCGTCCGGAGCCGCCGAGTTGGGGGAGTGGACGCGGACGTGTGGGTGATATGTATTTGGGTGGTGGGTTTGGGTTCGTGGGGGTTGGGGAGGGGGCTACGTTTATGAGGAGTGGGATGGCGTTGGGATGGCGTGCGCTGGAGGGTTTGGAGGGCGGGGTGGGATTTGCGATGAGAGAGCGGGTGCGTTCGGCTAGGCGTGCGCGGAGGAGGGATATTATGGCGTTGTAGTCGGCATTAGGGGCGGTGGCAGTCTTTGAGGACTTGCGGGTCTTCGTAGTTTGAGTCGACTCCGAAGCCTTGGTAGGTTTGATGGACGTGGAGGTCTCGGCGGGGGAAGAAGCGGCGGATCGTAACAAAGCTAGGATTTGGTACCCCGCCTTGAGAGCTGGATAGACGATCCGCGGACTGGTGTCGGCGCGGTTACGTCGGAAGGCGCGCCGGATTAGGTGGGTGATGGGGTCGACGGGACCCCGACGGGCGGCGACTATGTCATCGGGGAGTTGGATACGTGGGGCTTGACGCAGGAGTGCGCGGTAGAGTGCGAAACCTAGGTGTGGGAATTGTTATGTTAGTTTGTTAAATATTTGCTTAGATAGATGGCGGGCTAAAGTAAAAAGACCTCACATGCTGTCCGATGCCGGGAATTTCGGGCTGGTATGAAGAATGATGGCATATGGACATTGAGGGTTGTGAGTGTTGGCCATCATTCTTTGCTATATAAATTTAGAAATTGCTAAGAGGAATTGAATTTGGGAAATTTTCAATTAAACAGCGGAACGATTTCCGCACCGATTTAGCTTCGCGCGATCACGTGCGTGTATCTAAATGAGTCCCCTATAATACGTATAACTCAGTATCTTCAAGGGTATTATCACAGCTCTACCAGTTATAATCTGCGTCGCATGTATTGCGATTGTTAGGTCAATACTCTGAAGGAAGAATTTGTTGAATTTCTTAATTGCTAATGCCTAAACTCCAAGCCAACCCTCTTACCTCGTCGAATTGATGCCCTTCTGCTCATGAATCTAATCTCGTTATGATGTGGCAAGTTCGTCAAATGAGTACAAATATGAGTGCACTGCGAATAATCAACGAAGTTGTATCGCATTAGACTCCCCCTGTGATCTGCCAAGGGTATCCCATGGGGGGTCCCGGGTTGCTTGTTTCTGTTGTGTCGGGCCTCGGTTCCAGCTGAGGTTCGTTTCTACCTTCGTCCTAAGAGTAGACCGATCCCTCAGGTGGTTGAGGCAGCTTCTTACACTGGCTCGATGCCATGTATCTGATAGTGAACAAATATCAGCATTTTGTTCAAGCTGGAGTAGTATCTTGTGCCAAGCCCAATAATTGCTATCACACTAACCTTCTAAGCTCGATGAGAATTGTCTCCATGGTGTTCTCTCGCTTCCAGTTTGCCAGGCATGGTAGTTGGGTAGGATCGACCATTCCATTCTTCTGGTTGACACACGGTAGGTTGACTTGACTGACGAATTGGATGGTAGGTGGCTTGTCCGGGTATTGGTCACCGCAGTGCATCTTGACGGAGTAGATTCGGTTCTCGTGTACGCTCTATAATATCCGATCAGCTCCAGCACCCTAAAGATTCGAAAGCGAAAGGTAGCGATCGGTATGAGACGTGGATATAGTATGACTAACGTGAGGGGGGCCTAGAATAGTGCCGTTCCAGTCGGACATGAGAAGATCTTCGGGGTTGTCTAAGCCGTAGGAGCAAGCCTCTGTCGCAATATTATTAGCATGCATTGAAATCATAAGTATATAATGAAGGTATAGGGAGAGTATATACCAGCTCCAAGACCCTTCTCTCCCTTTTCTAACTCCTCTAGGAGACGGAAATTCCGGGGGATTTTGGCACCCATTTTCCGTGTGATACAATAGGTATTGAGTAAAGAAATATCCTCTTTGGTAGACCAGAGATGCTATCGGATGTCCTCCGTGCCTCTATGGGTGGTGGCGATATGATGCTTAAAATGCGACGTGATTGAATTGGTATGAAGAGATGAGAAGGTCACGCAGCCTTAAAAGTCGCCGATGCTTAAAGATGAATGATGCGGGATGGTGGGGTTGGCTTTGGTCGCAGTTGACAGGGAAGGTCCCGCCGTTCTGGTAGGGATGTATAGATTATGTAAGTACCTCGGTCGCACGTTCTAGGTGATTATTACGTAAAGTTCGATAAGACAAGGATGGACGCTATGGCTGATGCCTGTGGCGCCGTCTCAGGCTTAGTCATCCGTTTCAATTAGGTTGTGACGAATCTGGCAAGAAGCTCTTCAACTCTTAAGCTTTCCAAGTGAGACGCAAAGTCTCGGATTGATCATTTCCACTTCTAATAACTTCTACTCTTGTTCCATATTTCATGAAACTAAATTATTCATTTCATAACTTGAAAAACCCTCGTCCGATGGATTCTGTTCAACTGGATTGGCCAAAATGACCACTCAGCTCCTCTCTACGGAGCTCACTAATCTCATCCAAGAGAGCAAGCGAAAGCATAATGATCTTAGACAGGCACGCGCACCCCTTACTTTGTCACTAGATCAAAATATCCGTTATATGTCTTTATGATCTTGGTAAATATGTGTCAACACATCCACTGACTCATTGTCTAGGCAGCAGAGAAGTCCTTAGAGGAACTTAGAGGAATCCGCGCTACAAGCGAAGCACAGCTTGCTGCTGGTATGAACCTATCTTAGACTTGTTGGAAGATTCAAGAGGACTCATCGTATGATTTAGAACTCTCCCAAAGGATTAACTTCGTCAACCCCTTTGTTATAGCATGTGGGACGAGGAACGCCAAGTTCACCGGCATAGCTATCGTATGCTTGTCGCGTCTCATTCTTGTCACGGCACTGCCACGATCAAAATTGAGCCCTGTATTGGAGGCATTGCGCGAGGCAACATCTGCTGGTCTTGATGTCCAACTCAAGATTCTGCAAGCTTTACCAACTCTACTTCAAAACTTTTCCAAGGAGATCCAAGGAGACCTATTAGTCACTGCATTGAATATTTGCTTCATTCTGCAGACTACCAAAAATGGCATCGTCAATAATACTTCTGCTGCTACACTACAGCAGCTTGTTATGACTGTATTCGAAAAAGTGGTAGCCGAAGATAGTGAGTGGGACCTAAAATCTGTGTTGAATACCAAAGTTGACCTCGTTTAGAATCAGCATCTGATGCAAATTATGTCGGCCATGCTCCTACCGATGATGGCGAAGTCCAACTTCGTGCAGCATCTATGGATGCATATCGCATATTCCGAGATATATGTCTGATGACAGAAAATCAACGACCAGAATATCTCCGCTTCACGGGTCTTCCCCAAACATTTGGCCTAGAGTTGATAGAATCGGTCTTGAGTCAACATGCAACAGTTTTTACAAGTTCACAACACCCAGAACAAGCACACATACTCCGCACAAGTGTCATGCCTTTTGTGATCAAGGCTTTATCCGCCAAACCGAATTTCGCAACTTCCGTACGACTTGTACGTATTCTTTACACATTATTGAGGAAACACTTGGATATTCTACTATCGGAGGGCGGTGAGGCTCTTGATACACTCACCCAGTTGCTAGATCAAGATGCAGCATCATGGAGGAGGGCGTTATGTATGGAAGTTTTTCGTGGCATATTCTCCGAACCTCCTCTTCTCCGGCGAATTTTCGCATTCTATGACTCTAGGGAGGGAGAGAAGGATATTCTCAAGACTCTGACTGCTACATTCGTTAGAGTCAGCACAGAAAAGCCAACGGTTATTGGGCTAGGTCATCAGTCCACAATACCAGTGGCTAACCCATACGCAAATATGGGTGGTTCGTCAGATCAAGCTATGTTGGAAGCCAGCGGAGTCACTGGAATTATCAGTGGATCTGTGAGCGAGGGCCATAACACGGGTATTAGCTCACAATGGAGTACGGTTAGAGTTGCCTGCATCGACCAACTCGACAAGACCGAACCACCCCTTGTTCCGGAGTCTTACGTTTACGCGTTGACACTATCCTGTATTACTTCGCTATCGGAAGGATTGGCTAAGTTTATCTTGCCCCTTACGGTTCCTCCTGATAGTCGAGCGCGCAAGCGTAATGCCAAACAGTCAGAAATGGGGAGGGACTCTCCAAGTTTAATTGATGACGATAGCAATGCTCCCAAGACAGCAGTAGAAAGAACTGCTACACTGAGCTCCCTCGAGAGATCTGGTTCGTTCAAGAAAAATCCCGTACCTCTCAATCCTTTAGCAGTCCAGGATCACCCGTTGCATGCCGAGGTCAAGATATGCGCAGCGATTATTGATGAATGCTGGCCGGCAATACTTGCAACGTGTTCCACTTTTCTATTTGCTGCACTTGATTCGGAATATTATCATGGCCTGGTTCGTGCCTTTCAAAAATTTGCTCACGTTGCTGGATTACTTCATCTCACAACTCCAAGAGATGCTTTCTTGACTACCCTAGGTAAAGCAGCCGTACCGCCGAATGTATTCAGTGCTTGTCTCAACCCTAGCACACCCAAAGCAAACCCGACTAGCCCTATTACCGAGACGCCCAATAGTATCTTGGGTAACGCCAGGGGCCTTTTGAGTGTTGATAATCTAGTCACTCCAGTGGGTGCCGCTGGTGAAAGACAAAGGCAATTGTCGGCGGACGCTAACACCATACCACAAACGTTGAATACTCGGAATCTTTTATGCTTGCGAGCACTTTTGAATCTAGGTATAGCTTTAGGCCCGACGCTCAGCTCGTCTTGGTCGATTATCTTGGAAACGTTACAGCAAGCTGACTTCGTTCTCTTCACCACCGGGAAGGCCCCCGGGAGAACTCCTCTCGCCGGAAAGGGTCCGGATGCCAGGGCGGAGAACGAGGCGGCTTCGCTTTTGGCTAATTTTAGTACCGAAACAAGGGCCGTGGAAACCGCTGCGTCTAGACTTTTTGAAAGCACCGTTGATTTTCCCAATACAGCGTTCGTGGAGGTTGTTGATGCTGTATGCAATTTATTAGACCAACAGTCAGAGCCAGCCTCGGAACCCTCAAGCCGACCGCAGTCCTCACCTTCCCTGACACCGCCAATACCAGGTCTTCGGCCGCCGAGTGGCCAGCATAGGAGGCTTCTTAGCATATCCAGTACCGGACCCATGGGCCCTAGCCAAGAAGATCAATTTACCTTGGCAAAGATTGGCGAGATCGCGACGATCAATATTGAAAGGCTTTTAAGTTATCCTCCAGATGTATCAGGTTGGACGCGAATTACGACGGAGCTCACAGGTGCATTAAGCTCTGCGCAATTATCTGCACCGATTCGCACTCGCGCTGCAGACATCATAGTCCATCTTATTCTGGACGCTGCCAAAGCAGTTGTTGGCGTCGACGATGAGACTCGTGGTAGGGTCCAGCTTCGTTTATTAGAAGCTCTCCGAGACTCTTTACTGCCGCTACAATTAGAAGACCGTGCGGCCTCTGTAGCCACCCACTCAACGGATGTTGATATCCATAAAATCATACTCGGGGGCCTTAAAAGTCTTTTAGATGACTGTGGTGACGCACTTTTGAGCGGCTGGGAGGTTACCTTCGAAGTCATTGGCAGTATCTTTATACCAAAAAGGTTCGGTTATGAAAGTGCAAAAGACCCTGGCGGCCAATCTCTGGCCCTAACTACACGATCTGGCAAGCTTATTAGATCTGCGTTTAATTCTCTACAGCTGGTTTGCTCTGACTTCCTCGGGTCGTTACCAAAGTCTTGCTTTCTTATTCTCGTTGATACCCTGTACAAATTCTGTTCGCAAGATGACGATTTGAATATCGCATTGACGGTAAGTCACATAATCCAATGGCGTTGCTTCACTCTACTAATACTGTGTATTTACTAGACCGTCACTTTTTTCTGGGTTCTTTCTGATTTCTTGTCTGGTCGAAGCAAGCAACTTGCGATTACTGATAGTCTCGTCGACGATCCTGATGGTATCTCATTAGTTGAGAAAGCCTCGAATGCGGAGGATGCATCTTCAGATGCGGCCTTATGGATGCTCCTCTTATTGAGATTGACTACCGTCACTACCGACGAAAGACTTGACTTGAGAAATAGTAAGTATGCCGACCTTGTATAATATCCCTCCACTGACAGTGTCAAGGTGCCATCCAGACATTACTACGGATATTCGACGCTTACGGAGATAGGCTTGGCCCTGAGGCATGGTCTATTTGCATTAAATCGGTCATCTTCAAACTTCTGGCGTCCATAGAGAAGGAACTCGAGGACGTTGGTAAACAAGAAATTGATGAGAAAATCCGGTTTGATTGGTACGACACAGCCGTCGTGGTGCTTAACGGCATATCAAGCCTTCTCGCCAACTATCTCGACGTGTTGACCGTACATCCGACATTCAATTCATATTGGCAACAGCTTCTCGGTCATTTTGCTTCTTTACTTGACTTTCAAGTCCTTGAGATAAGCACTGCGACATTTAAGGCATTGACACAAATGCTGTCGCATAGCCAGAGCGGCACAAAGCAGAATTTCAACAAGGTCACAATCGATTTGGCGTGGGACTTATGGTCACGCGGCGTGCCGGTCTCTAAGACTGGTAATACAGGGAAAATCACAGACAACCAAAACTGTCTTCTTGCCTATGTCGCGGCTCTCCGTGACGTATATCGCCTTATACAAGTTGATCTTACGGTAGACCGCATTCGCCGAATGTTAGCGCTATTGCGGGAAGTTATGCAGGTTGCTACACCTGGGACGTATATAGCGGATATCGATCATGCCACGCCATTACAAGGGCAAGTACTAGAAGTGATAAAGATGCTTCGAACCGATCTGCCAGGGGCGCCATCAGCGTTGATATCTCAAACATCAGAGTTTATTTCGCTGGCCTTCGTCGAAGAGCATGGCATGTCGAATCAACGGAATTCGCAGAAGCGCACCTATGTTGCTATGTCGAAAAGTAGCATGTCAATCCTCCAATCTCTCATCATCACCCATGCCTCTGATGTAAGCATATATAGTGACGGCGCCTTCTTGACTGCGCTTACTGCTTTGTCAAGACCAATTGTGCTCAAGTACCGATTCCCGATTATTACGAAATCGGAACAGCCATGGAAACAGGCAACAACATCGGCTTTAGTTATTTTGGCAGCTACTCTTCCAGAACTTCACAAGCTTGAGATATCTCGATCAAATCTGCAGGACATCTGGGATATGATCGTTACTGTCGCCAACGGAATAGTCAATGCGGATTGCGATGCGCCACCAGATCGAGTAAATATTTCCGAAGACCAAGATTTCGACATCACCACCTTTTTAAAACTCCGTGAACTTATCATTCCTTCCCTGGGTGCGGAGGTTGTAACGGATAAGACGCGAAAGATATTCGCAGAAAATCTGTTCCGCATGTCTATTATACATACACCTGCCCCTGCAGAATCTTCACTCATCTATGGAAGCAATGGAAGTGACATAGCTGGGCTCTCAAATCTTTATAAGTCGCGGAAAGGGCGCACTATTGACCCACCCCCTGCTAAACGAGAGAAAATGAGTTATGTTTGTCTAGATGAGTTGTTTGCTTTAGTTGCTAGCCATAATGAAGCATCGACACCTCAGATCACTGTCCAACCACCAACACCAGCTTTCCCACCTCGGGCCTCGGCAGCGGCTAACATGCCGTTTGAAGCACCCCATGCTTTGCATGTAAGATTAGCAAAAACAACAGCATCGTACTTGATTTTACGGGCGGCGCTTACGATAAGAGCCTACATTGCGGACCAGCCACTGCGTGGACATATGCCGCAACCTCTCAGCCAACGCCGCGAACTTACGAGAATATTGGAAAGACTAGTCGAATTACGGAGCGAGCCAGACGCTATCCCGGATACGCCCAATGTCGAGAGCGAGAGTCGCAAGCACTTGCTTAGGCTCTACCCGCTGCTGGTTAGTGCTTTAAAGGTCTCTGGCACGAGTGGAGATGAGGGCACATTGAGTCTATTAACGAAGGCGTTGGAAGTCGTCGGAACGGAGTTGGGGATATGAAGTTGGTGTTCGTTAGGAATAGAGCTGATTTGAATTCGTCGTCAACGCCGCCTTTGAATTGTCTTACGGTGGGTGTACGTACTTGTAACTAAATAGCACTTATGAATTATAGATAAATCATCATATCGCCGAAGTACCACCCAGGCAGGATTGTGTTAATCGAACGTGTTATATATGTCCTTAGATTATCTTTATTGACATTCCTAAGACTCCTATTTTATGAAATTAGCATGCTTTAGGTCCTAGTCCTTCCCGTCCCCCCAATGCAGCATCCCCGTGAGTTGCGTTTTGCGTTTTTCGTAATCCATATATGAATGTCCCGTAAATTACAAATCCATACATAATAAGGTAAGATGTAAGTAAGGTAGGGTACGGAGATTTTGTCAACACAGATGTTGCTATCGTTTGGTGATGTGAGGGTGTGACAAAGCTCTATCCGCCGACGCCGTGCTCGACTAATTTTTGTCGGAACGTTTTTTCTTTTCCCGTATTTTCCTGCGTGGCCTCCCCCAACCGCCTTTTTATGGATTCGAGGACATGCTTAGTGGTGTTACAATGAGCTCGTTATTAGCTCGTTATTCCTTTTCTCTTTGTCTCATCATCCTATCCGCCTTCGTGTAGTCGTAATTAACCACGTTCGCCTTAAGCTTAGAACCCTCCCGACCGTTTCCTCCTTCACTTCCTACCCCTACCAGTCGTGTTATCAAATTCGCGAACCATCGAGTCTACAACACTGCCTTGCTCCTCCTTTGACTCCTCACCCTTCTCCAAGAGCTGTTTGGCCATGGTACGGCTCTGAGCTTCACCAACCTTGCCGTAGACGCTGAGACCCGTGGCGATCATACCACCAATATCACCAACATTACCCGGAACCACAACCGCCGTACTCTCACGCGCCAACTTGCTAAACGCATCGACGTATTTCTCCGCCACATTCAAACTAACCGCGCCCTGCGCCGCCGCACCTCCACTACTGATACTATTCGCCACGGCATCGATTCCTGAAGCCGTAGCTTTGGCTTTCATGAGAATAGCTTCGGCTTCACCGCTCGCGCGGTTTATATTCTCAGCGCGTAAGGCCTCGGAGGCTAGGATTACGCTTTGCTTTTTACCTTCGGCGATGTTGATTGCGCTTTGCCGTTGTCCCTCACTTTCTAGAATCTCGGCGCGTTTCGATCGCTCGGCTGTTACTTGTCGGTGCATGGCTTCTACTACGGCGGCGGGGGCGTGGATATCCCGGATTTCGTACCGGAGGCAGGTTACGCCCCATGCTTGCGCGGCTTCGTTGATGGCGGCGGTTATGTTGGTGTTGAGGGCGGCGCGTTCTTTGAGCACGTGGTCGAGGGTTAGTTGGCCGATTTCGCTGCGCATGGTTGTTTGGGCTAGTTGCGAGATGGCGTATTCGGCGTCTTCTACACCGTAGCTGGAGGTGGGTTAGTATTGTGGTTCTTCGGCGGGGCGAGTGTTATGGGTAGGAAGAATATTGTGTGGACGTAGAAATGTGTATAGAAGAGTAAACGTACCTGGCTTTGTAGGCGTCGAAAACCCTGGTGTATAAGACACCGTCCAACTCGAGGGTAACATTATCGGCGGTGATGGCGCTCTGGCTAGGTATTTCTATAGCGACTTCCTTTAAACTCTTGACGTAGGCGATGCGGTCGATGAATGGGACGAGAATAGCTAAACCCGGCTCGAGAATGCGGCTGAACTTTCCCATGCGCTCGACAATCCATGCTGTCTGTTGGGGTACGAAGCGGATGATGGTGTTGGCGGGTAAAGAGGGGCGTTGGAAATAGGAGGGCGGGATGGTGCCTAGGCCGGTGACGGATGGCTGTGACGGGGCCGGGGATCTGGTAGTATTGTGGAATGTTCGAAGGGATCCAAACGTAACGGCCGGTGTAAGTAGTCGGGATGTTGGGTGAGTCGTTATTCCTCGCCTCAAGGTCGACGAGACAACCCTCTCAGCTCTCGTCAACGACATGGTGACTATCGTTCCCTCACAACTCAACAAACACACACGCCTTTCCGTTGCTCGTCTTTACTACGTCTGAATTAATAATTGGCTGACAGATGTAGACGAGCCACGTCACGAGTCGAGTCGCGGACTGAGGTGAGCTGGGAGTGGGTTGAATGGAAGCTCGGAAATTGGGAATGATGACATTTCCTTTTTATTTTTATTTTTTAAGAGCTTCGATTTAATTCATCGGTCACAATTCCAACCTCGGAGTTTACAGGGGGTAGAGCTCGGACCATTAGAAAGCCTAATATTACGTAATGAAAAGTCTATGTATTGCTGACTCATCATTCATGTAGTACTTAGGTACATTTAAATGGGAAATGTTACATCATTCATCTTCTTCCAAAAACATCAACAAACTTTCCCAGCTATATTTCGGGAAAATACTGTTTGCCCTCTTCTAACTGTCAAAAATATTAATGGTAAGTTTATAGTCGGCCTCTAGATATCTAACCCATATATAAGTTTTTACATTTCGAGCGTCGCAAAGCATGGCCGGAAATCTCCAACGATGCATCCAATCAAGTTCGCGAGCGGCGGCCTTTTTCAATACTACATACCGTCCAGCTTTATAAAGATTCGTAGGAAGGGACCAAAATGGACTTACCCAAAAATTGCCGTAAAAATAACGTGATATACCGGCGGCCTCCTAAATCGAGCCTGGTACGTATAGTAAGGCAGCCATAGATCATTCATCACCATAACATTCCCAACACTTGTAAGAACGCCCCCGCAAATTAAACAAACATGTCAGATCCCTCTACCAATACCAATACGTATGGTGAGGTAATCACAAACAGCCAGCAAACGCTAAGCTTGGGATCCGCTCTCTTCGAATACTTTCGCCCGGCATGGGATGCAGCGTTAGAGAGGAGAAAGGCGGATAAGGCCCTCCGCGATGGGCTCGGAGAATGGGCCGTAGAAGCCTTTGACGCCGGTGGACGCTGTCAACAACCCGTCCTTAGGGAAGATTCATTTGTAACGCATCTGATTGAAAACAAGGCCACTTTCCAGCCATCTGGGTCATGTAACGCCAGTTTTGCCTGGGCAAAGCTACTTTACGCCTTGGACATTCGACCTGGCGCTAATATTATTGAATGGCAATCGTTGGGAACGGACGCCGACCCGGACAAATCAGATACCGTTGAGCTCAAGCTCGAGGGGCCAGTTCTTTGCCATATCGTCAATCTATACCAAATCTATAACTGGCCCAGCGGTGCTTTGCTAGACGACTTTCACCGCCGGGGAGTAACATGGCCATTGTCTTTCGGAGCATTAATCATTCACCCCGATCCCGATAGTGATGAAGGCAAGAGTACATCCGAGACATTTTCGGAGCCTAGGTCGTGGACCGCCACATTCAGACCAGATTCAAACAAAACACTTTTGGCTACTCGACAGCCATTTTTGACGGAGTTCTCGAGATATTTTCCCTGGTCTGGGGTTCCTCTTGCTTTCGACGCCGATTCCATTGCTATTAACTATGTAAGCACAGTGAAGAATTCTAGCTCTTCGAATACCTTGCTTGGGCTCCCAGATCCACAGGACCACTTGCGGACACGCTGCCGCAGCTTGTGCGAGTGCTTTGCAACTTTGAATCCCACTCTAGACACATCAACCACCAACGAAAAGCCGTATCTCGTGACGCCGTCCTGGATCAAGGAAGCCAGTCGCATCAAACGGCGCGTGACAACGAATGGAGGTGCAGACAACGGCCTGGTTCACCATTTAGTTCAGTTTCTTCTTCCAAGGGTAAAAGAACGAAGAAGAAAATTTAACATCGAGGACGATGATGAAGATCTCGAGGTATGTTTGCAGGAGGATGTAGAAACTCTTTGCTTTTACGAAGACGATTCATTCGTGTTCATTTGGGACGGCATAAGACGTTCGAGGAGGGCATTCACGATGATGGACCATGTTAAAGAGTTGCTACCAGAGGCGGTAAAATCACTAAGTCAAGGATCACCTAAAGCATGGTTAAGCTCGTTGGGTGAGATGACCGACGAAGTCTGCCAAGTTTTACTACTTCGTCAGCGAATCATGAACATCCCAGTCTTGGTTCTAGAACTTGCATCGGACCATCCACTTTGGAAGTCAACTTGTTATATCGAGGGAAGAGTACCTACGCGATGAATTATACATAACCTCGACATTCACAATCCCACATAAGGGATGCGTTCAAGCATCATTAGGCTTCTTACATATTTTGTACCGCTACGCCACGGATTTATAAGCTTATGAAGGAATATAGTAACCGGAACGTTCAAATTCAAAAGTCGGTTAAGACTTACCTAGGTGGATGCGATGAAACCTACGCCCGAGTTCCTTTTATTATCTTTATTACTCACATCCCTTACATCTAAGATACCTTAGGTATTCGCGCATACAAGTCTCCACATCTGAACTATTTAACGCGAATTGTCATCTTCGACTGTTACTGATAGAGTCTCGTCTCGGAAGGCTATCCCGATGAAAACGGAACCCTGCCGCCAAGTTCTCATCCATCCAAGTGACTACTTAATCGTCATCCCTTGAAAGCCGACTGGGGCACAGTACATAGCCCTAACCCCTTACGAGTTAATGGAAACTGTAAACCACCAACAGCGCCCCCCTTTCTAGCCAATCAGACTCGGAAACTTCTATACATCCCTTGCAGACTCTTGTTTCTCTAAAGTCACACTATGCCCCGGAACAAGTACTAGTCATCTCACTTCCTCTCAACCTTTTATTTCTCAGGCATCATAAGCAAAATGGCTTCACAACCAGCCCAGCTTCCAAGCACGTACAAGGCGCTACAATACCCATCCTCCACCGCTCCACCCATAATAGTGACACTCCCAACACCCGCAGTAGACTCCGGCTCAGTCATCATCAAACCGCTGTATAACTGGATCGTCACCTACGCAGCCAACGTCTACGGCAAAGGCAACCCGCGCCAAGCGCCCGTAACCTTCCCCATCATCGGCGGGTCCAATGTCATCGGCCGCATCGCCGCCATACCCCCCGATGCCACCACGCTTAAAATCGGGGATTTGGTTACCGTGGACCCGCAGATCAAGGCCCGGGATATTACGTACTTACCCGTGCTAGGACATCTCGGACTCACGTATCCGGGGACTTGGGCTGAGCTGGTTAAAGTGCCGTTGGAGAATGTGTTACGCTTTAACGAGGATAGACTTAAGGGGCTGGGGGTTGGTATTAGGGATTTGGCGTTTGTGCAGCAATGTCTTGTGGGATATGGGGGGTTGAGGGATGTTAATCTTACGGCCGGGGAGACGGTCCTGGTTACGCCCGCGACGGGGAATTTTGGTGGCGGCGCGGTACATGTTGCGCTTGCGATGGGCGCGCGGGTTATTGCTATGGGTAGGAATGAGGGGATCTTGGAGGAGTTGAAGGGCCTTGCACCTGGGAGGGTGGAGACTGTTGTTATGAGTGGGAGTGTGGAGAGTGATGTTGCTGCTATTACTAAGTTTGGTGTTATTGATGTGTTCTTGGATTTGACGGGGATTGAGGCAACGAGTACGGCGCATATTCGTGCTGGTATTTTGTCGGTGCGGCCTGGTGGACGGGTTAGTCTTATGGGCCAGGTGGCGGGTGTGGAGTTGCCGTATACGATGGTTATGTATAGGCAATTGACTATCAGGGGGACTTTGATGTACACGAGGGAACAAGCTGAGGATTTGATTAAGTTGGTTGAAACTGGTGTGTTGAAGTTGGGTCCTAGTGCTGGCCAAACGATCAGGGGTATCTACAAGTTGGAGGATGGGGCGGCTGCCGTTGAGGCTTCTAGAAGGGAGGCTGGAGCTGGAAGATGTGTCTATATTGTCTCGGATGAAGAGTACCTGGCATATAACGGGTCATGAACGAATGGAGATCTGGGGCTAAGCAGGCATATTTATATTATCCCTGAATAAAAAGGCATGTTGAACCTTGGAACTCGAAACCTTCATCCTACTCAATTTAGCAAAGAATTGCGAGGAAAGAATTATCTTAATTGTAGGCTATTCAGAGTTAGTTACCTCTGGAAGAAAAGAAATCAAAACGGCAACTGTACAAGCAAATGGCGAGATGCTTCACGCTGCTAGTAACAATTTAGTGGCTTAGGTACTTGTCAATTTCACCACATTCCGGTATTGCACACCACCAGCCCAAACCCGCGCGATATCCCGAGTATTCGAAATATTCACCAACGGGTTACTGTTAAGCAGGATTAGATCCGCGCGCATACCGGGCCGAATGGCACCTCTATCGTTCAACCTATGCACCGTCGCAGGCACAATTGTCGCGGCGCGTAAAGCTTCAATGGGGGTCAAGCCGATATCGACCAAGTTCACCAATTCCTGGTGTAGCGACTCGCCAAAAGGGAAGTAGACCGCGGGGACTGTGTTACCAACGGCGTCCGTCCCGGCTAGTATCGGCGCGCCGATTTGATGTAGATGCTTCACGTTCGCGGTTACGTCGTCGTATGATGAATTGGCTGTGTTATTACCCCGTAGAAATGCGATGATCTCCGGTTGTACGAAGTATGCGCGGCGGAAGATTTCGACTGTTGGTGTAGCGGCTAGACCGTGTTGTTTGATTGACTTGAAGACGCAGGGAGACAATACACCGTCGTCGGGAATGTGCTGCAATACGTCCGTTTTTGCTGATACTGCTTCCGAGTACGAGGATACGCTCGGCGCATGAGTGACGACGAAATGGCCTAAGGAATGCGCGTATTCGACTATCTGATTCTGCTGTTCCTGGGTTGGCCCTCCAACGGCACCTACGGTTTTGAAGAAATTGGATCCGTTGCCGAAAGAGTAATCGACGAGAAAGTTGGGATCCTCGCCAGGAGTTAAGCGTAGCTCGGATGGTATCGGGTTAAGCTTCGTGTTTCCTCCGGAAGGTCCTAGGGCCGGGAGCATTGTAACGAATAATGAAGCAAGACCTGGGTTTGACTTGAGCGAGTTACACAGGTCGTAATTGGGGCAAGCCATGTTGAAGATGGTTGTGACACCATAGGAAGTCATATTCTCCAAACCTTCGACGGATTGGACGTGTGCATGTGCATCGATTAAGCCTGGGATAAGGATGCGATTTTCGGCGTCGATGATTTGCTGGATATTCTCATCATTGTCTGTGATGTATTCGCCGTCGATAATGACCGTTTGGGGTCTACCTATCATGTTGCCATCGAAGACTCGTACGTTTTGGATGGCGGTTTTGACAGGAGCTGGCACGTCTCTCTTGCGAAGGGCGTCCTTTACATCTCGTAGTTCGGGTACTTGGATGTGCTCGTGAAGACAAGCTTTCGATCCATCGAAGAGGATGAGGGCGATAGAGACGAAGTGTTTGAATTGCATCTTGTCGTGAGATCCCGGAGAACGCTAGATGATGAAAGTCAATAGCACAGAGAAAGAAACCACTGCGATTCACAACACATTATATACCTAATCTTGGAGCACGCCATCCAGAGGATATCTAGGATCAGGAATGGCATTTGGACCTATGCATAGCCGGATGTGAAGTTCCAATTTGGTTGAAGCCATATTGTTTGATGGCGAGATGAGTTACATATGAAGATCCGCTTCGTACACTAGACCTGAAGAGTAGAGAATATAAGTATGGTACTCGGGTTTCTCGGGACATTCGTGGCTTGGTTATTACGTTGCCGAAATCACGAACTCCTTGGGAATAAATATCACTGATTGATGAAAGATGGAAGAGAAGATGGTAGCCCCTTATGAAGAAGCTGATATCTCAGCTGAAGCCAAGGCTTGATGAATAATTTGGGGGTTTACAGGGATACTCGTACACTAGACCCCAATAGGCTTAGATTGTCGGCAGTGTTTCAATGCAGATCTATCGGCGGGGAGCAACTAAAGGACCTAGACTCGAACCTTAACAGCAGTAAACTCCTTTCTAGCATCATTAGCGAGCTAAGGAACCTAGCTTCTCCAAGAACAAGATGGATCATCTATTGGGGGATTTCAACGAGGATTCCATCGTTTGTTATCGTTATCGATGGTGGAAGGTGGCGGAAGCACTGAATCGCTCCGGTGTCCGAGCCTTGTCGACTTTGAAACCGACAAACGGAAACCAAGACTTGAAAGATGTGAACGATTAAATGAATTCCTCACCTATCGTTATTCATCGACACGTCTCATCACACAGCAATTGATAGTATTTCCAGGCTGGGTATTATTTTGAGTGGAATTGTTATGGCGACTGCTCAGAATAAAGAGCGTCGAAGCGGTTCTCGACAATTTCATAGGAAATCCCGCAATAGCTGTCTAACCTGTCGAAGGAGACGCGTCAGGGTAAGAAACAGCCAGAAACAGCCATAATACAGGCCACTTCAAGTAAATATAGGTGCTGACTAACCACCTAATCTAGTGTAATCTGCAGCCACCTATATGCGCCAACTGTCATCGACGTAATGAACATTGCTCTTATCAAGAAGAGACACGAGACCTAAGTCCTATTCTTCTCTCAAATTCACATTTAAACAGTCATACACGGGCGCAACAGTCCGCTCATATACCGTTAATATATAAAAACTTCGATTTCATTCTCAATGGCTTTCAAGTTGAAACCGATCTATATAGATCTGGGCAGGATGTCGTGGGGGCAAGTTTTAGCCCGATAACTGGTGTTATGGAAAAGACATTCTTTCTATCCTGGCTATCAATCATCGAGAAGGTCCCTATCGCTCAGAAAGCATCTCTAGCCCGTGAATTCGGCTACCAAGCAAGTACTTTCCAATACGTCTACCGAACAATCACAGCGCTCTATGCCCTTCATGAGTGGTCTCAAGATACACCAGGTACCAACCTATACGCGGCCGCCTATCAATACCATATCGAGGCATCAACTTTATTCAGGCATACACAGGTCGAAGTGAACGAAGCTAATTGGATTGCGGTCTTGGTATTTGCGATTGGCGTTATTGTATTCCAATTCGCTGCAACTCTAAAAACGCCTGATTCAGTAGACGATTACTTCGAATTACTCTATGTGTTGCGCAACTCCTCCGACTTAGCTATCGAGCTAGCACCTTATCTTCGTACGAGCCCGTTAATGCAACTCATCGAACCTCATTTGAGTCGACTCAAATCACATTTAGATGACTTCACCTGGAATGCGGTATGCCGTCTTGACTCGCTCGAATACCCCGCAGACACGACCGAGGAGACGAGATGTGCCTGCCAGCATTCAATTGCAGTGTTGAAAGAGTGGGTAGTCAAGGTTGATGGACATCCAGGGAGCTGGCGCGACTTCATGGATTGGCCAGCTGCTGTTTCGGAACCGTACCTTGTAGCGCTTTCACAGAAGCACTCGGTGGCGCTCGTCGTCTTCGCCTATTGGTGTGCTATTATGCACCGTAGTCCGAGGCGTTGGTACACGCTCGGCTGGGCTGAAAGAGCTGCGGACGCAGCTATGAGGTACTTAGGGGAAGAATGGGATTCTATCCTCGAGTTCCCCCGGACTATACTGTCGAACGAACTCCAGTACGGCGAATCGCCAACGCCTACGCTTATAGAAGCATAGGTACCTAGGTACCTAGGCTCCACGGATAGAATGGCTCATAGAATAAATTTTCGTCTTTATCACCTAAATCGTATCCCACGACCGTATAGATTTCGATAAACGTCCGACAATTCGCGAAAAAAAAACCCCAATCAAAGCGATATCTAAAATCTATAATGAATCCAGTTAGTGTACAATTCCCTATACCCTTAGACTAATCCGGCTTTCTTGCCGAGGTAGGGATCTTATTACTGATCTATCTCAAGTTAGGTAGGTGACAAATCTCGCAAAAAAAGACTAGTTGTCAGATGGGGTGGTAGTATCGCGCATTCAACCCCATTCATGGGGGAGTCCTTATAGGTTGGTGGTCAATTATTACCTCTCATAATGCATCCGCAATATTCAGGTCACCAATCGGATTTGGGCATCTATCCATCGTGGCGGCCTTGCTGTCTTAGTCGGACTCTTCAGACGGGACGGCACGCTCTACTAAGTGAGACATACATAGGTATCGTCAAAGTACTGCGCTTTGCTTTTTCTGCACTTTAGTGCACAATTTCCGACACCAATCCTTGAAATTGTGGCTTCGCTTGGCTTCGGATCTCAAGAGCTTGCGCCAATCAATATAGACATGACTATCTACCGAATTCCGTTGCTTTGGTCGCTCCTCAGTCTCGTCTCCCATGCTCGAGGGCAAAGTCCGGAAGTATGGGCCACCTTGAATGTCTCCGTTGGGGGGCGTCTCCATACGAACCGACCTTTCGCGTTACCATGTTACTCGCTATATAACGGCAGCGCCGTTACGACTGATGAGGCGGTTTGCTCCGTCATCCGCGAGAATTACACCACCAATTCGCTTGTCGCAGAATATCCTAATGGTTATATGAATTTGCAGGGTGAAATGTGTCTTGGGAATCCGTTGGATCAATGCACCTTGAATAATGCGCAACTCCCAGCAACGGAACCTTCCCCAGGGGCTTCGTGTAACCAAGGAAGTGTCCCCTCGTACTACATTGAAGTCGAGGAAGTAGACGACATTCTCGCCTCTTTTAACTTCACCCGAGAGTACCAAATTCCGTTGGCCATCAAGAATTCCGGCCATGATTATATGACTAGGAATAGCCAGAAAGGTTCGGTGGCTCTTTGGGTGCATAAACTTCAAGGCCTTGCGTATTACGATGATTTTGTGCCCGAAGGATGTGCGGCGAAATTTAGCGTTGGTCGTACTATCACCGCGGGTACTGGGGTTAGCACGAATGATATACACAACTTCGCATATAAGCACGGGAGTACTTTTGTTGGTGGTTATTCACCGACAGTTGCCGCATCCGGAGGTTGGGTTCTCGGCGGTGGGCACAGCGTATTATCACCAGTCTACGGTCTCGGCGTCGATCGGGTGGTGGAATTCAAGATCGTTACACCGGATGGAATTGTTAGAGTTGCCAATCAATGTCAGCACGAAGATCTTTTCTGGGCTTTACGAGGAGGAGGCGGTGGGACATTTGGAGTCGTTCTGGAAGCTACGCACCGAGTCGAGCCCTCAATGCCTGTCGCAATCGCCAGTATTAAGCTGCCGTCCAACGGCACAGCCGAGACTTCATTAAAGTGGATCGAATTAATGGCGCGGCAATCCTTAGTCTGGGGTAAGCAGGGATGGGGAGGGCACGCGGGTGGCACGTATCTAACTTATATGAACCCGACGCCAACTATCGGTAACTCAACCGATGGAGGTGCCGCCGCCAAGGACTCTATGAAAGCTACTACTGAGTTTGCGCTTAGTGTTGGAGGCACCAGCGTTGTAGAAGTCCTACCTAGTTTCCTCGACGTATGGAATAAGTATGTGTTACCTGGGGCTCTGACATCAGCCGGGATAACTCGTGTGTTAGCGACAAGACTTATTCCAAAAACATTCTTCGAAGACGATGCTGGAATTACTAGATTGGCGGATTTCATGGTAGCTGCACAGGAATTAGGCTTCGATCCACGGAACTTTTACTGTCCGGCTGATACCCCCTTTGTCGCGGACGCTGCAGTGCAATTAAAATCGGACAATAACACTAGACCTACGACGTCTGTCCACCCCGCATGGTATAATGCTCTTTGGGACGTTTCTACTAGCCTAGCGATTCCATGGGGCGCCTCCTATGCGGAGCGATTGCAGAATATGACGGCAACGACGAGAGCGACGATCCTCGCGGAGAAGCTGACCGGTACTAACGGAGGAAGTTACACAAACGAAGCCAACCCTTTCACACCCAATTGGCGCGAGTCATGGTGGGGCGACAACTATGCCGATCTTCTCGCTATTAAGAAGAAATACGATCCAGAGGGGCTATTGAAGTGCTGGAAGTGCGTTGGCTTCGAGGATGAAGACGTGTCTAGTGAAAGATTCAGCTGCCAAGGAAAACTGCAATTGGACGTCGACCGCAACATAGCGGATACGGCGTAATAGTCTTTATTCGAAGCTAATTTAATGCCGTAAAGACAAATTTTTACGATGTTTTTCTAAGGGTCAAGTGAGTATTTGGTATTGGTATGGGTATGCATCGAGTTAAGACGTAGGCTAACTAAGAACATAGACTTAAGCCGAATAGTTGAAGATGTTGTATCCGACGTCATTGTGTTGCAAGTCATTGAGTCCTAATACGTTTCGGCGACATTTTCCTTCTACAGCAATTGAGGTCGGATTAATTACGAGATGATTTTATCTCTTTGGTAAGACGCTGCGAGGACGTCGCATCACCTGAGAATTCCAACGGTCGCTAAGCCTCGCCGTGCTGAGTAGCTAATGACAAAACATATAGCTCAATTCGAAGATTTTCGTAAAACCATCGAGTTGTCAACCTTTGTTCGGAAGTCCTTTGAATGTTGTGTAGCCCAGGTGACATACGCCCGAAAAAGACCCAATAAGCGTGTTATACGAACTAATGCAGAACAACACCCAAGTCATCCTCGTGAAGAAAAGGCGCTAATTAACTATTCGTTATATCTAATTGCAGATTCTTGGAAACGGCTATTAGGATCAAGTCATGATTGGATGCTTATCGTCTGCGGCTCTCGTTCGATCACGATCATACTAACCGAAGCTAACTTAAGTAGCTCAGGTTTAGGGCGAAGTTGGGCTGAGCTGAGCTCAGCGGAAGCAGAGAAGAACGGGAGAAAGAAACGCTAGGGCTGAAAGGGAACTAAAAGTTCGTATTCCTTACTCAGTACCGAATCCTTATTGAATGAGGGACTAATGATTAGTATATCCTGATATTTACGTTCAATAGGTAAGCCCAGCTTCAAACTATATACGAATTAGAAAGCTTAACATTAGGTAAAAGTGCATCTCGTGATGTACTTGATGGAAAGTATAAGAATGTCGCCAACATCTGCATCAACTCGAAATTATCACCACCAGATACTCAGCCAAGCATCACACGACGTATTAATACAGCATAATTTTATAGTATACTTACTGTCATTCAATCTTAATACATCGTCAAGATGAAGTTCACCAGCGCTATTCTCTTCGGTCTTGGCCTCGCCGCCAGCTCTTCCGCTCACCCTCTTGAAGGTCGCGATGTCCAAGTCGCACACCTCACCTTCCACGGCGGTCCGGCTTCCTACGAACTTGCCGTGCCGGCTGACGGAACCGTAGTTCCTACTAGTAAGACACTTCAACCCTATACTCTTAGTTTCGTGACTAACACTATTTAGACAACGACATCTCGGTCAGCATCATCGATGCGCCGGACTACAACGCCATTAACCAATGCACGTTCAATACAGCGGGCGAAAAGGCGCTCGTTAGCAGCATTGACACTCAGTCCGGCCTTCAGTCCATCGTGGTAGGACCGCCGCAGCCCATTATTAGTGTTAGCTGCCAGGGCTCTTGCGTCCCGACCTACGGAGACTGCTTCTCCAATGGTCAATATGAGGGACCGTGCTGCAATGGTTTCTGCGCTGCTGATAAGTGCCGCCCTTGGAACATTACCAGCACTGTCCCCTGAAAGACGGGACTGTTAGAGTACTAAGGGATTTCGCTTTTCTTGATGAGAAAAATTTATGAGTTAGGTTGGAAATGGGTAGGAAAAGGGTTGGGTTGGGTTTGGATGAGGGTTTGATTAGGTGTTCTTTTCGTTGTATATGATAACATAGCAAGTGAACACACCGATTTTCGCACGACCTGCAAGCCTTATTGGGATATATGTGAATGAATCGTGTATTATCATGGGCCTTTTGTATAATTATAATACAATACCTACCTAGGTAGGTACGGGTCCGCTCGCTTAGTTCCGATAGACTAAAATAAGCCACGAGACTTATGAGCGCACTAAAATAATCCACTGCATAGCTGCCGGCTGGGCATGGTGCTTGTTAAGGTTATCACGTGAGCATGATTGGGTTCATCGCCAATTTGATTCAATCACCTATACCAAACCCATTATAACTTTCATGTGGTAATCCCTGATGTTCAGCTATACGAAATTCTAGGATTTGTATACGGAAAAGGGGCAGGGTTTCAAGCTGAGGCTATAGCTGATGAATAGTGGAGGAGGAAGCTATGGGTCTCCTGGCTAGCCTAGCATCTTTATTGGGTGCACCCCATATTAAAAGCGGGCTATGCCTCCCCCCAGGGGCGCCTTGTTTAAGGTTGTTTAGTTGACTTATTTAGTTGACAGCAGGCCCCTGAATCTGAACCTAAACCCCTACCCAAATATTTATTCTGTCTATTTTGTACCTCTAAATAACATGCGTAAAATATGCACAGATACTAACTTAGTATATTCATATAACCTACCTCAAAAGAAAAACCATCAGTATAATGACCTTAGTAGAATACGGCAAGTAGATCGTGCGCCAAGAATTTGTTTAGAGGATCGTAACTAAAACGCTAAGTCGCTTGTCATTACCATGTCATCGTGTGAGACCCGCCCTGTCGGCCGTCGGCAGCATGCCGACGCTCCCAACTGATCAAATAATTCCCAAACCCGACATTGGAGATTGTCTTATAACCAGCTGTTATAGGTTTCAAGGCTCATAAATGCTACCTAAGAAATAATATTCGGTTCATAGCCGCACGACAGCGTGTGATGAAACTGGAGACGAAGGCGACTAGAACACTTGGCGAATCTTCTAAGAGACATTAGTGAATGACTTGGCAGGACTTCGAGGAGGCTCTCACAGAACCTCATAGCGTTGTAAATGGGTATATATAGCTGTGCAAGATGGCATCGAAATTCCAATTTGAGTCTCTCCATCCACAACCTGTTCTCTTCAACCACAATCCACTACAACCAATCCTCGGTGCCGGTCACCTTTTCAATTCTCTCTTCTTGACGCGGTATTAGTTCGACATCTCTTTTGCATCTTAATCACTTTCAACTTCTGCTATCTCATATCTTCTATTCACACCGCAAAAATGCAGTTCACCAAAGTCAGCATCTTCATGAGCCTCTTGGCCGTCAGCGCTGTTGCTTGTGAGTACTCTCCTTTACCTACTTAAATCAACTGCTTGACTGGTACGGCGTACTAACGACATACCACAGCTCCCTTAGCACCGCGACAAGCAAGTGTGGATGGTCAGGCCTGTACCGACGGGACATTCGATGGTACATGCAGAGCTGACGGCCGCTGTGGTTTGGAAATCCCTCCTAACGAGGTTTCCTTCCGAAACATCGGCGGACAGTGCGGCCTAGCGGAAAACAATAGCAACCCTTTGGCTGGATTGTTCGGTGGTAATAACAATGCCAATGCTGGCAACGCTAACACCGGCAATGCCGCTACCGATGACACCACTGACGACGCTGCTACAGGCGCGTCGGTCGATGGCCAGGCTTGTACCGACGGGACATTCGATGGCACCTGCAGAGCCGATGGCCGCTGCGGCCTCGAGATCCCTCCTAATGAAGTTTCCTTCCGACAAATCGGCGGCCAGTGTGGTCTGTAAGCGATGGATCAGAATTGGATGGAAAACAAGAAGAGCACATGATGAGGAAAGGGGTTGAGAATACTGTGTCATTTAGAGTTGCCTGGTGCTATTAATTCAGTGGATTGTGGCTTGTGGTCAAATTATCGTCCTTTCTAATGCGTTCGTGAATTACGTGGTGCTTTGAGATTGCGTAAGCTACCCGGTAGGAATCGACTAGATCGAAAAACTAAACGAAACAACTTGATCGACAATTAGAAACTTGATTTATGGTGGATCTTGGTTAATACGAGGTATAATAACACATCTTAATAGTATCTAGTTAAGGCATGAATGATTACGGCATGGGTACATGGATAGGTAACTTGATCATGGTATTTTATATAGTATGTATGCCTTATAGGCAAATTCGATGCCAATACTGCTGTTAGGTTTGTTGATACACGCAAAAGGAAAACATGACGGCTAATTATATACACGGGCATGCGCTGAATGAATGTGTGGTTTCTTTTAAAAGAGTGTGGTGGGTTTCGTCGCTCCCTACACCCCGATTGTTCTCAGCTTTAGCCTTAGACCCCAGAATCTTCTTGTCCGATGCCCTTGTCACTCTGGAATGATGACCATGACGAGCAGGTGTCTGTTAGAGTATCCGCATCAGTTATACCTGCAATCTCGTCGTACCTCTCTATAAACTGCAACGCGAACCCTTCACTAGTATGCCAGCCAATGTGACACTGTACGCGCAATATTAGTATATGAAGATAGAGACGACACGGAAACTGGATGGGTTCTTTGCTTACATGCATAAGCCAAACTCCAGGGTTATCCGTTTCAAAGGCAAGAACGAGATATCCGCTGGCAGGCATCACTGCGGTGTCTCGGCGAGGAGGGTTGTCCAAGTTGAGGGTAACATCGCTGGAGTATGTGCCGGTGCCTTGCGCGAGAACGAAGAAATCGTGACCGTGGAGATGGATTCTAGAGCTTAAATTGGTATTGATTACTTTAAAAGAATACGTGGGATTACTTACGGGTGAGGGGCAGCAAGTTCAGTATCGACGACTAGGTATACCCACTCGTTCGCGGCGGATACTTGGATGACGGAGTCATCGGTTTCAAATTCGGTCACCTCATCAATAACTTGTAAAAGAGTAGGATTTGCCCAATCGACTAGGAAAGACGTGCTGTTCAAAGTCCACTTAAAGAGGCCAGCGTCCGTAATCGCGATGCCGGCTTCTTCACTAGTGGAGAAGTCACCGTTTCCCACAGTCTTGCTGATATATGGGACTAAGTTTGAGGTCTCGTCTGTGCAGGAATCGGTGTAATCGTAGCCCGTCGTTGTCGGCTCCGACACGGTATCAGTATAAGACACGATGCCACGAATATTATCCGCATTTTCATTTTCAGAGCAGGCGGATTGAGGAATAGCTCGCATCCAAAAGTTGTCTGCAACGGAAGCTCTAAAGTTTTGGTAGTTAGCTAAAGATCCTTCACAACAAGAATATTAACTGTTCTTGAGATTTGTCGAGGCCAAAGCGATGGATTTGGATGGAAAGGCGACATATGCTTGATATACTTACTGATCAGCTGTAACGATGACATCGAGACGTTGTCCTTCTTTCGGTTAGCGACGAATTGCATAAATAACAGTACGTTTTACTTACCAATAGCAATATCAACTATGTTTGTAGTATAGGGTTGGACCGGTATAAAGTCAGCTGCAATGACTTGCATCGTATGGTTGTCGATAGAAAACTTAAAGAAGGTATCGATAGCTCCGTTAACGAGTCTCAACCGATAGGAGGTTCCGGAATTGAAGGATACTTGGAACCTTGAACCAGTATCATTGTACACATTGGTACCATTAATGAGTCCATTGTCTAGGGTCGGAGGACCAGTTGTTTGGGCACTTTCCCATAGTTCATCCACCGTCAAGTGGTCCCAGTCCGAGAGGAACAATGTTCCAAGGTCCTCGTCATAGTTCGCAGTAGCTGGGCCGTTGATAATCATACCTCCAGCTATGCCCTCCCAAGCTTGAAGTGCGAAGTGCGAGTGATACCAACTCGACCCGTACTGTTCTGCTTTCCATGTGTATGTCTTCGTTTCTCCAGGTTGTTGAGGGCACTGTGTAATGGAAGCAACTCCATCATTCTCGTTGGTGAAGTTCTGGCGAATACCGTGAAAGTGAATTGCTTTAGTTATTAAATTAGTCTTGATTACCATTGACTATAGAAGAGAAGGTAACGCAAATGGGCATATATATGAGCGAGGTCCGAGATTTTTAAACACGAGAAGAGGTTATAAAATAGGCAGAGGGAATCTTCAATACAACCACACCACGTAACATAAAGTAGAGCCAAAGGCATGAGAGGTAACCTACATGTGCCATTGTTTGACGTTGTCAATGAGTTGGTAACATGGACAACTACTGTGTCACCCCAGTCCGCAATGATAGTAGGTCCTGGGATGGTACCCTATAGTATAGACTTAGCGAAGATTTATGATTATACGTGATTTTGAAGAGGCACGTGGGGTTAGGTAGGAAGAAGGATTAAGGAGTATCAAGGTCTCGCTACCAGACTTACGTTTATGGCCATCGCTGTACGAGAAACTCCATCCGGGGCGACGGTCACGTCGGTTAACTCAAGCCAATACTCCCTGGTCACTCCAGTATCGGGCACCTCAGTGGTATAGTCTGTGTCGATGGAAAAATCACACCATTCGCTTCTAGTCGTTGCGGTGTTTCCTGAGCATGCTGCTCGGGGGAATAGATTCACTGAATGAGAAAAGGGGGACGCAACCGCCGTGCTACACAACAACGACAGCGCAATAGCAGATAACTTCGAAGCGAACATATTGTAATCAATCCAGTAACGACTGGATCTTTAGGGTCAAAATTGAGCTAAAGAACGGGTGAGGTTATTCAGGCTCAGGCAAGCCTCTAAGCGACTGGAGAATAGCAAAGAACGACTGTGGTTTCCCTCTTGTTTCCTGTCATCACGTACGAGACTGGTCAGCCTTTATGTTCAACATGAGTCCTACTAGATTAGACTTGCCGACTATAGGATAAGACATCGTGAGACTTTTGAATCGTCATGGCTGCTCCCGAAGTAACATTGTCGTATTGCATGGAATCCTTAGAAAAAAAATACTGCAAAGGGCCTGCAATCAGACCATAGATCCACCGTCTTCCCGTCACACCAGCGTGACCCCTTGAGCAGCTGAGGACATTCGCGCGAGTTGAATACTATTTCGTATCGCTGAGGTACGCGTACATCCAGGGCACGAGGTGAACCGCGCAAGCTGTGGAGCTATCATGGCTTGCATTTGATGAGCTGCATCCTTCGTGGGACCCTCGAGCCGCGCTGCCGGCGATATCACCGGAGGGCACGTTTCATGAGATTTTGGACCTAAAAGCCTAGACTCCTTAAGATGTGTAGTATTATTGACGGGTCGGAGTCCGTGATATTGTGGGCACATAGCCACCTATATGGATCGATGGGCGGCGGCTAGACGCATCATCGTGCCCATGGCGCTCGCATTCTGCATGACCATCAGCCCCAGAGATTACGAAATATTTTGTAAGCCTCATAAAGGCTAGCTGATTATCTTGATCAAAAGATCTTAGATAAAATCTTTGGCATCAAAGCATCAAAGCGGCGCGCGCGCCACATGGTCGTACCCCTGATCGCGTTAATATCTGCCGAGGCGGGCGGTCGTATACTATGTCAAAATACCCACCCCATGAGTGATTACGCGTTGCTGCATGGGGCCCTGCGAATAACCCGTACCCGGACCCTCCCACACCCCCGCGCCGGCCCACTGACCGAATAGAGAGGCCAAGGCCGGAATGACATAGTTTATTTTTGGTTGGTCATCTATTCAAGGAGAGATGACGAATCTATGTTGAAGGTAGGAGGGAGTTCGAGGGTATGAAAAGAGCGTCGGGCGTCTTGATCGATGAAATTTGGACCAGCACCAACGGTCGAAAAAAAAAATATCGGTTGATGGTTGATCGCTTCTCAAAATTGCACTAAAGCCTGTCGTTACCTTGTCAAAAGATCTTCCATTCTCCGCAAAATAAACTACATTGCACTATATCGTACCAAAGATGCACGCTTTACAGAGCCTCATTCTGCTGGGCCTCCCCATGGCCATAGTTGGGTCCCCAACTGAGCGACGGGCACCAACATCACCCTTCGGACTCTACGCTTATGGTGATGGCATCGGAGGCTCCCCTGTGTTTACGACTGGCGGTAAGCCAAATCTTAAGATCTTAATATTAAGCTAATCTTAATATTGTGGACAGACGGCGCTTTCATCGGCAAGGCTTCTGAAGTCGGCAACACTGAAGCCGCCCCTGTGGAGTGTAAGCCATGCCAATACCTCGTATAAGTTTCCGTGCTGACCTATTGCATAGTCGAACTTAGCTCGGACAACTCCTTGGTTGGCAATCCGAATACCACCACCGGTGATAGTGCACCAACATGGTCAAACCTCACGTTCAACGTCCCCGATTCGACATCTTCTGGCCACCAAGTCGGATTTACCAACTCCACGTCTGACGGTGATAGATCGGTAACGAACTTTGTCTTTTACGGACAGTTCCTATTGTACAAGAACACCGATGGATCCCTCAAGTCGTTGTGGTATGCTGTTCCCTCCGACGAAGATGGTGTCTGGACCCTTAACTGGAACTCGACTGGGGATGAGAGCGACGGACAGGTGATTGTTTCTCTGAGGGCTATTCCGCCTTCCAAAGATGTGGATCAAAAGTAGTGGCCGATTCGTGCATTGGCAAGTCATTCGTTAAGTCGTGTTGAAGGTGTTTCTAGAGCCTTAGGTACCTCATGGGTCAAATGTTTTCTACTTTCTATCCTTCACCATGGGATACGCGCACACCGGGGTATCCATTTTCACACTGAATTTCCGTTATTCTTCAGTAGATAGTTCCACTTAGCTTGTCCTTTTTAACGGAGTAATCTAAGATATAGTGGCTTTGAGATGTTAGCAATTTTATTATTGTCGTGGGAATCTGTTTGATAGCTATCTCTCTACAATTAAAGTAATGAGGTATATTCCGTCGGCCCCCTTTACGTACCTACGTACTTAGAATTTTTGGCGCTAGAAAATACGAAGTAGATTAGATGCGCGTGCTCAATTGGGTGCCACTATATTCAGCTCCTAGGTCTGTATTTTCGTTTATTGTTTTTCGTTGTCCGATTGAAGTCTTATTTTGTTGTTATGGCTTAGCTGTCCATTCTACGGCCCGTGAATCTTTCCGTGCATCCGACAAAAAACCCGTTGTTACGCGATAAAGAAAAGCGGAAATAAGCCTCGAAATTGCGATCAGCATAGGGCTGGATTGCTCGTATGTTTGCTGTCGGATTGACCTAGCCGCTGTCATGGCAGGATTGCAGGAAGAAGCGAACGGCATATCGTACGAGGAGCTTGTCGGCGCAAGTTGTATTGTCTTGTACAGGTACCTACATATACAGAGTCTCTTGTGAGTTCTTCAATTTGAGACATGTAATTGGGTATTCTCGGACTTACCTAAATGCTGGTCAACTCTTAAGGATCACCAAAGCTACCCAATACGAGTTTTCTAGAATAACTAGAAGCTTATAGAATATTCTATAAGCTACCTAGGCAATCTAGGTGAGAATTGGCTATTCAAGGTAGGGTTGATCTTGCATGGAAACATCACAGGATGTGATGAGTTTCGACGCCAAAAAAGGGGGGTGACAGAAAAGTAGGGGGCTGGTCGGCTGACAAAGCGTGTACCACGGCATGTAGGACACGCCTTTTGTTAAAAGCCGTCGCTAAAGCCATCGTCAAAGCCACATTACCGGGCAGCAACGCCTTAGGTAGGCCTTCAGCTGCGGCCGTGCTTATATGCATGTCTGAAATGGAGGGTGGGTAGACCAATGGCGGCATGGCAAGGCGAAGATACGAGAATCATAATGATGTGTAAGCACCGTGCAGCAACTGGTGCGAGGGGAACACCGATATAGCCAACCACCGTCTAGCTATTCAAGATGCTTTGGCGCTCAGTTATTTGTGTGTGTGCTACACCAAGACTCATATCGGTCACCTTTTTGATCGCGATATGGAATCACCCAGAGCCATCGGAATCGCTTGCCGCCTATCGCCAAGCCTATCGCTGAAGTTACCATTCTGGGCACGAAAAAATCTCACATTACATCGACGATATTTCGTTCAGGCAGCCTCACTTCACGAGCTGAGAAATCAACTAAGGTCGCAAACTCATTCCAAATCTATCGATTACCAATCCTTCGCTGCGACGCCGAGCCGGGAATTGAATATGAGTTCCAGGTCGAACCATCGAGTCCCCATCGAACCGCAACGTGTTGACGCGCCTTTGACTCAGTCTGCGACGTTTCTCGTGGTAACCATTTCCGAAATCCCGGATGCCACCAGAGTCGTGCGCTCAGTCCTCTCGAGTATCGACGGTTTAGCGAAAAACGTGGCCATCAGAGATCTAGGCGCCGCATTCGCCTGCACGGTTGGCATTGGCAGTGAAGCATGGGACCGCCTAACCCGGCTACCACGACCGGCAGAGCTTCATCCATTCCCCGCCGTTCATGGCCAGAAGCATACTGCAGTCTCGACACCTGGAGACTTGCTGTTCCACATACGATCGGAGAGACGAGATCTTTGCTTCGAGTTCGAGCGACAATTGCTTGATGCTCTAGGCGATGCCGTTGCCGTCGTTGACGAAACTAACGGATTCCGTTACTTTGACGTCCGCGATCTTCTCGGGTTTGTGGACGGCACAGCGAACCCCGTAGGCCCCGCCGTACCGGGCTCAATACTCGTCGCCGAGGAGGATGCGCCCGCAATTGGCGGGAGCTACGTTGTGGTTCAGAAATATGTGCACGACGTCAAATCCTGGAATACGCTCTGTACTGAGCAGCAAGAAGCTATAATCGGACGCAAGAAGCTCGACAATGTGGAGTTAGATGATGCGGCTGCAGGACAGCAACAATCGCACAAGTCGCTTGCTACGGTCGAAGATGAAAATGGTGATGAACATGACATCCTTCGAGATAATATGCCCTTTGGGTCGCCCGGCTCCGGGCAATTTGGGACCTACTTTATCGGATATTCGAGACGGCTTTGGGTCATCGAGCAGATGCTACAGCGCATGTTCGTTGGCGACCCGCCGGGCTTACACGACAAACTCCTTGATTTTTCGATACCATTAACGGGATCAACATTTTTTGCACCATCATCTTATTTCCTGAAACGGTTGGGTGCTGCGGACAATTGAATAACGAATTTCGGCGAAGATCTGCGACTATCAGCCAATAGGTGATTATCTTAGACAGCCAACTTTTCAAGACGATATCACTCGATTACTCAGGTATCTACCAGGTAGGTACCTATTCGAATGCAAGTTGCTTTTCATACTTGAGTGAGCATACCATGGCCCAATCCCGGGGTAAAGATGGTGACAGGAATGTTCTAAGTGGCCATTAAGGTAGATTGGACAACTCAACAAAGCAGGCTGCGCGGGTTTCATTCAACTGTTTCTAGGCTTTCAATCTATGCTGAATCCATGCGCAAGTGTAAAATGATCATCTGGTTCGTTAGGTTTGAATGGCCTTTTAGGTGTTTTTACATAGGTAGGGAGGCTGGGAGGGCATAGCCATTTCTAACCCTCCTATCAAGGGCCACTGGGGCGGGAAGGATGACGACGTTTTATGATCTACGGAAATTATAATATGCTTCAATCCAACCTCTAATTGCGGTATCATTCACCCAATAAGAGCTGAGCCATTATGTAAGCGTACCTGCATCGCCCTGAGGGCGATAGTCGACCTACAACCAGCTTCCCTCCTTAAAAGGCTTGCATTGAACTGGTAAAATTCTTTTTGGTGTTCATACTAGTACCTGATATTCCCTGTTTTCTGGAAATTGCCCTTCATCTGGCTTTTTGAAGTTGTGTCATTTAATTTCTGTCGTTGCGAAATCGCGAACATGAACGACGGCGGGCCGAATCATCTAGAATCGCTTACCCAGCCTTACGACTCCAGGCTCCTTACCCAAAGTCATTTTAGGTTGATCGAACTTATTCCTGGGAAGTGGGAGGACCCTCTGAAATGTAGCCTCGAACAATTTACGCTTGATAGGCCAGTCTCATATAGAGCACTTTCTTACGCTTGGGGCTCTTCGGCCACAACAAGTCCAATCCAAGCCAATGGAGTTGAAATGCAAATAACCAAAAATCTCGAGACGGCTTTAAAAAACTTAAGAGAGGAGGCCTTCGCTGTTACGCTTTGGGTTGATGCTCTAGTATGTATCCAGGTAAATGTAAACGACCAAGGAACTGCAACTGAAATGATCTTCTAGTGCATTAACCAAAACGATCTTGATGAGAGGCAGGCTCAAGTACAGATTATGCGGGACATCTATAGCTGCGCGGCTAGTGTAGTCGTCTTTCTTGGTGACGGAGCTTCTCATTTTACTCCTAGCCATTATCAGCCAGAAAAACCAGCGGATTACACATTTCCCAATGACCTTGAGAATTGTCTTATGCTTGAAGTATTTCTGAGACAGCATGGAACACTGGCGAATGTCTTCGGTAGGGGGTTTGAGCCATTTTGCCTCGTCGCCCTGTTTGCTCAGCATAACAGTAAACATATCGACGATCTATTGGGGCTTGGGGAGAAAGTCTTGCAAGAATTATTCGAAGATCTTCGCATGATGTTGTTGAGTCCGTGGTGGAGTCGCATCTGGGTCTTTCAGGAGGTAAACAACCTCGTTTTTCTAATTGCGTGTCCGCTACCTAGGTTGTTATGAGTCACATAATCCATACGTTGGCCAGATCCCGACTTATACTAACCATAGATGACCATAGATCATTGTTTCTAAGAAGATTTCCATCCAGTACGGCAGTTCCAGTGTTCCATGGGGTGTGTTTAGAAATGCCTCGCACAATATTTACGGCTGCCACGCTACGCAGAGTAGGCGTCTCCAATCCGAGAACCTCAAAGTATTAGATTTGTTCCGGGCGAAAATCTGTGATATTGAGGATGGTCGCAAACGATGGATACTTGGTAGGCATCTGAGAAAGAACAATGCTGGAGCCGGGCTACTTGCCCATTTACGGGACACGAACGGCCGTAAAGCTTCGGATGACCGGGACAAAGTATACGCACTTCTTGGTCTGCTCCCCTATGGCCTTGATATTATGGCCGATTACCACATGACGGTTTCGGATGTTTTTATTCGAACTGTCCGAAATATCATTAGGGTAACGAGAAACCTTGACGTACTTGTGGGAGACCTCGGACGGAAAAACAGGAATGATCTTCCTTCATGGATCCCCGACTGGAGCGCCATCATCCACGACAAGGAAATCCTGCGCTCAAAATGTGTCACTAAAGTGTATAATGCCTGCAAAGATTTGAAGTTTGTTTGTGGATCTACCCTAGCACATGACTCGGTATTTCCTCTGGGATCTTATAGGGAATTTATCTATGCGAGTCTGATACAGAAGACCGTGACTGGGCGAGGAACCTACTTCGTTATACAGCCAGATGAAGACAAGGCTATTCGACTATTGGGTCATTATACACTACCTCAGCCGGAATACAACCTTCAGGTGCTCCTTCGTGATTATATTGAGATACTTTTTGGTCGCCTTAGTGTTACCGCAAGCTATGTTGGCGAAATCATATTCTCTAGCGACCCATTTTATGCTTCCCCAGACATGAAAATGATAGAACAACTTTGTCGCCAATGGGCCACTAAATTGCCCTCGGAATCGGCCGAAAGGCCCTTTATCCCCCAAGTCACTATTGATACACTGAGAGCATTGGTTTTCGACTTGATCTTTGTCGAAGAACGGTTCCGGAGATCCCGTGCCGGTGACGAAATACATTTGCAACAATGGTTCCGGGCCAAAGTATCACCCACTGAGAAAGCTTATGAAGATGTATTAGGGTTTGATGATGTTCTAAGCTTCATGTCCTTCAGGCGACGCCTATTTATGACCGGTGATGGTAAACTCGGATGGGGACCCAACGGCCTACTGCCCGGTGATAAAGTGTTCGTCCTACCTGGCGGGAAAGTCCCTTTTGTCATTCGAGGGGTTGATTGCTCAAAGCCTTGGTCTACGGGGAAAATGATCGGAGATTGCTTTCTTCAAGGCGTCATGGACGGCGAGCAGCTTGAAGATTCTTCTTCAGAGGATCGGGTTGTCGCGGAAGAATGCGCACCTATAATCGCCGAATTCACGGAACCGATTCGCGCTTTATCCGAGAAGCAGAGATTCAAAGAGCATAACGATTCTTCCAGGAGATGGGAGGAAGCGCTCACTAAATTTGCGTCCTTCGCGCAGGAACTTAAAAGCGCTAATAGACAGAAAGGGTTACGCCATCCTTGTGTTCTTTGCTTGGAGTAATATGCGAGGTTGCCGGTCTAGTTTAAGACGCCGTTTCGGATTCGTATGCAGGATTCTCGACAGGCCTTTATATACAACACGACGATTCCAAGCTATGCAACATATATCATTAGATATTTATGTGCGAATACACTCATTTCGGTTGTATGATTCCTCGTTCCTAGAGATATCACGTCTTTAAATAAACAGATGCCGCCCCTTCGCTATGAATAATGGTATCATCCCTCCCCAACCGATGCGCTCAAACCCTAAAACATGTCCTTGAAATGTTGATACACATTACCCCCTACACCTTGAGGTATTGAGACACTGTCGTTGACAGGCGGCCCACCAGCCGGGGTTGGAGGGACATTAGGATTAGTGGTTCCCATGTAGCCTTCGAATATTCGTGAAAACTCGCTTGAAAGTTGAGGTCCGCTTTGGACATTATCAACGGGGGGCACTATCCCCGCAACGGGAGACGGATGTGATCCGTATCCGGAAGCAATGGACGGAGTCGCTCCCATCTGACCTGTAGCTAGGCCGGCCATAGTGAGTGCGGCAGTAGAATGTGGGTCTTGGGCTAGTCCCAGACGGGGAGCTACTTCTCGAAGCGACTTGATGGTGTTCCAAAGCCGTTGTGAGACGAATGATTTAGATGAAAGGTCCTTCACTAACTCGAGGGCCATGTAGAACTCGTTGCGACAGGACGCGCTAAAATTAACAGGAGCGTGGCAGGAGGCGAGGAAAAGTACGGTGATTGATGACAACAGGAATTGGTGGTAAAATATTTGGATCTTCCTATATATGTTGGTTGTGTTGTTGAGATGCGTTAGGTAGCAAATGGTATTTTTCGCGAGCTTGACTGCGCGCTCAGCAAATTGCATATTTTCCATTATGCTGCTATGTGTACGCAGAATAGGGGTATACAACCAGGTACGAATTTGATTTAGACGTAGGTACGTCCAAATTTGCAGTCGCTGGATATCGTATTCTCTCTGCATATGTACTGGAGGATTAAGATACCTAGGGACCGCTTCCCAGTCGGCTAATTCGAGTTGAGTTTCTCGGGGTACTTGGGTATACCATTGTTTTATTAGGCGGTCGAGTTCTTCGATGTCGCCCGGCCGAATCTCCACTATATCAGGATCGAAGTTTCGTACGAGTCGCCATACTCTCGCGCTAAGTTTAGAATATGTAATCATGGCAACTAAATAAGGATGTGAATTCTTTCGACGAAGATTAGCATTGTTATGGCCCGTTGTGTTGATTGATGAAGCATGACGATATCTTCGGTCGGATATCGGGGGCTATCAATGGGTACTCACGGGATATGGTAATTGAGGATCAATTTCTTCATCTGGAACGACATAAGGCAATCCAGTACCAAAAGCCCACCGACGGTCCAAGACGTAAGCCGTCCAAAATGTATTGATCGCATTGTTGCGCTCTTCTTCATCGGTGATTCGGTTAATCACGTCAAGTCGATGAAGCCCCAATTCGAAGCAAAGGCGGGCTACTTGACCCATGGTACGCCAAGCCAGGATCTCGTCACTAGCCAGATAATAGTAACCAGCCTACAGATATTAGCCTCCCCAAAGTTGAAGCAGATGCCGAGGGATAACGAAAGGAGAAGACGGAATACCTAACATACCAGAAGAGCTAATATAGGCATGTTTTTCACATCACTTGGATCGGACATCAACATTCTATCCGTCGTCGATCGGGCGCTCAGGAAAAGCCTTTGGGCTTTCTCGCTATTTCCGTGCTCTTCAACCTGCAAGGCACAGCATACAATAATCTTGAGCAACAAGGTATTACGATCTTTAATTCCACCTTCCTCGCCATATATGCCAGCCATGAAGTTCTTTCTAGCTGCCTCCATCCATGAAGACAGCGTCCGAGCGTGACGAATGACTGTCTCTATTTTAACGACGGGATACATTATTCCGACCTCTTCGTCATGTACACGGCATAATCGAATCAATTCGTCTTTATCGAAGTCCCATAATGGATCCCGAGGAAGTCCACTAGGAGTTGTGGATAATTGCGCCGTTAGATTCGGGGAGGGCGCGGGGCTATCCTGAGCGATACCATCAGGATCACCACCATCGGATGGATTGCTGTAGCCCATCTTATGTAAAGTATTCTTAGCAACATCTAAATTGAATCTGGTACTCGTGGGTCCGCGAAACCCAGGCTGTCGCGCCTGGGCTAGTTCGGCCGGTCTATGTACAGGTGTGATAGAAGGGATCGAAGAGGAAGACGGGGTACTCGAAGTGGATGGTAAGGTATGCGGTCGGTCTTGGATAGGAGCTAAGCGGAAAGCTTCGGATCTGAAGGCATTCATGTTCGCGAAAAGAGTGTCGACTTGGTCTTGTAGATTATTGACCATACTGGCCATTTGCTTGAATTCCTCGGAATCTTTGAACGAATTGGTGCAGCAATTGGGGGCATAAAGGCATTGTAGATTAAGATTACCGCATCGTTGACATGGAGTCTCTCCATTGCATTTGATTTTGCGCCGTTTGCATTCGTTGCTATATGACGATAATTGACACCGGTCAGCATTATGGTGTCCGAGTACGCAGATAGAAAGGAAGACAAAGACATGGACTGACCAAGCTATAGAGATATATCTATTCCTCTTACTTCTCTGTTGGGCAGTGCCTTTGGAACTTGGCGACCCGTCAGTACTACCTTTTCTTTTGGAGCCAGAAGTGGTGGCTACACTATCGCTTCTGCTATTATTATTGTTATTATTTTGTTGCTGCGAGTCGGGCGACACCGGCGGTGCCGAGGCAGGAGTCTCGGCCAGAGTGGTCAAGTATCGCACTTCGTCGACTTGATTGCCGAAGAATTCCATGGTGCCATCCCTTCGAAATATCCGTCGCCTTTTTACGGTTACTAACAGGAATATAATTCGCCGTCGGTAGCATCATGCGCTATTGGGTATTTCGTTGTTGTAAGTTGTAAGTGGGAAGAAAAAAGGGAGGAAGAAGAGCTGACGGTCGCAATCGCGACGGAAAAGCGAAACTGCCCCACTATGGCACTATCGTACCTACCTAGCAACTTAACTTAGGTGTCTAGTGCCTACCGGCAGCGTGTCTAGTGACCCAAGTTGCACCTCCCCAGGTACATGTTAGGGCAAGTGTCATCGAAATATAGTTCCAACCTGTGGATCTGCTAAAGTCCCTAGCTCCTTGTTCAATATCCCGTTACGGCAGTTATGCTGGTCACCTCACAGCTGTGCCACACGAGGTATAAGTTCGTCATTGGCCATTTTGCTTGTTAGTGTAAACTTACTATACTAATCCTTGTTTCTATTCGTATCAAAATAATTAAAACATTAACATAATTGTTAAATCTTTCAAGGGGTATTATTAATTAGTACTTCTTTACTAGGTATGTTGTGGCCGAGTTCCGATAGGTTAGGTTGAAGCTTTTAGTGGCCTTTAGTGATCTTAATGGCCAATGGGGTTCTACCTAAAAGGAACATATCAGTAGAACTCTCAGCTGACTCTAATCATTCGAGTCAGGCATTGACATCTCACTCGTCAATCGAAATCGCAGCTGAGATGGGACTTCGGAGGTTTGTTCCCTGGGCTACCTCGATCTAATCTGGCAGCATCAACAAGATTATCAACGTGGTTAATTACCCTACCTATTAATAGATGATGTGGAGACTCACGATGAGATAAGATTGAAGAAGAATCCAATCCCCAATATCATCGATAATGAAGACTCTTCGCTCGCCGTTTTCGCTGGCCCTTTGTAACAAAATGGGAAAGGAATTGGAGTATCCAGGTAAGTAAGGGGACACGACAGAAATAAAAGCTTCGGATCATACGTAATACCGCTCTTGGCTAACGTGCTAACCCCTAAACTCATTAGGTACAGCAGTCCCTTGACCCTATGACAGCAACCATATAGATGTATCCGAGGAAAGGATTCGATTGCTCTTCTCAACCTAATCACGTTCATTTCTTCTCTGCAAAATCGAAGAAATTACCATTTTCCAAATGCGCAGTCTCATAACCAACATGGATTGTAGACCGACTCATATCAATCCAGTTTGCTTCACCATCCGCGGCCATTTCATTCCACTCCGGGTCCGTAACAAGATTTTTCAGGCAATCAAGGCTAGGCATCCAGTACTCGAGGACGAGGTCAGCCTTGCTAATCTCCCACGTCGGCCTTATCTGACCCAAGATAGCATGGAACGCATCTGCCAACGGAGGAGATCTGTAGTGCTGTGTGATACGATTCTAAGTCAATACGATATACATCTCGTGACTACCTGGGTGGTTGACAGGTACACAAGGTCAACTCACAGCAGCGTATTTAGTGATACCATGCTTCTTCATCAGCGGGACACCATAGGGAAGATGCTCTTCTCGAAACCATTTGACGAAGGCTTCCTCGGAAACACCCTCCTTTCGGTAGTGCTCGAGTGTATATTTGAAAACCTTCTGATCGGACATGATTGAGTCTAATACTATTGATTCAGTAGATGACTGCTATATGGGTTGGTGCGCTGGTTAGCTAGCGAGTTCGAATCTGTTAGCAGCTCCCCCACCTTTTATGCTTGGATACTTACCGAGAGACACAAGCTGAAGTATCACAACGTATTAGAGAGAATCTACCTGATTCGTCCGTAAGTTGTGAACGAACGTTAGACGTAGGTTACCTTGGACAGGTGGTGTGCTTGTAGCCCTTGCATTAAAGTACTGGGCAACAAGACATTACTGAGAAGTAAGACCGTGTCAAAACTCAGCTATTCCCACAGCCTTCCAGTCAATACGTACCTAGATAGGTAGGTATGCCTACGTCAATAAGATGATCGAGGAATAAAGATTGGCCTCTGGGAGTACTAGCTTCACGACGGAGTCTCTTTAGTGATACCAATATACCGACGTCACCCCGGATTCTTTGGATCCTCCGTGCAACCCGAAGGCCTGCATAAGGGAATGCCTTGTGGCATTCATTTCATATGGAGTTAAATGGACAATGCGTCACATAATGTAGGTGACGTGCCTTATGCGCTAACATACCTCGCAATGTGGTAGCGACGGAAGTCAAAATAGGCCGAGATATGCAACACCACCACCATACTTCATTCCCAACCCTGGGATCTATCCGATAGCAAACCGCGATGCCAAAAACCGAACGCACGAGCTCAATCATCAAAATTATTTCCTACGTGATCTTGAACGCGATTTCGTATATTGCGAAACATTTAAGTATAGTATCTTCATATTAACTAACTTATAGACATAACCATTCTTAAATATGATTTTTCGCTGTAGCTAACTCCACGTCCTCATCAGAACGATGCCCAGATGAGGTCTTCGTGCGAACCATTGTTATCCAAGGGCTTTGGGACTGCTCTGACTCGTCTACCCGTCGATGCGCGTACCTCTCCTTCAATAAGGAAGCATTTGATGGGAAAGAGCGTATTTTGGATATAATGGGATCGAGAGATATCTTATCCAAGACCCATGCGATTCGAGGAACACAAGAGACAATGAATCCTACTCCGATCTCCATGTAGGTCCAGAATAGAACAATTGAGATGATCCCTAGAAATTATTCATTAGCGGACTCGCACGGACTAATGTACGGTTCGGTGGTCGCACCTTGCTGGTCAGATATTGGAAATGTCGTAGCAAGTATTCTTAGAGTAGGATGTGTGATATCCTGAACATGGAGTTGGATCCAGGGAATCATTCTCAGAAGTCCGGCAACCACGGCGCTATGAGCGGGTCAGTTTCGTTTCGGATAACTTGCAAGTTTTTGGTTATGTACTTACAAGCCACTGCACAAGAAGACGAGGGACGTTTGGATCTTCCGCTTCCTGTTCATATTGAGTGTTCGAATCTAGACTACGTTAGCAAGTTGTTCACGAAGTATCAAGCTAGCCTAGGGGATGGCATCATCTTTACCATAACAAGCGGCTCTACGAATATGGCGAGATCAAGAACCCAGCTGAAGACTGCACCTCCGGTTTGCATCGCGAAGGTATCGATACAGTTTTTCCTCAACGAGTTCCAACTTTCCCAGCTTGCCTGCGGGGTAGTCCCGCACGCGAAAATATCAAAGAAGAGGAATACTAAAGTCCATAGTGTGACGAGAATTATGAGGGTCCAGTTCGAATAATCGAAAGCTGTCCTGTGTATGCGACCTGTCCGGTATCGAGTCGGTTAGGGAGGGATCTTTGCCATGGGTCATAACTAATCAATATTTACGAACCTTTGAACACTCGACGTAGTAGGAAAAGAATTGTCAGTTTGATGAAGCCAATAGCCAGGACATGGCCCATCCAAAACGCATATTCAAACTATTGGTGCTTTCTTAGAACCCATTCGGATGTGTAGAATGCCTACACACGTAGATTTTACCAACCTTTCCGAGTTTAGCTGAATCTGCATCTGTACTTGCAGCTTCGGAGTGTTCGCTGATGATGTGCATTTGTGTGCCTATTGAGCGCTCTTAGAAGCCGGTATTTGTGTTGGGCTGGGTGGTCAAGTATTACCAATCACCAACGCAACCCCAGCAGCAATAGTTAGAAGCTGCCGTACAATTATGAGCAAGTAGCCAAGCTTAATGATTCAGGGAGGGTAGTCCAAGACTTACACCCGCTGGAACGACGAGAATATCGTCGATTTCGAAGATTGGGCTATGATGTCGCCATCCGTACATTCGCACTGCGAGAGAGAGGGCGGCAAGAACCGGAAAGATGATCCCAATAGCCGACATGCTTCCATGATTGATATAACCCATGGTGATTACCTAGCGGTATTTCTCAGAAAATAGACGAGTGTCAATCTTTCATAGGTGCTAGATACCCAGGTATGGTTCTCTGGGTGTTAGAGTTGATCTGGTCGGGGCATTGAGAGCATAGGGCAGAAGATATTGTTGGGAGCACAAGAATCGCTGGTTGATATTGGACGACTAGACGTGGAAGTTCGTTGGAAGACAGAAACCGGCAGGCAGCTTGAACCCATGTTGTGATGATTGGGTTCGCACTGGGTGAGACATCCCAGGACACAAACTTGAAAATGCAGGCCTGAAGGATTCCGTACAGCCAGCCACTACGACCACAGCAACGGCATAGGCAGCCGAATCAACCAGCCACACAGCTATAGTTGTATCAAATGCAGAATAGAACTGGTAGCGCTGAAGAAAAGCATGATAACACGCATTATTGTAGTAGTATGACCCCCAACTCCCCCAACTCTACAACGAAATAGGGTGTGAATAGGATTCAATGCAAAGGTAGCACAAGTCCTCCATTTCCATTGTGTAACCGACGATCGAGGGGCGTATATAGCCTGCAACATGATTATCCTGGGTTTGAAGGGGGTGAGATGAAGCGTTAATCAAATTATCATGAACTACACATGACGAAGCAGCATCAGAGCAACATATTAGATAGGTGGGTAGCAGACGCGCTGAGTCTATGAATGTGATATTTTAAGTAGAGAAAAAAAAACCCAAAACCCCCTTACAAAGAGGAGGTTGGGCTGGGCCACCTAACCGTACTTCGATTTATGAGATATTACCATAAATAGACATAGTATCCGGTACCGTACTGACACGGTATTGTGGAGGCCTCGGCGCATATTTTCTTAGGGGGCTGATAACTTCAAAACTTCAAATTTATAGTACATAATTTTGCGCGATTTAATTGCCCAGGTGCCGGAGCCACCCACCATAAGCCCTGTCATTACAGTGGAGTTTAGTGCATGACCACCTGTAATTATAACACTCTACGTACCATAATTACAGTGAGTCGATGTCTGTATTTATTGTAATATTACAAAAAGTCCACTATGAAGTGAAGGACTCTTCCATTGATTAGAGAAAACTAGGTCACAATTACACTCCCTTCAGCTCAGCTTCCATCAACTGTAAAGCGTCGTCGCGATGTTTCTCCATATCGATGTCAATGATGAAGTCCCACCTCGCGACAAACGACCCTGGGAATTTCCTCGGATCCAATCCATATTCCTCATTCCTCCCCATTAATATATCGCCCGTGACCCGACTGGCCTCAACGATCCGTTGTGTGCGAGGACGACGAATCCGATCGTATACCTTCAAGGCTACAAGGGCCTCGGCAGGTGTTTTCGCGCGCCCGAGCAAAGTAGAGAGAATTAGGCTGTCTTCAATTGACATACCGCCGCCGGAACCATGCCATGGTGTTGTCGCATGGGCAGCATCACCGGTAACGCACATTGGACCGGAAGAATAAGTCGGGGCATTGGGGTGCTCCCAAAGATATAGTGCTTTGTGTTCGGGTTGATCGCAAAGCAACTACCAGGTTCGTTAGTATCACCACACCCAATACATCTTGTCTTTTAGGGTAGGCATCTTACCTCGTACACGGCGTCTCTGATATGAGGTGGGTACCCCTGGAATAGCTTCCTGATCTCGTCAGCGCCTACGGTACGTTGCCAGCTGTCCAACGACTGGGACTCGATCCCCGTGTCATTGGATGCAATAGCAAATTGTACCAGCTTGCCGTCGCTCAGAATGTTATGCATTAAGAAAACGTTTTCGCCAATCCAACCATATTCGCGGGCATCCTCGATACTTATAAGCTCTTTACCAAGGCTAGCCTGGACCTTTTCGAATGGTTGAAGAGTCATAAGGAACCAACCGCCGCTGTTTCGGGGAGTTGCTGAGACATCCGATCCCAAGATGAGTTTACGAACAGTGCTGTGAATACCATCAGCACCGACGACAATATCGCATTCGTGTGTGGTTCCATCGGTGAAGTGGAGCGTAACAGAACCATCCTGGACAACTTTCTCTAGCTTCTTCGAAGCATGCATTCGGTCGTGGGAAATACCAGCAAGTAGCTCCTGTAGAAAGTTTGCTCGGTGAACGATACTGGTGAGACTTTTTCCATGAACATCCGAATCGGTCTCGTCGGCCAAGGTCCCTGCCCCTTCACCTTGGGCCAGCATGAACCGAACACCCCTCATTGGTACAGCACCGGCTTGCTCAAGACTTCGAACGGCCGAAGGACCAATAAGTTGAAGAGCAGATTGCGCATTCCGGGCGATCCCGAAAGCCATACCGGCTTCTTTGAATTCGTTGGCTGACTCAAAGATATGTACATCTAAATGGGGGGACTTGACAAGGGCATGGAGCAATGAGGCGCCCGCCACGCCGCCGCCAATGATGGCAATTCTGATAGAAGAAGTCATGATGCTGAAGTTGACTTTTGTTCACGGTCTAGCTCGCGCGTTGACTCTAGTGTTGGTTCTCGCATAGGCTGGAAGCCAGCGTTCACAACTATCAGACATCAACTTATAAATCTATATGGCAAAACCCTTCTACTTGGGGATAGAAAAGTCCCCATGACATCGGCGTGCAAGGCAGCCAATGTAACAACCTACCTACCTTCTTTATGTAAATGTGGAATTAATAAATGAATTATCCCTTGCTTCAATTGCATATGGAGGGAGGACAGCACGGCCACAGCCTACCCCGCGGGGGGTAGGGAGGTGGAAGTATCTGTAGTACCTAAGAATAAGTATGTCTGCTTTGGTACCGTGCGAATGCAGTTGGATGGTAATGTTGTAGACGCGGCCGGTACTTATGTTACACCGCATAACATCCTCATGCCCTACATGCCCTATAACGGCGGCCTGCCGGATACATGATATGTTTTAAAATCTGGGACATGCATATAACACCGGTCGGCCATGTGTAACCCACCAGTACGATGTCCTTCAGAGTGGAAGTGATAGGCCAACATACAAACCTTGAAAGTTGATAGGGTGGTTACACCCAATTTCAACACGGCAGGTACCGGCATAAGATGATATACCAGGTTTACTTGCTAGGGTTCACGGGATGAAAAATAATATCAACAGTACAGCAAGATTGCCTAGCACCTGAAGTATATCTATTCCCAAATAGGTATCACCGGGCTTATTTTCACAACACAGTGGAGATATACAGCAGTAATTTAGCTATATGATAGGTAAAAAGGAGTGTATGTTATAACAATATTGATGTGTAACAAGTAGGGCCCCAAAATCCCGAGAGACCAGACTTAGATGATTCAAAATCATGTAAGAATCATAGTGTGATGAATTGACTGTCTTTACCCCCCCCCCCCATTGCTAAACACCGGAAGAAGATACGCCACAACAGTCCGACCTTAGAATGAAATTCGAGCTGAATCTCGCCGCTTTCTTGCATTAAATCTTGAGAGCAAAGTCGGGATCGAACTCGGTTGTTCCATCGCGACGTTCAACGTCGCCCTGGAGCTCCCCATTCTCTATATATGTTCAGATACCCAACATAGTAGGTAATAGAGTGCATTAGAACTTACGTGAAGCCACAGGCGCAGCTATAGCAAGACTTGCTAAGAGACTGACGAGGATGATTCGCAGCATGTTGTAAAGAACTTCTGGACTCGTTCAAGTGTTCTTGTTTCTGGATATTGGTAGCAGGTTGATATTAGGTTGATGACCTGGGAGGTTGATCAAGTTGAATTGAAAATCTTGAACGGGCATAGAGGTATCTATATAGCCAACTACATAACTCTTGCTTAACACAGATGGGGACGCACGAATCATCCATTGGCTCATTTTTCGGTAACCTTAGAAGGCAACTAAAGGTTGTATCCTCCGAGTCCTACGAAGTAACACAGTCCAGCACACTGGTGTGTGTGGACTAAATCGGAATTCCAAGGACCGCATGAGATACTTGGATAGTCCCAACGTGGCGTGGAGGACGGACTATTACGCCCATCCCACATCCATCTTTTTTCTTGCGCCCATAATCTTCTCTCTACTAAGTAAAATTTCTCACATCTTCATACAACCACTAGATACCGCATTATTCACGAGGGAAAGGTCATGTCAAACAAGTATAACCAGCCACTACTCGATCACGACACCGACGATGAGAGTTCAGAAGAAATCACACCTGTATATTCGACCCATAACAGTCGAATACTCAAGGCCTCACTTATCGCAAATCTTCTCCTCCTAGTTATTTGTGCATTTCTAAGTGGGACTCTGTTGTTTATCTCGAGCTCAAAGCAAAGCCGGAAAAACGCGTTGACTGATGATAACCTGGAGCCTTATTGTGAGCCACAACCACTCACTAGTGGCTATTTCGAGTTTGCTAATAATCTCTAGCTCCGGCGAATGACTTCATAGAGTACGAATATCGCCGTATGGTGACCAATGACACTAGATTCACAGGATTTCCTGGGCCTGAATGGGAGCGCTCCATGCATGAGCTATTGTCAGGTAAGTTGTCGAAGCCTTTAATGTTTGAATACCCTCTAACATGGATATTAGGAACCCTTATACGAATATCCGACGACGAACTAAAGCTTCTCAATTCCGATTCCATACCACTGATGGGTGGTGGATATGCAGCAGGACTTGGAGTTGGGCATAACCTTCACTGCGTGGTAGGTCTAGCCTTTTATTGAATGCAAGAAATCTGGCTCATGATAAAATAGAAACAAGTCAAACGGTTCATATATCGGGAACATTTCTACTCTGAGATGGACCCCAGTAGTGAAGAATATTATTACCTTCAAACACACGCCGGTTAGTAATCACTTCAAGACTGTGAATTTTATGTGATGATGCTCATATGATAATTTCTCTACGCCTAGATCACTGCCTGGACTTCCTGCGTCAGAGTATCATGTGCCACTTGGATTTCACTATGTATACGGTATATTGGGATAAACTGCTATCAGACAAACCAATCCACCACGAACCAGGATTACAGAAGTGTGTGAGTTGGGATAAGCTACATGATTGGATGCTGGAAAGGCAAGCAAATACGGATATGCTAATAGAACCATAATCTTGCTCGATAGGGGGACTTGCATTAGGTCCTTAGGCATCCATGGGGTACCTAGGTATTGTAAATGACATCTACCGAATAAAAAAAATTTCCGTTCAGTCCAGCCATGTCTTCTCCCCACCCCCTGAGTATCTATCTACGTAGATGACGAGGTTCTCATGCACCATGGAGACGGCACACAGTGCCCGTCGACTATAATCACTAGTCAGCCCGTCCTGTATATCCGGTACCACCCAAATGATCCTTCGCGAGTAAAAGGTAGCGATCAACAGCTTACCCATGATTAATCATTGTCCAGGGATCGGGGATCATGAAATATGCTGTCGTGTAACACCGTTTACGACAAGGACTAAAATAACGAAGATATCAGGGCGTTGCTGGCAAGAACCCAGAGTCACATGGATCAAACTGCTAGATATGCATTCGATCGATAACCTTTCTTTTTGATCAAAGAGCGGCACCCATAGAACGTACAGCGTAGATAGAAAACCAGCTTGACTGTTGTCTCACCATTTCTTCACACTGACACTCACAACCCAAGATGGCGTCAATTAAACACGAAGAGAAAATACCATTTCTTAGTAGTGAGGACGACCACGATGACCAAAAAGTTCGCCCTAGGCAGAACGGCTTTTGGAAGAACAGGTCCGCCGCGGCGCACGGTATTCTTCTCGTCGTTCAACTACTTTTGTTTGTTTTGAATGTAGTCTTTCTCATTTCCAATATCACATATCTGAGGGCTCGCAACGACACCGTTTCAAGCAATGCCTCGTCCATGAGGGCATTCTGTGAGTATGGATGATTAAGGGCTAGTATGTGGGCACTAACAATGTAAAATCTAGCGCCTGCCGAGTCAGCTCTGGAGTATATCATTGTTGAAGAGGACAACTACGGACATCACCAATCGCCTTATACAGGGGAACCTCGCCCCGAGGTTGACCAGGCCTGGTCACATTTACTGAGATGTAAGTATGCTATTCTAGCAGTGGCAATTGCTTACCATGTCCTGCGATAGCAACAAATCTTCGAATTACCAAAGATGAGATGATCAAAATGAATAAGACGTCCCTTACTTTGAAGGATGGTAGTGGCTATGTTGGATACCTTGAAGCTATACACATGTTACATTGCGTGGTATGTGGTCATCATTAATTATTACCAACACATAACGCCGTAAGTACATCCGCTAACACTAAATAGAAAAGACTATATCAATCGCATAATCCAGATCACTACCCGGAGCAGCAGCGTGCGGGCGCTTTTACTGATGATCACTTTTGTATGTATTTCTTAGCCCTGAGGATTTCGCGATTTGATTACTGACTACAGATTAGATCACTGTTTGGATGTTATCCGTGAGGGTATAATGTGCAATGCGGATGTGGCCATAAATACCTTGCTCTGGGATGGTCCCAGCAAGGTTAAGGGTGCAAGACCAGGTCCTCGAAAGTGCACCGATTGGGGCCGCCTTCAAGCGTGGGCTGATGATAAGACACTTGCCGAGAAAGACTTGAAGACGTTCCTTGCTACGGCGGTTGTGCCGTTCGACGAGATTGGGAGTGTCGGTCCTACAGAACTATTGGTGTGAATTACGTGAGGCGGTAGAATTAGTATGTGGCTGACCCAAGGCCAATCACGGGGGGATCATAGCCTCTCTTACATGTATGGGCACATTTATCTTGTTGCAAAGGGGTAATGTATGGCATCTCCAATTGAGCGTTTAATTCCTCGGTCTTTTTGCCTTTCCCCCCACAGATCCTCAAAGGAGGCGGTCCTGTTGCCAATAGGACCTCCCACTCCTCGCCACCCGTGATATTCTAATAGTCTAAGTAACCAATCAGATAACCCCTTTTGAGACATCCAGTATGTAGGTCTTAAGTGTGGCAGCAGGTAGGCATATATGACGTTGATCTCACGCATAGTCTATACATTTTATAATTACTATATCCTTATTTGTACCTGAATCATACAGTGATAAGCTGCTTTACTTGCTGAAGAATCCTTCTTTGTTACAGTCTCTTTTGATCCTTCTGGCAACTTGTGGTACCAGTCTATGAAACGGTTGCGGTGACTACAACCTTTCGGCAGTTAGAATGATTATGATTTGGGTCAGCAGCCCTCTCACCAACCGCATGAATTCCGAACGCAAGTAATGCAGGGGCAAATACAACACCCTATAGCCTTTGATAACCTTTTAGCTCACCTACAGGGAAGTTTTACTGAAGATTTTTAAACCAATCATTGTCTGGTTACACAAGAAGGATTCGGCCGACTTGTTTTCCCCGAGAAAATGTCTGCGGCCTGGGCAGTTGAATTTTGCTATTCCACGCTTCGGATATGATCCGGTGGTACAACGTAAACGTTATGCTAGACATCGTTGTTTTATGGGGATCTCCTTCGTCGACACACGCCTAGGTGTGGTAATAAAAACTCGGAAACTAAATTTGTATTCGGTCAGAGTTCCTGCACGGGCAAGCCAACTTCGTCTAGTCTACCCCCTTTATATTGTTCTCCAATTCCAAAGGTGCAATTTCAATACCGCAATACCTAGGTAATTACGTGATTTTCTTACTAGTTGGCAGACAACATCAGGTGTTGGGTTGGCGGACGTCGTAGTACACAGTATTTTGATTACTGTCTTGCTCGGACCATAAATAGAACACTATTTCTATCTAAATCGTTCTTCCGTCGATCTCTGAGTACCTAGGTGGGTATCATCGATATCAAACGCATTTTGCTTGCATCTTTTCCTAATACTTTGCGACACGAATACAAACCGGGAGAAATGTTACTTTTTTACGATGAATATTCGTCGGCTGAAAGGACGGCGGACAGGGAAGATATCTATTAACGATATTCAGGCAACAGCAGGAATCGCGCCCAACGGACGCTGCGCTTTAATTGGTCTTACAATTAAAACGCACGGTGGCTAACCAAATCGTACTGCCTTCGGCTAACATAACTCATCGTAAGGGACACGTCTTATTAGTTACTGAGTAGAGATGCGAGAAGTGATTCGATTCTAGGAATATGGAATCATAACCCAGGTTGGCAACATCTAGAAGTTCTCGTGGCCTCAATACGCGCCTCTTGTCCATGGCTCTGGGTTCAACACCCCTGTAAATGGGCCAATGGTAAGAGGGTCGTGGCCCCAGTCCTATATTAATGGCGCACTCTCACGCCAACAGGCTTACCTCCTTACATCGCGGCAGTGTTAACACTGTTAAACACCAAACCCGATTTTCGCCTTAAATATGATATATATAACTGATTCAGTGACTTTCTATTACTTCTCAAAGATGATGTATTTCACTAGTCAAACGAGAGCGCAATAGCAAGCAGCAAATGGGGGGGTTTCGCAGTACCCACCTCGAGATATGCTGTGCGGTGTATGTCTCGAAGGCCTCCGGGGCATCTGGGATCCTAAAAAAGGCACGAGACTTGGACTTTTGAGAAATTTTCCAGAAATAGCGGAAAAGGAGTTCCATGGCATTGACGACGATACTTACGATGAGGTTCTAGGTATGTACCTATTTTGTTTTCTAGAGATCTAAATGATTTGTCTGCTTAGCTAGCTGCCTAAACAGCTAAATTGAGGGAACCTACTGATCGTCCACAGGCGAGTACGAAATCCGATCGAAGAAGCCAGAACTCTACGTCTTTGGCCATCACATCGATTATGACTCTTTAATACGTTCTAAGAAAATAGGCTGTGTCGTATGTAGTGAAATCGACAATGTAGACGATTGCGATGATGTATGCGAAACATTATTAGACATAGGCTACTTCACGGTGTTCCGCATCGATCTACCACGGGGCGACAGGCGTCAGCCAGTAATGCTAGTGTACTCAGGCGATCCAATGTCGGAAATATTCCACGAAATCGTTACACATGATGGTAGGATATCCCACATTAATATCCATGAACTGCGCTAAATTCACTCCGAATATTTAAGAAAATGACGAAGTTAACTCTGCGATTTCTCATTCAACGTCGGACGCGCAAACATGGGCCCACGTTCAGACGTGGGTAGATAGGTGCATGAAAGGACATGAAACATGCCTTCATCAGGACTCTATTTTTTTCGCGCCTACTCGTCTTCTCGAGTTGTTTCATTCGGGCGATGAAAAATCGTTCCGCCTTATCTACCATGACGAATTCGACGCAGCAGACCGATATGTCACCTTAAGCCACTGCTGGGGTCCGGAGCCAGCTGAGAAAAAATTACGACTTATAGATTCCACTCGGGATGAACTACGGGTTGGCCGGCCCGTTTCAATTCTCCCGAAAACTTTTCGTGATGCATTCGAGATAATTGAGCGATTAGGGGTTCGTCACTTGTGGATCGATAGGTTGTGTATCGTCCAAGATTCGGCCGAGGATTGGCAAGCAGAAGCGTCCACGATGCAGTCAATCTATAGCCATGGATGGTTAAACATCGCAGCACTCGGCGCAAAGGATGATCAAGCTGGGTGTTTCTTCGACCGCGACCCAACAGTCGTTTCACCCACCGTTTTCAATCTTAGCCCGCCAAGCAGTAATACCACAACATTCTATCGGTTTGATCTGGAGAGGGAATCCTGGAGGAGAGACTTTGAAGGAGAGTTGCTGCTTACACGTGGTTGGGTTCTCCAAGAACGAATTCTTTCCACTCGGAATCTATACTTTGGGAGTAAGCAGGTCTTTTGGGAGTGTTTCGAAACCAATTGCTGCGAGACTGTCCCGAACGTCAGATTAGCTGAATTGGATCGGAGCTTTTCTACCCCACGTAACGCGAATCCCAGCAAACAAACATGGAAACCTCTCATACAGCCCGAGAGAAAGGGTTCTGGGTGGACAATAACGGACTGGTTTAGCGCAGTAGAAACTTATTCCCAATGCAATTTGTCCCATTCCAGCGACAAGCTTGTTGCTATATCCGGATTGGCGAAACGCATGGGAGACATGATGAGAATTCAACAGGGACTCGGACATGATGTTTATCTAGCAGGCTTGTGGGGACACACCATGCCTAGAAGCTTACTGTGGAGGCCAAAAACACACGGTCGTCGAATGTCATCATACCGAGCCCCTTCGTGGTCGTGGGCGTCTATTAATGGGGGCATTTTCCTAGACAATCCTAGTGGGTCTCATTGGCATGTTGATGTGCTTGGAACTGAAGTAGTACCCCAAGGAAGTGATGTGACAGGGAAATTAAATGGCGGTTTCCTGACCCTACGAGGGCATGTCTGTAGGGCGCGAATCTTCAAGAAGGCTAACAACGGGCCAATTGGGCGTGAATTATATCTTGTGAGCTCTTTTCAGTATCCTCAGTCCGACGTCGCCATAGATCTCGAGTTCGGTAGCTCTTACGTTCAATTTGACGTCCCTAACGAAAATTACGAAGCGGTGGCCATACTGATATTCAACATCAGGCCCCACAAAGCCTTCTCTTTCGTAGACGTCAATGGCTTGGCATTGGTCTTTGCTGATGAGTCCAAGTCTTCATATCGTCGCGTTGGGTACGCATTTTTGAAAGTGACGGTAGATTTTGAGGATGAAAATTTTGAAAAGGAATTGCTTGATGAATTTCCTGTGAGGGTTGTTGAAATTGTTTAGATTCAATTCTACTTTGGATGGAGAATGAATCGTGTAAACTGGTTCGTACCTAGTAATCAGAAGTTAGTATTTTATTAATTTTTTGAAATGGATGTTATTGGTGTTATTGGTGTTATTGTGAGTTATGTAATTATTTAATTTTTTAGATCTTTTTATATATAAGAGGGTCTTTTTTTGGAATCTTTTTTTCTTTTTCTTTTTGTTCTTCATTATCATTTTAATGAAGAAGAATGATAAAGTCTACCAGGTAATCCAGGTTATCTAGGTCAAGTATATTAATCTTTTTCATCTAATCAAATCGCAAACTACATGGTAGTGTGCGAACTCATCAAGATCAAGTTATGTTGGAGTAGCTTCAATTAGATATATAAAGCACTCCTTGGGTATCGATCACATAAGTCACAGACCTATGCCGACAAGGTTATACACTAAATAGTAACATCCAATATCCAGACACGTGTATCCAAATATTCCAGGGCCTTCAATATTTTGACCGAGAAGACAATGAGCATTAGAACTCGCTCGAGGAAATATTGAACGACAGGGACATGCTTAGAGGTAAGGGGTAAGGCCATTATTCGGCATCAGCGTTGTGCTTCTTCTTCTTCTTGCCGCCGCCGCCGAAATGCGCTACGTCGGGTGTAGAAGATAGGTGGATATATAATCGGTCCCACTCTGCCTCTCGCTCTTTCGCCTTCTCCGGGTCATCTTTTAGTTGGGGGTGGTTTGCTGCCCACTCAAATCCTTTTAGGTATGGCTTGTCCAGTTCGTCATCCGCCTGAAAAATCATGTTAGTGTATCAATTGAAAACTAGGAGAGTCGGTGCGTGAAGGTGCCTTACCCTCTTCTTATATGGCTTGTGGATGGCATCCATAGCATCTTTAATCGTGACGCCTGTCTTATTATTTCTCGCTGTTACGACGACGCCATGCGGGAAGTGTAGGTTAACAGCTCTTACGAGCGGTGTTATTAATGGTTTCGTTAGAATTTCTTTGTCTTCGATTGACGTAGGAGAGGTGTTGATTTTCCTATATCGTACCCCGCATTAGCTATGATGTACAGGGCTGAAGGCCGATGAACAAAAGGGTATTCTTACCATCCCGTGCCTTGTGATTCTTTTGCTACTTGTATCTCCGTTTTGTTCTCCTCTGGTGTAGAAAGTCAGTTACCTACGACCCGGAATATACTATGCGTAGGGGAGTTTACATACTCAAGTCTTTCATACTCAATATTCCAGTTGCGCTTGAGCTGGCTCTCCTATGGGAGGCCTTCTCCTTAACCGGGGAAATTGGTGGTGCATCCTTGGTTGGTGAAGATATCTCGAGACCTTGGACGGCTGAGTCTACTCTGGTGAGTTCGGCCATGATGGATGGTTCAGTTGTACGATATATAGGTATATGTATATATCGTATTGGAACTTATGATGACCTAGCTGCTCCGAATAGGCCAATTGTCAGTATTACTGACGGCAAAAATATATATATATATACAGATACTAATTAGATCTGAGATCGGATTAGGGAGAATTACCTTAGATAGCTAGGATGATAATAACGATAAATGCAGGAACAGAAATTGTTGAAGAGCCAATGTCTGTAAGACGAGAAAGAAGAAGAGGAGAAGAAGATGTGAAGAGGGGAAGGGAGAGCAATTTGAAGGAGGAGGGGAAAAGGGGCTTCGGGAGGTGAGGGAGGGGTTCTGGCCTCCATCTTGTCATGTACTTCGATGTACTTGGATATTGAACGATGGACCATGATGGATCGGCGACCAGCTGATACAGTTCCTGCCGCTAGATTTCGTAATGATTGGGGCGGGGTCGAGCTACAGTAATGTGGTTGTTGAGAACACGGATGGTGTACGGATGGTGTGCTCATCGCGTGACCTCGAGCTATGGTTCGCTGAGCTCCGCCGGTGAGCTGTAACATCATACTTACTCGAAAGGGGATAGTTCTATACAGCTTCAAAAACCTGGGGTAAAATCCGGGGCGATGGTGGTCAACTCCACTATCTTGCAGGCCAATACGTAGCCTGGACTGGAATCCTTCCCTATCCGTTTTCCTTTTTCTTACCACCCCTCCCCCTCACTCGACCCGTTGATGATGTCCAGGCACGTAGGGATTCTTGTTACCAGCGTTACCCAACTTCATGCTCGTCGTGCCTTTATATACGGTTACTTTCGACGATATCGTTCGTGAGATATTACCTAGGTATACAAGATCACTGCTGAGTAAGTCGTGGACATACTGGGAGTTGATCGCCAAGAATGTTAAAGAAAAACGCCCGCCCGATGTTACCCATAATGCACGACACGACTCGTTAATTTACTCCTGGGTTCCAACCAATTCCTATCGTCTCTCCCACCGCGGCATTACTAGCCCCCAACTTTAGGGTTTGCTACTCATGAGTATAGTCCTGATTAAGGATAACTGACGTCGAAGGTTCTGGTAACATTATTTAGTCTGGTTGGCCTTGTGCTCGTCTTCGAACGGTCCTTGTCTAGTCCGAAATTGACGATGCGAACGCTCCCAGATCCGATAATTTCTGGGTGACTATTGTGTTAGGATGAAGAACACTGGAATAGCCATTGGTGCCGTTGTCGGAGATGTGTTTCGTTGTACCGCTGCATCCCGTATCGGCAGGTGACGAATCGAACCTGTCAAATACGTAGTTGTCTGCAGCAACTACAGCCGACAGTAACACGGATATTATATGGTTCATTTCAATTCTGCGAGATTTATGCTAGAGAGAAGCAAGAAATATCGAATTAGGTGTAGCAACGCTTGTCCTCAATTCATGCGATCAGAAGATTCCATACTTTGGACGTTTTGCGATGTTATGAGGGTACTTATAATAAGTATCCGGATACGGCATTTACAATACAAGGCATGTCGAGAAGCGCTTGGATATCTTGTATTTGGTGTATGTTTTGAGAACCAATTGAAAAGCCTACATCTTTTCAATCTTCAGGCCCTGAGATTCTGGGGTTGACATCGGGTACCTCGTGCCCTAATTCGTAGCAATTCGTAGCAATACCTATAGGTCACTTCGGCTTTGGGCATTGCGACGAATGGGCTGGGTGATGTAACCGCTGGCTATAACCCCTGAGAGAGATCTACAGGGCAGTAATTTAATCGAAAAGCCACTAGAGAGCACTGAGGGGTTTCGGTCAGGAATACCCTGGCTCATGAGAGCAGTCCTGCTGCGACGGTAGGAAATCTGTATCGAATCCTCTTTAATACGTTAGATAAGCTGCCGATATTTCCAAATTGATATAACTTCCTTAATTGATAGCTGTGTATTTGCCTATTAGGAAATTGGTATGGTGACATGGATTGACAGTCAACCAAGTATTTACATCCGAGCGCGACGATCCTTGCTTGTCCAGAAGACAGATTCCTCCTCTGTAGAACCAAGCAATGCGCCAAATTATTAGGTAAACCCCGTGACACTTCCCAAACGTTCTGAGCCAATATAATCCATTTACTCCCGCTGTTCCTGTCCCGAACCGGTCACTCCTTTAACAGTGTTGTTTAGGGTGTCCGTGGCACCCTTACCGACGTTTCCGGCGCCTTCAGTCGCAGATCCAGCAACATTACCGACCCCTTCCGTCGTCTTGTTTAGAGTATTTCCAACTCCTTCCGTCGTCTTTCCAACTGTACTGCCTAAACCGCCGAGTAGCCCGCCTTGGCCTTGAGCTTTATCACCGCCAGTGAGGATATTGTCGACGCCACCGACAGCCCCGCCAAGGATACCGCCTCCCCCGCTCTGGCCCTGGTTCTGAGATCTGGTGTTGTCGGCCATAGTGAAGTCGATTTAGATTTCTATTTTTGAAAAATGGTTGCTTTCGTCTGAGATGAATTCTAGAACCGCGAATAATTCATTTTATTTGTGATTATATAGAAATTTATAGACATTTATTGCCAGTGAGGTCTGTTCTAGTCCCGTACCTTTAAACTGTTTAGATACCTGCCCGGTATTGATAATAGGATTCACAATTGACACTTTATGACGCGTCCCTACGCTTATAACAGCGAAAGAGATGAGGTCATGCAAACGACAGAAAACATCAATGATCCTACTACGCCGAAGAACAATATGTTCAGGCTTATTTACGCCACTTGGAACATTTCTATGAACACATCCTATCAAGTCATGCGACAATGCACCTTAAACTGATCCGGAACCGGAATGAAAGCAAGATTGTATGAAGAGATTAGGTAGTGAGGGAAGGTTGTCTATTCGACTCATTACTTCTTGAATCTTCTACAGTGCCCCTTTGTTGCCGAGAAACCCTATTCCACTAACACCGGATATTGCCTATCATTACGTTCATGTCTCTAATTAATCACAAGCTCAATTATTAGCCTCCAACGCTTACACCCTTACTTGGTAGCAGTAATGGTGTCTTCTACCTTTGTGTTAGGGTCCTCGTGAAGTTCCGTTGAACCAGCAGGTTCTGAAGATAAGTGAACTCCACTATCCGCCCTCTTTCTCTCTGGAGCAGGTTCTACGGTAGCCTCGGATTCCAGCTTCTCTTCAGATTTATCTGAGTCCGTGGTAGACTTTGCTGATTTTCTGCTGAACATATTGACGGATGGCTTCGGGATATTCGGCATCTGTGGGATTTGTGTAGGGAGATAGGACTTGAAGCTGGATCCCGACGGGATTTGAGGCATCTCGGGCATCCTAGTTGGTACATAGGACTTAACTCCAGATCCTGCTTGCTGTGCTACTTGCATGAGGTATCGCATGTATGTGCTCTTTCGTGCTTCTTTCGCTTCGCTCTCCTGTGAATCTTCTTCCTCGTCATCTGGTAATGGGACGACGGAAGCAGCTGCAGTGATATCCAATGGCGATGCATCGGGAAGATCGCTATCATCTTGCTCGCCTTCTACTTCCTCATCTTCGTCGGCGTCTCCCATGACACCGTCGGTCTTTGGAACTTCTTTGCCATCTTCTGTTGTGGCTACAGGCTGCTCGACGGGCTCTGGTGGTGGAGGTGAGGCAAACTTGGGGTCATCCACGATATCAGAATCGTCATTAAACCAGCGAACTACCAAATTGCCGGCTTCTTCCGTCATCTGCTCGTATTCTTCGTTCTTGTCCCTAATGAACATGCTCATATGCGCTTGAACTTCGTCCTCTGTCTTCTTGATGACTTGACGTGAGAAGAGGTGGTATGCTAGATGATCTTTCGCTGGTACGGCGCAGAATGTTCGTTCGGGTATGAAGTAACCGCCACTCCACATACCATTTTCCCCTAAAGAGGTGTAAAAGTCATGAATGCCAATACCGTCGAGTGCTGCCATACGTTCCAATCTTCGGCTCAGCTCCTGTTGCTTCATAAGTGTACCAACGAAGGTAAAATGATCAGAAAGATATTCGAAGGATCGCCCAACGTTTCCGCGGTTGATATACGCTAGCCCTTGGCTAAGTGTATCCATGCTCTGCTGGTATCCTTCCTTCACTGATTCCTTATTGATATTACGCATACTGCGCATACCATCCATGATCTGCTTGCGATGCATATAAGCTGCAACACCCCCAGCAGCTATCGCACCGACAGTACCAGTACGTACCGCAACAAGCTGCCAGCCTTTCCAAGCAGACCGAGATGTTCTTGCTGGAGGCAGATTTGCTGCTGACCGTTTGAAGGCTGACTTCCCTAGAGCTGATGGTGCCGCAGATAGCGCCGTCATGACATTGAAAACCGTGCTCACTTTTTGATAGTTCGAGAAAGCCCCATAAACGAACATAGATCGCGCAAGGCCATTAAAAGGGGTATCAAATGTTAGGATTCCTTGAATTAAAGGGAAGATTGGCAACGCTTCTTGACCATGAGCAATCCGTTCATTGAGAATAAGAAAAAGAGTGTCTGACGCGACGAAACCTCTAGGAAGAATATCAGTTTGTTATTCTGACCGTTTATTCTGGTGGATGCCTTACCCCATTGAATGCGCAACTAGTATAACACCCACATCTCTGTCATGAGGTGGCCACGGTTTCTCAGTGTGCGCCTTTCGCACATCCATCACTTTCTCTTTTAACCTACTTCATTATGAGTATTCCTTTAAATGACATTTATTTAATGCATGAAACCTACCATGATAAAAAAGAAGTACAGCATTGTCCTAATTCACCCTTCGTTTCATACTTCGGATATACTATTGACTCGACACTATGATCGGGAAGCTTACTAGCCACTCGTTTCTGCAAATCATCTGGGAATGTTTTGAATGTATCGTCGTCTCCCTAAAGATGTTGTTAGACGATAGATAACTACCTGTGGTTTTTATCCTACTTGCCTTGAATCCATGAATGAAGCAAAGAAGTAACGTTCGAGGCATCCTGAACCTGGGCTCGCGTTTGTCAAAAGACTACTTAGGTAGATAACCTATGTTGATAAGATATACTAGAATAATAATCAGGAGTGCGATAAAATGAGGTTCCAGGACTAGCTATCACCAGCCACAAAACAATTGAACAAAGCGGTTCAAGTGATGGACCCGGCCGGATACCTATGACTAGCCACCGCCTAGGTCTGTCCTACCCTCCATATTATGTCAACACGTCATTCATCACGTCACTAATACTTCAAGGTTTTGATTAAATGCTCGATGCCTCGATTCAAGTTCAATATCAAGCTAAAGATGCAGGGATGGAACAGCCACAATGTCCTTAGCATGTGTGCACCCCGACCCAGTTACATGCCTAAGGGGTTCTGCCCCATGGCTCGCAATGAGGGTATTCGCAAAATCAGAGCATGAAACAATTCATGAGATCGTCAAATATCGTGAGATAATTAATTCTGAAGCTATTAATCGTATACATATAAACACTTTTGGCCGGCCAAACTAAAACCTTTCGTATGCTCATAACTTGCCAGACGCTCATCAGAACATTCCTAACATACAGTGAAAAAGAAAAACATAAACGCCGCATTGTAATCCATTAGATTTACCCAACGACAAATAGAAATAGCGCTCCGCTACCGCAGATTATTAAATTATTTCTTCTTGCTTCCAGTAATAGGGGCCAAGACCGAGCCCAATCCTAGACCATCTAGAACCTTAGTGAGACCTAGACCACCAAGGAGGTTATTGACTAGACCGCCCAATCCAAGGCCATTGAGCAGTTTGCCAACGAGACCAAGAACACCGCTGAGGAGGAGACCGACGGCTGCGATGATTTGGAAAAGGGGTTCGGATAGTAGGCCCCAGAGTGGGTTGATGGCCTTTTTGGCGCGTGGTAGGTTTTCAAGCTTGCGCTTGGCGCCTTCGATGGTCTCCGTTACAGTGCCTGTGAGTTCCTTGAGTAAATCTGCGAGTCGGTATTCTTCAGGTGTCGCCTCGCGCGCTGCTGTCTTGTGCTTGGCGTTGGCCGAAATGCGACCGTCGGGATCAAGTCCTCGGATTACACCGTTGGCTTCTGTTAGAATCTTGCCGCCCTCTTCAATTAATGGGCGCACTTGTTTAACAAGTTCGTCTTCGTCGCGCTCATCTTCTGGTTTACGCTCCTCGGCATCGATTCTCTATAGAGTAGAACCCATCGTTAGTACCCAAATTTACCGTAGAATAAGAAATATTAGAATGAAAATGCCAAGACTTACGTCGACGATCATCTTGCAGATGGGTTTAATCTTGTCGAGAGACTGCTCGATACAGAATGCGATTTGCCCGGCGATCTTCTGGTCTTGCTCTAACTGCAAGCGAGCGGCCCTCTCCTCTTCGCTCTCTTCAGGCTCAGGCTCAGGTTCAGGTATCTCCGAAAGCAGTGAGCAGTGACCGAGAACTTTCGCTTTGCCGTCGACGACATCACCATCGTCATCAATCTTCTTACCAGCGCACTCGCTCAAGAGACCGGATGTAAGCTTGCCAATGAGATCGCCATTCTCATCAACGACGTTACCCTCGCGGTTAACTCTGCGACCAGACATGGGGTTGATATCCTTGGGAATTGGCTCTTCCTCCCAGCGTTCAGCATGGCCGAGGACGTTTCCATTCTTGTCGCAGATGTCACCATCATCGTCGACCGCACGTCCGAAGAGAACCTTAGGATCTCCCGAGACGAGCCGACCGACCACATCACCGCCAGGAGTCACGATCTTACCCTCCTTGTTGACGGTGCAACCAGGTAGCTCAGTAAAGGGACCTTCTTTCATGCCCTCACGTTCAGCTTCAGGGATAAGCTCGCACTTTCCGATGATGTCTCCACCCTCATTTCGAATGAAGCCACTCTTGTCGCACATCTTGCCAATTAGACGTTTGAGGTCGCCCTCAATAACGCGACCGTAAATATCACCGTGACTATCGACAGCGTTGCCAGCCTTGTTGATGCGCTTACCGGCCAAAGACGACGTATCAATCTCTGGCTCGGGCTCAGGTTCCGCCTCCTCCCAACGCTCCGCATGACCAAGCTGATTACCAGCTTTATCTAAGATATCACCATCGGCATCAACGGGCTTTCCCTTCAACTTCTTCGGGTCACCCTGGACTACGATACCAACTTGCTCTCCATTAGACATGACCTTTCCTTGTTCACCCACAACAGCGTCAGGGTAATCTTCAAATGGAGAAGGCTCTCTAACTTCCTCACGTTCGCCGTCAGGGATGGGCTCGGCCTTTCCAATGACCTGACCCGCGTCGTTAAAGATCTCTCCATTGTCGCCGACCTTTTTGCCAACAAGATGCTTGAGAATACCCTGGACGACATGACCCCACACTTGGCCCTTGTCATCGACAACGTTGCCTAACTTGTTGACCTTCTTGTCACGCAGCATGGAGTAATCGACAACCTCTTCCTCGGGCTCAACAGGCTCTTCAGCCTCAGCACGCTCAGCATGACCGATGACATTGCCATTCTTGTCGAGGATATCTCCTTCGGCATCAACCTTCTTCCCGATCAATTTCTGGAAGTCGTCGCCAACGACTACGCCGACTTGGCGGCCGTCGTAGATAACCTTGCCGAATTTATCGACAGTAGCATCAGGGAAATCTTCGAACGGCGAAGCTAAGTTCTGAACAGTCTCCGGAAGTACTTCAACTTCGCCAATGACGTTGCCTTGGTTATCCCAGACCTTACCAGTCTTGTCGGGTGTCCTGCCGATGAGCTTCTTAATGTCCCCGCTCTTCACTCTACCAATTGGGTTGCCATTGGTGTCGACAACATTGCCAGCCTTGTTGATCTGCATCCCCTCGAGGATGGAGATGTCAGGTAGCTTAACTTGCTCCTTAGCAGCTTCGAGGGCATCAAGTCGGCCTGCAGCTTCCGGAACTTGTTCCTTAATGCGCTCGACAATTGTACCCTCGGGTACCAAGTCAACCTTTCCAAGGATAGTATCGTTGTCGCCAAGTAGATTGCCTTGGCCGTCGATACCCTTGATGTCCTTGCCGAGAAGATGTTCGTAGTCTTGTCCCTCAGCAAGCTTGCCCAGGACTTTACCATTCTGGTCTCTGACTTGACCATTTTCGGCAATGTTGAAGGGGCCTTCGAACATAGCAATAACTTTGTCGGCAACCGAGGGGGCGAATGATGGGATTTTAATCGGCGCGGCTGCTTGTTCGGCTTGTGCCTCGAGTGCATTAAGACGATCTGCAGCCTCGGGAACCTCTTCCTTGATACGTTCGACAATTGAGCCTTCTGGCGCAATGTCGACTTTGCCAACGATAGTGCCACTGTCAGCTAGAAGGTTCCCTTGCCCATCAATACCGGCAACATCCTTTCCGACTAGGTCTTGAATGTCCGAGCCATCAGCCAACTTGCCGATGATCTTCCCATTTTGATCGGTAACCTTGCCGCCGTCTGCGACCGTAAAGGGGCCTTGGAATAAAGCGACTACTTTGTTCGCGACAGAGGGTGACAATGAAGGGACGTCAATAGGGGTAAGGCCCCGCTGCGCTAGCTCACCAGCCTTAGAACCCAAACCTGTCTTCGAACCAAGGCCAGTCTCCATGTCTTTAATCTCAATTGGGGCTCCTTCATTGGCTTGCTCCTGAACACCCTCAGCGGCTCCTTGAGCCGACTGCTTGGCAACATCAGCCACGTCGCCGGTATCCGGTGCGCCGACTCCTTCCGTGGCTCCTTCTATGGGGTTAGTGAGACCTTCTGCCGTATCTCCAGCAGCCCCCGTAGCTCCCTCGACGGTGTTACCAGCGGCATCCGTGACACCTTCTGCCGTGTTGCCAATGGTATCCGTAGCCCCTTTAGCTCCCGTTACTCCTCCGACGGTATCAGTGGCGCCCTTTGCCGTATCACCAACGGTCCCTGTAACGCCCTTCGTAGACCGACCAAGGCCGCCAGCGACACTACCAAGAGCCGACTGTGCTGTTCCTGTAACCCCCGAAAGAGCACCACCAAGCCCGCCTTTTCCTTTTGTAGCAGTATCTTTCGCGGACTTGGTCGTGTAGTTAAGTTCGGACGCGACGTCTTCCAGGGGTTGGGCTTTACCGACTACACCGCCGTCTTCATCTAGCACATCGCCCTCTTGCGTGACGATAAAGCCAGCGAATTTGAGTGAATCGCCTTCTGTTACCTTGCCGATAGGATTGCCGTCATCGTCGATTACTTCTCCTTTATCGTTGATACGGCCCGCAGCCGGTACCATCTCGCCTTCACCTTCATTTCCTTCTGATGTTTCTGGGATCGATCGTGGGATTGATGTTTCTGATGGTGCTTCGTGTTGTCGTACGGTGTTGTTATCGCTCCCGACGCCAGGGACGTTCTCTGTAGCTTTGCCTAGCGGACCACTTAGTCCGCCGACTGCTTCGCCGAGCCCGGACATTGCGGCAGGATGGATAAATGTAACTGGATCTTGATCTGTGATAATCTGTTGTGTAGTGGTAGTAACTACTACTGGGTTATGATGTTGCTGTCGTTGTTTCTGTTTTGATGATTGGGTATAATTGTGAAAGATATTCATGAGGTTCTACTCCTCAAGTTTACGAGACCAAATATGATCTTTTAAACCAAATATCACGACGAGAAACAATATGAGAATATGGCCAGAAAGACCAAAAACTTACGTCACAGGTTTCGAAGAACTGCCTACTTTCTTCTTCTTACCGAGAAGACATGGCGGTCCTCCCTTCCTAGTCCCCTTGTTGAAAGACCCTTCATACATCGTACTCGACGTCATGACAGAGGTTCTCCGCTTGCAATGAGCAGACTCTGGACGTCATCAGTAGGGAACACCTAGATATTAAGATCCTAGGACGAGCTTCGCGATGAGGTCAAGCCACGAATGAGGCTGCCGTTCAAGCCGGTCGCTTTGTCGATCTCGAACGGGTGTGTGCCACAAGCAAGCACAAGGTCCCGAGCGTGTGGCTTACAATATTGTGCGTACTAGCCGGCGTGTGGCATCGAATGATGGCAATGAACTAGGGTTCCGCGGGGGAGGTTCGAAGAATGCCGAACGATTATTCGCTGGAGTTTACCAGAGTCCGGCCTACGAAACAGGATTCGCGCTCAAAGCCGTGGCCACAATTCACCGACACCCCGGGGGGGCGTTGTTTGGAAATCTCGATCATGATGACTTGATAGGATCCTTTTGGAGACTTCTACCACACCACCAGTGCGCGGTTGACCGCATCGTTCGATAGTAATTACATGACATGGATGATGGCAGTAATAGCGAAGCTTGAAGACATGAGTTCTGATGGGTTTTCCAGCTACGAGGGCCACATTAACACCATCCCCATAACTTTTTAGAGTTAAGTGGTAAATCGTTGGGTTGGGTTAAGTTTCTCGCGCCGCTTGATCACCATACCCCGTCGCTCAACGCCAGCCCTATCCTACCGCTACCGTAGTGTATCGCGGGTTGGTTCTGTACCTTATTAGCTGACGACCTAACGTTAGTGGACTCCATGGAGTTGTTCTAGACGTGAAACATCTGCAAGTAACCAGAAATCTCCATTGTGGCTCCTATTCGCCAATCTGGGGGCCAGCTAGGTAGCTAGGAGGTGGCTAAGAGGCAACGTCACCCTCCATTATCTCCACGCATGTGCGACTCGCCCTAACCGGTTTTTCTTGCAGTCTGGCAAGCCACATTAGCATGGGTTATCATCAGATAAACGTCATAAATGGCGTAGTCAAAGCACGTTTTTGCATTGACTCGTATTGCCCCTTTTGACATTGCTTTTTGTTCAAGCTTGTAACGTACTAACACATCGCAAGTATCGCTTCCAATCATCCAAAATAGTATTTTGGGTGTCAATTCAAGTAAGTTCTTCATACCCTTATATAGCTCGCTATGTATATATCCCAAGGTATCAAAATGCCATTAACATCGCTTTCATAATTACTTTTTTTTTCCAAAGCTCCCTAACCGTAACTAGAATTATCCTGATTTTAAATCATAAGATGCGCATAGTATGGATTATTCTTGAGGCTGTCTTCCAAACGTAGTAGGAATGCGAATTGTTAGTTGGATCCCATCCGTTGTAGACTTGACATCCAAGAAAATATCTGAAGGGCTCCCACCTGTGTGAGCATTTACCTTCGGTTTTTTCTCTTCGCTTGGCTTATCGCCTTCCGATTGAGATTCACCTGTTTTGGAGGGTTTCTTGAAAGGCGGCAAACCGCCATTTTGTCCAGCTTTCTCATTGAAGCGACCGATGATGTTGCCGCTCGAATCAAGAATATTGCCTTCGTGGTCCACCTTCAATCCACCAAGTACATCACCTGGAATATCTGCAGGCGGTGGTGGGCCGGTGAAGTTTTCCGAAACGTACCCAATGATTTCTCCCCTTTCTCCGTAGACTTCGCCGTTGTCCGCAACTTTCTTGCCCACCATAGCTGGGAGGTCGCCCGTAGCGTGACCGAGCACCTTCCCTGACTCGTCTACGATGTTACCGACATCATCAACCTCATGACCGCCGAGGCCACGTGCAAGATGTAGTAAATCAGGAGGCGGCGCCATACCAATAGGTTTTATCTTCGGGATTTTCGGAATAGGTGATATATTCGAAGATGGAGAATGTACTGAAGGATCCAATATCTCTTCCGGTGGGTCATCAGGATATCCCGCCAGTTCGTCTATATTCGCTAGGCCTTCGGTGCCCGGAAGGTCGTTGGGATCGTTGAGGCCGGTCGCGATATTGTTTGTATCGAGTTTCGATGGTTGCGGGGGGCTGCTTATTACCTTTTCGGGCCGGGGAAGTGGAATCTCAATTCTTCGATCAATATGAGCGGGTTGACCCATGTTATCCGCGACCCGAGTACCATCATCTAGTACTCCAGTTTTCGGCTGCTGTCGCGCACTCCCTGCAGCGTTCCGACCCGCATCAGTCGCATGAGCCTTTCCATTCGGTAAACCTGCGGACGGCTCTTTTGAACTATTAGATGAATTTGGTTTCCCGGATATTCCGACTTGCGCCTCCTTAGCGATGTCGGAGGTGTCTAGTCCACCAACAGCATTGAGAGGTTTGACACCAGAGGCTTGTTTTTTGATGTTGTTCGTAGTCCCTTCAGCTTCCTTAGAGACATTTGCAGGGCTAGTGATGTCCAGTATATTGTTATTCAAATCTTGATTTTGATTTGTATCTTTCACTTCAGCTATTTTCTCTGTTGCGCCGCCAAGTGTTCCCTCGTTTCCACCCCCTTCGGCATCTTGCGATCGCATATTCGGTGGAATAATCAGGTTGTCGTCTCTAGGTAGTTCTTTGATAGTCTCGGGTGCGTCGACAAATGATTCCTTCGTAGCAGTGCTCTTCGTATCGGGCGCATCGCCTAACGCCTCCTGGTTCGACTCCGCGTTACTGTCAACTGAACTCGAATGAATATGTGGAGTTTGGCCAGTTAATGCAGAGACGAATGTGCTCATTTCTGAGTTCCCTTGTTCAGCAAAGTATTTAGCAATGTCGGTGGGTGAGTTCAAAGCATCCGTAGGGTTCAATGGTTCGGGTAGATCGTCTGTTGAAGGGCTAAGAACCTCCCGAGGCTTTCCAGCGATACTCTTAATCGGAGTATCCGCTTGCTCGGAATCCACACTCTCTTCTATTGCATCACTAACGGGGCCCTGTGTAACATCTAAGGCACCGAAAGCGTCTGTACTTCGGCTTACAGTTTCGGTTGGAGTGAGAATGTCGTGAGACTGGGCGCTGGAGGGTGTCGGAGTAGATGGTCTCTGCCTCTTCACAGGAGTTGGTGTCTTCGTTTTGCTCGAAGGCTTGAATAGTTGTTTTCTTGGCGGTGTCTGCGGATTCATCATCTCGACTAAGGTTAGGGCAAGGGTACGAATGTGATTGGCATGTAGGTATAAGAATATAGCAAGGTATACTGCCAGGGCTATGTGGAAGAAGAGGTCAAGTCCGGACCAAGGCAACGGAGAAAGCATTCACCACAAGCCTAATAGCAAGCTTCAACGCCACAAAAACATTCAGCTATAGCTATAGGACTTAGTGACATGGATATGGGTACGAAAGAAACCCAAAGTGGAGGAATGATAACATGAAACTCTAAGTGTGAAGCAATACAGCGCAGTTTGGGTGGAATATTCAAGAAACTAGCCTTGCTAGCCATTGTAACTTGGTTTTCAAAGGACGTCTAGCTAGGTTCGTTTGCGTCATAGGTAGCAAGGGTTGACAGGGGAGGGACGGAAAAAAAGGCAGCTTACGGGCTGGGGAAGGGGGGTGAGCTGTAGCGAATCGTTGTGAATCGCGATCTTAGCAATACGTTAGATTGACAGGGTTGAAGAGGGCTACTCAGCTTCTTGGGAACTAAGAGAATACCCACCTAGATATGCTTTTAGAATCGATATTGAACAATGTGTTGAGTATTGAAGATGAGTGCAAATGATAAAGGTATGTCAATGTTACAACCCGGTAACAAAATAGATGGGAGCGGTTCTAATCTCATCTTCCAAAGGTTGATATTCAGACTCAAAGCTCGGCTTAACGACAGTAGTCACCTGCTCTAGTACACGCCATCCACTTCAGCTGTAGACTGGATGGGACTTCCCGCTCCATCATGCAAGTTTGGATGATCCGGGATAGTCGGCCGTATTTGTGAATGACCGGAATTCCCCTTGTTAAGAAGCAGTCAGTGTAGTTCCCCATTTAGAAGCACCAGACGAGGCTCAGGGGGAAATGTTCAGATCAACCACTTGGATCGAATTTCAAAGACCATGATCAAGACCTGAGCTGAGACCCGGTCGCAAAAATCGAATACTCGAATCAGTACTACATCGTATCCGACCATAGTACTTCCTCGTTACACAGAAACAAGGATGTGATGGGGATACGATGAAAAGGTGCCGAATGAAGGGAGAAAAAAGATGAAAAAGTTGGAAAAACTGGGAAGTTGCAAGAAATTGAAGAACAAATCAAATCGAGTTTTGTTGTGGCTTCTAATCGATACGATTCAATGTGGCTGTGTATTTCATGTACCCTGATACATATCACCATATTAAGGAAGCATAGGTTGAATAATTCAGCACACCCATTATTTTATTTTTCTCCTAAAAATGTAGATCAATAGCCTCAGAATTAATTTTAGAAACTCTACGAATAATCAGAATTACAGTATTTTGACAGTCAGATAGTTGTGAATAGCATCGTAAATTTGTACCTGATCGTTATCCGATGACCCACTCGGGCATGATCCGGATCGGCATTTCTTTAGGCTAACTCCGATCAACACTAAATAATATGCTTTAATTGTTCAAACGGCGAAACCATCATCTTCATTAATTACAAGTCTTATACTTAAAATATACAGGAATATATACAACATAAAATATGTCAATCATACGTATTAAATCTTTTAAGTCCAACTCTTACCCTCGACGCCGAAAACGATTCAAAGGATCTTTTGCATAAACATCAATCTACAAAAGTCCAACATCCGCGTCTCACAATCTAACCCAAAAGCAAAAGTCTCACATCCAAATTATTGAGCGACACCTCATATTCTAACCAAATCGAATCAAGTCGAATCGGGATTTCGTTATCATGACTCCTTGCATAGTGGCTTGCGAACCAGACCATAGTATATGCCATTACAGGTTCACAATCCTTCATCCCTGTTGTCCGCGACCAAGGTTGTTAGTTACTATCCCATTTATTAACCGTCACTTTTCGTACAAGTCAGTTCGGTAGACACCGGCGTGTGTGTCCCAGAAATAATCTGGTATTTCGTAGGATGTGGAGTTGCACAGCTGCCGCCCCGGATTGGAAGCACATACTGACAAGAGAAATATACGTGTAGGAGGGGAAAAAGAAAGGTATGTAACACGTACAAGAGAGATAATGTCAGATCACCATGAATCCGAGCCTTCAATGTCACCTCTACCTCGAGGTTCAGATCTAATCTCAGACTTAACGAGTTCTTCCCCCCTTCCTTTTGTTGTTGCTGTGGTTGAAATTGTTGCATTGGTTGTGGCTGCATCTGCATCTGCTGATGTGGTTGGTATTGTGGTGGTGGTTGGCGCTGTTGACGAGGTGCCATTTGCTTTTCGTAACCACGATCTTGATTTTCCTCCATCCATGCGGGTTGATTATTACGGCGGCGCCGCCTTGATCGACTCGGTTTCTCGGATTCAGCGCGCGTCGGCTTAGTCTGTGGTTTCTTCTCGGTTGCAGTTTGCGATTGAGTCTGGGGAGTTGCCTGGTCGCTCTTTTCACCTTCTCCTACGCCGTTGCTCGCGTTGCCTTTGCCCTTCCCTTCGTCCTTCCGTTGACTATCGTCCTGCTGCGCTCCATCCTGGTTACCGCTCTCGCCCTCATTTGGTCGCTCTTGTTCTTGTCCAGTTTGCGATGATGGTTGCTCTTGTTGTTCTTGCTGCCCTTCGCCCTCTTCATGAGGCTGTTGGGGTGTTTTATCGTCATTAGATGACATGATGTTTTAATATGGGTGTAATGACTTAAAAATTGACAAAATTACAATCATATGAAAAAGATCTACACAAGTACATGTGGCAATCCCTTTTGTTTTATTCTCTACAATATCGAAATAACCTTTTCCAAAATACCTTGATTAGTACCTACATACATTGCCCTACACTATTAACAAGTAGGGTGAGCTTCAAGTTGCAGTGACGCAATGGGGCACTCTCAACTGAGTCGTATTCCAATCGAGATTCAGCACTTATAATCCTGGATTGACCGGCATAAAGACCCCTGTCTGGCTCCCTTGTCACCAATCAATGCCCTTCCACACCGAAATCGTGCATAACCGTCTTCACCCTACAACACCAGTTTTAGCAACATGTCAGGGATGAAGTCATGTTTTGTCCTAGAGTCTTAGACAACCACTCTATTCACACGAGGGTTTCGGCTTTCTTTACTTGGCCATCTGAACAAGTTCTGTGGCTGAGAGCCTAGCTCGTGTCCAGCATAGTGTTCCCATGTGGCGTCAGCTCAATTTCATCATCTAAAATACGTCTCAACAGCTATAATGACGAAGCTCAAAACCTGTTTTGTCATCCCACACCACTCGAAAAGAAGCTAACAATCGCCGCGCACTCCGTTCATTCCCTCCCTTTGTTCCTGCTAGAACACGAGGGATCTTCAAAAGTCCCGGTGGAGTTCTTTCGTTGTACCTCTTAATTACTGCTAGATATACGTATGGCGCTTTCGACTCTGGGGTTGCTCACAGTCGGCGCGATACCCACAGTCATCGGCGTCGCGGAAGCAATTGACGCCCAGAAAAAGCAAAACCAGCAAGCAAAAGAGAGAATTAAATTCAAATTGACCGCAAAATTTTCACACGACGGTGTCTCGCCGCCTCAAGATGGTAACGTGGTATTCAAAGACAAAAAAGTAAGTGTAATATTTATTATGTGGGCATAGTTCTTCGATCCAGACTACTCATGTCAGACGGCAAATCGACTTTCTAAACTTGATAACAGCTCTACCTAAACCACCCGGCGTGTCCAGTGGATGGTTTTCCATTTAACGGCTTCTATTTTGGCTATCCGGGGCCAGAGAACCACCAAGGACTAGTGGCGCCCATAGCGGAGGATCCGCCAATGCTTAATTGGATATATGCTGACAAGGAGACGGGGCTTCTGCGTCACGGATCAAGGTCAGAGACTGCAGGACATACCATTGGGCCCTGGAGTTGGACGGAGGATGAGGAGTGGTTAATACTCGAAGGCGAGCAGTATTTCGTAGCAGTAGAGAACGACGAAGGGACATGGAATGTTCATTACGACAAGGACGGGAATTTAGATGAAATTCTGGATCGCGATGTAGTAGATATAAATCTCCATCGAGAATTACAGCTTGGTGTATCTAGTCGGTATACTAGAGACTGACGAGGTCTAGACAGGCAGACAGGTCAATAACGAAGGGGAAGGGTCTCAAGGAAACCATGGTGCCACAATACCGGATAAGGGTCCTAAACGATAATGGAAGACTTGCTCAATACTTCGACATTACATGTATGTGGCTTGCGTAAACTCTCAATAATACCTTATACTAAGGCCTCCACACCCTCTTTACCAGTTCCCCACCCCCTTCGGGAACCCGAGATGTGCTCTGCTGATCCCTGTGGCTTGACGTCAACTTCCAAGCCACCCGGACTTTCAGCAGACCCCAGCTGTCTCCGTATCAAAGAGGTAGGCTACGATTAGCGGCGGCAAGACATGGCCCTCTAACAAGAGAGACGCAAAACTTACGAAGCCAAAAATCAGGGTTCTGGGGGACCTAAATTGCTCTTGAAGGGCGAGACAAGTTACCTGATCGAGATCATTGGTGACGTATTATCCCCAAATATGACACATCCAACCTAAGGTACCTGTCAGTTCAACATCAAACTTGGACGGTCCTTCAGGATCATATTTTATGTAAATACGGCGGCCCGACAATGTTGTAGTTACATAGTTTTCTTATATATTATCCCAATATACTTATCGTAATTTCCAACTCTTTATCAATTAATAATTTTTCCACCCGAAACTCTTAGGAATATCTACTACGACCTAAAAGAACACTCCATCTAGACCTACAGATACCCGCACCAAAATGTCGTCTCCTACTCCCTCCGGATCTGGATCTAGGTCCCGACAGGGCCGTCGTCGCAGCCGCAACCAATCGCGACGACAACAACAACCCACTGCAGCGCAACCTGAGCCGCAGGACCAATATTCGGACGACGACAGCGCCGAAGACGTCGAGGCAGCACCGCAACCACAGTCCCAGCGACGCCGACGCCAGCGTACCCAGCAACCACAGCAACCACAACAACAACAACAGGGTGGACCACTTGGTGGCATCGGCGGCGTCGATCAGATGCTTCCCGTCGGTAATGTTGGAGAGACGGCCAACAATTTGACCAACACCGCGACTGGGACACTGGGTAATGTAGCTGGTGGTGTACTCAACCAGGGTGGTGGTGGTGGCGGTGATGACAGCAAGTCTGATACTTTACGTCTCAGACTCGACCTCAACCTCGAAGTTGAAGTCACTTTGAAAGCCAGGATCCATGGTGATCTGACATTGGCTCTCTTGTGAGTAACCCTATTTTCCTGCACCCCTAACCTCATGCCCTTCTTCACCACCATGTATCATTTAGAAACGTGTATTCCAATATCTTTTTATTATGTTATCTTCTGCTACTCCCCCGCATCACAGATGATACCCTTCTTGTTCTATATGCAGTTATTCTGATGCGCTTTTAAAGGGACACTGCTTGAGCATGACGAAAGAAAAGTTTCGTGTTTTGGAATTTTGGGATAGAATACGGGAAATAATGTCACACATACCTAGAATACCCGGGGATGACTTACGCGCACATGTACACTTGCACTTACATCAATCATTTATCTCTTTGATTTGTACGCAATTCGAGATTGTCAGTATTCTGGTCGCCAGAACTCGCTAATATATGTAGTAATTCTTAAAGATCAATGTGATCGTCAATGAACTTTCCATTGCCATCCTTTTTCTTCAATGTGGTGTCGGCCACTTTGGAGTCTGGTGGAAGTGATCGTTTTCAAAGAGGACCGTTTTCATTCATAGAGGGGTATAATTTTTCCTGCTCTTCGACATGGCCTGGTGCAAGTTTTATTTGACATATTCTTGTGATTCTATTGTTAATACCTACATTCTTCTTACATCGTATCTATTTAGTCAAATATATTTTCTTTACCATCCACTACTCTAATTATCTCCGATATGTCTCGCTCGCCTAGCATCGTGCTGGTATCGAAGGACAAGTGATAAGATATTCGAGTCTATCACCACCAATCGACTCTCTTCATTCATACCAATTGCTATAAACAATTTTATCCCCGGCCGAATTGTTCTGCATGCCCATGAACCACGGATCTTATCACTGGGCAAAGCTTCACTCTATGACTCGTTACCTACATTGCTACTCCAAAAGCAAACATTATATCCCCTTATATGTCCTTTATTGGCACGCAGCGACCTAAATAAATTAAAAATGAAGGTATATACAATTACTGCGACCCCACCGTCCAGATCTAATCTCCATAGATACCTAGGTATATACGAGGACCTCACCGAGCATCCCCATCAGGTTATGCTGTCACTAGAAACATACGAGGTCATTCCACAAGCCTGTTTTCATCCCTATAGATGTACGATGTCATTACGATGGCCGACGTCGTCGATGCGGGATCCCATATGCCCGAAGCGATACGCAGGGCCCTTTTGACTCCAAAACCATCTGGCCGGTTAAATGGGATTGCATCCAGGCCCCATATCTTCGCGGCACTTTGTCAATATACAATAGCTTATCCTGTGGTAAGGCTATCCAATAGTGGCTGAATCCATAAAGATTTAGCCATAAACATTAGGGACAAGTAAACTCGCCAACCACGTAGGGGCAATCGCTTGCGCCTATTATTTCTGCAGATAATCCACGGCCACGCGCTTATCGGGCCGTACTCCATGCTCATGACCTCCAAGCAATTTCGAGCCTGCGCAATGGGGTATGGGGAAAGCTGGGGAAACTGGGGAAGAGTGAATATATGCAATGCCGTCGCTTCGGCAGGGCATCCGAAGCTCCATACACACGCGCTTGAGGGGGGCAATGAACAAGCGCAGTTCCCGTTCGCGCAGGGCCAAGCATACCACAACATTAATGAAGTACCGACGAAACCTTCTCAGGACGAGAATTTATCGCGATACATATTGGTATTTTTGACGCGGTCGCTTATGTAGTGATACCTTCTTGAAGTCCCCCATTGGATATTCAAGTCTTGGGTAGCTGCCGAGCGTGAGAGGGATAACTATTTCGTCGTCGCGGAGCCGCGAGATACCGGCAGATAACCCCTAGCGCGTCTAAGATGTCGTCTCGGAGCGTCAAAGGGCTCAAATGGGAATAGCATCATGCAGGTAAGCCTTGCCATGTGTCCGTATTGGGTCACCCTGATGGACCCCAATAGGAGATACCAACCACGGACCTTGTTCTCCTATACTTAGAGTGGATGTATAGTGAGTCTTATCCATAGCTGACGTGACTACCAACACATGTCTGCCTATCCAATATCAGATGATCGACGTCCTTGATACGGCACATGGATTGACTCAAGTTGTAATGGTGTGTATATTTCCCCGGTCGTGGGATGTAGGCCAGGATAATCTACACCATAATAATCCCGGTGCCAACCTCTCCTACAAGTCGTGATATCTTCATTCTTTATCCCTATCTTCTGAAAAAAAAAAAAAACTTATTAAGTACAGTCTTTATCACAAACATGCTCCCTTACTAAATGCCTACCCCTCAACAAAGGGTGTTTCGCGAGAGGCCTAAGACCAACCAACAGTCACTACCACATCAACTTAACTTTATTTATCATTATTTAAAACACATTCAAGTCTGCCATTTTGGCCCATTCCTATATTGGAGTGGACAGTGGAAATTCGCAATGTATGGGGGAGACTTTGTATTTTTTGAGTGCAGGTTGCTCTTCAACAGAGCCACCACACAAGTGGGCAAAGGACGTCGTGCCGGCGTCTCGACGTTCCTGACGCTGCCTATTAAGGGCATCCTCAGTCAATAGTCCATAGGGTGCGGAACATATTTGTAAGTAGGTTTCATACTATTTTACGGTTCTAACGTCCTAACGGGTACTAGAGCACCCATAATTATATCCAACAAATTGAAAGTCAAAATGTCTACGACATATGTCCCCCCGACACCGGAGGTAGCGGCTGCGATGGAAGAATCGGCTGCTTGCCAGGTGAAGATAATGGCGAGCCTGATTGGATTCATGGGTCTCTGCTGTATCATCCTGGGGGTATTCTTCATATATCATTTCTACAAGCCATTGAAGAAGATCGATATAGAGTGCGGCGCCATCGAGCTTCGGATCACGATCGAGGAAAACGAGAATAAGTGGTGGATAGACGACGACGACGTAGTATAGAACACCGGTTACGAGATTTGGGTGAGGGGTGATGGATGTGAGAAGATTCAACATCGAATGTACGAGCACAACACGACGCGACGCGAACCATTTTACGAATAAATACAGCTCAATTGGGCAATGAAAGGGTGTATAGATAGACACTGGGGATTATTAGTACCTAGGTACACTTTGTTGGAAGTTATCAACATGGGAGATAAGAGTGCGGGATGGTAGAATAGGTAGATACTTGCCATTTGTGCATCCATTAATGACATCTTATAACCGAAAACCCATAATTCTTAATGTTTTAATTTTCAAGAGATTCACACACGTCGCATTACTTTTTACTTCATCATCGTATTCAACTAGGACGTATCCACTCATATCGTGTTCTTATTATGTACATGGATAAACTCCATTATTTCACTGAGGCAAGCCACCTCATCTTGGCCAAGCATCACGTTAATGATATACACCACTTGGCGTACTACAACATCTTGGCCAGAATGAAGGGCCATTCCCGTGGTAACCTTCCTACCTTTTATATCCCACAGGGGTGCCCCACACCTACGATGGCTGCCGTCCAGCTTTTAGCCACAACGTAAGGCAGGAAATCTAAGGCTAAAATCCCGGGATGGAAAGATTTCCTAAGCTTGGGATTGGCCAATTCGGACCTCGATCTCCCGAGAACCACCAATACAAATGCGAGATCTGCCCCATCAACGTGAAGTTGAATACCGGGTTTGCGGGATTCCATCTATTTCTGGGATCGACGCAGCAATGTTTATACAGCGAGTACTTCATCTTGCCATATCTCTTGGCGTCTGCCTCAATCTATCTCTGGCCAGCCCTATCGACTTGGAAGAGCTGGGCATCCAGCCTGAGCGTCGTGCAGATTCAAGTCTAGTTGGCTATCTCGGAGCGATCTTTCTAGGGGCAGATCCTTATATATATTTCTACCTCAGCTATAACAATGATCCCCTTTATTACAAGATCTTGAGAAGGGGACTGCCTATTCTACAACCGACAAAAGGTACCGGTGGTGTGAGGGACCCCTACATAGTACAGGGTGGTGGGGGCGAAGCAGGTCAAAAGTGGTATATTATAGGCACCGACTTGGATATCGGGAAGGTAAGTGAAGGATGTGTAGAGCACCTCTAAGATTATTTGGCTGATATTATCATAGACAAGTTGGGATGCGGCGCAACGAACTGGCTCAAGAGGAATATTCGTCTGGGAAACTAGCGACCTAATCAATTATACCGAAGACCGCCTTGTAAATGTAGAAGATTCGAGCGCTGGTATGGTCTGGGCTCCCGAGGCAATCTGGGATGCTTCAAAGAGTGGGTTAAACAGGCAAGCTGTCTGAACCAGGATAGAGCTGACGATTCTAGACCAATACTTGGTTCATTGGGCCTCTAAATTCGTGGGTGACTTCGTAAAATAGATACTGACTATCGCTAACAATAAGCTATAGTATTCCGCATCTGATAGCAAGCATACCGGCTCACCGTCGAACATTCGGATTAGATATGCGTACACGAGCGACTTCAAGACCTTCAGCAAGCCGCAGACGTACATCGACTACGCACCGACCAATATTATCGATCTTGATATCCTGCCTCTTGACTCGGAAGGGAAGAATTATTTGAGGTTCATGAAAGATGAAACTGCGAAGACGGTATTCGCAGAGTATTCAACGTCAGGCCTTTTCGGAACCTGGACTCGTGCGGGAGGAAGTAAGGGTACCATTGCGTCTGGTGTCGAGGGACCTGCTGCGTTTCGCGATAACGAGGATGAAAACAAAATCCATGTCCTTCTGGATTTCTATGGTGGGGACGGATACCGGCCATATGAGAGCACGGATCCAAAGGGGAACAAATGGACCGCGAGCGACCGAAACCATTTCCCTAGTAACATGCGGCATGGAAGCATTCTACCTCTTAACGAAACCTTGTACAATGCCATTGGCCGGAAATGGTGGGACATCGGACCCATCAGTTCGTGAAGCTGAATGCTACTCATATCAATATGGAAATAGCAAATCGTCAATCCATACAAAGTATTCTAAACATGAGCCGCTCGAATGCTGTGACAATATTATTCAATCTCCGGCTTTCGTTGATCTGGCTTCGTATTGTTCAAATGTGAAATGTTAGTTGAGGGTTAAAATGAGCCCTTGAGCCACATGCGCAGAGGCATACTCGACCAACTTATTGTGCAGGGCTGCACATATTGCACTGCGCGCAGGATTTGTAGATGTAGCAAGACGATCACCAACTGTCTTGCTTCTCTTGATTTTGGTATCGAAAGGGATGGGTGATACTATGACCATCGTTGTAATTATCAATAGATTCACCAACTTGCCCCATAGTATACTTAATAGGTGCTCTGCTTAGGCGAAGGACTTGGTCAACATTCCTTCCCGCCTAGATGGTAAGCGAGGTGGTATAATGGGCCCGGGGGCGGCGGATCCAGGACCCATGCAGGTCTCAGACCAACCAATAGCGGAAGAAACGCTTCATAACAGTGCTTGTACCCTAGGTCAATAACACCGGGCGGGCTTGCTACCTTGCGGTTTTACCATCGACCAAATTGCTTCATTGCGGTAGATGTTGTCAAAGTAGACATCTGACAACCGTGTAATGGGGGATGACGAGAAAAAACTAAGATCTGACAGTGTACCTTCTCCTTCACAAAATGGATGTTGAATCATGTTAGCGGTTCGACAAGTTGTCTAGTTCACTTAAAGCAGCCCTAACTATGGAGATCTTGTTGGGCAGGGTGCGAAAATAATAGATCGTAAGAGTATGCTAGACTTGACGGTTTCGTCAAAATACAGCTGATATTCCTGCTTGAGGCTTGGATATTAATGTGTTTTATTAGGTGAAACCAACGACGAACTATGAGTAATACCGGCAGTTTTGTTTCTCATACCTACCTAGGTAATGGAATGAATGATTGGGGAATCGTTGGTTCTATGAATAACATAATGCATTGTGTAACACGATCCATCTGAGATCTTCATACGTACGTAGGTACGTATGGCCAAGACATATGGATGCGTGTTTGTATCATGTGTAAATCGACTTCCGATCTAACACGGATGGAGGTTTGTATCAGACAATCAAGTCAGATTCGGAGCGGAGTGTTTAATTTATGTCAGGCGAGTGAGTTGTTTCGAGGGTTGGCATTAGCGAGTTAGCGAGTCCGAAACGGTGAAATAGGAAACCCGGCCTTTCGGAGTTAAATGACGAAAAACTCCAAGATCGTGCCGCAGGTTGTTTGCGACCGACAAATTCGGCGGTATTCAGCGTTGGCAGGACTGTATTAATTATATGCCAAGCAATATGTATATATTCCTTCACCTTGGTGACGTCACTGGACATTTGGACTAGTAGCAACATAAGGAATTAATCGTATGGCTCCGCGTTGGAAAGGATGGATGTGATGTTTCGTGGGCTTTTTGTTAGTTGGAATTTGAGGATGAGAGGAAAAAGGATGGAAAAGTTAGAAATCGAATGTAAAAGATCTACTTTAGCCACTTTAGGATCGGAGTTACCACGGTCTCGCGTTTCTTGCATGAAGATCATATTTAGCTAAACGTTACTGCTACTAGCGTTTGTAGGTTATACCCTTTTTGATAAGGCTAGGCTTAGCTTACTCATGATCTGCACATGTAAATGTTAAATGATAGGAGATACTTTGGTACTTTACGGTAGTTCAAGGTCCAGGCATCCTTGGCAGATTTCCTCATTCTCTCTCTTAATTTCACCAATTTCACCCAACTTTTCCCAATTTCAACAAAACCATTGGGAGATGAATTGCGACCAACCTAAAAGAGACAATCCCCACGTGTGTAACTGTGTCGCGAAAAGGAAAAGCCAACAAAAAGAAAGAAAGAAAAAAAAGAATCATGCTTATCAATTCCTTTCTGTCACAGGCACCCGATAATTCGCTTACTTAATTGTGACATGTGCTTACCTGCGGTTGTCCAAGTGGACGCCGACACTTCCGGTTGGAACCGCTATCCGTCACCTGAGCCAGCCCGAAGATGCGAAAAGAAGCGCAGGCGCAGAGGCGGGCGGCGATGGATGCTGAATGATGGACAGGGGTATGTTGGGTTAAGCTGGTGAGCTGGTGAGTCGGGACCCTTGGGATTTGCATCTGGACCCTAGCTGACCCTGGCTGATCCTAGGCTTACCCTAGTTCTTTTATTTTTAATCTACCGGATCCCAAGGGGAAGAGGAAAGAAGAACGGAAAGAATAAAAAAGCTTATTATATTTATTATATGAGGCGGAAAGCGGCTTCGCTAAAATTCAATTTCCATTATTATTGTTATTGCTATTGCCTCTATTTATCTCCCTTCCCCTTTTAATAATTCTCCCCAAGTCTCCGTTTTCAGCTTAAGAAAAGAAAGTAGTCTTTCTTTTATAACTCAACTATTCCTTGGCTACACGGCTACTCTCAAAACTTGGTTATTATCATCATGATATGACAACATACAACCAATATACTATATGTACCTAGATAATTGATACATATATCTAGTATACTTATTTCTACCCTTACCCATCAACCTTCCCTCATTCCACCTACTTGCTTCCTCGGGTGTTGCCGATCATGCCGTGGGCGACGAACCCCTTCTTCAAGAAGGCTACGAAGCCTCCCACCGATGTCGAAGCAGAACCGGTAATACCAGCTGTCGCCACCCCCGATTTAAATTCAAGTCCGCGACAAGAAATTACGCGAAGCATCGACGACACGTTTAAAGAGCCGACGACCAAATTCACGGCCCATCAGATATTCTATATTTTCATCCTCGATGGAATCGGTGCCATGATCTTATCCGGCGCTATCAACTTCGCTATTGCATATGGTAAGCAAATCTGCCTAATCCAGTATCATCCAACTCCCCGAATCTCCCCGATTGGATACGGAATCCCTTCCCGAAGTCCTACGCCGCGTCAGTAACAATAAGCCACGTTGGAATGCTAACATAGCCACAGCCATGTACAATACCCAAGATACTGCAACAAGGCCTATTCGGTTATTTTCGTTTCCAAACACCCTTGCTGGAGATGGCGGTGTTACTATTATCATTCAAAGTCTCGTCACGTGGCATATCGAGCTCTTCCTAGTAAACCGAGATCTAAGGAAGGGCGGCGTGCATCCAATCGGTTTCATCTCAGAACCCACTAACCGAATTATTCGTTGGTTTATGTTCCTAGACCGACCAAAGGAAACGCACGAAGTTAGCAGCCTTGTGCATTGGCTAAGCTTCTTCCGCTCCCAGATCCTACGGGCGCTTTTAGTGGCTGTGGTATCATTCCCATTTATCTGGGGTCCAAGTATCGGCTTCCTCACCCTTGCAGGAACACGGGAGGGCAATGATTGGTATTACGACAAAGTGTGGGCGCCACAGATGTTCAAACTTATCGAGGGAGGTGTGCTAGGACTGCTGACTACACCACCCATGGTGCTATTCTGGCTTACGAGATGTGGATGGGCATTGAAAAATAATGAGGAAAGTTACGGTGAAAGATGATTATCCAGGAGGATTCCAGCATCATTATAGAAGTAGGTATATACCAACAATGCATCAAGGAGATACCCGTCATCCCATGGTTTTCGGCGTTCGGGTTTGGTGTGGACCACTCATATCATGTGTGGTACCCAATGAGATACAGGTTTCAAGCCCCGCCAAATTAAACTGCGCGCAGTTTCCGGTTCGAGTTTTACAATAGGAATTTCGATATCGGAATCAGTGTTTGGCCTTCATGGTCTACTATCGCGCGCCGAACGATTAACGAGTCCCAGCGCCGCGCCCGAATATTCATCGACCGTGTGGCTTAAAGATGGTTACTTTTGCTGGGTCATCCAAACCGAAATATTGCGAATATGCTGCAAAGGAGCCCTTGTTCACGAGATCTCGGTCTGCGACCTATTCCCACGTTGTTATCAGTCTGGGTCCGCACCTTCTGATGAGCCCCACTAGGCGACCGAAATCCGCACAGCACGAGCGAAGTTCATTTGCTACGACAGAATTCTGTACATTGCGGAGCGGGGCATATTTTTCAATACAGCCCTGGAGGGTATTGATCTCTTGGGATATTGATAGGGTGCGCAGCGTGTTCGTGTCTATCAGGCGGAAGGGGATACATATCGGAGTTAATTGATGGGAACAGCTTCGGAGTACTAGGCACAGCTTACGAGGTTATGACCATGGCATACGTCTAGGTAGACGGTTTTTACAGGAACCGCTTAGATACCTGGATCATGGCAATGATAAACAATATCCCATATATATTCTTACGACCAATTTGTGGCTTCCCTCATACCGTTACAAAGGATCATCCCAGCCTATATATATTTTACAGTAGAGGTATCTTTTACTTGTTTCATGTGGTGATGATAGCAACGCCTTGGTCTTTGAAGAAGTGCTCCCAAGTCACCTCTCCAGCGCCGAAATTTGCACTGACAGCCAACTCCCTAGACACCCAAAATTTTTCCAACAATTTCCCAACAGTGTCAAAACTCCGCCACCCACGCCCAGCATGGCTAAACCACTGTCTTACACGTTGACGATCCTCCTCTTCTAACGCCTCACTTCCAGCAACGAAACCTGGCCAGCACGGTACAGGCGTTACGATGCTATTCTGTGCCTTGGCGCGTTGGAATTCAATTAATTCGGATATAGTACGTTTTACAAAGGGTTGGAGGGCGTATGAATTCATCTTTCGGATTCGTCGGTAGAAGAATATTAAAAGCGCTTGGTGCATCGCGGAGACTAGAGGACGCATAACGTCGCGATAGATCGTAGCTGGTCCTGGGGGAATATCTTGTGTTCCTTGGCCTGGTTCCCAATGAAATGCACAAATTTGGTCTTCTAATGCGCGCACGCGACTCGCGAAAGATGCAAGGGTATGCAATTTCGCAGATTGGAAGGCCAATTGCTCGCTATCGGCTTCGCGCGCCAGGGACGTCGCTTGCGACATGAGACTCATAAGGCTCATTGGAACTCCGTATATCGTCTCGAACCACACTCCATCACTTGATATCAGCTGGTCCACGAGAGATTTCTCATTTTCCGAGTTAGACGGATCCAAGGCGCCACCCCCGCCTTCACTAGAAATTGGGGGCATAATACCTCGGATATCTACTCTTCTACCACTATTCGTCGCAGATGGGTCCGCGTGTGGGTATATAAAGGTACTCTCTTCAATGATTCGGTTGTAGAGGAAGATATTATGGAGGAGTCGGACTTTCCTGGATCGATTGGGCTTGAGTCCACGAAGATGGATGGCTCGTTCGGCATCGAGTAGGAAGCATCTTGCTTCCTCCATACTGCCGGTTTGTACCTAATAATGATGTTAGCCTTCATCGCAAACGGTAAATTGATAAATATTGTATGAAAAATTGAGGGGTAGAAATTCGAAAATACTTGCGCATATTGTCACCATGCAAAGAAGGGTCATGAGGATGTGTTTGTATTTGGCTTTTGATGTGCCAAAAAATTCGGACTTTAAAGCAAGTTGTAATTGGGCTTTCGCATTTCGCTTGAATTGCTCCCCGGAATTTCGCCAGTAGGATTCGGCTTTATTAGTTCGATCAAGACCACCTCCGCCTTGCATGCGTTGGTTGAAAGTAGTACACCAATCTAGATGATATGAACTAATGGCTAGAATGGCATAGAGCAATGCCAACTGTGCATGCTTCACAGGCTGATCAACAAGCAATGCACCTGTTATTTCAAGCACTGAGGGGTGGTGCATGATTTTCCATGGGGGTTTCTGGTCTGGCAGTGGTGAAAAGAAGAAAAGCACCTTTGAGCCATAATACTCAAGAAGGTAAAAGGTATCCTTAGGAACCCTTTCCAGAATCTGTGAAGGGCGTAGGAATGGGAGATAATCGGATAAAGGTGATGGTACTGGGGGTGGATGAGACTTTGGACGCAGTGCCTCCGCATTAGCTGGACTACGTGAAGATGGAGCGGCGATAGGACCGCATGTTAGAGCGTCGAAGTTAGCACCCGGTAATAATTTCTCCCAGTCCTGATCCAGAACTGAGGCTAAAATATCCACACTCGCGCTATCATCATCACCTTGGATTAGAGACTCTAGATATGCCGCTGAAGGCGAACCAACAAAGAGTCCGGTAAATGACGACGTGTAATTGGCACCATGCCTTGGTAGATCCGGCGACGGGATCGTATCGGAGGGGTTAGGGACCTGTAATGACGATACTCCCATCTTTCCAGCCGCCTGCATTGGAAAGGCGCCGAAGGGACCCATCAAAATTGCCTCTGTTCCCCCTTCTGCCGATGTGCTCAGTAGCTGCATGGCATCATCGATGTCCATATCCTTGGTCGACTCAAGTAGCTGCTGACACATAGCCCTTCTTTCCTCCTCTAGGGGAATAAGGAAATTCCGTCAGTTTGAATCGCTAGGAGATTCCATTCCGAAGTTCTCTTCAACACACCTGTAGACACGGGTATGCGACGCGGGTGCGGTGCTTTCTCCGAGATCAAATGGTCATGAAGGGAGATTTCATCTTGATCAGATGATAATTTTCCAATCGGCTCGAATTCGGCGTTGCCCGAGTTGATCGGCATCCAAAGTAGATCGGATCCCGTTTGCTTGTAATGGCACTCAAGGCGTAATCGTTGACAAGCTCCGCACGCCGGAATTTCTCTATCGCATTTTACTCTTCGTCTCCGACAGTGGAGGCAACTGACTCGGCGCGCTGGGGCCGCCGCCATGAGTTGCTATTTCCGGCGTTTCCTACTCTTGATATGAAGATACGCTCAAGCGTGAAGCGAAACGATAATAGCTAACTCGCAACGATAGCGAAGACGTCGATTTAAGCTACGTAGGTATCGAAAGTAGGAAAGAAGAAAGCGATATCGAATCAAGGGCCTAGGCTCTAGGGAGGTAGATATCGCTGCTCATAGGAGCGGGGGTGCGAGATACAGGCGTAGATATCCGATATATCTCCAGAGCTATCAGATAATTACCCTGTAAATTTATGTAAGAGTTAGGTACTCCAGTTGGGGTCTTATCGCTGTAGAAGTTCTGTGTCGTATCTTTATTTCCACTATTTTCATCCCCTATTTGGATCTGGATTGGGTCCTTCATGCATGTACCGGATCGAGTCAATCGCCATTATCTTCCACCAAAATAGTATCATTCTCAACGCAAACCCGCATTCTTCTTTTCATACCTATAGGTTGTTTCAAATTTATTACCTATCGCCTACCTGCTTATGTTATAACGACCATGCATAGCAGTATCATATTATGAACGGGTGCCAACTTACTTGATAGGAATCTCGGGAAGTAGCCCATCTACGTCGGTACTTCAGTCACCTGCCTAAAGCATGGTGCAGGTTTACCAAGTTCCGGGTCAATTGCTGTAAGATACCTAATCTGTCACCTACCAACTCATGTGATTACTGCAGAAGTGAAGTTATAACCATTCGGATCATAACGTCGAGCATCACATTGCTTTCTATGAATAATGACGCCCGAAATCGCATCCTCCCTCTCGCTCTTCGCCTTCCTTCTGCATTTCCCCGCATTGACACCCAAGGGACTAGGACTTGGGGCTGTCGATACAAGTTAGGGGTATTCGCATCATTCTAAGCTTTCCAGAGCATTGTAGATGTTCACACTCAGTATCTTTCCAAATCGCTTAGTTACTCCTTCTTAAATATGACCACAGTAATCGATAGGCAACCTGCCCCTCCTATCAATCCTAGCTACAAACCAGACGTGGAAATCACAAAGCTCCCCGCTGATACGCCATATGGGAAGGTCCTTGAGGTCCTAGAGCGTGACGGTGGCGTTATTATTGAGAATTTCGCCACAGCTGAGGATCTAGAGGCCATTGAAAGGGAAATTAAAGAATCCAAAAAACCCGAGGATGACCAACCACACACTGGGTTTCCAATAATACCATCTGAGACACGCGTGATTTCTGGCCTTGTTGGGAGATCCAAAACAGTTGCGGATATCTGTGAGAGACCATTACTGACCAAACTCCGGGAGGAGATCCTAACGGAACATTTCTCCATCACCCGCGAGCGATATACAGATCACTATCGCATCGACCCTCTACTCAGTGTCAGCCTCTCATTTCAAATTGGCCCAGGTGCTCCGCGACAATATCTCCATCGTGATGACGCCACTCATGGTATAGATCACAGTGCACCGTTCAACCTGAAGAAGGCCAGCCAATTTGGATGCCTCATATCTGGATGCCGGACGACTAGAGAAAATGGGGCTACCATGTTCGTTCCTGGGAGTCATCGATGGGATAATAACCGCCAACCAAGAACAGACGAGTTATGCTTTGCTGGTAATTATAATATGATAGGCCAAGATAAATCTAGGAGGGTTTGGCTAACCTAGAAATAGAGATGGAACCTGGGTCAGCACTAATTTTCATGGGCTCTGCTTTTCATGGCGGCGGTCATAACTCAGTCCCGGATATGGTTCGCATTGTACACGGGCTTTTTTTCGTCCGCGGAACTATGCGGCAGGAAGAAAATCAATTTTTGACGATCCCTCACAGCAAAATACTTCAAATGACACCAACAATGCAAAACCTTCTAGGGTACAAGAAGCCACAATCAGCTTTGGGTTTGGTGGACAACAGAGACCCTACCGCCGACCTGGCGGGTGTGCTCCAAAGAGTGAAAGCATAATCATGAATACATGGAATGAATCTGCAAACATATGTACGTGCTTTAATGGGGGTTCATGCTGGATTATACATTTACGTATTGCGCCATTCGTCAATGTCGTTCGTTTATTCCTACGAGGATGCACTGTTCTTTATTTTTCATAGTCCTCTCTACTTCCACTATCGCCAAGCAGGACGCTTAACTGCCCAGGACAAGAAATTCTCTATTCATTTTTATTACCTGCTTCACAACTTGCAACGTACCTAGGTAGTCAACTTCAACAAGGACTTAGTAAATGTGAGCATCCTTTTGAAAAAGAAAAAAGAGGGGTTTTATTATCATTATTTTTTTATGTCATCGGTGTTTGCTTTTGATAAATTCATGTCGTAGATGTCGTAGAAGGCGCTTGGGGATGATGGGGTTCAACTAGGGACCCATGGCTTAGAATGATAGTGGTAAAAAGGCGCTACTGTAGATCATCCGAAGACCTAGGAAGCCCTAGTCTTAGGTCCCGCTCAGGTGTATCTTAGGCCTTAGCTCCTTGTATATTACCCCTGAATTATTTACGTCAGTTTCCACGCGACAGTCGCGCGATGTATTCATTTTCATATTTCTGACATCATACCTAAATGATCATTGTTACATATATAAATTCAGGAGTTGAAGGGTCAACCGATTTATTTCACACCTAAAATCCTAATAGACGATTCCGAAAGCGCATATGCCGCCGTTCATGACGATGGCGTCTTTAGGACAAATCGACCCTAACGCACAGATGACTAGTTCAATCCCTAACAAAAGGGTAAGTTCCAGACTAACGTGTGCTCCGTTATAAGGAACGAACACTAACGAATCAAATACTGACAGGCTAAGATCATTGATACTTCTAAGTTAAATGCCAATGAGCCCAAGAAACGTAAATCGCATCCAGTTGAAGAACCCCACGATATCCCCGAAATTGACGACAATGATCCCCGCCTCTATGAGATTCAGGACACATGCAATCAAGTCCGTAATAAGATTAGAGACTTCATCGGAGGTGGAAATATGAGGGTAGGCGAGTTCCAGAGCATCATTGGCGTGTCACCTCAGGCCTACCGACGATTCATGAATCAAACCGGCACCTACGAAGGAGATGGATGCGACACATATTTCAAAGCTTACACTTTCTTTGAAAAGCGAGAACTACAGGGTATCAAAGTCGCACCACCGAAGAGAACAAAGAAGAGTGAGGAGAAGAAGGCTATGGATGTTGATGATATCAAACTTGATGGCGAGGAGACCGAAGAAGTGCCAGTATACGACACATGTGATGAAATCCGTAAAGAGATCCGAGCTTTTCTGCGGAAGCCTAATATTAGTCAGGCTGGGTTCTGCCGAGAGATAGCTAAGAGCTTCCCTGGAAAGTGCAATGTCCAATCCAGACAGCTTAACGCGTTCCTAGGAAAGAAGGGGCCTATGTCAGGCAACACTAGTTGTGTTTTCTATGGAGCATTATGTATTTTTTGAGAAGCTTCGAATTAAAGAGGGTAAACCAAAATCGGCGATGAGACAAGAGATGGAGAAGATATACGAGAGTCAAAACGGTGTGAACACAACTGAACCAGAGAGTTATTACTGGACGTATAGGGATGATGAACGAGCATACCAGGATAAGTACGGACGTATGCATTTTGTTCGAGTATAAATTATTGAGATAACTAGCAACTATATAGGTGTATAACATGGTCGAAGGACGCTTGCATCGATTAGAAATACAGGATGAACATGTCTGCCGAGAAAGATACTGAAGTATGTTGACGCATATGCGGTATCCCCAGGTACCAAGGTACAGTAACATTAATGTGCCTATCATATATACAAAGTACCTATATGTACCTAGGTGCCTGCCTATGTAGGTACGTGCATAGGTAGGTACCAGGTAGGTAGGTGCTATAATGGGCTTGGAAGCTTCAATGTTAGGTTAGGCTAGTGCCTACATGCACTACCTTTCAGCTAATAAGGTGCCTGTAGGTCCGTTCTAGGTTCACTAGATCGTTCCTTCCCAACACTCACTACCTGACCGTGTGCTTCCGTTCTTTCCTCCGGGGGAGGTCTGACTACTGCCGAATTTTTATTTAACTTGCACTTGCCCCGTTCTCCTTCTTTCCTTCCTTCACATTAATTATACTTGTTAACACTCGTCGTCTTTCATCTCATCTATCCACGGTGATCACAGTTTATCATACGGCGTAAATTTTAAATCACCACTCGTCACGCCGAAACAATATGGCCTCCACCGATTTAACTGATGGGTCCCTCAATGCCGAGATCAAAATGACCGACAGCCCCACCCAGACCGATCATTCAGCTATCACACCTAAAACAACGGATCCGGATCGCATCGAAGCATTAATCGACGGAATGATGTCTACCACCACCAAGCCTGCATCCAACTCAGACGTCGTTAAAATAGCCTCTCTTGAAAAGGCGGTCCAGGAACTCTATATAGGACTGGCAACTCTCACATGCGGTGTTTGCAAAATCCACAATATGCCAGTGCCACCCGAGGCTTTCCGGAACGCAGATAGCGCATTTCTTAGCCGGTTCGAGACTACAACAGAGCAAGAGCTCGAGTTCAATCGCTTGATTCGTAACACCCGTAGCTTACTAGTTAGGGGTGAGGAGTTGCTTAATCAGGGAAAGAAGGAAAGTACTCATACCGATGCACCTCCTCATTACACCCCAAAGAAGCGTGCCTCGGCAACCTGGAGTGGGTTAATGGATCCGAGATACAAGTTCAACCGGGGGCCGGCGCGATCTGCGCAATCTTAGGCGGCGGAACATGCGGCAAGTCGACGAGTCTATAGCTAAACTAAGAGCGCCTTCACGCTCACCTATGAACACTATCATAAGCCCTCTTAAAATTACAATGATATTATTCTCCAAGACCTTAGAATAATTAAACTTCATTAATATATTTTATTTACTCTCAAATATTCCGTTTAGCATTCAAGTGTTTTTGGCTTGCATTTACATTCATCATGCTACCCACCCCGGAAAAAAAGTATGTAACTACCTAGGTACCTAGGTATGTAGGAGAGCAGACTCATTGGCCAGCTACCTACCTAGGCACCTAGGTAGGCATTCTAATTATTCCTAGTTGTTCTAGTCATGACTGATAATTTTCTTATCTAAGCATTTTTTTAAGCATTCGTGTTTGCTTGTTCTATGATCAGGAAGGGGCGGCGACAGGCATCAAGAGATATATGTACTTGATCCTTACCCTTGCTAAAGCTAGATAGTCATACAGATGATTTAAATACATGGTAGGCGCGTGTAGTTTCTACTGTAAATACGCATGTAAATGGGTACCTAGGTAGGTAGGTAAGCACCTGGGTAGGTACATGTATTCAGCCAGCATCGACAAATAGTTGAGGTCCGTTGTAGGTTTCCTTATTAGGCGTAGCTCCTTGAGATGATTGGCTGATTAACACTCAGTGAGACCGGTAGTTGTATTCCAATTGGGTATCGCACCTTACATCTCATTGATCTCAAACTACACTTGCTCAACTAGAATTTACTTAGTTGTACGATTAATCGAAGTGTCGAGTCTTTGCTATGTAATGTTTCCTAAATAGATATCGCGTACTACATTTTATCAACTTTTTGTTACCTTGGTGGTTATTTGCCCTATGCTAGCGACTTCTACTGCCATAGAAGCACGGACATACAGAGATAGGTAGTTACGTCGGTTCGTCTCTTCATGTTCCTTGATAGCAACTGTGGGAAACTACGTATTAATGGGCAAACCGATAAGAAATATCCCTATATTTTGTGCTAATACTTTTAATACGTTCCTCCCTCACCTTGTCCATACCTGACCCTGCACTGGCCGGGTTGTTACTCTTTCGTCTCTGGACATTCAACCACACTGGTTTTCCTTCCCTCTACAATATTGTGGCCCATTGCAATAAAAAAGCCATTCTGATTTCTCCCGGGGCTTTTTCTCTTCCCAGATACTTTTTTCCTCGTAAAGGAAAACCTGTGTGTATCTGAGAAAAAAAAATCCTAGGTTGACCTTCGGAGACAATTAGTACTACACTACTTCATTGCCCTTCTACGTACCCTACCGAAATCTACCTCGATACCATCAGCGACACCTTCTACACCTAATACCTTTTGATACCATTAAGAACGTTCTCTACACCCAATACCTTCCGAGGTCCTTCACTACCTTCATAAGTCATCGCACATTCGTGTCGTACCAACCACTCACCTCATATGCAAGAGATCTGATCACTGGAAGGTAAGTAATTCTAACCTGTATCATATTCCTACTACCGGTATTGGACTGGTCTTCGACTCAGCTCTTGTACGTATCGTGTATACACGATTCTACTTGGCCCGATAATTATTTTTCCGACCCAGACACCGCACCTACATTCATCAATACTCTTCGAGCTTAATGTCTTTTATTTGTGTATCCTATCCTATTTCCATATACCGCTGGTTACCACTTCCTTACGTTCCTTGCTGCTCGGCCGTCTCATATCCTACCCATCTCTCTTTTCCCGCCTCCATCAATACTCTTCAGGTCGAGCCTAGCTCTAATCAGTTTTGCTTACTATTACCAGAACCCTAGATCATGGCGCCCAAGAGAAAGAATAGCGACGGTGACGACAAGGCCCCCAAGAAAGGCAAGAAGGGTCAGGCCAAGCCTGAAAATGAGCGAGATCCTGAGGGTCAACCCGAGACCAAGGAGTATGGCGGTTACATCATGAAGAGCGGTCGCTGGAAGTGTGATACCGTTAGAGACAACGGTCAGGTTTGCCGGGGCACATCGAAGAACGGGGTCACAAACATTACCTCCCATTGGCGCAAGCATCACCTTCCCGGCTCGGCGTACAACAAAGACCAGGACCACTCCTACCGGTGGCCTTGTGTCATGGGTTGCGAGGGCTTGACCTTCGGCAACTGGCATTCGCTGCTCGGTCATCTTCGAGGTCACCACCGCATCACTGGTAAATCCGAACATCTCAAGTCGAAGGCGGTTGAGAAGATGAAGGCCAATGGATGGGATGCTCCCGATTCTGACACCGACACGAAGGGAAAGGGGGAGGAGGAGAAGGAAGACGAAGAAGACGAAGAGGAGGACAATACTGACTGCTCGCCCCCTTCAGGCCCTCCCAACCGCTTCGACCCGAAGAAAGATGACGACAACGGCAACGATCCGCCGGCCCTTGCTTCCGCAATCCCTGTCGTTTAGGGTTTCCGCCACTTTTTTTCATATGTGCGATTTCGTCGAGTTGGCGCCTTCTTGTGGCCATGAAAACGCGAAGATGCGGCGAGGGCAATGATGCGTGAACGCGAGCATATTGACGAACGCAAGCATATTGACGAAGGCGGGCATATCGACGAAGGCGAGGAAAAAGAACATGTTTTTTTATGCATAAAAAATAGATAGTGATTAGGGCAACGTCATCTAGGTAGTTATACAACCTGCCTCGCTTTCCCTGTCTCAACTTCGTAAATCCAACCACTAATTGCCACGTGATCGGGAACCGTGGCACTTCTCTTCAAGTAATTGACGTCTTCCTTAACTGCCTTTTCTAAGTCTTGAAATGGTAGGAAATCTAACGTAGCAATCTCGGCCACCGCACTATGCCCTAGGTTCTTCTGCACGAGACCGTGAGCATCCTCGTTGGAGAAAGTTAGCATGCCGCATCCGGTGTGCTTGATTAACACAATCTCTTTCGTCCCAAGTAGTTGCTCTGATATAATGATGGATCGCTGTGCGTCTTTTGCGCTGCCACCAGCGTTACGGATAACGTGCGCATCACCTAGGTCGATGCCAAAGGCGGCTGCTGGATCAATCCGAGCGTCCATGCAAGTTACTTGAAGATAATCAGCTTCTTATGCTAAATATATTTAAATTCCTGGATTTAGTACGTACGGATCAAATACTGCTTGGCTGGTGGAAGAGCGAGGTCCCCTTTGGTAAAATTGCTAGCATATTTGGCGTTTTTCTCAACAAGATTCTTTTGGATTGGAGTAGCCATGCTGAGAGCTGTTCACAGGACTAGGTATTTAGAGGTAGGCAGCTAAAATAAAGATATAATACATGCTAAATTAGTCGTCGTAGGTAAAATGCTGAACGCCCTTTTATACAAGTTTAGGTGGGGGTAACAAAGAATGACGCAACAGTTACTACGGGCAGCCTCGGTTTTTGGATAGCTATTCTCATACCAAGGCTCCGGTAAGACATACATAAGCATCTAAATTGATGATCCCGATAGGATATCGCCATATTGATCGTGATCACGTCATCATCCGTCGCCTTTAAGTGAGCATTTGCGGGGAATGCTGGGTGACAATCGGCGACGTGACGGAGATAACCAACTCAACATGCCGGAACAAAGGCCGAATGCAAGGGGATACATCGCCATATAGAATTTAATGGCATTGTACGTATGAATAGTATCATCGTCTTAGCCTATTGGTTGATGCCTTGGAAATATGCGGTGATAGATTGGCATGACCTCGAGGCGCATATCCCGCCGAATACCCACTTCAAACCGATATCAGGTGTGAATTATCAAGTTCTTTCTTTTCAACTACTAATGCTCATGAACCCTTTCTTAAATAGGTATATTTCGAAACTTGCGATGAAATGTCTAGAATATTTCGTTACGTTCGAAGATTAACGGGCGCAGAGGATAAAGCAGTAGAGTAACAAATACATTGTTTCTTTCCTTTTTTCACCCAGAAACATCAAGGTATTAATTGTAGATATAAAATAATACATAAAGCTTCGTAATACTCTGGTACTCGGTGTTAGTAGTCAAAACAATATCTTTTCGTGTCCTAAAACGATACCCAAGTAACGAGTGAAGTAACATGTTTCCTACTGTAGGACAACAACATTGTTTCATGCCCCCCACATGAGTGTATATATAGGAGTCAAGCAAGCACACCTCTTGCTACCAATCTAGACTATCCACAGACATCTTCAATTTAGAGCAAGCCTATGAGTCAAGAGACCACCAAGTCCAAATCTAAGAGACTACATCCATTGGAGCCTCCGTGCTTACCAAAAGTTCTCTCTCACAAACATACATAGTACCTAGATAGGTACTAACAGTCAAACCGGCGGCAAGCACGAGTAAGTTTGAGGACTACCACTCTATTCCCAGAATGTGTCAACAGTGTGCCTACCTCGTTCGGCAGAACCATCTGTGCGGTCATCAAATGACTCTCTACGTCGCACCCTCTTGGTTCTGCCTCTTTTACCCTCACACGGAAGATGAGTTCCACATGAACTACATGGAATTCGCCAGAGAAACCGCCAACTACAAGTGTGAGAAGTGTTCGATCCAAGAGGAGGCCGATAAGCAAGAGCTACGCGGAGTGGCGCGCCAGGAGTTCCTGAAGACCACGTACGATAATAGCTCCGAGCTCTTCGCGAAGGAGACGGCGAAAGATTGTATCGCTAAGGCGAACAAGAGCCAACAGGGCCCTTTCACTCCGCAGAAGATTGCCGAGCTCAACGAGCATGCTAAGAGCCAGGTTAAGTACTACCTCTCGCGTCAAGGTAAGGCGGCACTTACACCGTGGAAGAAAGCTGCGCTTCTCAAGACCATCGTCCAGGTTCCTGAGATCATCAATCGTAAGGAATTAGTCAAGACCTTTGGAGCTGCCATGGCTACGAACTTAGATGGCACACGTAAGGCCTTGAAGCACAGCGAAACTTCCTCCCTTAAGGGAATCGCACATCGGGCCGGAATGGCGAAGACCCTAGAAGAGGGCTTCAAAAGCCTGATCCCCGTGGAGAAGAAGTAAGGCAAATTAGCTAATTACATTGTCTACACTCTATTGTTTCTTGTTTCGGACTGCAGAAAACGGCTAAGCTTCGAAATTTGAAGTTGTAAAAGTAAGACTGAAGATTTAATATCTTTCTTCTATGTCCTCTCGTTAAATAGAATAATTTTGTTTGTTTAATAAAGTTTGAGTGTTTAACGTACTATTTACTTGTAGCTGATGCCTTGGGATCGATGTGACTTAAGTGTTTTCTAGCACCAAAAATGATAATTAATGATCTATAAAAAATGCAATAATGTGTTCTAGAAATGATCTCTATATATGAAAATAAGTTAAAACATTATTTGAATCTTGTCACATACGGCGCCTTATAATGTGTAACACCCCATGTTCTCGGAGTCTGGTAGTAGAGGGTTGAAAACTGCTCCGTGTCTGATTCGAATCTTAAAGCAATGGTTTGCTCTTTTATGAGCACGGGCCCGGTCGTGACCTAGTTCTGGGCTAACGCCGCAATTCGCGTGCAGTACGGCGGAGCTACCGTTGCACCAATCCAGGACTCATAACTGTTGCGATCGCGACGCCCGACGCCGCTGATCTATGCAATGCATACAACACATCATAAAACGGCAACTCTTCCTCGGGGTATTCTTTCGCCCATGACAAACCCGCAAAACGTTAAGCCGTGTGAAACTTAAGCTTCTTTCTTTAGTTCAACCCTGAATGTCCTTAGGGTTACACTCTGAGCTGACCCGTCTTCAGCGAGTGAGAAAACGAACTCGTCCATCGACCGGAAGCCGTATGTGAGCCTATCCATTGAACCCCATGTATTGCAGCTCGAGTCGGGCCAGAACGCGCTGTCATCCTCCTTTTCGGTGTCTTCCAAGCTTCCAACATCGAAAACTGCTCGCCAGGCAACCTTGCATCCTGCAGAAAGATTGGTGGGATATAACCGAACAGAAACAGGGAGATTTTTTGGGCCACTTGACAAAGCCCCATAATTACCATAGTTCTTAATGACGTCGACGTCACGAACGATCCAATTTGATACAGAGAAACCAGGCGCGTCATCGAGGGAAAGAGTAATTGTTGAGTTCGTAGTGGCATCTGTGTAAGTGCCACCAAATTTTGGCATAGCTTCGGCTTTACCCGCCTCCTCGATAGCAGGGAGTAAACCCTGAACAACCTTTGTAAGCGCTGAATCGACCAAGTCAGCATTGGACTGAGGTCCACCGGATAGTATCGTGATAACAAGGTCATAATCCGGGATAAGGCATAGCATGTTGTTGTAGGTGTTAAGGTTGCCAGATTTGCAATAGAACTCAATGAGACGCTTGTCTTTAGTGACGGTCTCGGATCGTAGGATTTCCCAGGGGCCGCCCAAGAGTAGGCCAGATGAAGATGTAGATGTTAACGGTCTCATCCACTTCCTTGTCTTGGATGAGTCTAAAATTGTGTGCTTGAGGATACCGGTTCCAAAAGAAAGAAGGTCGACCGTGTTTGAATAGAAACCGCCAGCACTACCTAGTGTCAGTAGTATTCAATAATGGATGGATACTAATACCTACATGTCCTCATATCCCAAGCTACTTCCAAACCAAGTTTCATTCACCGGAATGAAACCCCATGAATCCTTCTTTGGGCCGTTGAAGATGGTCGAATTCGTCATGGATAAAGGGGTAAAGATCGATTGCTTAACATAGCCATCATAGGTCATGTTTGTTATCGCCTCAACGGCAAAACCAAGTATGACGCTCGCAACATTGGAATAGACTGGATTCGTGAATGTGGCGTATACTGGATGACGTTTGCCAAAATCTCGAAAGAATTCGGTCCTATTGCAAGCTGGAAGGCCAAGGACTCCAGCACATCCGGTTTCCGATACATCGTTCAGCTTGGGTAAACCAACTTGAGTCCAGTCTTCTGGAACACTAGATAAGTCGGCGACAACTAACAATGTTTAGTAATTTATGATGCGGGTCGGGGCGATTTAGTTAACTTACGGTCTGCACCAATACCGCTCATATGCGAAGCAAGTGCGCCAAGTGTAACTTCGTCCCATCTAACAGTTGTGATATCATCAACTTCGTCCGTCTCGCCTTTGAGTTGGAGTAACTCAGGAACATATCGCACAATAGGATCATCAAAATTAACATTGATCTGTTGCAATAAAGAGAGAACTGCAAAGATCTTCGATATACTTCCGAGTCGATACACTGTCTGCGAGTCTATTACGGTGGTGCCGTTAGGGTTGAGGGTGGCAGGCGTGTGGTGGAGTTCCAAGAACGGATTGTCTTCGTGTATGGATTTGACTGCGATTGATATGCCGGTAGAATCGAGCTCAGCAGTGATATTTTGAAAGACATCCGTAACATTTTTTACGGCCGATTGGACTGCTTGGTTTGCTGTTGGATTTGTCGGGGCAGGTAGGACGGGTCCTAAAGGCGGACAATGCCCGTTAAGGGCGGCTAGAACCACGTTGCTAGCTGAGAGCGTCACGAGGAATCTCGCGAGAGAACTATGTCGGTAAGGCATCTTGAACCTGAGGAATTAGAGACGATGCTGATGAAGAAGACTGGGGGCCTATAATAAGTTGACAGAATGACAGAGGACTGCATCTTTATATATTTCTACCAGGTAATCCACCGCTACCTACCTAGGTATGTTAAATAATATTTATCTAGGACCAATAGCACATGCTCATTAGCCCTCCGGATGGGGGTAATGCGAGCTAGGTATACCGTTCTACCTAGAGCTTTCGTAGACACTGTCATTTTGAAATACTCAGCCACTACAAGGCAGGAGAACATGTAGTCAATTATCATAGCCCAGTAACCATGAATGCCTGGCAGTGAAGGAAATGACGAAGGAGTGGGCTGAGAATCCTCAAATCTGAATATGTATTATCAAATTATACAGCAGTTGACAGCGCAGTTCGAAGAATCGGGTTAAATCAGGGAACGTCTTAACAACAGAATTGGCCATGATGATTGGTCGGGTCGGTCTTTGCCCCATAGCTACCTAGGTATAGACCTGGATAGAGGCTCGGACTGGGATCCATCGACTGCGACCGTTCCCAACGGTGCCTAGACGGATACAGGGGATCGTCAGCCGCAATAATAGATGAACCTAATCAAGTACTAAAGTGGTCGTGTCAGCACATATCGGATTTATCTTGATGCTCATCTTTATACCTACATGTACCTATTCATCTTGCCCTATTGGCCAGCCTTATGCCTCTCCGTTGGAACAGGAAGCAAGCTGGGAAGTCATGGCGAGGTCAACGTGTCGCAGGAGACTAGAGCATGGCGATTCCTCAAAAGGATTATACACGAAGTTTGCATTAGATCAAAACTGACGATTTCCTAATTCCTTAACATTGTATTATAGTGCATCTTCATTAATATTTGATGGGATGAAGGTATCATAGATCAAGTTGTCTGATTATTTAGAGGGAAGAAAAGGAAATAAAATTGGAGATGGGGTAGGTAGAGAGGTAAAGAGCTAATTACAGTGCGAAGTCGGACGAAATATCTCTGTATTGGACAGCCTACTCCCCTAATCTTACCCTCTAATATCCCTATGACGTAGAGTCCATCGGAGGTCGGTTGCACTATAATGTGTCCTATTTTTAGAGTTACCAATGGCTTATCTTTTCCCGCACTGTATTCTGCAAGGCTATCGATACAGTAACCGATAAGGTTCTAGACCCCTGTCAACCTTTTGGAATTTCTTCAACTTGGCCTTTTTATCTTTTTATCTCCAGCGCTATCAATCACCTTTCATGATACCTAAACAATTCCAATCAATGTCAACAGCGAACAACAACAACAACAAAAAAGAAATCCACTCGTTTTACTCCGCAGATCCATTGCTTTACCCACAGCTTCGGCGATCCTTTATTCTAATGGCCAATAATCTACCATCTACTTAAGTTGCGATAGGATCGATTATGAATGTGGAGAGAGGATGGGCATCCTGAAATCGACGTCATCTCCCTAATGCCGGATTTATCCATACGAGATACAAACGGCGGCTCTGCCAATGGCAACCGCAAAGATGAGGACACACTTGATGATAGATGTGGGAGGAGCCTAGAGAGGGAGAAACAATATCGAGATAATTCCGTAGTCAAGACAACATCCAAGTATCCAACACCGCCGGCCGACCCTTTTCCTACCCTTGAAATCACTGCCTCGACTCCAGTTACGCCGAAGTTCGAGGGACGCGACACGGCCTTTAACACAAATGGCTCGAACGAGAAAGCGAGGGCTAACAGAACCGGGTATATTGTAGAGGGAACACCTAATAAGAGTTACAGTAACAGCAGCATCAGTAGCATCGGCAGTGTCAGCGGACACTCATCACCTGTCGCAACCTCCAACAGCATCCCCGATAAGCCTATCTCCAACCGAACTACCGAGTCATCTACCAAGCCGCGTACATATTCCACATCGAAGTCGGCTACGAAGAAGGCAAGCCATGAAAGTGTTAGGAAGCTCTCTGCTTCCCAGATGCAGGCCTTAACCTCGTCTCCTGACTCGTTACCTATCGCTGTCGTTCCTCAGCTTCCCCAACGCAAACCCAACGGTGCTGAATATCCAATGTCCGCTAGTGTTGCCGAGTCTGTAGCACGTCCTTCGATGTCAGAGCAATTACGAAACAGTATTCGAACACCAAGTACAGAGGAGAGTTCACCAGTTATACCAACACCTAGCGAGGCCCCGAAAACAGCAGCCGACTTTCGACGCCCACCCGCCTCATCGCGAACGCTTTCCACCCCTCCTATCAATAGGAGATCTTCTACCGGCCCTTCTACAACGGAGTCAAATGCCACCAGACGAAATTCGTTCAACCCTCTACCCCGTCCTCCCCCGCTGAATCTATCCTCCGTTGTGCCCAAAACTTCCATACCTCCCTCTAAGCCAGACCGATCCGATCCGTCGCCGCCGTCTCCCATACTACCAGCTATACCTCTTCCACCGATGTCAATACCTACCCATCTCCAACTCGAATTAGCTGGTCAACGCCCTAGCCCTCTGTATATTCACCATTCTCAGTCTGCCGATACGCCGTATGAATCTAGTGCAGTCAAATTTGAGCGGCTGCTAAATGCTCTCTTATTACCACCGTATCTCGAACATGTCTTGACTTTTGGCACTCTTGCTTGTCTAGATGCATGGTTATATACATTTACCATTCTACCTATGCGATTTCTCATCGCTCTTGGTGTGTTAATACAATGGTGGGCATACGTAGTGTGGAAGGAAGTCCGATGGGTTGTTGGTTATGTTTGGCAAGGCACTTGGCGTCTCTGGCAGAGAGGGAGGAGGGGGCGAGCTTCGTCACGCAACCGATCTGATAGCAGTCAGGCGGCGAGTGAATCCGAAAGAAGTCAGAGCCGAGCAAGAGAAAGCAGCACCAACATTCGCCAGAACGGCTCTGCAAGGCATCGCACCTCTTCTGAAGCAACAAACATATCAACCCAGGAGACCCCTCGGTTAAATGGGAATGGTGTGTTCCATCCGCCGAAACACCCCATGCCAGGTAGACTTGGAGGATTTCGCCATCGACGGACAAAATCGCAGCCTTCCAACTTGACATCTTACCATAAGGCCGATCTTTTGCAAGGGTTCGTCCTCATTTGTAGCTCCATGGCATTAATGAATCTGGATGCAAGCCGTATGTATCACTTTATCCGTGCTCAGTCTTCGATGAAGCTCTACGTGATATACAACATCCTCGAGGTCGGCGATCGGCTTCTTTCGGCTCTTGGCCAGGACATTTTGGAATGTCTCTTCAGCTCCGAAACTCTTTCGAGAAACAGCTCTGGGAGATCGAAAGTTCTCTTACCTTTTGGCATGTTCATCCTCTCCCTGATATACAATGTCATCCATACAATGTGCTTGTTTTATCAGGTTATCACGTTGAATGTGGCTGTGAACTCATACTCCAATTCCCTCCTCACCCTCTTGATTTCGAACCAATTTGTTGAGATTAAAGGAAGCGTGTTCAAGCGAATCGAAAAGGAGAATCTCTTCCAATTGACTTGCTCAGATGTGGTGGAAAGATTCCAGTTGTGGATTATCCTGTTAATCATTGCTATGAGAAATATTGTCGAAGTAGGGGGTTTGTCCGTTCTTGGAGCTGGGAGTGAAATGGACGGTGGCGCTGCGAAGACCGGTCCACTTCATACCAGCTCGAGTCTACCCAACAGCTTTACGGTGTTACCTTCATGGATATTGTCCGGCGAGGTTCTATCACCGTTTCTGGTTGTGATAGGAATCGAGATGTTAGTAGATTGGATCAAGCATGCGTACATCAATAAGTTCAACAATGTCAAGCCCAAGCTTTACCATAGGATGCTAGACATCCTATGTAAGGATTATTACACGAATGTAAGTCTTCTTTCATAAGAGAAGAGATTTTTGAATATGTGTCTTACGCGTTATATAGGCATTTTCAGCACCCTCACTCACTCGAAGGTTGGGTTTACCACTACTGCCGCTATCCTGCCTCTTCATCCGTGCTTCGATACAAGTTTATCATATGTTCCTTGCGACGCATCTTAGTCCTCCGATTCCAACTTCAACCACAGAATTATCAGTGGAGTCTTCGGTCCCATCCTCACCTGCTATGATTGCCGCATTAGAGCACCTAGACACGTTGCTGAGGAACGCTTTGGGCCGAGCAGTCTACGGCCACCCATACGAATCGCCCCATGTTCGACCTTTCTGGGCATTTTCTTCTGACGATGCAATTGCACTGCTTACAATGGTAGTGTTCTTCTTTCTCACCTGGGTTGTGCTTCTTATCGTGAAGCTTCTCCTAGGTATGGCTCTATTACACTATTCTAGAGAGCGGTACGCAGCGATGAAGGTTAAGGAACATTCAGTCGCTACTGGGAAGACGGAACGTGAGAATTATTCACAACCGGGAAAACGAATTGGTTCTTGGGGAGCTGTTGAGATCGGTGATGATCGTAGGAAGTGGATATACGAAGATGATAAAGAAGGATTGAAGAAGATGCGTGAACGAGAAAGGAAAGGAGAAGAGAAGTTTAAGGAGAAGGGCGACGATGGACTTTCTAAGGTGGTAAGATACGAGATGGTAGCTAAACGGATATGGTGATGCTAGCATTGTGATTCTTCTTCCGTTACCATCTCTTTCCACCTCGCATATGGCATTATATTCGCATTTTACGGCGTATAGCATACTCTTGAGCGTTTATTAGCATTTTAATATCATGGCGCTCATGCCACTAGAAGGCATTTTTCTAGCATTTAATATCAAGTCTCGATCACCGTCCTCTTTCCAACCACCTAGTATCAATCTCCACGTATTTATAGTGTATTCTCGCCAAACATGTGATGTCTCAGTGTACCGAAGCAATTGACACCATCATAATAATTCAAGAAGTTTAATTGCATACTTCTCAAATTCGATGCTCAAGGACTAAAATCCACATACATGTCGCTCTACTCATTCTTATGCGCCATATGAAATACTAAATATCAAGGCAATAATACCACTTCTATTATAGCACCAATGTAAGTGGTTATGATTTTTCCATACACCCCTATATTCAAAAGTCGCTTCGTCCACCGCTGTCATTTCAAATATCAGAATTCCAACCATTTTTTTACCTATCGCATTCTTTGTTGACTCTATTCTTGACTCTACCTATTGCAGGTACCACAGTATACCTATACGTGTACTCGCCCTAGCAGGTACATATGGTACATTTGAGTTTATACATACATAAACCTGCTCCCCATAGCAGATATAGTCGAATAAGGATGATGGAAAGTGCGGCCTTGTAGAATAAGAAGACTATATGACGAGGAAGCCACATCCCCGAATTCGCTAGATATATACAGGATAATAAGAAGGTTTCCTGCTAACAGCTGAGTGAGTTAAATCATATATGGCTCATGAGGCAACACGCCGAACACTTCGGGTACATCAACACCCGAAGGCAGTTTCAAGCATCGGATACTTCCCTTCCAGAGATACTTGGGGGTTGTAGATGGATAATTGAACGTTCGAAGCCAGCAATGGCAACCTTTTTTTCTTTCTTTTTTCATTATTATCCTCGTATTTCTCACATCTTGAATTGCCTTACTTCTTTATTTTCGGGTTTATTTTGCTAGAATCAATATGATGAGTCCACATAGTCCGGAACAACGTGTTTTAGACAGCATCGTTTCAATCGGTCCGTAGGCGAACACCGCCTATACTATAGTGGGGTGTAGGCGTATTAGTAAAAAGAATGGGGGATTGAATTGGTGGTCACCTACCTATTCTCATAGTATCTGTAGGTACCTAGGCAGTTGAGGTTAAGTATCGAAGGCCCAGAATTGTCAGGGGGGGGGAGAAAAAAAATAGAAAAGTAATAAATCAATGGTATAAATCTTTAATATGATATAGCGATACTGAACAGCTCCTAGAAATAACTACATTAGAGAGGACATAAGTGATTGTGCATCGTCTTCGCATATCCTGATAACCTGGAAAACTCCTTAAGAATACTGGCTAATGCGTGCAAAATACCTCCGATCCATAACAATTTAAACATGGGTATACCTAATCAATCAAGCTCGAAAAACGCCATATCGTAAGCGCCTCAGCGCCTCATTGGTATTGCCATCTGGATGCATACCAGGTTCATCAATCTCTTCCACCTCAGTCCGCCACGTCGTTCCCGTGAGTCTGCCCACCTCGTCCCATAAATCTTGCCAACTTGCGGCATTGTGCAGGTATCTCTTAGATCCTCTTGCTCCTTCATTGTTGCCTGGAGTTGTCGTCCCAACATGGCGTCCGAATATCATGACATCTGGGTCGTTCGGATTAAGAAATCGGACCATACGTAGAGCAGCACGAACTTGGTTCTCCCACGTAAAGAGGTGGAAGAAACTTGTCGCATGGATAATGCTCATCTTTCCATCCAAGATCTTGAGTCTCTCATCGCCTTCGCCATTCTCGCCATCTTGGCTAAGCATATCACCAGCTACAAGGGTTGCCTTGAATTTATTTCGGTCCTTGAAAAGGTCGTAGCCGGCTTCTAGAAATCGAGGTTCCAGATCTGTACCATATAATCTAGAAGAATCCACGCCATCGAATGCAAGTTGTCGTAGTACCTGTCCTACGCAACAACCGACATCAAGAAACGTGGCCTCGGACTTGGGCGCAAGAAGTCGACTTAATGTTATTTGGTACCGAGGATCTAATGTGAATTTGAGGGAAAGGAAGCGGAAGTGGCCGATGCAGATATATGGATATATCTCCCATAACCGATCACGCTGAAATAACGGTAAGTACTCGTTCCAAATGGAGAAGGGGAAAATGAGATCATGTTGTACATACTATTTGGTAGATATGTTCATCGACATCCTTCGCACGGATACCGCTGTACTTCTCTAAAAATCTCCTAATAGGCTCGATATCCGGGGGTAATTCTTCGATATAGACCCTGCCCTTCAATATGTAATCCAGGGACCTATTAGGTTGGTGTTTCGCCCTTGCATTGCTGTCTCCAGCTGCCATCGCACAACGACTATACCGTTGGAGGCGCGCAAGCAGTTTGTGCATAATCCCAGTGGGTTGCGGGACGGAACGGGACGGGACGAGACGAATAAATTGTAAATCCCTCCCACTGGTTTTTAATCCCTTACAGCTAGCCGGATACTCTTACGCAATTCTCTTCCTGGATGGGGGGGAAATGCGCATGCTATTCTTCCCTGCTATTCAATGGGAAATTTGCCGATTTCGGTTCCGAAGCTACGGTGCGGATACTTTCCAACGGGATGGATCGATCTTGTCAACCCTCGCGGATTATTGCCGTATGACCAATGATGAGGATGTGATATGTAACGTTGTGGTTCTTATATGCAGCGGCATGTCTTTTCTAGGCCGGGAGCTGAGGGATGTCGTCGTCATATAGATTTATTCTTTCTTTTCGCATTTATCTAGGCTGACGCTGGCCGAGGTAGCATATGTCTTATGTCTTATTTTCTATACGCGATGCGAACCTAATAAGAAACTATATGCGGGAGCTAAGGCGGGTAACGGGGGGAAGATGGCGTGTTAAAAGAACGAGCGGGCCAATAGAGCTTCGTAAGTAGACCACTGGCATGTGCAGATCTGGAGTATGGAGTATCCTGTATGGTGGTCTAATTAATTAGGTCAGCCTATAATATGCTAGGGAAGGGTTGGTACAGCTGAGACTATGTTCTATACGTCAGGTAATTTTACCATTTGAGGGCGGTTATAGGGCGGCGTTGCATGTCTCGTTTCCTTACCTCTATGATAGTAATGGTACAAGATCACAATGTTAAGTTCGCGACTTGCCTTCCTTGATAACTGTCTCTCTCGGGGGGTTCGAGGTAATATCTCCGAACAAAACAATATATACAATGCCCACAAGATAGTTAAACGATGCCGAGGTTGTTGGTTCTCAATATCATATAGTTCGATGGGGATATTATTGTATCGTTCGATTTAATAAGGCTAGAACATCAAACTATTCCCAGTAAACGGAGCCGCTAAGAATTAAGATATAACGGGACGAGCGACCCGAAGCAAAGGAAAAAGAGCTAGTATAAGACGAATCAGGGATCTTCCCGTCTCACTAACGCAAAAGGTGTTCGGTTGCTGGCCGGGACAGGATAGAATATTATTTTGTAATGAGGGAAGGATGTTGATTATTTATTCGTCAATGTAGGATTTTATTTACATTCGTAAGAAATCCTCAACCTGACAAAGAAAAAAAAAAGCATGTCGTGGCCCGTCTGATCATCCATCTGAATCTGACACCATTGATACCTTAAACCTGGTAAATCGGATTCGACAGGGTTCCTGAATTAATCTCGATGGTACGGCAGAACGGAAGAGAAGCGAGTCATTCCATATAAAGCCCTGCAGAGTGCTGTAGAGCCCTGTAGGCCCCCGTAAGTTACGAGGCATGACGCAGAAATAGCGGCGCAGCAAGACGCCATTCTTCCAATTCCTCGGCTGCTACTTTGCTTTGTATTTTATTTTTAACAGTGATGTTCAGCCCCCTAAACCGCAGGCATATAAGCGCCGTTCGCTATACTACATTGGTTCGACCCCGGAAAGACACTACAGATTAGGGCATCCATACTGCTGGGTCCATATGCCTCGGCGTACCCACGGAATAATAAACCCCCTTATTTTTCCTTGGTTTGCAGTACGAAACACTGAGGCGTCCAGGGCGTTCTTAAGGGAGAATATGCTGATCATTGATTAAATGTCTTGGATACTCAGTCTCAAAAAGTTATAAATTTGAATGCTTTAGGTAACGAATACGGGAATTTCTTATGACCTATTGGTGCTAAGTCGTGAATATTTGCTGAAAATTCCATTCATAAGTTCTACATCGGCGTATTTGTATTCACAAATCGTAGGAATTGCATTGAATTATGCCAGACTTTACGCATCCAGTATACTATAGTGCTCAATACACTATAAGATCCACTAATAAGCTAATTGTTATCCCCTATTCAACCGCCCTCCAGCGTTGTTCTAACTGTCCAATAACGAACACAGCGCTACCATTAGTAACACTAGCAGATACGTTCTGGGCTTGTTGACTGTACATGGCGCCCTGTAACAGATTCATGTTCGCATAACCATATCCCACACCAGCAGCACCATACGAATATGAAGACCCATACGTGCTCTCCTGCATCATCCCAGCCATGTTATAATATGAGCTGGTGATATTGAGCATTCTCTGCTGTTTCAACGCCATCTTAGCCCTGAACAACATCATTTTCATTTGCGGAACTGTTTCCGCCCATACTAATCGTCGTTGCGCCGAATATGTAAGAAGCGGTACTGGCTCCGGCGGCGATGCCTCGCTGCATTCCTTATACAAGTTACGCATGCGCGGGCTATACATTTCGCACATTACCGAGTTTTCCAGCAGCGTATCATTAAGGTCCATTTTCGCTGCTAACTCCGTGTGTCGCGCAAATCCGTGATGACACTCTGGGCATATGGTGCAATCCAACCATCCAAACCATCGCCTATTTTTCGCATCTTCATCACGCGGACATGTCGGTACAGACGAATAAACCGAAGCGAAATTATCAAACGGCGTCGGATCAAGCGTGTAATACAATTGCAGAAGTTGTTTGATATATTGTCCGAAACGAGGATTCGCAACGCTGAAGCAGCACCGCCATTTCGTTCCAGCGGGCTGTGCATCGCCTTTTCGCCTAAAGAATTGCGCTATGTTCAGCGGTTCGGCAATCGCTACGAAACAGCCAGCGCATATACCGAAGTTTTTGGGGTCCGAGGGTAATGTGTACCAGATCCCATCTTCAATACCGTCGTCTTCGCAGAATTTCTCATGACTGAGTTTATGCACAGCTGTCCAGAAAATCGAGAAATTTTTAGAATCTTGCGCGCTTGCCATGGCCATTTTAATGCTGAAGATGCTCATCCCACATTGCACGTATTTGTCGGCTGAACGTGTATAGCTCTCCGCAACCTCCCAATTCTTTTCTTCGCCTGAATGGATCACTTTGTCGCAGTAACACCCAGCGCAGAAAACTAATCCGTTAGGTCCGCCTTTAGGTATGAACCATTTCTTATCATAAGTTAAGGCCTTGCGCCCCGGGCAAGCTGGTATCGACAAGCGCGCTTTCGCCTCGTTCGCGAAACCAGTCCAGTCATTAAGTTTACTTCTGGCCTCAAATTCTTTTTCGACGAATGGTACCGCAACGTCGCAGGACCATGTTTCACCCACGGGATGCGGATGTGTGGGCTCGAAGTTGGTAGATAATTGACTGGTTAGAATAAGATCTTCGTAACACGCCTCACAGGTCACGAAACCGGGGATAGCATTCGATTTCGCTCTATACCATTTAACACCAGCGCTTCCCTTCACACCATCCGTACCCTTGCAATCCGGTATTTGTAGACGGGAACGCATCCAATCTAGTGCCAAATCCAGGGAGCCGCTTGAGAGCGCGGCTTTGAAGAGGTGGTCCTTCATCCTTGGCTTGCTGAATCGACATATACGTGCCCCACCATCGTCGAATTTCTTACTCTGGAAGGAGTTTTGGAATCTAGTGCCGTGGATATGGTCGACATAACACCGTGAACAAATATGGAACTCGGACGCTTTCGGGTGCCAGTACCAGGTTGTCGCGAATGCCATCGGGGTGTCGATACAGGACGTTACTGCGGGTGGTGCAGGTGCCGGCGGATTTATCCTGGCGGAATACCTGGTATCGGGATAGATTTCCGTGGGTCGTTCATAACTCTGGTAGCCAGATTGAGGTGTTTGGATGGCGGGTGGAGATGCATTTTGCAAATGGTTCGAATTTGGTCGCTGAGCTGATACACCCTGATATGAGGTAGTAGGTTGTGGGCTGGGCACTGGCGGATTTTCTACTGATAGAGATTGGAACCGAGCCTCCAAGTCTTCGGGAGACGTTGGCGTGACTGGGGGATGAGTGAAATGCGATCCGTGGTTGGGTGATTGCGGGTTCGATGTTAACGTATGATACGATGTCTCTGGCGCCTGGTTGCAAGGTGCCTCTTCTGGGGGTGTATACAGAGGGGAAGCATATGAGGTAGGCGGTGGAATAGGGGCTGCATTTGGAGTGGCGTGAGGTACATAATTCGGCGTATAAGTCGCGGGCATATCGGTAGATGGCTGTGAATCATGGCTTATGACTGGTTTCTGCGGAACATGTTGATATTGTTGGAATGAAGCCGGGTTATATGGGCTCAGGGAACTATTATTTGGAGGAGGCGGACCCGGAGGAGGTGGTGGAATGGTGGTCAAACCGTGATAATCCTGGACCCCAGGACTTGTCGGCGGTATATAAGAATATCGGTAGTCTTGGCTTTGGCTAGGTGTATAAGGATGTGCCGGATAGCTAGTAGAGGTTGACGTTGCTGTTACTGGAGGAGGTCCCGGAGGCGGTGGAGGAATTGGGAAGCTTAGTATGGGCTGTTGGGTTGAGCTTTGTTGTGCGGCAACAATCTCATAGCCAGGTGGCCTTGGAGGGATTGGTGGAGGTTGAGGATCCGGTAGGTAACCCGGACTTTGAGGAGGGGGTCCAGACGGAGGCGGCAGATAGTTCCAGTTCGGGTAGCTCCCAGAATGAGGGGACTCGTTCCCGGCCGGCCTAGGACTCCTGGGTGGGAGCGGCGGCGGGCAACTAGCTCCGTGATAAGACATTACCTATCCAATGTCAAGTCTCAAGTCCTCTCGTCAAGCCAGTCGCCTTGACGAGGTGTGACTCAGCTGATCTACCTAGTATAACGACCCCTCGAGATTTACGATGAACGGTATGTTATGAGGAGTGCTATATTCCAGTTATCTGCCAATAGTACGTTACCACTAGGCACTGCCGGTTTTAATAGACGCAATGTTTGCAGTGAATGAGTATAAGTGAGGAGGTGAGGCATAATTTATTGATTTACGAGCAGTGCGGCTGGAAATAGCCTCAGCTGAACTACACACTAAACAAAACCCATAATAAGTCGCCCCTACACTATCGGCTTGGCGTTGTAGGTAATTACTAGGTAGACTATCGCGAAGACTTACACAGCATATGTGGTTTCGATAACAAGGTCAATGCAAAGCCACTCGCTAGGCTTCAGCTGGCGATGGCGTTCCTCATTAGCGTATAATGGTCCATTAGGCGAGGCCACGGGCGTTTCCAATTTAAGCATCATTCCGTATCTTCCCCAGTATTCTTACATTTGAGATCTTGGTTGTCTAAGAATACTCGCAAGTTGGAGAGTTAGATAGGTTTATTAGTCGGAAGTGGCCCGTTGTAAAGTCGGATGGCGTTTTGGTTAATGAGGATATTTATAAAGCAGATGATTACCACGTTTCAACTGTGGATGACGTTTTTCGAATGGTGCTCCGACGTATCTCGATGCTAACACCAACAGGGTTTAAGATTGCTAACCGATTGGCGGGATAGAATTTCTACGCACGGGCAGACGGACAGACGGGCAAAACGAGGGGTTGCCTCTCGGGTCCCATGATAACCGACTCTTGAGAAGTAGATAATGATGAATAAACATGTTTGTTTCGTCCATCCTGCATGAACGGCGTCCCTCATGTCTGATTTTTTGGTAATGTCGTCTGGCCTGGACATTGGAACGAAGGAGAAAGTAAAAGGGGTGAATGTTACGTCGGTCGACTAACGACTCGAATTGTGATGAATAAAGGAATAATTTGTGGATTCGCAAATTCCGAACGTTCCATGGCCGATGCCGAATATTTAGCACCGGTGGGAGAAGGTCAGTTGACATTTTGTATTGCATTGCGTTGTACTGTACTGTACCTAGCCTGCCCAGTATTACGGGCCGTTCAGCTCCTCTTCCTCTTCGGATTTGGCGCCTGGTATAGGCTAGCCCTGACTCAAGCCAGCTGCTTAGGAGACCGCTGGAATTCCTTTTGTTGGGCGGGAGAAAAAAAGAAAGGCTAGACGATTTCATCCCATGAGAAGAGACAAGCGTGATAAGTAACCTACCCCTTGGGTCATATTGTTTGTGCGGCGCGACAGTTGGATCCATAACCATCCCTCTATCATTGTACTCGGATGAATTCCGACGTCTGTACCAGGTTAGTAGGTAGGTACTGTACTGTACTGTATGGTATCATTTTCTATTTCTATTTCTTATGTAGGTGGGATTATAGGTACCTGGGTAACGATGAACAGCGCCGCAACAATGCCGCGGGCAGCGCTACCTAACCCCGTCCGTTCCCCCTCTCTCCGGTCCTAAGACTACTTAGGAATGGGGGTTTTTACGGCGGTATGAACAATTCTCTGATTGGTAGACCGGTCCGGATAGTAGAACGGTCAAGTATTCCGAACATATACATATAGATCTGCAAAAGATGGATTTCCAACCCTTAACCCCACGTCTTCCAACTTGCAGAAATGGGGATATCAGATCACATTATAATATTGTTGACGCGGCTAAGCGATGCTGGGATTCTCTCCTCTTTCGAATGTACTGACATACGTATAAGTGACGACTATGGCTGCATGAATGATAGAATAAGGCTTTGATGATTCTCGCTTTGGTATGCGCCCGTAAATGGTGCCACCAGACAGTTGTCAGACATACATATACAGCTATCATATCCACTTATATCTATCTCTCGTCGACAAATTACGACTAAGGAGGCATGTAAGTAGGGTGCACGTAGGCTGAGAATAAGGAATGTTTGTTGATGTTTAGGGGTATGATGGGATGATTATATATGTAGGTGGTCAGGTAATGTAAGAGGTGAGGGAAGAGGGAAAGAAGGAGTAAAAGGAAAAGAAAAGTGAAATAAGAAATAAGAGACACTAGGTATCTCCTTCCCTCTATACTGTGTTATGCTCATGCTCATGCGTGATGATCACGATATCAGCCACTCTAAACTTAATACTTGGACGAAGGAGCAAACATTAGGCAACTGCATACCATAGAAATAGGTACATCTTAATGAAATCCAGGGATCATCTGAACTTTTGGTAGGCCATGCTTTCCCAGGAACAGAAACTAGAACCAGGTGGTACTTTGTGAATGGTTGTGGGGTTGTACTTGTGTTTTTTGGGGGTGATAAGCACCGTCATTTTTATTTTTACCACTACTATCTACATGTATCTGATACATACAAAGATGCGAAAGAAACTATGTAGTTTTCGCATGAGATTTCTTTTTTATAAGGATAAAAATAATGACATTGGTCTTATCGAAGTTTTACATAATTGCCACCTTCGCGGTTGCCGCCCTTGTTTTCTTGATTGCTAACAGACTAGTAGTAAGCGGACACTGTGACCCCCAGCTTATAGTGGATACTACCTTCAATGCTCGGTACGTGCCACATATAGCGCGCTACAGCGAGGCTGGATGTACTTTTTATGAGCTAAGAAACAATACTAACATGAAGGTACCTCTTAATGTACCTAAAAACTGTTAGGAACGTGCGGTAGCGCCGCTAATAGTTGGCACTTGCAATTCTTTCCTAGCCCCAATGCCGTTGCCTTCTCCCCTCCTTGAAATCTCCAGGGCTAACAATTAACTTACAGCCCGTTAAATCATTTTTTACCTTGACCTTGCCTTGCCTTACAAACCTACAAACCCAAAAAACCCTTTTTCCCATCAACCACCAAAAAACACCGAACAACATCAAACCCCCCTTTGGTGTCCACAACGCGTATCCGAGAGGCCAGACCCACGATATGAAATTCGACAATACTCGACACATTCTCCAACTACTACTCTGATCGTGATATCTGGGATTACTACAATATCAGAACAGAAAGGAACCGAACAGAACACACACGGCCACGCCTGTTCGTTGTCGCAGTGCCGCCCATTCTACAATCTACATTCTGTTTCTCCCTTCCCTCCTTACCCCCTTTGCTTGTTCAATCAAACAAATCCATCCACTACCCCCTCTCGTTCTTGTTGTCCTCGCTTTCGACTTTCGCTTCGACCTCAAAACCTTTAAGCCACCGATTTCCGTCGAGTCGATATCATACAATACAACAACACCTTACGACCCGATATTTACTTCCTCGCATTATAATATAGACAGGTGGCGTATCGTCTTGTATACTAGCACGACTAGTTCCCAGATATACATGCTTTATAATCAGATAAAGGAGTAATAATGAGGATACCGGTACCATCCTCCGACGATAGGATGGATTCCGGCCGACCTCGGTCTAGTCAGACTACGGTATCTGTCAACTTTGACGATGGCGATTCTGTCTCCCCGCATCCACGTATTAAATTCGGGGTTGCGGAGTGCATCGAGACCAAGACGGTTACAACCACAACCACGACCAAACGATCCTATCCGCCTCTTCTCGTACGAGAGTCCAAACCACTTTCGTCTCTCGACTCCAAGGAATACCCCCTAGCCTCGAAGCCTACTCCTCCCGAGTTGGCTAAATTTACTTTCAATGTCTCCCAATTTGGTGGCTTGTCCTGGCCTGTTGATGAGGGTATCGACAATCACGATGTATGTTCACCTTTTCCTTTTCTAGTCATTACTATTCTTTCTAATCACTGTCGTCCATATTACAGTCCCAATTATCTACTAGTGATGATTCTCTTCAAGAGATTAAAACGGAACCCGGATTAGATATCTCCCATTCACAAACTAGCCGGCAATCTAGGCCTTACCTACCGCTCTCATCGCGCAGGTCTCACAGGTCGGGCTCTCGAGCAGCTTCGCCTGTTGTCAGCGGATCTATAAGGAAGAATTCGCAAAAGCAGCCGACGCGATCTTTTACCCCGACCCTCCCCCATGCTGTGTCAGATAAACTACGCCGCGCCCTCAGTCACGGCCCACGCAAGGATGCGATTAAGAATAATACAAATAGGGTTACTGGTGGTTTTCCTGTTACTCCCGATACTTCTGAGTTAACTCCTATCGACACTCATCGACCCCTTAAACTACGCAGCTCGCATCTCGACTCGTTTGAGACCCCCGAGTCGAACAACACCACACAAGAACAATCTTTCTTCGACATTTCGAGTCCTTCCGGTAGTGATTCGCACACCGTCTTTGGCAGCAATGTGGCTACTCCCCCCATTACTGACGCGGATGCCGATGCGGAACCGTTTGCCGACGCGGATGCCGATGAATCCCTTCAACAATCCATTCGTGCCTTGCATCACCCGCGGCCGATTAACACTCTCGCCGCTCAAGATGCAAGCCTACCCAGCCCACGTCTATCACCAACACTCCAGGCTTCCAGAATTCACGAACTTGATCAAGATGAGGGCGACAACACTGTGGATGAAGAGGTGTCTCTTATTTTCCCCGAGGATAGCCAGAATTCGATGGACTACGAGTCCGGCCCGACTTCTGCCACGGAACCTTCGTCGATGCTCGTCAAACGTTTCGAGGATGCTTCCCAATCTTCCCAGCCGACGATAATGGATACCCGTTCGATGCTAGAAACATTTGATTCGATGCCTGCCGAGATGAAATCGTTCATGATGTATCAATTCTTGCGAAGATGCTCCAGAAAGACACTCCATGTCGTTGCTGATGTGGTCAACCCGGCCCTAAAGTGCGACATTTTGAAAGACTTACCTCTTGAGCTAACTCTCCATATCCTTTCTTATCTAGATTATCGAGATCTCTGCCGTGCTGCCCAAGTTTCCAAGTATTGGCGGGGTATCATCGACAGTAACGAAACTGGCTGGAGGGAGTTATTTGATCGGGATGGCTTTACGCTAACCCCTAGCGAGCTCGATAGAGCCATCAGAGAAGGTTGGGGCTGGCAGGATCCGGTTGGACCCGAAGGTTGCGAGCGCGATTTCAGCACCCAAGCTCGACTCACATCGACCGAGACAGAGTTGATTCGTTCCTCAAAGCCGGATCCGCCTCAGAAGTTACGTTCTTCAAAACGTAAGAGAGCCTTGAATGGCATTGGTTCCGAGCGATCGAAACGAAGGGCAAGTGCACAAGAGATGGCGAAGGACGAGAAGACATACACCGGTGAACGAGTCCACAAATCCGAGGGGCCTTTGTCTGCCGCCAATGCCGCTGCCATGGCCGTTCCCGATCCGCATATTGGTCTTCCGAGCCTTAGAAGGTTGCACCTATTTAAATCGCTTTATCGTCGTCACTTTATGATCCGCAAGAATTGGACAAGTGGGAAGGTCAAGCCTAGCCACGTCGCTTTTGCAGCTCATCCTCGGCATGTTATTACCTGCCTGCAGTTTGACGAAGACAAGATCATAACTGGCAGTGACGATATGCTTATCCATGTATACGATACTAATACTGGCAAGCTCCGCCGCCACTTGGAGGGTCATGAGGGTGGAGTCTGGGCTCTGCAGTACGAAGGCAACGTTCTTGTGTCTGGTTCGACAGATCGCTCCGTTCGCGTATGGGACATTGAGAAGGGACTTTGCACCCAGGTCTTTTATGGCCATACTAGTACTGTGCGATGTCTACAAATCTTGATGCCGACAGACACTGGCAAGGTGGAGAATGGACAGTCTGTTATGATGCCACCGAAGCCTCTTATTATCACTGGATCTCGCGATAGTCAATTGCGAGTTTGGCGTCTTCCCGAATCCGGATCTAGGAGATATATACAGACAGGACCGCCGGCTCAAGATTCCGATTGTCCTTACTTTATCCGCACTCTCCAAGGACATAACCATTCAGTCCGTGCTATCGCTGCCCATGCTGATACACTTGTCAGCGGAAGTTACGATAACACAGTTCGTGTGTGGCGAATCAGTACAGGGGAGACTGTACATGTCTTGCAGGGTCATTCCCAGAAGGTGTACAGTGTCGTGCTTGACGTTACTCGAAATAGATGCATATCAGGTAGCATGGACAGTTCCGTCAAGATATGGGATCTGGCAACTGGATCCTGCATACATACTCTGGAAGGGCACACGCTACTCGTTGGTTTGCTCGACCTTCGTGACGAGCGTCTTGTTTCAGCAGCGGCGGATAGCACGCTCCGTATCTGGGACCCTGAGAGTGGCCGGTGCCAATCTACCCTGTCTGCTCATACCGGCGCGATTACTTGCTTCCAGCATGATGGGCGCAAAGTTATTAGTGGTAGCGACCGGACTCTTAAGATGTGGGATATCCGCACAGGCGAGTGCATTCAAGACCTTCTTACGGACCTTAGTGGGGTCTGGCAGGTCAGGTTTGATGAACGCCGATGTGTGGCGGCTGTCCAGCGGGACAATCTAACTTATATCGAGGTAAGTTATATCTTTGAGGTTATTGCAGAACTCTTCGATGGACTAGTTACTAATTCAATTACAGATCCTTGATTTCGGCGCAGTCCGTGAGGGCAAGTCGTCTGAGGAGCTCGGTAAACGCATCCTTCTCAACCCTACTGAGGTCCAGAGAATTATGGACGAAGATGTCTAAGTGCGACAAGGGATTAGATTGGTTAGGCCTCACAACCATAAAACCTCCTAGTTTCGCACGCAACTATATTATATAGACCGTAGTGGATCCTTTACATCCGCCCACATGGTTTTGCCGACGAATTACGAGGTCCCTTACTTATCGATGAGGATGTTTTTCGTCTAACATCCTTCATATCGAAAACCACGACATCGACGTGGAGGAGTAACGAGAAAAAGAGACAAAAGTCGCGACATTTAGCTACTTGCTAAGAGAATTTCTATAGTAAAGCATATATCTATTATTTCCTTCCCCTTCGTATGATCAATGGTATATATATTCATAGGGGCTGTTGATAATTAAGGGCTGTGTACGGAGGGTGGGGTGAAGGAGTATACACAGAACAACAGCAGCAGCAGCAGCATATTTTCTCCGGACAGCTGTGCAATTTTATTAATGCATTAGTACGCGAGTTCGGAGGGCAATTACATGATTGAGCATTGACCAAGGCCAAAGGAGGCGTTGAGGGCATGACGGCATCACCGGGCATTGTGGCGTTCATCTACTCGAGAAAGAAGCAAGCATATTCTAGGGCGTAATGGTCATCTTTGTAGGAGTAAGCAGGCGTGCAGTACATCTTTACGAAATGAAAAGTTTCTTTAAGTGCCATTAATATTTTTTTTATTTCTTCGTTGATACGTGAATCGAAGTGTTGAATGCATACATTGTATTCAAAGAACTGCCTAGGTACATATGTAGTAGCTTATTCCTCATAATTATGGGATACACCTACCTCTATGTATCGATGTAGGCAGGGACAAGGGTGATACCTACATACATCCATGTATCTCCAGCAACCTTATCATACATATACCTACATGCTGGAGTATATGCATTATTTCACGTAAGTCCGAACAGGATTTCCAATTTCTAAGAGGTTCCAAGCCACAATCAAACTCTTTAGTTTTGTTTTGCTTTTGAAATTTATCGGTTAGGCACATCTAAAGCATGGACCATGGTCTCATGGGCAACTTGTTTGTAAATGTTTTATTTTTCTGTCATTTCTGTCTCTTTCCCCTGTCTTGTCCCCCAAAGATCTACATAACACCCAAACAACGACCAAAAAGGAAAACACCATTGCTCCGATTCGACATAATAAGGTATCCCCTATTCCTAAAACATACCTACCTAATCTTTAGCGTATAGATCTTGCGGTACTAACCATCAATTAATTAAAGAAATCATGTCTGAATACGATTCCGGAGACGATTTATTAGGTGATGTCAGTGCGGACACACTGAAGCTCGGCGCGAAGCGTTCGCGTTCGGGCTCTGCCGACGACTCACAAAAGCAGAGTCGCAACACGAAGATCAGTAAACGATCTAAAGTCGAAGATGTAGAGCAAGACAACAAGAAGAATGATGAACTCCTAGGCAAATTTTCTCAGGATATCCTGAAGGAGAGCTTCGGATATGACGGTTTCCGTCATGAACAATTCGCCGCCATCAAGACGACCTTGCGAGGAGAGAATGCTCTTGTTGTCTTTCCCACTGGAGCTGGTAAATCCCTATGTTACCAAGTTGAGTCTCACTTCTTCTCAAAGATACCTACTTAAAGTGCCCATATAAGTATAAATATAAATTGCTAACGATTTACTTTTTTACCAAGATCCCCGCCGTCGCATTCGAGAAATTGGATGCTCTAAACGATGATACAGCTCAAGCCAAGCCGGGTATAACTATCGTCGTCTCTCCCCTTATCGCGCTTATGAAAGACCAAGTGGACACCTTACTACGTAAAGGTGTTGCCGCCGCCTGTCTTGATTCGACCAAGACATGGGAGCAAATTCAACAGATCAGCTCCGGTATAAGAGAGGGGCAGTTGAGATTGCTTTACTGTGCGCCCGAGAGGCTCAACAACGAGGGCTTTGTCGAAAGCATGAAACACGTCCCGGGAGGCGCCCGACTAGTGGCCGTTGACGAAGCCCACTGTATCTCAGAATGGGGCCATTCTTTTCGACCTGATTACCTCAAAGTAGCCCGCTTTGTCGATGAGATCCAAGCTCGAAATGTTGTCTGTCTCACAGCTACAGCTACGCCTCGTGTCGCCGACGATATCGCAGCTGCCTTCAATATCAAGAAGACCAATGTATTTCGTACTTCTCCTTACAGGCCCAACCTGCAACTATTAGCCGAATCAGTTAAGACGAAGCAAGATAAGTACCCGAGGATGTTCGAATTCTTACGAGAACACCCCGGACCTAGTCTTGTCTACGTAACTCTTCATAAACAAGCCGAAATGCTCGCCGCCGACCTGGGAGGGGAAGGCTTTGATGCTGTTGCATTCCATGCAGGTCTAAAGACGGAAGTGAAGACTCGTATCCAGGATGACTTCATGGCTGGTAAGGTCCGAATTGTGGTGGCTACAATTGCCTTTGGGATGGGAATTGATAAACCTGACATACGCAACGTCCTACACTTCGATCTTTCCGGCACAATAGAGGAATATTCTCAACAAGTCGGACGTGCTGGAAGAGACGGGGAACCCAGTCACTGTATGTTCTATATTTGCCCGGAGGATTTCTACCTTAGGGAGAACTTCGCTCGAGGTGACCTACCTTCACGACAATCACTACGCCGACTACTAGGCGACCTATTCCATCGGAAAGCCGTTTCGGCGCCGGAAGGTAGGGTCGTCAAGCTTAACCAGACAGCTCTCGGCCGGGAGTACGATATTCGAGCGAGCCCCCTTAGCATCTTGCTAGCGACACTGGAATTGCGGTTTGGCCTGATCAGAGCCATCACACCAGAGTACACTTCATATCAGTTTGAAGCAAGACGTGAATATTATAGCTCGGTTGACTCATCGCAAGAAGGCAAAGCCATCCGAAACCATGCGATCAAGGCCGTAAAGTTGTATAACATCGACGTAAATACCGCCGCCGAATTAGCCGGGCTTCTTCGTGTAGACATAATCAGGAAGCTCAATGAACTCAACGACCGAGGTATTATCATGCTTAAGGCCAGCGGTGTCGAGAACCGATACAAGATTCTCGGCAAGCTTCCTAGCACCCCGGAAGAAATCGAAGCTGTGACGGATAAGCTCTACGTTGATATGGAGGCTCGCGAGGAAGACGCTATGCGACGCACACAGCAAGTAGTAGACCTGGTTACCGGTGATACCTGTTTCGCTTTAGCTTTAGCCCAACACTTTGGTATGGGATTGCCGGACGGAAAGACCGCATGCGGCCACTGTACTCATTGTCTAACGGGAAAACGAGTTATAATGGAGCCCAAGCTCACTCCGCCTGTTGATATTGCCGGTATTAAGCAGATCCTTGCCCTTTGCACTGTACGAGATGACCCGAGATTCTTAGCCCGTGTTGCTTTTGGAATCAGGAGCCCCAGAGTCCTTCAGCTCAAACTCCAAAATCTAAGCATTTTTGGGTCCTTAGCAGAACACGACTTCAAGGTAAGTTGATATTGCTCCTAAGCGGCTATCCGTCCTATAAGCTGGAGACTAATAATGTGTGATCTAGTCACTGTTGACTGAGTTCACTCGAGCTTGCGAGGCGGCGAATATGGGATCGAAGGCGAAACGCTAGATTGTCATTCACCTCCCCAAATGGTGTCGCGCTTTATGATTGGGTTTTCGAGAATATTGTTGTCTAAATGTACAAATCTGCAACCGCCATGAACCGAGGGATGTAGATGTTTGTAATGAATTAAACGTTACTTCTAGGTACCTAGTTTAGGTAGGTAGACAGCATAAAAATACCAATCGAGTATGAGGAACCTCGGCAATAAGTCCGAAGAAGCCATGTAGATGCTGGAAGCCGAATCTAAGACACCAGAGGAGATTTGCAAGCGGTGCGTGCGTGCTTGTGGCCTTATCTATCACCACACCAACAGGCGTTGCGATGCAAATGCAGTACGCGCGTCTAATATTTCTCCCCATTAGGAAGCAGCATGAGTAGATCGACCAATGAAAAGTGGTAAAATGAGCAGCCCTCAACCATGCCTAGGTAGATCTCACGGCATTCTGCATATATTCTACCGCCAACGGGTACGACCGTCATGGATAAAGTCGATAAAAATGCCACGTCGACTAGGATATCCGAACTCCGCTATAAGATAACGGTGATTCTGGCTCCAGAAAGTCGGTAACAGAACGGGAAGGACGGAAAAGGTATAGCTAATCGGAAGATGATATTAATACCCAGGGCCAAGGTAATGGAATTAAGTGGTAAAAATTTTAAAGGTTCCTTTTCTATTGAGCACTCGCCCAAGTAAAGGCTACGATTTCTAGATTAAAATAATTCAGAATCACAACTCAAGATGATCTTCCCTCGCGAATGCTTCTTTATACTGCCCCTACTGACGATAGCCGGGGCAAATCATGGACCAGAGGTACACGATATCAATAAGAGATCGGCACAAGAGTCTTGCGCCGAAATATCCAAGCCATCAACGTTCACAATCTCAAACACACAGTATATAAAAGTTGAAGGACGCGACCCCATTGACCCGATGCTCAATTCGACCACAATTGCCTTCGAGGTAGTGAATAACGCCAACGGTGTCACAGTAGGGTGCTCGCGGATTAATGTTATGCACGATGGGAAATACCCCGACGACAGCAAATATTGGAGTGACTGTCAAGATCTAAGTCTCGAGGTGGATGGGACTTCGTACCCCCTCACTACGAACGCGAATTTCCTCTGGAACGAATGGAAGTTGAGTGTCAACCAAAGCTGGAATTGCGGTGGCGCGTATGTATTCTCTTGATCTTACCTCTATCACAACACCCGTGCGAAAGCTGGCTGCTAAACATCAACTAGGACCGTGAGGCATATTTCTACCGTAACGCTCTCACCGACTTGCAACGAGACTAGATCCCCGTACCAATACCTCAACGAATGCTCAGCTCCTAAGGTGGAAAGTCCTGCAAGGTCTCAATAGCCAAATTTATCTTCTTGAAGTAGCATAATTCTACTTTTTCAATCAATTGCTAATATCCTCCATATGCTCGCTGATGCATGTGTCCATCAATCGTACAGTTTCCGTAATACCCAGTAGCCTTTCCCCCGTTACCCATTGTCCAATCCATACCAATTCATACAATCATGAGATTACAGGTAAGCAAACCCCTACGCTCCCTAACCGGGAAGCATCACAAGGGGAGAGCTTCCAACAATCCCAGCCCTATGGCCTGACTCTATCAACCAATTTCGACCAAAATCCTCCAATCTTATCACCAATGCTTTGAACTCCCTGCTTAATCGCAGAGCCAGTCTCTTGCGCAATTCCAACCAACCAGTACACCCCTCTATATGCAGCATACGCCGCCACAATAGCCAAGATGAACCAAATGAGTCTCTTAAGTCTAGTCCAGAACATAGACCTATTGTACGCCTCCAGAGGTTCCGGGCCTCGGTAGTCGGTCTGGACCGAAGCTCTGTAGGAATACGTCGGACGGTTGCTCGAGTAATTGTGGGAGTAGATACTAGGTTGTGTGTGCCGAGAATATCCGTAAGAGGAAGTAAGGAGAGGATCCCGCTCGCTTATAGTAGAGCTATCCCATGTTATAGTGGAGACGCGAGGTGTAACTGAAGCCATGCTCGGAAGCGGCGTATGGTGGTGGCTGTGATGAACACGAGTGGAACTCCGTGAGCCGCTCTCGAGACCCCTTTGCACGGACAAGTATTCACTGTAACTATCACGACGCTCTCGAGTAACAGGTATGACGGTGTCATGTCGCCATATGCATGCTGGGGGTGACACGGCGTGCGAGCCTGGATGCGAAGTCGGCGGAGTGAATTTTGCGTATTCTATCAGATCTTGGTAAGATTTCCCCGATAGAATGTACTCAAGCCCATAGCGATTGTAAGCTCGAAGAGATTTGCGCGCAATTCGGTGCTGCGTCTTCGTTCTGACGTAAGATTTCTTCGATAGCTCGGTTGATGAGTCCTCGAGGCTTAGGAGCATTCCGTTGTCCGGGTGCGCGGCGGCCGGTGCGATTGGGAGATACTCGAGCCTCCGGGCCGAATTGTCACTGAAGCGAACTCCGAGATCTCTTCCTCCGAATGATGTCATCTATAGTATCTCAATTAGAATAATTTGCTCTCATAAAATAACGCTCCAGCCTTGTGAGTTTCACGGAAGACGTACCATAAGGTAGACAACTTTTCCATCATCGACCCATGGTGATAGTATCACTACGGGGTGATCACACATTCCCGCCTCGAGGTCCGGGTCACAATTACCCCGTATCTCATTCTTCGGAGGTAGCCATAATATGGAGCCTGCTAACCGCTGAGGTGTCGGGGATGCCGTAATGTCGCGAGGCTCACGCGAGCTCCTGCGAACCGACGCCGCCGTCACTGATGCTACCGTTATCCCGGGCATCACTCAGGTATTGTTGATAGCTACCAAGCTGAATGAGGCCCGGGACGGTAGCGGATTGAAAAGGGTTAAGTGAGGCAATAATTAAAGTAGGGGTCTGTAGGGGGTTTTCGGCAAAGTGACGAAAGATCGGAGTCGATCGATCTATTTTTTCATTTTTCTTTGACTCACAAGACCCGGCGGGGGTGATGTGGTATTTTGGGGAGAGAGCATATTGGCCTTGGCGCCTATGAGGGATGAACGCGAGGCCTCGTCCACCATGCGGTGCGACCAATCTCAGCGGACCTTTCGATCTCCAATGCATCGAATAAAACGCACAGCCACGTGTTGCCAACCGCCGAGAAGTGCGACGGGGGAGTAAAACAAGGCAGGGCCTGGCAGAGCCTCGCGAGCAAAAGCATTAATAGCTGTATTCAAGGTTGATTTATTGCAACTGATGGGGCTTAGATATGTTTTCTTATGTTTTAAGTGGGATAGAGTCTGGATCGTGAGCTTGGTGTTGTTTGGGCTGCTGGGCATGCAGCCGGGCGGAACCGGGATGAAGTGGAGAACGGAGAATGTTCAAACGATTATTATAATTGTGAGAGATAAATAAAATAATTAAATCGTTTCAAAAGTTAGTAGATATTCATAGATTTCTTTCCGCAGAACGCGGGGGATTTTCGTCGTCGTTTGTAAAACGACTGCGTTTGGTCCCCTCTAATTACTCGGGTATATATGTCAAATTGAAGTGTCCTAGCGCGGCTCACCATAATTACCGTCATTCTACACACTAATACGCCTATCCGAACCAATGTAAGCAAACTGTAACAGTATTAGATAGTATTGTGAGTCGACCCCTATTTGGCGTTAGCCCCTATTTCAACTTAAACCGGAGTGCACGCTTCAAACAATCGGGTTTCAATCCAAGGCGACATAATTGGAATTTACTGAGTTGTCAACAGGAAATTATTGATGTATACTAAGGTCATGAGATTACTGTGAGTGGCTACTTCAATTGACAGGCCCGGAATCTTAACCTCTATATGTTAACACAACCTGACAACCGACGAATAACACAAGCCCATGGTATACCTTAATTCTAACCTAACAATATTAACATGTTAACTCTTTCCAAATTAGATTTAGAGGTATCCGACACGGCGTTTGCGGAGTTGCGGAGATTGAATGCGGTTTTGCGGACCTCATTCGACGGATCATCCGTCATGGACCCTCCGCCGCTCCAACTATTAACCTGGACGACCTGTGATATCGCATTGATATGTGGGAACATTTATGCCTAGAAAGAAATTATAGTATCATCATCTATGGTTGATCGGCGTATATAACCTCGCATCAACGTCACATAGAATCATACATGTTAATCATTTGACTTACCTACATAACTATCCATTGCGATTACTAAGACAACCACAGTCCCTCTTCCAGCTTCAGGATGACCCTTACAGTTCATCACCTAGGTGTCTCGCAATCAGACAGAGTTGTATGGTTATGCGAAGAACTTGGTATCGAATATGAATTCAAGAAATACGACCGATCGCCTATAATGGCGCCGCCAGAATACAAGGCGCTGCATCCGTTGGGGTCGGCCCCTGTTATTGAAGACGGGGAGGTTAAAATCGCCGAGTCGGGCGCTTGTGTCGAATACATCTCGCAGACATATGGGAATGGAAGGCTCACAATCGCTCCAGGACAGAAGGGTTATGCAGAGTATCTATATTGGTTTCGTGAGCAGACTTCATACCCTTGAAAGAGGCGTCGTTACACTAACACTGAAGAAAGACTTCGCAAATGGGACTTTACAACCTGCATTGTTGCTCAATCTGTCACTGTCCCGATCGGGACTGGGCGAAGATGATGAAATAGTGAAGCGCTATGAGGGCAGGCAAAAGCAAATCCTCGAGTTCGTGGATCGGCGCTTATCCGAGGTACCCTGGTTCGCTGGTGACCAATTCACTGTGGCGGATATTATGAACGTATGCTGCCTCACAACAATGCGCTGCTTCCTAAAGTATGATATCGGTGGTTATCCTAACATCCTCGCATATCTCAAACGGGTCGCCGAAAGGGACGGGTATAAGCGCGCGATGCAAAAGGGAGATCCGGATCAGAACATTGACGAGTTGACTGGTGCTGCACCTCCCCCTTTACCGAAAGCTTTGGCGGCAGCGGTGCGGGCCCGTTTGTCCTAGGCGCCAGGGCGCTGGGGCGTGTATATAATAATATAAAGAGTCGTAAACCCGATTTGTTGATGAATGTGCAATTTTAAGCCAGAGTCGGAAAGCTGCATCAACAAAAAGCAATCGGAATACGTACCACAGCCAGGTATGCAGGAAAATTATTTTACATAATACATGTACATGATAAGGAGAGCTCGGTCCCGAAATCGTTTAGAAACTGGGATTGATTGTTCGTGTATGACCCTTACTAATCGGCCTCTTTGCTTTCCAGAACGCGCCATGCTCGGTATTTAATGTCTTAAAAACTCCGCGCCAACATGTTCAAGAGGGGAGGATTAGGAATACAGATAGTTAGTAATCCTGTGATCCCACATTGTTCATTACCAAGGTCGCCGTGGTGCTCGGCTACCTGCCTGTTGTCTTCGCATTTGTTTCTTCCCGGATCCCCGAGGCATTACAATAGAGTGTACTTCGTGTGAGTAATAAATCCTGAATAGGAATCAATGATACAAGATTCATTATGACGGCTTTTAAACATACCGACCTGCCCGCTCGAGTACGTCATGCAGAGTCACGACAGTCCGTTCCCAGGTTGATTTGTCAATGTTTCTAGCTATGGGACGATTCATCCGGTGGCGGGAACTAGCATAGTCCCGAACGTAGCTGGGTACGTAAGGGAGTGATGGGCTATATATGTGCCTACTTAGAGTGGCAGAATGGAATACCTCATCCAAGCCAATCCGTGTCTTTATAACTGTATTTCGTATGCAGGCTATCTGTGTGACATAACTTTCCTAGGTAGCCATGTCTCAATATCTCGAAAGTAGGGCCGCATTCGAAAGCCACTTTGTGGGCTTCCTCTACCGTCAATGGCTTATGTACCCAAAACCGATACCCCGAGCGACTACCCTGAAAGGACAGACAGCTATCGTTACTGGCGCCAACTCCGGCCTTGGATACGAAACTGCACGCCAGCTACTTCAGCTTGGTCTTACACACCTCATCGTGGGTGTACGATCACAGGCCCGAGGCGATGCAGCAGCGGCTAAGTTACGGGACGAGTTCCCAGGTTCAAAGATTTGGGTATGGATCGTCGATATGGTTTCCTATGACTCCGTAACTGCGTTTGCGCGGCGATGTGAGACGCTTCCGCGGATCGATATCGTGCTCTTGAATGCTGGCCTAATTAGCATCGAGTTTACACTTATCAAAGCCACACAACACGAGCAAACCGGCCAGGTCAATTACCTATCCACAGCTTTGTTAACTGTCCTATTATTACCGATTCTTAAATCCAAGAAGTCATCGTCGCCGGGCGCACAACCGCCGCGCCTCTCTGTTGTTGCTTCGGATACGTTTTACTGGGCGCCACCATTCAAAACAGGAGGCCCTGTTTTACCTCAGCTTGACGAGATTGAGGGGTTTGCACCCATGAAAGTGTATTCGAGGAGTAAGCTCCTACAAATGATGTTCTTTTCCCGACTCGCAGAGCAAGTTAACGCCGACGATGTGGTTGTCAATGTGTGCAACCCAGGCTTATGTAGAGACACCTCATTTGGCGGCAGCAAGAAGCAGACCTCTTTAGGAGATGTCATCTTTTGGTTCTTTATAAATATTAACGGGAGGACGGTGAAGGCTGGTACTAGCGCTGTAGTCGACGCTCTCGTTGCTAAGGGTGCCGAGAGTCACGGCAGTTATGTTAGTGATTGGTCTATACAACCGTAAGTACAATCCCTAGTGTCAATTTTAAGGCTTAAAGCTGATTAGAAGACAGATACCCGACACTATTCTACACAAAGGAAGGTCAAAGGATGAAAGAGAGGGTATGGCAGGAAACGATGGAGGAGCTTAATTTCGCTGGCGCGTCCAAGATCATTCAAGACATGAAGCGATAACTTAATGGTATGGATTTATTTATGTGTTTAAAGACATTACAAGGCTTGCAAGTGTAGCATTTTACGGACTAGCGAGCGTTATTTCATGGGTTGACGCGACAATTGGAATTTGGACGTGTACGGATAGGAGTCAGATGTATGACTACTCTTGATAACTCTTCTCTACATACTATGTGACTAATCTAATTATTAACTAATAATAGTTACCTACCCTGTGGCCAACCGAGTGCTATCAATTTCAGTTGCACGTCATATAACGAACGCCTATGCCGATATACCTTGAGTCCTTTTCCGTTTTGTTTGGTATTCCTTACGCCTGACCTAATGATAATAGACCAAACAGTACCTACATTTTCCGAGAAGAGCCACGGCGCCAGATTCATCAACTCATTATTCATTGTTAACCGACCTTCCCGACCAATCTACGAAGAGGAGTATTATTAAACGGCACCCTTTCCTCTTGACGACATAGCCCTCGAGTCAATGCTATGATCCCGTTCCATTTCGTGCATCTCCTTCTCCACCTGTCGGATATCAATGTTGGCGACTGCGTCTGCCCCATCAAAAATCCATGCTATCTCCTCGAGCGTTGGTCCCTTTGTCTCGACATAGAAGAAGTAGACGAATGCTAGCTCACAAAAGTCCCAAAGCTGCGGGGGAAACAAATCAATGTCAGCGAACGACTCAGCGTATGTAGATAAAGGGCAACTCGAGTATGAGAAGGCTGAACTTACGGTGTAGAAAAGCATAAAGTTCCAGTGTTTTGGCATCCTATTCCAAGCAATTCTGTTGGTTTGGTTGCTGAGAGCGAGGATGGCCTGCACGGTGATGTTCATGATCATCATACCCTTAGCTCTTAGCTTGAAAGGTAGTACTTCCAGCGCATAAGCTATTAGTAGACCCGAGAAGCCGATGTCATAGAATATGCCGAATAACCAGATGAACACCAGTTGCGCGTAACCCGAAGCGGCGTTGGTCGTGTCCGAATTTTCGTATATGGCGCCGCAGATCGTCCAACTTACGAACGAGACCACCATCCCCGACGTGGATATTAGGAAGAGTGGTCGCCGACCGAACCTATCGACGTTCAAAGCAGCAAGGATTGTTACGATGAGATCTAGAATTGTTTTTCCACCGCTCAACTAGAAGAATGAGTTAGTACAAGCTCATTGACATCTCCAAAAATTGTGTCGAATACTCACGGCCAGCTTTTGATCTTGGACCTTAATTCCAGCTCCTTCATAGACAGTATCCATATAATTGGAAAACAGTGCGTTGCCACTGTATTGAGAGATGACACCTAAGGAAACGAGAATTGCTAATCGCCACAAGTTACCCTTGGTACGCAGAAAGTCGAGATAACCAGCAGCGCGAGACACTTGCTTCTCCATTCGCATCGTTTCTTTGATTTCGCGGAATTCGAATTGGACGAGTACGTCGTTCTTGTCTCCACCAGCGTGGTACTTGGCTAGTATGTCAAGCGCTTCGTCGTGTCGGTCTTTCGCTATGAGGTATCGCGGGGATTCGGGGATCCAGTAGATGAAGGTGATCTGTATGAGAGAGGGCAAGATTTGGATTAAGGTGATTGACCTCCAGCTCCAGTCATTCAGGATCTGCGCGGTACCCCAGCCAACCCATGCGACAAGCAAAGCCCCCAGATTCCATAGACAGTTGTAAACAGCGGTAACGGGTCCACGATGTTGGGGATGGCAGATTTCCGTTAGTAAAAGAGGAGAAGCCATCTGCGACAAGCTGTTGCCGAAGCCGAGAATCAAGCGACCGGCAACGAACACTGGATTATGGGTTAACGGAGTTTGGATGAACATGGCTTTTACAGGTCCACATACTTTCGTATCCATTACAGAAGGCTGATATACAGCCCCCTATTATCATGAAGACACATCCGATAGCTATGGATGTCTTCCGGCCCCAGTTATCCGCAACATATGGTCTAAACATTACAGTCAGTGACCCTTGAATACTCGTGTCGGAAGTAATGGGTAAAGCCTACGTAAGGAAGAAACTTATGATACTCCCGATGTTAAACATATTCACGAGCAGTCCCAGCCAACTGTCGGCCACATCTTGAGGGTTGTCGGGACCGGCTTGCGTCTTAGGGAAATATTGCTTCCAACGGTCGATCTGTTGAGAAGTGTTGACTAACATTCTGCGTGTACCTAATTGTTAGCCAGCGACACACTAAACATCTGAACGAACCCCTTACCCATCATAACCAGTTGTCGCCGAGGCTATCATCAAAACGCATGCCCAAGCATATAGCTTCCGTAAATGCGGTTCCTTGGTCCAATACACATATTCGAATTCTGGTGCTTCCCTTTGCGCAAGTTGTTCATGTTCCTCCTCGTGGCCCCTGGCCGCGGGTTGGCGAGGGCGGACCATTCTATCTGCTACGTGTTGAGTTTTCACATCAAATTCGTCCGATGGGCAAAGGTCAGGGGCTAGCTGGACCTAGGTAAGTAGGTAAGCTTCGATGGGTAGGTCAGGGTCGAGGTATTTGAGGAGCAACGCAACGCACGCATGACGCGGGAAGAGATATGATGCCACTCAAATACTTCTAGATTCGGCCGGGAGGTTGGGATTGTTAATTAATACTGCAGCAAAGAAACGTCAGTCTGTGCCCTTCGCCAAGGTGATATACATTGTATGTGCTACGAAGCATGAGAGGCAATCCTTGGTCACCCTGCCCTACTGTTACTGTTACTGTTACGACGGCTAATGCATGTCACGATAATGCGGGGATAATATAGAAGGATCGTAGGCGGTAGCAATTTGGGGAGGACCCTCGACCGGGATATAAGTAACTAGCGGCCTATCAAACCGACAGCCCGGCTACGATCTGGTCCAGAATATCTGGTCTCCTCACGCCCGGAGAGATGAGTCCTATGGTACATCTGAGGCTCCGAATTGACATTTTTGGGATGCCGGTAGTACTTAAGCAGTCGATAGTCAAACGGCTGCAGAATTCGCGTGCGACCCTCCCTGGAGTCAACGGTCCGCAGCATCGCCTGTGATTTCGTTTATTAGCGGACGACGACAATGACGACGACGATACAAGACTAACTATTATATTCCCTACCTAATGTTACTTTCGCAGCCGCTCTGCCCCTGCTGTTTCGACCTTTCTAATATTATATCTGTCCTTAGCATCGAGCATGGGCCTTCGCTCGGACAGTGGAACCCTGTTCATCACGAACCATGTCGATTGGGCGTTGGGCAACATCACGAGTCGAGTCTCTGATCAGTGATGGAACACGGCAGAAGCCATTCAAGACCCGCTTCCCCAGGTTGTATGTCATGCGCGACAACGGTAATCCATGATGGGACATGGACGACAAGTTGCTGCGACGACAACAATGATGCTGAGCCAATCCCATTGTCTATCCCCTCGGCATGTCATCGAATAATACCCTACCTATCCGGATCTGGGGAGCATCAGACCCTGCTAAAAGTTGACCAGATTTAGAAGTGAGCATCTGAAAGATGAACTCTTCTAGACTTCGGCGTTGCATCTTCCATCGCATACATGTGGGTTAGGGACTTAGTCAATAGCTTCATTGCTATTGGTCGTTCGACATTTCAATCCAATGCGGTATTATCATAGGTATTATAGGTCACGGAGAAGGGCGGTGGACCAAAAAAAGGCCCGGCTGGTTAATTGGCAAAAATCGGGATGAAACATAATAGACCTCCTAAGGGGGAAGTTCGACGACGGCATAAAGACCCATCGCACATTAACCAATCATTCCCTTATATCTATTTTCTTTTAGGTAAAGTAAGTCCTTAAGAATTATAAGCGAAGAGAAAACACCACCATTTGTTTTTACTCTTTTGTAATTAATGGCTATACGTTATATAGCTAGGTAGGTAATGTAGCCCCTCCTTCACCATCCGGTATAAATTTCTGAGCGTTACTCGCCAGTAGGTAGGTACTTATTGACTCGGGAGGAGCTCGATGCCCGCTCTCATGGATGCAATTGGATGCAATTGGGGTTGTGCGCGACTTCTGTGCTCTCTAATGAAGGCAAAGAGTAACCTTGGCCGTTGGGTTGCACAGCAGGAGTTACTTGGACAAAACCAAATGTACCTAGGCAAGTAAGACTTCATGTTATGTTAGATGCAAAGGTAGGCTGGTGGGGTACCTAGATACCTAGGTAGGGAGCTAAGTAAGATTTCTTCACCTTCATGGCACTATTCCACATCATCACTTTAACACCAAGTCTATGTTACTGGCATCATATTCCTTTTGTTAGTCTTACGGTGAGACTTAGCAAATTGCTACACACTAGTAAACCAACCCATTCCGACGACCCTAGTTCCAATTTTCCCTACCACCTGATCCCTAGTAACCAAGCCAGTAATCATACCAGGGGAGTGAATGAACGACGGGATATAACAAAAAGAACGTAGTGATGCCCTCTATCTCAGCCAGCGTTAAGCATAAATACCTACGTTAGATAGGTACCTAAGTAGGTAAGCAATGTGACGCTATCATGCCGTGTCCTCATCCACTAGATCCATCACACACACTTCGTCCTCCGTGTTTTCGATAGTCTTTTGCGAACGGTCGGGGTCTTCGTCGTTGGAAATTTTCTCGGCACGAGATACGTCCTCAAGGCTGTTGATGCTATACATCGCTTTCTTCAACCTAAGTTTCTCTTCCCTTAGTTGAGCCCTTCGCGTGGCAGTTTGTTTATCTTCCTCCATTAACTCGGTGTACATTTCTGGTTCAACTAGGTTATAGATTGCGTTAGCACCACGTATTGTCCCCGGTGCGGGATACTATCATGTAGAACTATGTAACTTACCACCATTGTCGTAAATGTGGAATTCCTCCTCAATTGACATGTCGAGTTGGTCCTCTCTTAGTGTTCGTAAGAGGTTTGAGTTTACACTCATTGTCGCTCCCTCCACAAAACGCGCTGCGGCCACTGTCGATAGAATAAAGTCAGCAGGTGCAAGATATGTTTTAAGAATATTTGGCAACACGTACTCATATAGTAGCCGCGGACGAATCCCGCAACTTCTATCTCGGTATCATAAGGGTCCTTCTGTAGTCTAACCGAGTGGGTATCAAGCATCTTCCGTTCCTTGATCTTCTCCTCTTCAGGCATTTCCTCCAATCGTTTAACGGGATACTCCCAGTCGAGGAAAGTCGAGGCTTTTAGGCGAATGATCGTTCGCACACGTTTAAGCTGTTCCATTTCTTGCGCCTTGTAGCGGTGGAATGCGTCGTCGTTCATCATATAGAGTTGATACGTCTCGGAATTAAACATATCTGTGAGATGGGCTTCCTGTGCGGCTACTTCTCTGGCGATGAATCGATCCAAATGGCTTTGGCATCTCCTAAAGATCAGACGACGCCGCAATAGACCAAGAGACTCCTCGAGAGCATCCTTGGTAGTCTCCACCAGAAGTTCCGACGTCTTGGAAATGTAAGTCTCCAATATTGGTTCCCATTTCTTGACCGCGTTCATGCATAAAGTCTCACGGACCTCGATTGGGACTAGGTCTCGCGGCATACCTGGCTTCTTGTTCCTCAGAATCTTATTACGGATGTCCCGAATATCCATAGCGCACCGACCAAGATTGAAAAATCGGGAGAACGGGTTCGGTAGCTTGGATTTCAGCAAGTTGGGTTCTACAGCGGCAGTTACGGACGAGGCGCGAGACATATCGCTCGTCTGGCCGTCCTCATGCTTTACTGGCGTGGTGGGGAGTTCTTGTCGCGGCCGTTTCGCAGGCGCGAAGGCATTTCGGACGGTTGCATCACTTGGACGTGGTCTCTTTTGGGGGGATTTTGCGGGTGAGCCTATTGTAGCTTCCGAGTCACCACCGGATATGTCGATTGTTTGAAGATCCGAGTCCTTGACTTTGCATGTCGGTTTCACCTTGAAAATGCATTCTTGGAACTGGCTGTTCAAAGTATTCCACTGGGAAGAAAACGCTGTGTTTCCCATGGCTATCTTCACTTGAGACAGGAATTTTATTAGGCTCTTCTTGACCTCGTGCTCTACATTGGAAGGAAGTTCTGGGAGTGACTTTAGTTCCTTGTCGACCGCCGTGAGGTGCTTGTGGACCATATTCTTGATTGATGGCAGGCAATCAGTAAAGGCTTCTTCAAGCTTACAGGAGAGATACTAATTCATATTTACTAGTTAGTATTTTACTCAGTGGCTATCGGACATTCAAAAACTTGAAAAATCCCGAGTGGGAGGATTCACTTACCTCGAGTAGGACTTCCACTCCGCAACGATCTGCAAATGGAGCGAACTCTTCCGGCCACGTTTCGAAACCAGCACTCTTCCTATCAAAGAATAGTGCTTCATATCTTGTCGCATCCTCGAGAGCTTGGTCTGGGGGTCGCGAAGTGGCAAAGAAACCATGGCCAACAAATTTCTTGGGGTCCTGGAACTTAGCAAGCCAGTTTGGGACGTTCTGACGGGGGAGCTGGTCTGCTTTGGTCATGACACCGATAGTCCGGTTGGCGGCTTTTGCCTCGCGTATGATAGGCAAAGAGATAGAATTCTCCATGTCAACATTCATGGGGAGAGCCCACATGATGATTGCCTTCTCTCGCTTAATATACTCGCGGGTCAGGTTCTTGACAACCTTCACGATGTATTCATCTTCTTCTTTCTCTGGTGATTGAAAGACGCCAGGAAGATCATAGAAGCTCAGATCAGGAAGGCCAGGTCCTTTTATTTCTAAAGCGACTATGTTCGGCGAGAACTGGGCTTCTGTCTGACTAGCGGCCTCTGAGATTGTCTTGGATTAGTCAAGGGCTACCACGGAACATTATGACAACTAGACATGTGTAAAGAATATTGCGTGAAAAGGGGCTGATTGGCTGCGATAAGATAACTATGGACTTACCATCAATACTTGTCATTTTAGCAATGGCTCCTTCCCCAGGGATGAAGAGGTCGAAGTTGCGGTGATGATTCAAAATAGCAATTTGGGCCCAACGAAGGACTTCCTCTATTTCAGAAGGCTCATAGATGGTTTTGAACGTCTTGATGTCCCGATGAGATAATTTGACCCAAGGCGGAAACGGTTTTGCTGCGGTAACATCCGATGTTCTAGGCTTCCGGTTAAAGGGTGGCTGAAAGTCATAGTCACGTTGCAAAGAGACAGTGCAAGACCAACGATCAGTCCTACTGCTGATCAAGCGAATATGGAGCGGGCAGCGTGTGCACACGCCCGCACTCCTTGGAAGGTTGACACGGGCCAGGCTCGACATCAAGGTCGACTTGCCAGACGATTGGTCACCAACAAGAACCAATTCAGGCAATGCAATGACGTCTAGAAACAGGTAATCAGCATATACTCTTATCCTCGCCCAAGATCTCGATATAGAGAGAAGATATAAAGCAATGGCTCGACTAGGTGGGATATGAGAGTGGATGGAGCGAAGGAGGGTGACTACTCACGAGATACGCCTAGGGCTTGAAGGTCTCCCAAGGTATCATTGTAAGCCTTCTGCTTCTGCCCTATATCGGCAAATAGGGGCGGACCGAAATTTCTTTGATTGAAACTGTGTTCGGCACTCTGAGAGATGGGAGAGCTTTGTCGATCAGGCCCGAAGCTATCAGGCCCGCGTCTCATTTCCATAAACACGAGGTCCGTGTCATCATCTTTGCGTGGGCCGGTTTCAGCGCTCGCTGTAAATAGATATTGTTTAGCAATGATATATTCACCTACCACCTACCTACCTAGATATGAAGGAGGTAGGCAAAGAGGGGTGGCAACTCACGAGCATAAGACCGAATGAAGGTGTGGGCTATAGATTGGCTGTCCGAATACTCAGTCGGGGCGACCCCCCCTCTCCGAGATGGGGTGGATGGTGGTCCCATGTCCGTCTTCACATTCGCCGGAGGTGAGCCATTACGCTCATGCTTAACGCCCTCACGGGTTCGCACCATTTTGAATGGTATTTTAGGCAGTTGGGAAATTCTTGCTGAGATTTACAATAATGATAAATAAATTGGAAGAACTCAGATGAAGGATATGATTAAGATGATAAGATGAGATGAGACGAGATGGAATAGGTATTGAGAACAGCTGGGCTTGGGTAATAGAATAGGGTCCAGTGTTACCTAGCCCCAGGAGAGTTAAAACCCAGCGAGAGAATAGGCTAGAAGATCCAGTGATAGCTGACCACGGCAATGAACAAAAAGTAAGGCAGAAGTTGTTGAGATAGTTGCCTCATAAGAGGTGTGCATAAAGCATAGGTAGATAAAAGATTGAGATGGGAAGAAAGATGGGAGGGTTGTTGTAAAGAGAGAAGAGAGAAGAGAGGGAAAATAGAAAGGAACCCTCGAGAGGGAGAAGGAAGGGTATTGGAAACTTGCATGGTGCTTAGGAAAGAGCGTCGCTATGGTGAATTTGACTCGATTCAAACTCGACGCAAAGTTAGTAACTGTTAGGCAGATGCATTGCCACAAGCATAAAACACTAACATGCCTTATCTAAGTACAGAGTATCTAGATGTAGTTGTGCACATTTAAAACGATAAGGTTCTGGGGGTAAGGGTCCCCCGGTGGCTGGTGGTGGGGTATGATGCAGATAGGCACCCGCAGACAAGTTGCGTAACCATCTCGTTAAGAATGATTGGTGGACGGCGGAAACTAAGAAAAAGCAAAATAAAATTCACAACTCTTCATACAAATTTCTATGGTCTCTAGTGAGCCTGCATCAGTTGTATCATTTTTCATTTTTGACTAACAGGAAGGCATAGAGCAAGTTATGCATAAAGTACCTTTACTCTTATCCACATTGTAACTACATATACTAATCTTTTAAAAAGTCCTACATATGTACATATAGGTAGTACCAAAGTACATTGCTCAAACAACCTTAGGACTTTCAAATGCCTGAGCCTGGTATCCCAATGTTTGAATTTGTTAGGTGGCCATCTGTAAATTCTGATACCTACCTAAATGCATCATGTCGCAAGTAACTCTGAATTAGCCTTACCCAACTTGATTATTGTATTCAAATGTTTGACTACATGTACGTGCCTTTGACGCAACCTTACACCACAGAGATATCCGAAATAACCATCTAGTTATAATATCATATATCGCTACGCAAACTAAGGCCTGCTTTTTCCAATTTTATATCGTCATCTTGTTCAATTTCCAATTATCTAGCAAATATAAGTTAGCCTTGATCCTCTCTCGAGTTATTCATCTCGTACCCAACATTTCGCCCTATAATAGGGCCACCTTCCTCCTCGTCCCGAATTCTCCTCCACCCGTCCCCATCTTCCACCTCTATACCAGGAGTTGGATATGGCTCATCGCACTCTCGGCTACCTAGTCGTGGCCAGTATCTACGATAACTAAAGAATCCGACTGTAAAACCCAATACTGACCCCACACAAACATCATATACATCGTGACGGTAGTCCTGACAGCGGCTTATAGCTATCATAGCTGCTCCAATCAATGGTGCAAGGCAGACTAACGACCGACCCAAATCCTTCTTGTCGCGGAATATTCTCAATTGGCCCGCTAAGAAGCAAGCAAGGTATCCGAGGCCGCTAAAGGAGAAGCTAGAGTGCCCCGAAGGAAAGGAACGCCAGCCGTCGTGAAGCGTATGATGGTTCGTTTCGGTACAAACATCGATCGTCACTAAAATATTGGGCTTGGTACCCACAGCCGGCTTGCATCGAGCGATCAAGTCTGGTCGGGGGCGACCAACCATATTTTTAACGATGTCGGTAAGGAATGAGCTTAGGATAAGGGCAATAGCAAGGCCTAGAATGGTGCTGTGGTGTTTGTGAAATGAGGCTCGAGTAAGGCTGTTGTATAGTAACACGATTCCGAGGGGGACGAAGAGGGCGTAAACGAAGTTTAGCCATACGGGTACTCGTTCGACTTCGGCGTGGGGAAAGGAGATGTTGAGGTTGTTGATATAGAACATGCGATGGAAGGGTTCGACTAGAAATTGGGTCAGAAGGTAGGCCGTTAATAGGCCTGCGAAGCCTGCATAGTCGGACGCATATGAATGCTTAAGAACCATTAGATGAGTATATTCCAAACAGAATAGATAGAGTGAATAAGAATGGATAGTTGTTTCATACAGTCCAGAACCTTGCTACGGACCCTAAAATGCCTCCTTGTTGAAAAGTATCGTTCCTTGGGGTCATTGTTGCGATGGCTGCCAGTCACCGTCCACGTATAGATTTGAAGATACTCCACAGCATTTCCTTGAAAGGGGGAAACAAGAGGAATGAGCAATTCCCAAAATGATGGGATGCTTAACGCGCAATTCCTAAAGTGCGTATATATTTGTTAGGAAGCCAAATGTAAGAAATGTATAAATTCGATGTAAATGGAGAGTCGCGTGCCAAACTAAATTCGGCGACGATGACGCTGAAGGTGCCAGTCTAGACAGTACCTAGACTTTAGGCATTTCATGGGAAAACTATGGGTACCTAGGTATCTTTCAAGGTTGGGTAGGTACCTGGATAGCTGGAGGTGTCGGCGATCCTAACTTCCGCCCCGTTCATGGGAGCTAAGTACCTAGCTCCTAGCCTAAAATATTCACCTCGGTGAGTACATAGGTACTATTACAGCGCAACACTTGCAATTTCTCAACTTACAAATACATCATAATTCCTACACCTCCGAATTGCACACACAACTCTTCTCATCTTCCGAACTATTACCTCGATTGATAGGCAAACTACTTTGCAAATATGTTGAAGTCAACATATAAGCCTTCTTCAAGCATTCCACCACCTTTACCACCTGGATGGACAGAACACAAAGCTCCTACCGGCCATACTTATTATTATAACGCGAACACCAAAGAATCTACCTACACACGACCGACCCCATCACCCCTCCCGACAGCTCCCGCTATCGCTCAACCGCCGCCTCCTCCATCCCTCGAAGGTCCCCATGCGAGCTTTTCCCAATATTCAACTGTACCTCAGCTTTCCGATCCCGCGACCGCGAATGCTTTCCTCGCCCAATATGATCCAGTGCGCCAACGTTCCGGCCAACAACATGGTCGCGGTGGACATCGAGGCGGTCCCGACGGGAGAACCGATCGCCCACGTCCCCAACCGGTAGATAAACCGAAATCTAAGGTCGCCATACCAGGCTGCGAACCCTGGTTGCTCGTGTATACCAAATATGGTCGACGATTCGCGTATAATCCCACGAAGAATGCGAGCTATTGGCGAATACCCGAGAAGATAATGAAGGGCGTGCTAGAGTTAGATATTAAAGGGATCAAGGAGAAAGTAGAAGGTCCCCAAGATGAAAGAGCAACTGCTGAAAAGTCCGCTTCTGCGGAACCGCAAAGAGGAATTTCCGCTGGACCTGCGACAGAGGAAATAGAGGAAGAGAAAGAGCAGGTTGAAATTGGCTCTGATTACGAAGAGGTTGAAGTCACAGACGATGAAGATATGGAAGACGAAGACGGCGAACATGCTGAAGCTGGGGATGACGAAAATGAACACCCCTCTAAAAGACAGCGCACAGAAGACCCTACAGAAGGCATGCCCGTGGAATTCAATGAAGATGATATCGTATATCAATTACGAGCTATGGGCGAAGAATATGACCTCGATCCAGGCGAGTACGATGACGGAAATCCAGACGCTTGGCCTGAAGGCGCTGAGGGCGTACCACTTTCTGAGGCAGACGCAAGGGAACTATTCAAAGACCTTTTGAACGACTACAGAATTAGCCCATACTCCCCATGGGAGAAACTAATCGAAGACGGGCATATCATCGACGACGCTCGGTATACCGTGCTTAATACTATGAAGGCGCGCAAAGACGTATGGGAGGAGTGGAGTCGCGAGCGCATTCGAATCCTCAAAGAAGAACGCGCCAAGGAGGAGAAAAAGGACCCTCGAATTCCGTACCTCGCCTTCTTACAACAGAAAGCGACGCCGAAGCTTTATTGGCCCGAGTTCCGTCGCAAATACAAAAAGGAGGGACCTATGCGCGACTCAACACTCGCCGATCGCGACCGCGAGAAATGGTATCGAGAACATATTAATCGCTTGAAACTTCCTCAGGATACCCTAAAGAAGGACCTCACGGCACTTTTACGCAGTGTGCCTCTCAGCGCTCTTAATAACAAAACACCCATGGAAAATCTTCCTCCGCAAATACTCGCTGATATGCGCTACATCAGCCTTGACCTGCAGACCCGTGACCCTTTAATTGGAGCTTACATCCAGACTTTGGGACCACCGCCTTCAGAAAATGATGTCGGCGAGGAAGACGAAGCAGCGCGTAAGGCCAGAGAGGAACGGAGGAAACGAGAGAAGGCACTAGAGGATCGAGAGCGCGCCGTTGCCGAGGAGAAGCGTAAGCAAAAGCGACAGCTCGAGTACGGAAAGGCTGCCTTGCGGGAAGAAGAAAGAGAGCTGGAGAGAGCTATGCACGTTGGGAAAAAGGGTTTACAAAGTCAATTATTGGCTGCACATAAAACCAATGAGCCCAGCGGGTAGCTGTCTTCTGTTATGTATATGAAGTAAGTTATATGCGCTCGTGCTACATAAGCGAAGAAAATAATCCTCATTGGAAATAATACCGATTGAAATATACCAATGAAATAACCAAGGACGCAAATTAGTTTTGACTATTGTTCTATTATTCCAAGAGCTGCGAGCAAATCTGTCAGCTCCAACACAAAACGCACACAATGGCTATCTACATTTCTCTATTTGACGACCTGGTGAAGTGTCCTCAAAGTCTCCCCTTCGCCGATATCTCGTCATCGGCTAGTCATAGCAGCCAGCTGTCAAACCAGGTGACGGCCTGGAAGAAAGCCTGCTCCTTGGCGAAGCGTTGGATCTTCTTGCTGGGATCGCAACGGACAGCAAAACCATGGACGACTTGGGAGTACAGGTTGATTTGATAGGGCAGGCCGTTCTTGGCGAGGATTTGCTCAGATCTGTGGCGCTTCTCAGCGGGGAAGATCTCGTCCGTCTCGGCGGCTGCGATAGAGAGCGGCGCCTTGAAACCTTCGAGTTCCTCCTCTTCGACGAAAGACGGGTGTGCGACAAAACCGGCTTGGATGCCGTTCCTGAAGTGGCGGCAAACGTACTATTTGAATAATGTTAGCGATCTCGATCTTTCTTAATTTCTTCTATTATCCTCTTGCCGAGAATATGCTCATATTAACTTACCTTGGCGCCAAAGCAATAGCCGACGGCACCTATCTTCTTGAATCCCTTCTCCCCCTTCAAGAACTTAATAGCCTTCTCGACGATAGGGTCGACGGCTTCCTTAGTGTGAGGGTTATCACCAGTGCTACCCTTGTTCAACCATCCAAAGAAGTCGAAGCCTTCAGGTCGGTTCAATGACATGGCGTCTCCGTTGAAGACGTCAATTATAAGGGTATAGTAGCCATTGGCGGCGAATTGGTCAGCAATGAGCTTGCTGTTTTGCCAGATACTGATGACGTCTGGGATGATGAGGATGGCGGCATCTTTAGCTTTAGAAGGATCGGGAGTGGCTTGGTAGGCATCGTGTGTATCGATCTTGATGAGCGTACCAGTGGGTTCGCCACTATATAAGAGGACCAACAGTTAGTTTCATGATGCTTTTTCTCTTCCGTCAAGTTCATAAGGTATTACTATAGGATTCAGTAGAAGAAACTCACTCGTGTCGAACACCTTTAACGCAGCAATCGCCAGGAGCATTAGAAGCCATTTTTAATGAATTTGAAGTATATGACGAAATAGCTAGAAATCAAGATCTGGATTTCAGTTGAGAGGTAGAAACGGAGGGAACAGTATAGATACCTAGGTTTAAATACCCAAGTATTTTCGGATATAACTTGAAGAAATTCGTCGTTATGAAGATTGGTAATCAACAAAGATGTATGTTGGTTTGGTTGACATGGGAAAGATGATACTCAGTAGCTTTAAAAGGTACGTAATATAAATTCCATAGCGTAGTAGCTTCAGGTATTTAACCCCTCCATGATGCCTCCTAAACCCCTCTAAACCCCACTATCCCGAGAGATCGGTTCTTCTCGAAATTTGTTCCGTTACATAATACCTTTAAATCCGTTGAGCTCTCGCTATTTAACTAGGTTCGCGCTTAGAATTCTCTAGATATCCTAATCAGTTCCGAGCCAAGTCTGACACAAGATCCGCTATCAAACATCCATGTCTAATCTCTTACACTACCCGGTTGAGTTACGCCATCACGTCAGCACGCAGGCAAGCATAATCAATCAAGTCCATTGCATGCATGTGGTGTAACGCGGGCACGAGCTAACGTTCTTCTATGTCTTACCTACCTAGGTACCTTGGTCTGAAATATGTACAACAACGGCACAATTATGATACATGCATCTGCACGTTCCAGTCCAGTCGGGTATTACCGTCCTATTACTAATTCCGAAGATATCGTCGGAACCGGCACGCATGCTAAATTATTCTACCTCTTATTCTATAAATCTGGAAATATTAAACAGAAACACGTAAGTTGATACTATGTTGCAACATTAATAGAGTATAGGTATATATATTTCTAATCCATCACCAGCAGGGTGGGTATACCGTCCGTTGAAACTCTTCACATGGGCATAATCTTCTAATATGCCTCGACCGGGTAAGGGGATTAGGAAGTAGGAAGCCAACTTCCGATCTCACAGGATATCCATCCGCTGCTGTTACCAGCATACGCATTCTATCCACTTCTCCACCCCCTCCGAGAAATCCTACCCGAATATTTCTTTGGACTTACCAATCCACTCTGACCCATTTCCCTTGAGGCTGGTTCCAACCCACTCCCTCGTCTCGAGGCATCCTCGATATCAATGCCCGGCGATACCTTTGGCTGTGGTCGAGGTAATCCCCAGAATGGAATCCAGGCTCTGCTCTTGTTAACTTCCGTCGATTGTCTATTGGAATAACGGCTCTCTTGACTTGGCTGCGTCCGTAATAGGGTAGTTGCTGATTCACGAATTCCTGAACCCCCAAGGTCTGGTTGCGTCGTTGTTGTTGCTGACGACGGTGTTTTTCTGAGGCCGAGTAGGAGACGAAAAGCTTGCGTCGGCGTCAACGAGCGTGTCCGACCCTCCGATTCTCCACATGTAAAATCCGCGTGGATCGTTGTATTGCCTGGTGTGGAACTAGCCCCAGCCGTAGCTGAACGAGTTTGAGATGAAGATTTGCTTTTTGCGCGCCACTTCTTTGGTTTCGGTCCCGAGGTTTCCAGCTGCTCCCAATCGGTTTGTAAAGTAGAATCGTCATTTTCTGTCCTCTTTAAACCCTTATGAGACCTCTGCTTCTGGCCTATCCTATTTTCAAGTTTCAATCGAGTACGCCCGAAAATATTCGCTTTCTTCTCAATTTCGTTCTTTGAAGATGGACTTGCGTGATGACTTTGAACACCTTCATCCATAGTCCTACTCCTTGCTGACGTTGCTAGGCCATTCTCCGCATCCAGCATTGATTCCTCCCCCGCTAAACCGAAGATGTCGTCTCCGTCCCGTTCACCACATGCCCCTCTTACCTTTTTCAAGGGCCACCATGTTTGTTGTTGATCTCGCAGTTGTGCCTCTAGTTCAGGTGATACTCGAGCAGGAGATGCTGAGATTGTATTCAGAGAAACTGCATTAGGAATATTTTTTCTGTTTCTTTGTAGCCCTAGAATACTCCGAAATTTGATTTTAGGACGACGTAGGGAATCATCCACAGTTCGAGATCCTGGGGTATAATCTGACGTCTGAGATGGAGGAACGAGAATCTCGCCCTGACGAGGACTTAGAATCGGCAGAGTTCTAGATTTTCGTGATTTTCCTTCTCGGGGCGCAATTCGTCCCGTCTGACGGGAGGAATCCCTTGGCAGTTCATTCTCTGTAGTTCTCCCAGTCGTCTCTCCAGCTCCAGTGTCGTATGGGTGTTTACTCTTACCAGGTTTGACATTTGTGGTCGCCATCTCCCTCGTTTGAGGGGCATCAGATAAGGTCGACGCATTTGGTCGTTTGTGTTTCCGTGATTCAATGAGCTCCACCTGATGGTCGATATCATCCTGCTAGGACTCGACCTTCATGCTAATCCATAGAAGGGGAATGGCGACCGCCTCAAGCGCCATGACTCGTCGCGACTTCGACTTTTCTCTCGCCTCTCCCTCATTGGGTTCTTGAGATTCATAGAGGGTCTGTTGAGTTGGCCATCGGTGTCTATAGTCGACAATAGCCTTTTCCCTCTTTCTTGACTGCCTGGCCATTTTAATTTATAAATTGACTCGAATCCAGATTTCTTAAGAACTTAACGATACGATATACATATATGCTATGACCGAATTGTCCCGTACAGAATACTTGCAGACGATTGCGTGGTGCTGAGGGGGTAGATGGATGAAAGAAATCGACATCGCTACATATGTGTAAGTAGCTCCATGGTATCATAAACCATAATTTACTAGTGAAACATTTGAAAATAAAGAACTTCATGTATATGTACCTAGAGTTTGCCTGGCTGCTTTGATAAGCAAAGCCTCCTGCCTTTTGTAAAACGTAACATGGTAACTACTTGCTGTGCCGGCTCTGCCAGTCGCTTAGGTACCTAGGTAGACGATAAATGCATACACAACATACATACATAGTAATTCATGGCCATCACAAAATTATAAAACATCTATGTAGAACGAGCGACTCAATACGATGTGCCCATTATGTCCATCTCTACGTGCACCCAAATGACTGAAGTCCGGTTCATCTTAGCTATCATTTAATACGAGACATTTCATTCCTATGCATAATATTAATACTGCTACTGGCTACCTAGGTAGCTACTAACGGCATGGTCGATAGTACAACCGTTTTCCGTAGCTTATAGATCCACACCCAGCAGGCCTTCGTTATTACGAGCTCGATACTTCCGCGTCTAGATATTAGCTATTATTTCTTCTTGCACTATATATCTCATAACGATGGACCTCGACACATCCCGCCAACTCGGCTCGATTATGGTTAGTTCCGGTAGCGGGTGTAGTGGGCGCCTCGACAATCGGCGAGGTATGTGCCATGGGCATTTCCGTTTTCGGTTTCCCCGAGACGGCGAATTGTGCTGCGTGACCTTCGTATCCTTGAGATGTATTAGAGTATACCCCAGCACCTGGAAGTTCTTGAGGCCCAGAAGGTGCAGGTGGCGGCGATGTCGCGTTGGAAGCTCCCCTCTGATACTTCCTAATGAATAGGACACCGAGTACTATCAAACCAATGACAGCGACGCCGCCCACTACACCACCAACGATAGCCCCAACAGGAGTGCTAGAAGAACCATTCGACGAGGCTAGCTCAGGGGTTTCGGAAGCTGATGTAGTAGCTGATGATCCGGAGACCGTGGATGTCGAGCCACCTGTTGTTGAAGGCGACGAGGTACCATCCTGTGTGGAGGATGTACTCGATAGTGAAGTATCTGAATTATCGGTGGTTGACGTAGTACTGTCGAGTAGGCTCAGGGGTGTTGCTAGTAGCTCGAAAGTGCGAGTCATGCTTTGATAGTCGCAGTCAAATGCGGTAAGTGTCGATCCGCTCGTCTTCATTAACTAGAATTAGCACTTCACTTGCGGCTAACGGTACGGTATAAATTCCAATATACCGTCGGGGATTGGGGGATATGGAATTATCACTTACGGAAAAGAGCCAGCTGATGCAATAAGGTGCTATCGATCCACTACACGATAGTTGGTTAGTTAAACGAGAAGCGAAGCAGAATCGCGAGGGTTAGAATCACATACCAACAACGCGTCTTAAGGCCACAACTACCCATCGAGTCATAGTCGTCGCATTGGGTCCAGAACGTCGAGGAGCATGCTTTCAGACCTCCCGTACAACATCCTCTATAACTTCCGATATTTTCGCATGTTCCGACACTCGAATAACATTGGTACGTAGCGGCGGCTATGGCATTAGGTTAGTTATCTACCTTGGCGAATACCTCGGTAGGTTTCCTATATAGCATTTTTCTCTCGGATATTAAGTTCTTACTATTAAGAGAACCAAATCCACAGGTATCATGGCCCATGGTGTAGCCATCGCGCTTTAGTAGTTCCGTAGACACGAAGTACTCTGGAGCCGTTGTCGGCTGTGGTTGCTGTGTCCTTGCGATAGCACCATCTTCAGCTCGGGTAGCGATAGGAGGGAGAAGGAACTTTGCGGCCGAAGCTATAGAGAAAACTTCAAGTTGAAGCAGCAATGAGAATAGCATGCGCCTCATTATGTAGTGATTAAGGCAAGTCTGGTATGGGATAAAGAAGATTCGTGAGATGGAAGGGCTCGACACTGATCATAACGGCTGGTGACAAGGGAATATAAGCTAGCTAAGACCTCAGCCCTTCCGCCAACCGGACAGGCTTTTTTTTTTTCAGCTCCCCCATTGTCCCCTCTTAATAATTTCGGTTTATTTGTTATTTGTTAGATTGCTCATCTACCTAGGTATAGACTGAGGCTGGCATCAAGACTAACGGCGCTAATCAACTAGTCACCACCATTAAGATGCGAGAGCACATCCACGATGCTGCAGGAGGCCAAGAGTACTTTGGCTCAACGTCGATCGGCGCGGTGATGATTTTTCCTTTTTGGATATTCCACGATGCTGCCCAACCGGACGAAGCAGGCTGACTGCTGAATAGGCGAAATAGCCTACCATCGAGCGGCATCAATGACCTCAAGATGTTCAATGTTTGAAGGTGTGAGGTGACAAGACCCAATTTATTCGGTCTCGCTATGCTTGTTCGGTATAGAATCTTCTTCTAATTGGAGGGGATCCCGCATGAGGCTGTACTGTCAGACTGTTTGGATTCGGACCCCTATTTTCCTACAGAAGCGAAGACAATAAAGACTCGATTGGAAATACATCGGGCAGGAAATTCTCGTATTTAGGTAAATATCTAATTGAAGAAGATGCAGGCTACATGAAAGAGACGCGGTTCATTGACGATCATTAACATAGGACTGATACATTTGCATTTAATACATAGGAAGGTTGTCGGATTGAAGAGTGAGGTATGATAGGTAATTTCATCAAGATTTATTAAATTAAGTAGACACAAACGCGTGTTGAAGAAAGAAAGAGCACCTATTTCCCTTGTACCTGCGCTAGATCTTTGGTTAGTAATATTTAAAGTTACACAAGTAACACATGCAGGGGAAAGATCAGAGAGCAAACAGGGCAGACAGGGGTAGGAAAGAAGTAGCAGGGCCCTGGAGGAAAGAGGAAAGAGGGGTAGCTTAGGCTTGGTGTTAATCGGCCTTATCGAAGGAGAGGGACCCATCAAAATTTTCCTGCGATCAACCCCACCTAACACCTAGTGAATTCAAGATAAATATTTTTTTTTCTATCCTTCTTTTCTCTTATTGTTGCCTAATGTTTCCTGATTGCTAATATCTTGGGACCAACGCCGAAAAAAAAAGGAATTAGAAGGATCAAGTCGTAGACCTTAGGTCGTCGATGAGAATTCCGATTTTTTTTTTTCATCTTATCTAGCACTTGCTAGAGAGTCCTTGCACTGCACTGACGCCGACGCTTCATTAATACCCTTCGCTTCTCAACGATCGCGCCGTGCAATCATGGACCAACAACGCCTTGTTGAATTGCTTCAGGCATCTCAGATCCGTAAGTATTCCTTATTACGTATTCATTAATGAAGGGTCTTTCGAATGTCTACCTTTTTATTTTTATTTATTCCAATACTATACCTTTCCAACTTGCTAATTTTTGTCTACTCTTCGTAGCCGATACGCAGAAGGTCAAGGCAGCAACCGCAGAGTTACGCAAAAACTTCTATCCCCACCCTGAATCCCTTATCGGCCTCCTCCATGTCATCGTTTCCAACCCCGAGTCTACAGTTCGCATGCTTGCGGCTGTTCAAGCTCTGCGACTTGTTCCCAAGCACTGGGAGAAGATTGCCGATGACCAAAAACCCGCTGTCCGCAACGAGCTCCTCCAAGCTATCCTTCGCGAGCAAGATGCCAAATGCCGTCACGGCCAATCCCGCGTTATCGCTGCCATCGCGACGTTGGACTTCGAAAGTGAACAATGGACCGACCTGTTACCCGCTGTTATGCAGTTAAACACTTCCGACGATGTTACCCACCGCGAGATCGGCTCATACATCGTATTCAGCCTTCTCGAGACGAACCCCGCCTACTTCGAAGACCATCTATCCACCCTGTTCGAGCTCTTTGCTAAGACCATTAGAGACCCCCAAAGTCGTGATGTGCGAGTCAATACCATGCAATCTATCAGCGCCTTATTAATGCTGGTTGATTGCGACGACGATGAGCAGTCCGTAAATGCTGTTCAGGGATTTGTTCCCGTCATGGTAGATGTCCTCAAGGATGCTGTTGACAGTGGAGATGACGAGAAAATTCAACAATCCTTTGAAGTTTTCCAATCATTCCTAGCGTATGACCCCGCGTTAATATCGCGCTATTTCAAGGATTTGGTTCAATTCATGCTTGACCTAGCCGTCAATACGAATGCTGAGGATGACGTGCGATCCCAAGCCTTGTCTTTCCTCGCCCAGTGTGTCAAGTATCGCCGCATGAAGGTCCAGGGTATTCCTGACATGGGCGCCCAGCTTATGAAGAAGGGTCTCGCCATTCTGTCCGAATTGGATGACGATGACGATGAGGAGGATACAACACCCGCTAGAACCGCTTTGTCCCTAATCGACCAGCTCGCTACTGACCTACCACCCAGGCAGGTCATCGTCCCCTTGCTGGACGAATTTGCCAATTATGCCGGCTCCCAGAACCCAGGTCAACGCAAGGCTTGTGTATTGGCTCTTGGAACATGTGCTGAGGGTGCCCCTGAGTTCGTCTCTACCCAGATAGCATCGGTCATGCCCATGGTCTTGCATCTGCTCAAGGATCCTGAACAAAGTGTTCGCCACTCCGCGCTTCTGGGTCTTATTCGACTTGGTGAGGATCTATCTGATAGTATGGCATCGCATCACGATGATATTATGACCGCGTTGGTGATGAATTTGGATGCCTCTAGCGGCGATGAGTCTGACAAGAAGAACGTCGATATTATCCGATCCGTTTGTGGCGCCGTTGATTCTCTCGCAGAGGGCCTAGGTCCGGATGTCATGGCTAAGTATGGAGACAGCATGATTCGTCGCATTGGAACGTTCTTGTCGCATCCAGATCCCAAGGTCAAATCTTCGGCAGCTGGCGCGCTCGGTGCCATCGCTGCCTCTATCAAGAGTGCGTTTAACCCTTACCTCAAAGAGACCATGGAGGCTATGTCTTCCTACATTCTCGCCGAGAGCGGAGAAGAAGAATTGGCGTTAAGAAGCTCCATTTGCGACGCTATGGGTCGTATCGCTGTGGGTGTTGGTGCCCAAGAGTTCAGTCCATACGTCATACCGCTATTGGTTGCAAGCGAAAAAGCTCTTCATCTTGGAAACCCCCGACTTCGCGAAACGACTTTCATATTATGGAGTCAATTAGCTACAGTTTACGAGGGTGACCTTGGCGATTCCCTCTCAGGTATATTCAAGGGTCTATTTGACAGCCTCGAGCTCGAGGAAGAAGACGTCGAGCTAGATATCCCTGCCGACCAGGACGGTCTCGTGGACGAGGAAGTTGTTTTAGCTGGAAAGAAGCTAAAGGTCAAGAATTCTGAGGATGCGGATGGCGACGACGCCGACCTTATGGATGACGATGATGACGATGATGACTGGGACGATCTCGTCGGAGTTTCGGCGCAAGCTTTCGAGAAAGAGATTGCGTTAGAGGTCCTCGGCGACGTCATCTACGCCGCAAAGGAGAAGAGTGCCCCGTACATTGAAAGGGCCGTTGAACTTGTTGCTCCCTTCGCTGAACACTCATATGAGGGTTGCCGTAAAACAGCTCTCGGAACCCTATGGCGAACGTACGCCTGCGTATGGGAGGTTATGGAGAAACAAACTGGCCGTAAATGGGAACCAGGTCTGCCCATGAATTTCGAACCAGTCGCGAACATCTTAAAGCTGGGCGAGATTGTTTCTACCGCCACACTACACATTTGGCCAGATGAGTCCGATCGGTAAGTCATATCCTTTATTTCAATTATCGTTTAACACGCCATTCCAATGATGACTACTCTACGTTATACCCAGCTCACTCAGACGCTACATGCGGTTGCTGAGAATACGTAATATGAACAAGATCTGATATTTTAAATATCCTTCACCTATTATTCCAAACTTGAGCATTAATGGCGACAAATGCTAATATTATTTAGGGATGTTGTTACCGAAATAAACCGAAGTGTCGCTTCAACTCTCAAGACGTGCGGTCCGGCGATTCTAAGCCAGAAGGAAATGATGCAGCAGATTGTCACTGTCCTCGGTACCATCATTACCCGTTCACATCCCTGCCAACTCGACCTAGGTGAGGAAGAAGAGGACCCAAACGCAGATCACGGAAGTTCTGAATGGGACTGGTTGGTCGTCGACACTGCATTAGATGTATTGATCGGGCTCGCCTGTGCTCTAGGCCTACAATTTGCCGAGGTTTGGAAGGTCTTCGAGAAGCCGATCGTCAAACTTCTCAGTTCCAATGAGGCCATTGAGCGCTCTACTGCTGTCGGAGTCGTAGCTGAATGCGTCGCCTACATGAGCAATGCAGTTACTCCCTATACCCCGACTTTACTACGTCCGTTATTGCACCGTCTTTCCGACGAGGACAAGGAGACCAAGTCGAACGCAGCCTATGCAATCGGACAATTGGTATACCACTCAGATGACGCGAAGACGTATCTTCCCACATACAGCCAGATTCTTGGAAAGCTAGAGCCTCTACTTCAGATCAAGGATGCTCGACTACAAGACAATGCCGCGGGATGTTTATGCCGTATGATACTAGCCCATCCGGATCAAGTCCCGATAGCAGATGTACTTCCTGCACTTGTCGACTTGCTTCCTCTGAAGGAAGACTACGAGGAGAATAAACCCGTTTACCAATGCCTGCACCATCTATGTAAGTCTTACCAGATTCCACACAGCCCACAATGGTTTTGATGCTAACACCAACCCTATAGACACGCTTGGTAACCCGACGGTGCAAGAGCTAACCCCCAAGCTTCTCAATGTCTTCCAACAAGTTCTCGGACCACCCGAGGAGCAACTCGAGCCGGAAACCAGACAGGTAGTTCAGGGTATGGTAGCTGCCCTTGCTAAATAATTTCTATGGATGGGTTCGGGAAAAGGTCCGGAGGAAGGGGAATGGATACGATTTCATGAGCCACATGAGTGTACGAAGAAAGGGAGAAGTGGAGGCTCTCGATTTTTTGCCTACATATAGATGATTCCCCCTTTAATGATAGATTTCCCCCAAAAGTCCCTCCGAGACGATTAGTATTTACGCGTTGCCTATGAAAATTACAAGTGCCAAAGCTGGCATCATGAAACGATCGTGAGATATCCATTAAAGATTGGAGGCCACTATCCAATGGGAAAGTTGAGCCTTGTTATTCTACTTGCTAGCATTGTACTCTGTTTTACGTCGGAGAAAATGTCGAAAAACTGACATGGGTGTTAGCTATAAGCGATTCGGCGAAATATAATTTTAGGAGATCCAGGCAGCCCAGAAGTCTTTTATCTCTCACAAATTTAATGTCCTATGCGCTATACTTCGAGGCCAACCAATGTAAACAGTCCCAATTGTAGTAATATTAGGGAGTGACACGGTTAGACGCTGGTGGGTTACATGTCCGTCCATGGGCTTCTGTCACAGTGATATTGGCCTCGGCCATGACTCTGGACCATGGGTCATCCTATGAGGGATGCACCTATGTAGCGGGTTATGGGCATTGATAACCTCCGCGTATCAACGAAAGACAATACGCCATTATTCATGCTGGATAATCACGTGCACGAGTTAGCAACGTTGTAGATGTCTTGTTCTTATTTGTTCTGTCTCTCGGAATGTCTCATATGCGCCTAGGGGATATGATTTTGGAGCGGGTTTAGGACAAAGCAAAATGTTGAGGGGACCCAAATGATTTCACCAAACAGTTACGACTCGGTCTACAACTTGTGAGTAACAGATGCGGCAAGTCGAGTATGTAACTCCGAAGCAGGTGGGTTAACCAATAACCACCAGATATCCTCCGCACTGTAGATATTCCTCTTGATAATACCCCTTACGACGCATAGTGGAGAGATTTGAGGGGTTGGGCTTTTTTACGTGTCAGCCACCCTGCCACCGCTTTCTTATTGATGTCATAATTTCGATGTTTGGGTCGAATTAACCATACCTTTAAGGCTGATTCTTCCTTTTCGGGTCATTGGGTTGGATAACGTCTTGAAAATCACCATGTGGAAAATTAAGAAGACTCGATATGGATTCAAGTAGGTAGATTCGAATGGGATCATCCATCCTTAGCCAAATTGATAATACATCGGAGTCCATCGATCAACTACGCTCAGGTTATCCTCGTACCACAATATTTGCATGTATCTTTTTATCACTCTTCCCCTGCTGAGCCGAGCCGGGGACGACTGGTTGTGCATACATACTACATTACAACGATCCCCCCTGCATCTTGCGTTCGTTTCTTTCCTCTCCTAATGCGAGTAACCTCTTTTGATGGGAAAGTCATCCAATGGGCAAATAGAACCCATATGCAATGTATCGATATTACATCCCTCCTTAGGCGAGCCTCACTGGTCACGTACAGCTCCTGTAGGGTTACATTCTATTGTAGTTTTTTTTTCTTCGCCTCTCTGATTGTTTCATACGGTGAAATGGCGCACTGTCCACGAGTTGCTAAACTCCTCTTCCTTTTTTGCTTTTATTTTCTGATTTCCTTTTCCCAGGTGGCTGGATCGTTGCCCCTCGGTCCCCCCGCTTAGAATACTCCGGGTTTTACCCCCTCTTTAAGTATATTCGGATATCTGACGATGGTGGAAATCTACCTGCTTGTGTAGGATACATACGTACATAAGTTTGCAGAAAAAATATTCACAGTACCCCAAATATAGACCGTTATCAACGGCTTAGTGTACGATGGGATGAGAATCCGGAGGGATTGGAGCAAAACAATGAATACAAACCAACGACAAAATATTATCCCTGTCATCTTGCCCTCCCTTGGCTCCCCCCACCATCCTGCCGCTGGACCGCTAGACAAGGAACGTCATCTCCGATCTACGTCGCCGTCGTGTGATTGGCGCTATGGACGGGAAATAGCGATTGGCGCCAGGGGTCACGGTCCGGGGTTGAAGCTTGATTTTGATTCCGGAAATATTGAGTGAAGAGATACGCACTGACACATGTTGTGTTGACAGACTAGGTAGGTCTTTATCTTTCTGTCTTCTCTTCTTGGTGATCTATCTGCTCCTTTGATCGACTATATCAAGGCTCTCTTTTGAGAACGTTACAGTCACCTCGAGGTTGTTAATATGTTGTACTATCGTATGCGGTGTATTCGTGAAAATAATAAAAAAACGGCACGTCGCATATAGAAAAAAAAAAAAGAAAGATGAGCTCGACGAGTACTGTAGCATCACTGCATAACCCTAATTCTAATTCATCTTTTACCGACAGTAGCACGATGCAAGATACAGCTGCCATGAAGTAGGCTGCTCGCAGTAGCGGTGGTGACACGGTTGATTCTACAGCACTCCTTCGTACGTGGTATAAAGTAACAGTTCGTAACGAGCCAAGCTCACAGCTGAAAAGGAGAGAAAAACAAAATAGTACTGTTTAATTAAAGGTGAATTAGCTGAGCTATATGGTAGCAATGCTTCATACGCACAATAGCATTGCTACCATATTATCCGGTTATTATGCCTACATGTTGTATATATGACTTAAATCGTCATCACATCTGTGTTGCTGTTCCCTAGACCCATGTGTACTGGACATGCTTGGGTGGAAAGATAAGAGAGGCCCCTGGCCCATGTCAATTTGGAGTTCTCCACCGAAGATGGGCACTGACTATGGGGTCGGCGGACTGTCGATCTTTTTGTTCCCATCTCATCTCTATAGTATCAAGCTTGGTACAAAAGGTAGCTAGAGTACATATGTATGTACGGACCCGTCGGATAATCGGTTCTCATATGGCCTTATCAACACCTAATGTACGCGTACTTTATAGTACATCTTGATCCTTGGTTTCCAAGGTTAGTAACTCATGAATTCCATCGACGAAGAATTCCTCCTATCAAAGGCCCTGGTTTCTTCAGACAAACCCCCCATCGCACAGCATAACATGTACGTGGTACTAGTCCTGTCTTAAAAAATAACAATAGCACTTACTTCGAAGGGATACATAGCAGTTTACGTATGTAGGGGGTAGCTATTGTAGGTATATACTTAAAATAGTTAGGCAGCCCGTCCTACTTGTGCAAAATAAGGGAGCAAATTTCACTGTGTTCTCCCGAGCAAAGGAAGTTTCCGGGCCTCCAAATCAGGATATATTGTTATTAAATGGAAGGAACCGTGTGTATCTCTAGAGGACTGCCAGCCTTCTAACCTCGAGGTACATGTCAGTAGGGTATAGGTACAAGAGCCGATCTTTATGGCCACCTAAATCATGAACCGGGGTGAGTACCGTGTACATTGGTTGTTGCACTTTACATGCGTTCTGAACCGAAGACAATGGGGCCTCGGAACATGTAGACACACGTACGTGGAGAGGTACGTACGTATAGCCCGGAGGCATCTAAAGCCCCTACCAACGAATTAAAGACCGGTATGCGTACCTATCCTACCTACCTAGGAATCCCAGCTTTGATCTAAACCAACCCAATCACACGAAACTGGCAGATATATTCCCTCCCACCCGCCATCTGATCTCTTTCCTTCTTTCCTCTTTCTCCTTCCCATCCCTTTATTGTTTACACCAGGCCCCGTAATAAGAGCAGGGTAAGAGGCAAGAGACGAGTGAGACATTGGAGGCAAAAAGTCATTCGCTACAACCCAGCACAACTGTACAATATTGAACCTTCAACCATTTTCCTTTCCCAACCCATCTGTCAAGTACACTGCCAATCGCTAAGGAATAACCTACCCACATCGACAAGATGCGATTCACGCTCGCTCTCGTTTCCGCCCTTCTGGGCATTGCCGTAGCGGCGCCTCAAGGTGTCACCGACAAGCTTACCCCGACCGGCGTTGCTCCCGCGGGTTGCACGGGCAGCTTCGATGGAAAGTTCGAGATTACCGTCGCGGAGGTAACAGAGAAGCGAAGTGTCTCCAAGCCTGAGGTATGTAGACGATCCTGAGATGGATGCCAATCTTTCGGGAAATGGTTCGAATAATAATTATGCTAACCGTCGAAACAGAAGCGCGCTGAGTGTGGAAGCGATGGTATTCTCGTCTCGACTCTGAAGGATGGTTCTATCTTCGACTCCAAGGATCGAACCGGTTACATCGCGTCGAACTTCCAGTTCCAATTCGATGCTCCCGCTCAAGCTGGCGCTCTCTACACCAGCGGCTTTTCTCTCTGCGACAACAACGTCCTTGCGCTTGGTGACAACAAGACTTTCTACCGCTGCCTCTCCGGAACTTTCTACAACCTTTACGATCGCAACTGGGCTGCGCAATGTGAACCTGTCTCTATCCTCGCTGTCCCTTGCGGTTCGGATGCCCCCGCTTCGCAGATTCCTGATGGTCAAGTCGTCGGCACTAGCGTTGTTCAGACTACTATCGTCACCGCTCTTCCGGACGGCCAACCACAGGTTGTCACCACTGCAGTACCTGTCCCGATTTGCCAGATTGGCGATGGTCAAGTCCAGCAGGGAAGCACACCTTGCGCCTCGCTCACATCCAGCCCGACCAGCACGTATGTCCCCGTTAGCGAGTACACAGACGGCCAAGTTCAAGTTACACCCCCTGGCAGCGCTCCAGCTCCTTCAGCAACCGCTACTGGTAGTGCCCCCGCACCTTCGGCACCAGCTCCATCTGGATCTGCTCCATCGGCACCGACAGTTAGCAGCAGCGCCGCAGTTTCAAGCTCAGCTGCCAGCTCTCCTAGTGCTAGCGCCCCTGCCAGTTCGTCTGCTTCAAGCCCTACTTCGCCTCCGGCGACAACTTCGGCACCTCCTCAGAGCGGGTCCTCGCGCGTCTCCGTCGGAACTGCTGGCGCTCTAATCATCACCGCGATGGTTGCCTTTTTCTACTTGTAAATATGACTCACATACCCAAGCAACTCGTCACTCGCAGGGTTTTCCGAGAGGAAAAAAGGGATGAGTTGAGAAGGAAAGAGAGATAATGTTTTTGGCAGGGAATTAATGGCTCAACACCATGACGAATGGTTTAATGTGTGAAATGCGAAGGAATACGAGAGAGACAACGTAACACTGGTAGCATAGTGGGAGTTAGGGGAATAATACAAAAAGCTCCGATGCACATGAATACGTGGTTTAAGAGGATGTGTCTATACATATATAAACCCATGTGCTTACTTACCCCGAGATCAGATCACCTCATCTCTGTTGAATGTGACGATGCATAGCTCCTTATTGTATAGATCGCCCAATCCATAGCAAGCACGACATCAAGCACATCATTTGGCGTATTTCAGGGGAGATTAGTTTCGGGGTTTGAATGCGACGCAACTGTCACTCGAGTTACCCAAGATATTTTATAGCTATTTTGAGGCTCTTAAGCATGGCCGTCTTAATATTGAGGAGTATGTCTTATGGTGTATGTATATGCTTTTGTTTAGAATGAGAATGATTCGGTAGAGTTGGTCTCCTAGTACCTATCCTGGATATTTATAGGGGTCTACGACTAATGCTAGCGCTAATGCTTAGGGGACTTCAACTATCCGTACCCCGCTAAACTACCTATCTGGGTACGTATCGATAACACATTAGAGGATCACGGCGTTAATGAGCTCCGACTTTGCTACGTAATACAATTAATTCATTTATTCTTCTTGTTCTTACTGTCACTCTTCTTCCTCTTACAACTTACAACACCCATTTTCAACTCCACCTTCCAAAAGTCGCACACCGTCCTCTATGTCGGAATACTGGAAATCGACACCCAAGTACTGGTGTAAACATTGCAGTACTTATGTACGCGACACCAAACTCGAGCGGCAAAATCACGAAGCCACCGCGAAACACCAAGGCGCATTGAAGCGCTTCCTACGAGACCTCCATCGCAACCACGAACAAGAACAACGAGAGAAGGAACGTGCTAAGCGAGAAATAGAACGACTAAACGGCGTTGTCAGTAGCACATCATCCAACCATGCCGCAAGCAATAGCGTTGCTTCCTCTAGCGGGAGGACACCAGGGCCATCGCAAGCCCAGGCTACCAGCGCTCAGCGGCAACAGCAATGGGAACAATTGGCACAGATGGGTATCGATGTTCCGACGGAACTAAGAGGGGATATGGCTATGACAGGTGAATGGACTGTTACCAACTCGAGAGTTATCGACGATACACCGAAGACAGATACCAAATCCGGAAACGTAGATGCGATCGCGTCCGGTGTTCGAAAGCGCCCGAAAGGTGAGACGGAAGAAAAAGAGGAAGAAGACGCGATTAAGGGATTATTCAAGAAACCAAGGAGATGGGGTCGCGATTCTAAAGAAGCCCCAGAGGACGATGCAGAGCTAGATGCCCTGCTCAGCGGAACCTTGTCCAAGTTACCCAAGACCGAAGAGAAACATGAAAGCCCCCTCAAGAAAGAAGATTCGCCGCCCGTCAAGGAAGAGGACTCCACAATAAATATTAAGAAAGAGGACGCTGATGAGAGTCAAGCTTTGCCAGATATCAAACCGGCAGCTACAGAAGAAGCCAAGGATATTCCGATCAAACAGGAAGGAAATGTGGATGGCAAGGGGCCTGCAGTTGTTTTCAAGAAGCGGAAGCCTAAGAATATCCGGCAGAGATGAGCGAACCAGATTTTACAGCACCCTCAATTCTCTACCCCAACAGCTATACCTGTGCCTCTGTTGGCGACGTAGATGCCACCTGACTACCCATTCCTACACAGACAGTGGGATTCTTGCCTTCCTTGCCTTAGCACATGGTCTTGCCCACTTAGTTTCTAGGAAATGGAACTGAGCAATCTCATCACCAATATACAATTAGCAAGGACGGAGGTGATCTCTTTGTGGAGGTATAGATCCGAATAGCACGCAAATGGGGGGGGGGGTTCGGTCTCAAGCCACCTTCCTACGCTTTACTCGTCTTGGACAAATATTGGCCTTGATGAGATTTACGGTCAACGAAGCTCTCCGACCAATGGTCTAAGAGTACTCGCCAAAAGATCCATACATGATACCCCAATAAGCCGAAATAGAAATGTCAATTTATAAAACCAATTCGATTTACAGATGTAGGCTTCTTCATATAGCTAAGTGGCATGTGGCCCTATATGGGATATCTGAGATATATGAGCTGATAGGCATAGGTAAGCTTCCAGCCCTTTTTTTCTTTCTCTTTTACGACCCCGTGGGGTCTCCCGGCGGACGCTAAAGCATCTGTCTCACCGGGACTTGCATGTTATTTGAAAGCTATGGGTCCAAATACTACGGTAAATGATGGCCTAAATCTGCCCATTTCCGGGCTCACGTCACAATGGCAGCATACTACATACATAATACTTCAAGTGATGATAAATATAGAACCCTTTGTGCCACCAATGTTGTATTGCTTTGTTAGAGCCTAGAAATGTTACTATTTGGCCCTATTCTCACCTAACCCGACCCACATATATTGCTATACGCACCTCCGGGACCGAGATGCTCAAACTGCAGTTCCTGTCAGAGCGAAGGCGGCATATTAGGTAGGCATTGTTATATAGCACTATGCGGGACGAGAATATCTGTCACATATCGGTTCTATTATGAACTGGCATGGCCTGTAGCAAATACGGAAGCCCTAGAGTAAGTTGGCTTCTACCTAGGTATATACACCACTGCTTGGTAATGCTTTCCATCTATAACGTGTTAGATCTATCTCGCTTTTCTCCGGGTTCATAGGCTATGTACCTAGGTAAGAACTTAATGTCCTCTCCTGCTCTCCCTGTTAAGTGTAAGGGGAGATACAGCAAAACAATTATAGCAAGCGTCCTTGGTTACAATTCGTTATCGTGTTTGCCTTGGTCGTATTAATAGCCTATTGCCTCGAACCACCTAGTGATGAGGTGGATAAGCACACGCAATCCACCTGCTAACTGCTGCTTACTTAACCTTGCCAAGGGTGGATGCTTATGAACGTGGCTACGACTAGATTGGCTAGGGGCTGGCAAATATGGATTTTTACGGTAACTGTTTGTTGTGATCGACGAGTAGGAAATTCACTTGTCTTTCAGCCGCACCGAGTTACCATTGCAGAAATCTCACCGTATCGAAGCCTCTCAGAATTTAGGGTATTCCTTCTGTCTTGGCATTCGAGTTGGTTTTTTGTCGAAACGACTCGATTGGCAGACTTGGGGGCGAAAATACATCGTAGGGCTGGTTTTGTGTGACAATACATATTCTAGCTGTGGTCGGCCATGGAAAGGATTTCATCTCATCCGGTCTTCAACAGACTGGGTCTTCTATGTTCTGGATTTATAGTAAACCAAGTGAAATACGGGGAGGTTTGCCACCCGATGTGAAGTTGTTTGTGTGGTCTTTCGTCATGTAACATCCACACGGCATTACAATTGCTACCGAATAATACCTGAGTTCTTTTTTCTTTTTCCTTCTCTCCGGTCTTATACACGCACTCGTCCACTTCGTGCTGATTCTTTCACCACGCTCGTATCTGTTGTCCGATCATTGAAGTATTCAGGTTCCGGTCATACTTGTGGGGGGCGGCCCGTGTGTAGGACTCCCGATAAACCCCTTTGGTCTTATTTCATGTCTTTCCACATCCTGGTAATTAATGATAGGCGGTAGCTAAGCTACCCTGCCGGTTACTTTTTTACTTTTTCGAACTCGAACTTCAATGGAAGTTTGATTTACGTTGTGGCTCTCACTGGAATTTTAGATGTTGAAATGGCCGACTCTGGCGGGTTGACTAGTCGGCCTTCGATCCAATCTCGACTGAGCCAGCAGTCAATACCGAGGAAATTAGCCTCATCGCCAACAATGTCTATTCACCGTCGTATTGGTAGCGACGACATTTCTCTCAGTTCTAAGTCTCAAGGCAACGATACCCCCGGCTTCACCCGACCTACCTCTGTGTCGCCTGAATCGCAGCAACGTCTTCCCATCATGGGAACATTCGGAACGGCTGGTTCTTCGACGACGACGACACCGGTAACGAATTGGATTGACGATAGCGACTTGGGCGCTCGGTCTCTTACAGCGTCACCACAGATGATTTCGGAGTTTTCCCAAGTTTACCATAGACCCGATAGCGTCCCAAACTCGCGAGCTCCTTCGACTCATATCCCGAAATCCAAGCCGGCTCCGATGCAGTTTGAAGATGTCCCTATGGACTATCAATCTCCTGCTGGGTCCTCGCAACCGATGTTTTCACCACGAGAGCGCTTTCGGCATAGCCGCACGGACTCCGGCGCAAAACTCTTGAACACGCCAAGTACGACAGCATGGAGGAGTCCGCGAACGCCGCCTCCTTACACGGCCGTTGTGCAACCTAGAAAGTGGTGGCATTGGCGGCCTGCATGGTTTATGTACGTGGCCTTCTTCTTTGGTGTAGCTTGCGCCATTGGCCATCATATTTTTTACAATACCCTAAGCGGGAAGCCCGCGAAGGACCAAATTGCTATGCTCCGATACGGTACGGTATTGGCGTTCGCAGCAAAAGCCGGTCTTGTAGCCTCCGCGGTAGTTGCTTTTAGGCAGCGGATATGGGTTACCGTTAGGAATAAGTTTCTAAGTGTGGCTGCTCTAGATTCCCTTTTCGCTGCAACAGAGGATGTGTCAGCTTTGCTCAATGTTGAAATCTTCAAACGAGCCAAGATCGCCGTGTTCTTAGCGGCGTTCGTCTGGTTAACTCCCATAGTAATTATACTGACGAGTAATACTCTTACCGTCGAACCAACTTTACAAGTTGATAACACCACATGTCCCGGTATCCGAACTTTGAACTTTACACGAGACGAACTAGAGGTAATTATTCGCTTTTTTTGGTTGGTATATCTGGTAATGGCGGCTAACTTGCTTGAAGGAATGGAGAACCCCTACCAAAATCGATGGCTGGTATGGTTTGTCCATGTCACTTTGGAACACGACGTCTCTGGATACCAGCTCGCCAGACTGGTTCGATTATTATACTGCACCCACCAACCCTTTATATCGCGTTGCAACTCAGGCAGCCTACTCAGGGCAAGCCGTCAGTAAGACTAGTGGCAATATAGACGTCTGTGGTTCCGGTTGGAATTGCACATATACCATCAACTTCACAGCGCCAGCTTACAAATGTTCAGAGCTGGCGAGTGGTGTTGGCTCAGCAGTCAAGCCTCTTGGCAACCAACAACCTCCCAATGGCTTTACCACTGATCTCATCATTCCTAAAGGTGATTATAGTTATTATGCCTATACTGGCGGCGGCGACTATTCCAATCAGCAGATGAAAGATACCGGGGGCAGCGGTATACCAAGTACTAAGCCCCCGTTTCCCGAGACTTTGGGAGCATTCCGTACAGAACCTGTTATTTGGATAGCCTACGCCGTAAGAAAGTACCCGAATGACACACCGCCTGTAAATAAGTCGGCGTCGGGTTGGAATGATGCCTTTATTCCTAAGGTAGTCGGGTGCGAGCACTATGAGGCTGATTATACCGTTTTGTTCAATTGGACTGGAGGTCAACAGATAACGAACGTGACAAAACGCGACTTCTTACACCCTATCATAGAGTAAGTACTTCATCATAGTGCGGCTTAGTTGAGGGGAATTCGTATGACCCTGCGATACTGACATTTTCACTAGCACCACCTGGATCCAGGGCAAGGACGCGAACGATGGTACAAATGACAACACTACAGCAACCCCGAAGAGCAATTATGTCTATCCAAGAGACCTCCATAATTATCGACGGGTAGCAGCATTTCATTCGATGGGTATACAATTGCGGGACTTCGTGAACGGCACAATAGATTCGCATCAACTTGACAACCCAATAGAAAACACCAAGGCGGATCAAACGAAACTGTTGAATCTAAGGCAAGATTATTTCGCATATCCGAATCTCGTGGATTTGGTACAAGACTTTTACGAAGATATGATACTTTCGTTATTTTCCAACCAGCAATTCGTGAGCGTCGTCTGGGCGGCGAAACCGAATGCTTCATCGGGGACAGTTGCTGGAGACGAAACCACCAAATACCCATGCATGCGATCTCGGTTAGAAAATAGGTACGCATACCACGTACGGGACTTATGGATCGTCTATAGCATTGCTATTCTATTGGCAATAATAGGTGTAGCATTTGGTACCATGGCAGTATTAGAAAATGAAGGAGTGCTTCGTACTACTCGTTTTTCGAGTATAGTAGCAGCGACTCGAGGACCATCGTTAGAAAAGCTTGGGTGGGTTGCAGCGGATGACAAAGGCGATCTTCCTTCGGACTTGAAGAATCTCAAGGTTGGCTATGGAATTGTCCATAGAGCGAGCGGTCTCGGAGTTGTGCAGGATGACACGAGATACCCCGAAAGAGTACCTGTATGGGACAGCGGAGATGTGCGGTACGGCTTCGGATTGGAGGGTGATGTGCGACAGTTGAGGACTCAGGCAAGAAGAGAGGGTAGTTTATTCCGTCAAATGTGAACAATTTGTGCATAGGTTAGATAAATACTGGGATCATGGAAAATGGGATAGGAAAGCATTCAGAGCGCTAGGTATGGGTTCATTCGGTCTAGGTATATGGGTACGTATAAGGGGTTACGGGCGTATCTTACCATTCATTAATTAGAGATTAATGCTTAATGATGATATTTTCAACCATTTGCATGTACTGTGTTGAACTATCGTGACAACAGTGAGGCTTCCGATACACCGCATCTATGCTTTAGCGGGTCCAGCTAGGATTCTTTTTTTTTTTTCACAAGGGACAGAGGGCTTATATTTCATTCGCCAGATTATACAATTTCCGTTTGTGTAATGTTACGTTTTATGATTGCTCAATGATTCCTTGATTCGATAGCAAAGTAGACGAATTCGGTGCTTATTGCCTACCAAATTCTGTTACTGCATCTCCATTAGGCATTGATACTTGCACCCGGGAGTCAAGCTGGAGATGGTACAGTGGTCCGAACGGGTCGCACGAGCTCGAAATTCCCCAAATTCCCCAGACAAGATCTCTCTCTCCAACTGAGATGCTCGCCCAATATAGAACGTAATGTATGTAGGTGTAGCTTACATGTAAGTCAGGCACGCATCATTACAACATTTTGCAGCATTTGAAACAAGCACGGGTCTCTTACGTATATACACGTTCACCATACAGCAGGTTCTGCTGGATTCACGAGGCGTAAATGCTGTGACTAGAACACAGAATGTGGAATTTAAGGTACTGACGTACCTGGGGATCGACCAACTCCAAAACATAGGATCATCGTGGCGGTGGGTGATAGACAAAGAGAGAGGGAGGAGAGAAGGAGAGAAAGAGGGTCTCTCTGTCGCAAAATACCATACGACAGGCAATCAATAGGATTAATTGCCATTAAAATTCCGACAATGGTCAGGACATGTGGAAATGTACCTACTAGGCGGTAACATACTACATTATATACTTATTAATTCCTATACCAAGAGGGTCTGGCCCTAGTTCTAGCTCTTTTTCGCGGGCATCTCCCGTTAGAGCCGCCACCTTCACGATCCTCCTCACTCCTTAGCCCCCTAAGTACTTAGCGTACTACGACACTAGGGTCTGACCTGTCCCCGCCGGGGTGGGAATCGTTGGCTTGATTGAACGATTGGGCGGTCACGATAGCCGCCACTTGTCTCCATTCATGGCCTGTATTTTCTTCGTCGGATTGCTTATTCGCAGAAGCCAAGCAAATCAACGCTGCCCGATTCCCTTGATTGACGGCGCCGTTCGGCCTCTTCTGCCCGCGATCAGCAGCTATTCACCCGCCTCCTAAGCTACGTAGTAATGAGGCGAGCGCTGAGTACACTGCCTTGCGACTGGTCCGGACGGTCCCTGAAATCCGGTCAATTGCAATTTGGCGCTTCCATGCATAAGTTGGTCTGTGGTCTCTGAACCCCTTCTCAACTGGGGAATTCCCGGTCCAGTCGTGTTGTTGTTTTTTTTTCCTGGTTTTCTACGTATGTTTTTTTCCCCTTCCGGTTTTCTAGGCGGCCTCCAAACTGCACATTCAGATCCAAGCCATTGGGATTGCGAAAGCGGCCGCATACGGTACGCCATCTCGTTTGCACAAAATGCAGTATAATGGAGATTAAACCGGGTCTATGAATGAAAAGTATAACATCATATTGCATATTGATCTCGTTTGACCCTTCGTGCGCCTCGGTCATTAGCAGGTGTCGTCAGAAACGTGGTGCAGTTGGAAGCGCTGCAAGCACGCCTGATCTACCCCCTTACCCAGCCAATCATTACTGACTTGCCTCGAGACCGATGGCTCGGATGCGCTGTTGGCCCTTGTGTGGATTTTTGGCCAAACTAAGGTCGCTTTCCCATCTCCTCTTCAGGTCTTTTTTATATTGTTCGGTTCGTCGGCTTCCTCATATGAAGGTAGTGTATTCAAGGGAGGTCAATAGATAAAACCGTTATTCCGCATGATAAGTGCCATCGAACTTGTCAACGTAGGACCTCCTATTTCCACTTTATCTGCCCCGTCAATGCTGAGCGATCCCTTCACCGCCGCGTATTGTCCGAACAGGCAAATGACCGTGCTGGCCAGCTAGTCGGTTGTACTCCCGCCTCGTCTTTTTCCGCCACTTCATAAGTAATCCAGCTCGAACAATTAACTCCTCTTCTTCATTGTCCTTTTCACTCTCAACATTGCGTGTGGGAGGGCAAGCACAGCTACAATGCCCGTGGAAGTTGTTACTATCGTAAATTCGTCGGGGAAGATAATCAGCAATGTAAGTTATAGCCATCTGTCTTTTTTTTTTCCCCATTGTTCTTTTATTTTTGCACTTCTAGCTTAGAGCTATCTATTGCTATCACAGCTATTACCAGCACACTACATCTACACTACGGGTATATCTCCACATAAGTCCCGCAGAAATTCTCTCTTTTTGTCATGACAGCATGATAGCTACTTGCATCCAACTCCAAGCAAAACTCTTTGGATGCGCATAACCTAACAGTTATCTCCTCGACAGGGAAGACATATAATCAACATATTGAAAGAGGCCAAGGCCTCTTACCAAGAAAAGAAGGCGTCTATTAAGGCCGAACGCGCCGTCAGACGCAGTGACACCTTCGACATACCGACCGTACCACGGTACTACGATGGCGTCGAATACGGCCGGCGAGCGTCTCACGACGATGCCGCCTCTCAGGCCACATCCCGAAGAAGTTATCGTTCGAAGTACAGTGGAGCTTCCAAGCACCGATCCGCCTCTCAAACAAGACCAGCCTTGACGGAGCGCAACCTTAAGACTCTTACAGAAGTGTCATCTACGGCTCCTTCGCGACCTCCAGTAGCGTACCAGTCCCCGTATGCCGAAACCGCCCCTCGAGACATGGCCCTGAGCCGCCCAACTCTTGCTCAAGCGCCTATCTATGTTGACGAACCCCCGATGCACAACATGCCTGTGCCTCGATCGATTTCGGACCCAGCCCTGGGAGATAAGAAAAAAGACATAGATGAGGATTTGGCATACGGGAATGTTCCGCCTGATTTAGCAGAGAGGGTTGATTTAGACCCGGCCTACAAGGCGGAACAGAAGGAGCGCAAAGCAATGAATCTGATGGAGAAAATCGAGCAACTATTGACGGAGACGCAATGCTTGCATCATACCGCAACACATATTATCCAACATTTACAGGGAAATCCAGATGCCGCTGCTGCTGTCGCCCTCACGCTTGCTGAACTATCCGCTCTACTCGGAAAGATGTCGCCGTCTTTCCTTGCCGTCATCAAGGGTGGAAGCCCCGCAATTTTTGCTCTTTTAGCAAGCCCCCAATTCTTAATCGCGGCGGGTGTGACAGTCGGAGTCACGGTGGTCATGTTTGGTGGTTGGAAAATCGTTAAACGCATCCAAGAGGTCAAGGAGGCCGAGGCCAACGCGGTTGCTCCAATGGCCTTTGCGGCACACCAACCTGAACTTGGCGATGCCGTTCGAGCTCCGTACCCAGAGTCCGAAATAAGCGCAGGCTTTGATGAAGCTCTAGTTATCGAGGAGGAGCTCAGCGGTATCGAGAATTGGCGCCGCGGCATTGTACCTTTTGGAGAAGATGCGCAAGCCGATCTAGAACTCATCAGCCCCGAAGCTGACCGCGCAATCCGTGGTCAGTATGGCGGTGACGATGCGCGTAGTGTTCGCACGAGCAAAACGCATCGGACAACGAAAACCAACAAAACAAGTAAAACCACCAAGACAAGCAAGTCGCACAAATCACACAAACCCACTCCCGAGAACGAGAGCAACGGCGGTCACAAGGAAACAGATAACGCCAGCGAGGCGGGTAGCCACCGCAGTCATCGAAGCCATCGGAGTACTCGAAGCGATAGAACGGAACGCACCTCCAAGACTAAACGTTCCGAGAAGGTCGAGTTGAAGGCGATTGAAGATGGTCGTAGTGACCGGGAAAACTCCATCAACGTCGTGCTCCGCCCGAAAAAGGACAATATGCTGAAGGCATTATTCAAAAAGAAGAAGGACCGAGAAGTCTATTCGGTTGTCCGGTAGTCATCGTCTCTTGGATTCATTTCTTTTCTTTTCTCACTCTTTGATTTCATGCATTATCATCATCATCAAACTACAGATTAGGAGGATACCAGGCTCGTAGAGGCTTTTTTTGATCATTTATGGAGTTTGTGGGGAGCATATTTAAACAATGGATATGATGCATACATATACATAGCGGAGCGGCTGCGCATTACAGAAACTGTTCATAACGAAGTAAAGTCGGGTTTGGGATGTATGATATACTTAAGTTCGGAGTCATGATAAGTCATGACATTGTTCGAGTATTGTATGCTCGATCAATTTATAAGCATTTTTAGGGAGTTTATGAATCATCATGAGTCGGTGTGTATTGAAGAGAAGAAACTAGGTATATGAATTAGGTAGCCTCACCTAGGACTGGTATATAAACTATATATTAAGTCATAATCCAATAAGATGCTTGATCCGCCTATAGCCTACCCAAGTACCTAACTTGTGAGGGGGTACACAGGCATTTAATGAACGTCTTATAGTTTCAGTGTATTTTGCCTACCTACCTAGGTACGTATCTGTTTGTCATACGTTACCTTCATGTACGTAATCTCAACCCCGTAAGGCCACCAATAGGTATATTTTCAAAGAATATTAATATGGCGTTGTGTTATGGAGGGAGAAAAAAAGATAGAAATAAAATAAGAAATCATTATACTATAGCAAATATGGTGGCTTACACGCGTTAGCTCTCAAGGCCTACACCAGTATCTCCTTATTCCTGCAGATAAATTCAGCCACTAATTAGGTACATGTAGCTTATTATAAGCCATATTTGCACTTTCAAAGGTAACATAACGGTACGTACCAAGCCGGCTGAAGTAGGTATCCACGCTGATGTAGAAATTCCTTCCTTTAATAGAAGCTCTGGACCGTTTCAGATGACCGATGACTATTTAAGTGCTGACTAGGATTATTTCATCAGCCAATGTGGAGTCGCAACATTGACATTCCCGGAATTGCCTTCGAAAAGGAACAAGACGATCCTCCACGATTCCTCCCAAAGAGCCTCTTCTAGTCTTGAGGCGCACTTCTAATTTCATAGAGGTACTTCTTCATGTCTCTTTGAAACTCATCGGACGCAGGGCTGAACCTGCAGAACGGGATTAACAAAATACTACTCCCATGATACAGAAAGCCCAACACCCCTAGACTTAGATCCCCCTGAAGTTGCCAAGGTCGTATTCTAAGAATTCTTTAAAAGTCCACGTTAGCTGGTGACATCTCATTCGTCCGTTAATCTACGAATTCCCCTCTAATTGGCCCCCCTTGAATACATCTCCCCGTTTCAATTGACTCCACCATAGTGCTGGCTAGACCGAGAAAATACATCAAGAACCCTGACAAGACAGGATGACTACAGGGGATAGCAACGTGTATTGCCCTGCACCTAAGCTTTGACGAAAGCTGAGTTTTGGGCAGAGCCTGATGCAGAACCGAATACTTAAAAGCCGTGATGTCTCGCCATCTTGTTAATTTGCAGAAGAGTGGGTTCGACAGGGAGATATTCCAGGTTTCCGCGTCGTCGTCGTGCTTTATTCTCCCTTCAACTCTTAATTCTCCTGAACCCTCATCCAACTAGGTGCTCTCCTTAGGCTTTCTTTTTTTACTTGGGCAGGTTCCAATTCATAACTTTGATACATAATAAATCACCGAAGCACAGACTACCCGTTTCTTGTAGATTACCTACCTAGTACTGAACTCGAAGAATTACGCAATACTAGATTTTGTCGATCATATCCTCCACTTGCGATCTATATCCATACTTGCCCAGGTGCCCTCATTTCCTACCTAAGCATACCTCAAGATGTCAGAAGACGGCGGCGTCACAGAAGGGATACCTGCGCTCCATATTCCCAACGACCAACAAAAGAGCCCGCACACCGTCCAAGAAGAACCGTACCCTATGTCCCCGCAACGACATACGACGACTCCTAATCCTTTCAGTCGAAGAAACACAAGCATTGACATCGACGACTACTTCGTATGCGAGAAACCTAGTTTCGCTGATTTTTCACAATCGCTAACACTTTTCTCTCGTCTAGTCGGGACCTCGCGATATTTCCAAGCACTCAAAATGGCCTCTCTTCATGCAGCTACATGGTAGCATCTTGCCGAAGATGATTATCCCGCTTCTCGCCGTCGCTGCTTGGGCAACTCTTATAACCGTAATTTCCATGAAGGTCAAACCCCTCGGAATTAGCTCTATCCTCCTTACCGTTACCGGTTTCGTCGTGGGTTTGGGTTTGTCTTTCCGTAGCTCGTCAGCATATGAGCGATACGCGGAAGGCAGGAAGCTTTGGGGTCAGTTGATGTTCACCTGCCAAGGACTCGGTCGAGTTTTTTGGTTGCACGTCGTAGAGCGCGAGGGCTCTGGGAAGAAGGATCTACTAGGAAAATTGTAAGTCTCCTTCCACATCGTTGAGCACTGCGCCTAGTCTTCTAATTGTGCCTAGAACTGCCATGAATCTAGTGGTGGCATTCGCTGTTAGCTTAAAGCACAAGCTTCGATTCGAACCGTATACGTATTATGACGACCTTGTAGACTTGGTCGAGCATCTCGACACTTTCGCCAAATCAGCTACGGACGAAAACACAGTAAGACCAAGGGCGGGCTTGTTCAAGGCGGTCGGGTCGAACCTTGGTTTATCATTCGCTGCATCGAATCCTCGGAAGTTGATGAAGAAAGCCCAAACTCCTCTTGGCAATCTTCCTCTGGAGATCCTCTGTTATCTGACTGCATACGTGGATGAGCTCGCTCTTAATGGACAATTGCCCGTTCCGATGCAACAAACCGCTGCTTGTAAGTCAACTGGGATTCTAAGAGAGGTAGTATACCTTGCTAATGTGTTCCACCAGACAATAACCTTCAATCGCTGAACGATGTCCTGGTTAACACGGAGCGTGTTCTTAACACGCCACTCCCGATCGCGTACGCTATCGCTATTTCGCAGATTACCTGGATCTACGTGTTCCTCCTCCCATTCCAATTGCTCATCGAGCTCGAGTGGATCACGATTCCGGCTACTATCGCCGCGTCTTACATTATTCTGGGTATCTTCTTCATCGGACATGAAATCGAGGATCCGTTCGGAAACGACGTCAACGACTTGCCTCTAGATCTATTCTGCCAGCACATCGTACAAGACATGGAAACGATTGCCGCTCGCCGGAAGCCACGCAGTTCCGAATGGGTTGAGAACCCCAAGAACAAAGTTATGTTCCCTCACAGCGAGTCGGGCTACAGTGTGTGGGTACAGCGACCGGAGACAGCAATCCGAAATGCACTGCGAAACAGGCCACACGCCGGATTTGATAAGGCAGATACAAATGGTAAAAAAGGTGACCAAAACGTATGAAATAATTACTCCGTCTAAGTACCGGGTCGGAGTTTCTTGAGCGGATGCGCGTAGTACACGGAGTTTGAAGTAGCATTTTTCTTATATTTTTGTAATTATTGGAGCCGGAAAAAAAGGATTGGCATTTCTGGGCGGCATTGGTTTCCACATTGGCATTGTTATATGATTTATCAAGTATCTAGGGATTTATAAGGGCGAATAAAAGCGACAGCATTTATAAAAGCAAGTAAAAATAAAATCAAGTATTATCATGCCATACTGTTTATTATGTGAGACATACATGTACTGCAAACCATTGTTACAAAGAGACTTCGGGATACCCTCAACTTCGCTAAGAAAGTAATGTGAATTAAGAGCATTTATGTTTATTTATCACGTATTATCGAGTAAATACGTACATTTCGTCATCGGTAGGTAGCTTCGCCCCGTATCGTCTAGTAAGTATCATCATGTACCTCCACCTCTACCTGTACACACGTACACAGTATACCTTAACGTCTATACATGTACATGTAACATGTTGATGGCGTGCATTTTTTCGTGATCAAATTCAAACGCAGTGCCATCACTCCCACTACATAATATACCCTTAAACTGGGGATGTATCATGGCATCGTATTTTCCAATGCCTTGTTGGCTACTTCGTCTCGATGTCTATTGAAGCAATTTTCAATATTATCACGCACCAAGCTTTTTCTTCATTGGGAACGCACTATGACTTCAAACGATACACCAGCCAAGAGTAGCCCGCTTAAAAAGCGATCTATCGCAGGCTCATTCTTCTTCAAATTGCCAAGCGGGGATGAGAAACAGGCCCAAGTCGCTCTGTTTAGACGCAGCGGGAAAGTGAACACTTATCAACATAAATTAGCTCCTATTTCTGGCAGCGTCGAGAAGGACGACGCCAGTCCCTTCGCTACTGCATTACGGGAGATCAACGAAGAGACAGGTCTTACTCTGTCTTCTATCGAACTACTCCGCGTCGGAAAACCATACTCTTTTGTTGACCAATCTATCGGTCGCGAATGGACCATTAACCCGTTTGCATTTCGTCTCAAAGATAAGTCCGAAGGGGGGAAAGGCGAAGAGGGCATCACTGTCGATTGGGAGCACGATGGCTTCGGATGGTTTAATCCACTAGATGTAAATGAGTCGGACGAGTTTGGCGGCGTCCCGAAGCTCGTAAATAGTCTGCGACGAGTGTGGCCCGAGTATGATCTGGGTCCGAAAGCCGGCAAGGCTTTCACGTCGGGTTTGCAGCAACTACGAAATGACCATGAAAACGGGGCAAGGCAACTAGCTGAGATGGCTGTCTTAACTCTGAAAAACCTCATCGCAGAGATGGATTCTCATGCCATAGATGATACTTGGTGGGCAAATATGCGAATGGCCGCATGGCACATTTGCAAAGCACGCGAAAGTATGGGGTCGGCAATCACAAGTGCTGTGGTTAAATCACTCGATCGAGTCGAAGCAATATTCACCCAAGACTTATCACCATCGGAAAAAGTACGACAAATGATTGAATCCATCGAGGACCAGCTAAATCAACGCGAAATGACAACCGAACGTATTCGTAATACATTCGTCGACTATCTCCGACAAAACGTAACCCACAATGCAGAGCCTAAGAATAGACTCGCTGTCCTTACTTTGTCTTCTAGCTCTACTATTTCGGCTTGTCTGCTACAGGCTGCCGCCGACTTAGGCATCCAGCTTGACCTTCGCATTCTTGAATCAAGGCCTCTCTACGAAGGCGTGACTCTAGCCTCGAAACTACTCGAAGTGGGAAGTGAGTCAACAGATTTTACCGTGACAATTTACACGGATGCTTCCTCCGCATTAGCCGCAGAATCCGTGGATATTGTCGTGCTCGGAGCCGACCGCATTAGCTCTACTGGCGATGTTAGCAATGTAAGTTAACCCACCATTTTCTTTCGCGCTTCTATCATTTTTCAGAATGAAGTTCTAGGGACTAACTTCGTGCGAAGAAAATCGGATCGCTTCCGCTTGTCTTAAGCCAGAAACATGTAGCACCTAAAGCGAAGGTGATTATCTTGAGCGAGACCGAAAAGGTAGCAAGCCCAGGCTCTATAGCAGAGCATGAGGTAGAGGAAAACGACTCTGCCGAATTGGTACGGACTTGGAGAGGAGGAGTTAAAGGGGCCAATATTATTGAAGATGCTTTAAACGATGCCGAGGGTACTTCGACATCCTGCAAGAAGGTTCATGTGAGGAACGTGTATTTTGAGTGGATACCCGCTCGCTTCATTCATGCTTATATCACCGAAGAAGGACTTTGGTCTGTTGAAGATATTGTTAAGAGGTCGAACTGGGTCGGAAACGAGATGGATAGGTTCTTTAAGGAGCTATAGTAACTTCTAACCTTGGAAGGGAGGAAATCCCAGTAGAATGATTACGTCCTGCACACTCAGTATTATGACTTCACTGCCGAGTAGGCGTCCAAGGCTCTAATAGGTAGATGGGGACTTCAGTATTTACGCCTATAAAAACACCCAATGAGATATCTTATCGTATAATACAATTTTACGATGATTCTTATCTATTTTAGGCAGCTGGTTAAGAAGTGTGAAGAGTTGCTGACCTCAAGCATATGGGATTTGAGTACCTTGATGGACTACTGCTGATATTAAAACGACTGGCTCTGCTCGCTACCCTCGAATAGGTCTCAAAAATCCATGCATAGTCAGTTCCTACCGTATTAATTCACTGAAATTCATCAGTTTTATTTAATAATTGAGAAATTGACACAGAACAGAGGCATTCGACATCACTATCAGGAGCGGGTCAGACATGGTTTCATCAACTTGAAATTACTTCATATTGCAATTAACTACTACAAGAGCACCTTAATGAATTAATACACGACTTGGCTTCTATATGGTACACATAAGATGCTTAGCATACTCCCTCGGGGAGGTCGTTGCTTCCAGTGCGGTTGCTGCTCGAGTAGGCGGCGCCGTCACCGAGACCTCTCTTAGCAAAGGCAGTCCAGCTAAAACCCGGGGTATTAGTTATACATTTACATTTACTTGAAAAAGTGGTATTTAACTTACAGTTCGCAGACGTTGTCACCACCAGTTAGTGCCTTGTCAGCATCAATGATGGCATCACGGGCTTGTATGAAGTTGGGGTTGCAAGGTTGACTAAGAACAAAATGTTAGTTTTCGCGTTCGGTCTTCATATTCGCCAATTAAAGCACTTACAGAGCCATGCCGTCAAGCACAAGTTTCAGAGTGAGGTATTTTCCATCGGTTGGGACGCCGTTCTCGTCAAACTTGGGCTTGGGGTCGTCATTCTTGCCATGCTTGTCAATGAGGTTCCATAGGACCTCGTATAGGATCGTGGCCCAGACCTCACCAATGTCGTGCACCTCGTTGTACGTGTTGAGCGTTATGTACTGGTACGGGTTGGTTGTGAGGTTGGTCGAGTATAGGTAGTTTCGGATACCCTTGGGGTCGTTGTAGACCCAAGCGCCCAAGCTGTAGTCGGTCTCACGGGTGTCACCGGCCTTTAGGCGGATGGTCGTGGCGAAGAAGTCACCCCAACCCTCACCCATACCACCTGACTCAAGAGCATTTAGGCAGTTCGAGTTTGCGGGGCCACCGGTAAGACGGTTGGACACTGACCCGGGAAAGAAAACGTTAGTTTGCCGAAATTGACGACATCCAACCATGTAGTTGGTAAGGACTAAGGAGGAATTGTCACTTACAGCCATGGGTGTATTCGTGGATGATAACACCAGCCTCGAAGGCGCAGTCCCTGTAGGGGGTTGACTCTGTCCAGATGTACATCCTCATACGGCCGTTTTGTCCGTCTGGGGGAGTTGCGAAGTTGGCATTGTTGGTGCCCGAACCATCTTGCGCGTTTAGGATGACAAAGTCATTACCCTCACCTCCCTTTCCATCATTGTTAGTCTCGAAGTTACCGGCCTCCTCAGTGAAGCCAAGATCGTACAACAGGTCGTGGTACGTATTCGCCGTGTAGAAGAGCTGGGCGACCGAAGCATCTGCGTAGGTCGAGGGCGGTGTCAAGGTCGCATCCCACTTGTACTCGAATTTGAGATCGGCGCTATCTGGGCGATAATTGTCGAGGTAGTCTGATCCACCGTCAGGGTTGGTCTGGGCAATACCGTTGTCTGTTGAGAGGTTAGCTACCGGGTCTTTAGGTTTACCGTGTGTGGGAAGCCCGGTAAGAATACTCCCACATGGACGGTATAATAACTGATTTGGATTATAACTTACTTCCGCGAGTCGTGGTGTAGTTGGTCGTTCCATCCGAAAGCCACGTGAACTCGGATGTCGCAAGGTCCCACGGGTCGGTTACGACCACTCGGTCACCCTCGTCAGGGTCGTTGGTTCCCCATGGGCTACCAGAACGTTAGCGTGGAGCGTTTTTATCATCCTTTTAGACTTACTAGACGAGGTATGTGGCTTCGGCAACGTAGTCGACAACGCCGTGGATTTCCTCATTGGTGTTCGCATCGACGTAAGACAACAGCCAGTTGTCAAGAATGTCAGTCTCTACTCTCCATGTGAGAGCTAGGTTACCGTCGGGCTTGACAAAGTACACAAGGCGGGCTTCGGGGTCCTTCTGGGCGCCGGAAGTTCCCTTGAGCACGTAGGTCTCGGTGCCATCAGTGGCCTCAGCAGAGGCGTCTCCCTTAACTGGCAGTTCGAGAAGCTTGGTGGCGCCTGACAGGGCCTGTATGGGGTCGGAGAAGTCTCGCTTCGTCAACGGGCTATCTTGAGGAATGTCACCAGTGAAAAAGGAGTTGCCGAACGAGAAGACGCTTCCGTCAGCGCCAATCTTATGAGTATCAGTAACTAGAATCTCTATGCATACGGGTGTTAGCACTCACGTTAACGTTAAAGTCGGCATTGTCAATATCCAGTCCGTGCGCGGTCTGCTTGAAGTTGACGTGGGCAATGCCGTTGGTGCCAACATAGTGGTCATTGACTAGGCGGAACTCAGCGCTAGGAGCAATCTTCTTGACGAGCGCGGTCGCAGTGTCGACGTAGGAATCGCGCTTGAGAAGACGCACGGCCTTGTTGGCGCTTGTAGCAGCCTTGTTGCTATATTGGGCTGTCTCCTTGAGACGGTATGTGTTGAGGTCTACCGTTCGGCGTCGGAGTCCAGCTTTGTAAGACTGGGTAGGGTGGCCCTGGGCGGGCAGCGATGCGCCCAAGAGACCGAGCAACAATAGTGATCGGATCATGGTGAAAGGGAAGCTGCGCGGGAAGAGCCTGGAACGCTTGGGCTTGTTGATTCCATGACGGACCGACGTCGACCTTTATATGTAGCTCAACATACCTACTTCTTGGCTTCGAAGTTGCTATTCGCATTCACCGAGCTTCCTATTTCGAAGAAGTTCATGGTCATTGGCATATACATGGTGCTTATCGGTACCTAGGGTTGGGGTTGAACATGTTGTGGCGTGCCCCGCTGAATGCGGTCGTGTGCCATCGTTTGGGCATCTTCTAGCAGTTTTCGAGGGAAACATTGAGATGCACGAGTGCTTTCCCCATTGGCGGCAGTGCAAATAAGCTTGACAGCTCCCCCTGCTGGATACGAGTTCACGAAAGGAAAGTGATTGTCTATTACAGTGGTATGCCGCACGTCTTGACAGGGGCCCAATGACGTTCGGAGTAGGTCCCTGAGTACGGTAGGCCGGCTAGCTGGTACGCCAAGATCTCGGAGGCACGCGAGGAACGAAATAACGCCGGGTTGGTGTAGCTGACAGGCAGATTTAATTTACGATACGGTGTAAAAGCCGACCGGTTTCAGAGCGCTGTGTTTATCTAGCTTCGGCATCTACTAATTTAATATGGCTGTCGCTTAACGGTGATAATCCGACCTGTCCGTTTTCGAGATCCGGGACGATATTTGTCTCTTCATTCAAAGCTCTATGCAGCTATTCAGAACGGTTAATGCACGCGGCAGGGTATAAACGGCTCTATGAGCTTTCCTACGGGTTCATCCGAACTATAGAAATAGCTACTCCGACTTCGCGGTCGTTAATACGGATGGAGCTTAAACATGGCGGAAGCCGACTTCCAATTTGAGAATGTCTCTCCTGCTCATCATGCCTTGAGCAAACCTCTTGGGCATGACACATTCTCGTCAAGGCTTAGCTTGAGCCATTTGGTACGCTGAAGGGCTGGCCTTGGCGCATCGTCTGACCCTCGCTGTGCCAAAGTCGCAATTTCCACCCCGGCAAGACGAGGGAATACAATCGCATCCGGCGGTGGTGATGTGCCATGCTCTCTACTCCAGAACCTGTTGAGATAAGAAACAAGAAAGCCTAGCCCCGGCATATGGGGCATGCGTTGGTTAGCTTGGGGTCCAAAGCAGCCTGCGACCTGCGCGGGGGGGTGAGAGCTCAGACCTTAACTCCTATTGTTAAGATATTATTTAAATTAAGTATACATCGATCTTGGACGTGGGATAATCGTGACTCGTCTGGCGCTTAATCTGAGGGTCAAAAGTCTAGGGGTTGATTGGCCCCTTGTCTCGCATACTTTTCTTAGAAAGGAAGGCAACCGACGGCTGACCCGCGATATTGCAGCTTCACCAGATAGCGAATGAGACACGAAACAATTATCTGCATTAGCTTACTAGCTCTGCGATCTACCCAATTCATTTGAATATTTATTTGAATATTTTTCTTTTTCTTTTCTGCGGCCTGGTCAGATGCTGCTTCGTGAACCAATATTTGAGGGAACAGAATATAGGGCGGGGACATGGGCCATTTACTTAGGTCACGAACACATAGGGGTCGCAGTGCAGAACCATCCTAGGGGCGATCCCGAGCAGATACTCCCCCGAGGAGTGTGGGCAACCCAGATTCCCCACGCAACTACCTTAATTCCCCGGACTTGGTGTCACGTAGATGCCTGGATTTAGACCTGAGCCATCGACCGACCGACTTATGTCTAGATGTTGCACCTGGAGGATTTCTCATAGCGGCTGTGCTGCAGCATGGTCCAGGAAAGATGTCGGACAATATTCAAATCCCGGTATCACCGGGTTGACATTGACCTCTGGCTATACATACTTCACATATTTTAAAGCTGCCTCGGTAGGTAGGTAGGGCTTGTTTTGTCAGCATTATTGATGGTACAGGGTTTCGTCGAACGGTCATTCACTGGAAGTCCTGGACTAAGTTACTTGGCAATGGTCTTAGAACTATTGAGCGCCTCTTTCAAGCCCAAGTGCTAGCCCGCTTCGGGCCGTCTTATAACTTCGCCTCGTTTTTATCATGACATATATAAGGATTACCTATATAGCAAAGTGGTGCGGGACTTTACAACTGCCGCATTGGTTTAGTTTCTAGGTTGGATAGCTCGTGAGTTGGCTTGGCGCGCCCGTAAATATTGGTTATGGATCAGAGAACGGCGATAGAGCAGAATAGGAACAGTACTCTGTAACGTAACAGGATGGCCCTTTGTTCTGGTATTTCACGCTCTAGTTATTCGACCTTACGTAAACTAAATATTGTTAGGATATAAGTACGTAGTCGACGGTCTTTTAAACAGGGATGTAGTAGGTAACAATAGCAAGTAACAATGCGTTACAGGAGAATCGTTAACAGCGTTAGAAAATAAATCTACTTACTAGGTTAAATCGAGATGAGGGCTATCTATTATAAAATCTGGGTAACTTGTAAAATCGCCGCTGATATATTAGTTCGGCTGGTCTTCTAAATGGATCTAGCTATTGGTTTTGACCAGCGCAATAGTGGAATATTCCTGCTGGTTGTTTACACTGATGTTAGCTAATTCATTGTCCGCTAGTTGGGGCCTACAGCCTCCAATGCTGTGACCACATCGTCAATTAAGCCCTCAACTTGCGCTTCTGAGAATGTGTCAGGACAAAATGCGCCCACATCCATTGCGTCTCCATGGATGGCCGCTTCAACATCTATGGTATGCTATTTGAAAATTACACGGTTAGTACTGCGCCGGTTTTTTTATAGATGTCGTCTATATAAAAACTCACCGTGTATGCTCCTTTTATCTCGTTTCGCAACGCGAAATCTGCAGCTGGTCGCGTAATATTCCATAAATGATCTTCTTCTTCCGGGGGTATGTCAGGCTCACTAGGAACTTCTGTTATTGTAATATTGGAATTTGCGCATGTGGACGTTGAGTCTTCAGGCATGGGGAGGAAATTGACAGTGCTCTTGATCTGCACACCAGTCCAGTTGTATATCTCCCACAAACCTACGCTGGCATTCTCGAAGCTGCTGATTTCTGATATATCTTTTTGAATATCAATAGCCAGCTCGATGACTGACCGGTTTAATGGCCTTTTTACCACTAGAGGAATAATGCTCAATGTCGGAAACGGTGCTCTCTCGAGGCCGTCAAAACTCGTACGATTTGCGAGATAGACCCCAAAGACAGCGTCATCCTGCGAACCAAGTTTTCCAGGTTGTTGTAGAGTCGCAAGCGCTTTGGTATACGCTGCGAAGAAGAAGGCCTGCAGAGTTGTCCCATTGGATGAACTTATCGCTTTTAGGTTTGATACACTTCTTACCGCATTACGTTTAAGTCGAGTAAGTTGTCCGATCTTCTCGCGATGCGTTCCTGGTTTCTTCTTGGCTTGCATAAGCGTCGGCTTTATGCCTCGAAAATACGAGGTCCAGAATATAGCCCTTCGTTGGCGGATTTCGGGTATGCATTGACTCGAAACGAATGTATACCAATTAGCTTGATTAGAGGTGCTTTGCGGTTGCGTCGAAGCATTTTCGCATAGCTCAAAGAAGCGGCTTAGTATTGCTGGCAAGCTAACACCATCATATAAGGCGTGGTGGATATAGAGCCGTAAATAAACGCCTTCTTGGTGCGATCCTTTGGCGCAGATGGATACGAAGGGATTCATGGCTTCCTTGTACACCCAAGTGTCTTGTCTAGATCTTGAAAGGTTTCGCTCAGCGGGGTTTACCGGTGTCGGTTTCATAACGATTTGTACGAAGGGAAGTGAGGTGGATCCAGTAGCGGCAAAGCGCGTCCTGAGCATTGGGACTTCTGCAACTAGTATAGACCAAGCTTTTGAGATATCATCTTTATCTATGTTGCCAGAAATCCTGTACGCGAATTGTGAGTAGAAAAGAAGTCCATTCGTATTTTGCCAGACACTTAACATGTGAACTTGCACAGGAAGTGCCGGTAGTACCGTCTCGACTTCGGTTTCCGCCACCCTGATATCCTTAAGCACGGAACTTATTTCAACGTCGTTTAGGACGGGTTCTGGCCTTGACTGTACGTGTGGGGGGTGACCTGACTGTTTGGCCCGTCGGTCTAGGATTTCGCGGATAGAGGACGCTTTTACGAGGTCTCGCACGGATATCCCTAGACCTCGTCTCCGAAGCATAGAAGACGCTTTGATGGCACTAATCGAATCTAGCCCAAGGTGGTAAATAGAATGGTCGGGATCGATCGAGTGCATGTCTATTCCTGAAATTTCTGATAATACCTCTAATACGGGTAATTCCAAGCTGGTGGGGTTGAATTCTCGTCGAGATGTATTCTCCGACGCTGTTTTATTCGTATCCTCCGTTTTCCCGCTAGGCCTGAATGGCTTCAAGCCGCAGACGGATACCTTCTCCACCATATCATCAAACTCGAGGATATTTATATGATCATTAGTGACATACTGTAGGACAGCGTCGAGGTCGTTTAGGATTTCGTTTACATCCTGTTGAGTGGCGTAATGCTCGTCTCCAGCAATACGCCATATGACAGCGTCATCCGTAATCTCCATTTCAATACAAATAGGATATTCAACGGCTGAGGATGAATAAACAGATCTCCATAGGGTGGCATTCGACCTAATCCCTACGTCTTTGGTGTTCTGCAAAAGGAAAAGGGTGTTGAAAGGTTTGACGCCCCCGAAATTAGCTAACCTCTGCACTTCCCGCAGTGGAAAGTGTTGGAATTCCATAATGTCTGACATAGTTGCTTGTAAATAGTGGAAATACTCCGTGATCGTTCCATGGAGTATTATTCTCAAGGGTACTGTATTCATTGTTGGGAACAGTAGGTCTTGGGCTTCGTTGGTATCTCGCCCTGATAAAACAACGCCGAAAATTACATCGAGAGAGTTAGTTCTCGAAGCTAGAACCGGTGCCCAACACCCCTGTGCTAGAACTTGCGGAGTAACGCGGTATCTTCGACATAATGTCTTTAGTTTGTGGGGGCCTAAAGCTGAAATCAATTCGGACCTATGTGTGACTGGTTGGCCGCTCGTGTATGACATCGAAATTGGAGTAAGAATGGTTGGAAGAGCATCGTCTAGGTAGTCGGCCCAAAAGCGCCCACCTGCAGCAGAGGAACTAGAAAGCAAGCGAGAAAGATATGGCTTATATTCGCTTCTCAAGTGGTAACAATCCTCATACGCTGCCTTCACATCTTCATGTAGTAAGTTGAGCGACCACCCGTCATAAAGGGCATGGGCGATGGAGAGGACTAGGTAGCGATGCGCCGGTGTTGTTACAAAAGTGAGTTGAAATAGGTGGGACGATGCATTGGCAGATGCTGCTCTATCTCGAGCGCTGCCTATAACCTTTGAAATGTCGTCCAAGTCTAGAAGCTCAATTTGTGGGTTGAATTTGAGGGGTTCCTCTCGTACGACTTGGCAGAACGCTGCTTTACTGTTTGGATTGTCAACCTCAACGAAAGTTGTTCGTAAAATTGGCGAGCCGGTGTATACAGCAACTAAAGCGGACTTGAGCCGATCAATATCCACATTTGGAGAGAGCTCGAGTATATCATGATTAAAGTATCGGTGGAAGCCAGAGAGCAACATATCAGTGACCATGAAATCCTGTAATGGCGTGGGTGGTAGGACAGCTACAACTTTTTCAAGGTCATACCCGTCTTGTATTAAATAATCCCTCAGGAACGTAACTGATTTGTCCAATTCAGCATTTTCATCTTCATGATGGACGCCGTTGGAGTGAATGTTGGCATGCGATAAGATCATGCTTTTGACGCTGGGGTTTTTCATGAGTGAGCTCATGGTGATCTGAAGCCCGAGTGCTTTGAGTTTCGCAGTAAGCTTGATATAGTCAATGCTGTCGAATCCAAGCTCAAATAGGTTCGTACTTTCGAGGACTTCTTCGTCTGGCAACCCCGCCAAAGAAGCAACTTCATGTCGAATATCCCGTGCTTTGCTATTCGTAAAAACCTCAAATTTGCTTACGCTTTCTGGGTGTGGGGGGCATGAATGAATCGACGGCGAATCATTTGACGATGCATTGTGGCCGTTAGCCGTTGTGGAACTAAGCGGCGCAATCGCGTCATCATTAGAATTGACGAGTGCGGTGAGTGCTTGCTCGAATATATTTAGTAACTCATTAGTGGTGGTTTCTGTAGCGATAGTCCTTCGAGCGGCGATATTGACCGCAAATGATTTGTCTTGTGAAAGAACTACCTCTAAAGCGAGCGGATAATCTGGGACTCCAATCGAATGCGCAGAAGTCCAAAATTGTCTTGTTTCTATTGTTGAAAAAATGTCGTCTCGATTGAAGGCAAATAGGGTATCAAATAACGGCTGCCCGTTAGAGCACCACTTTTGTATGTCTCGAAGTGGTGTGTGGACGAACTCAAGAACGGACGTGTTGTATTCCTGGACTGCTTTAACAAGTGATGCCCAAGTCGTCTGTCCTGTGAGATTCACTCGAAATGGCAAGGTGTTGAACATAGGACCGATGACATTTTCAACTCCATCAAAAATTAAAGACCGCCCAGAGAAAATGATCCCAATAGTTGGCGCGAATCCGAGGTGTTGATATAGTGCAGCTAACCACGCAGCTTGCAGCGCGGTTTGATGTGTCACTTTAAGGGCTACGCGGCGAGCTTCCAGGCCGCTAACGTGAATGGTTCGCGATACTAAGATGTCGGACGTCCCGGGCAATCCTAATAGAGCTGGAATGGGTTGAAAGGTATGACCTCTGAAAATATCCTCCCAGAAAGGTCTAGAATGTCCGTGTTTCAGAAGCGGGCCATAGGCAATCGCATCAACGAATGCTGTATGAGGTGCTATCGGTTGGTTGTGATATTTTGCATTCACAGCCCGAAGAAGCAGCTCAAAGCTATGGCCATCGTAGACGGCATGGAATAGTCGAAGAAGAAGTATCTTTTTTCCATGGTACTCGAAGTAGTCGACCTCAACGGGACGATGTAAGGTATCTTGATTTGAAAATATCCAGAGATCTCGGCGTTCTGATTCCAAAGTCTCAATGTCTTTTTGACCGGGATCAAGTACAAACCATGGTATCGCTTTTTTCTTAATGGCGACTTGGATATATCCATCTGAAGTTAAGAGGAAGGCCGTTCTGAGAATGGCGCATTTAGTAAACATGTTATCCCAGCAATCTTTTAAACGGCTAACCGATACTTCGCCATCTAGATCTATCCGGAATTGATTGAAGTATGCTGATCGAGTCTCGTCGGTTTTAGATCTATTGATTATCCCCTCTTGCAGCGGGGTACATGGCGCAATATATTCGACCTCTCTCCTATCAATTTCTAAGGCCCTGCAAACCATTCCTAGGTGTCTATGTTGTGCGCGAATCGACTGGCGAACTTGAAGGACTTGCCTATTAAGTGTGTTGGTATTCTCTTGCTGCAGGACCTGACAAAGACGCGTTACTGAAGGATGGCGTAAAATAAGAGAAGGGCTTGCAACCGTGAAACCCTGCGATTGAAGAATTATTGCTAGGCGTGCCACATTGATCGAGTCAATCCCGAGTTCGAAAATTGACGAAGTTGGGAGTATGTTGGTGTCATGGACTTGTGTGACGGTAGAGATAGCTAGTGCTAATAGCTGTTCCTTTTCGCTCAGTACCCTGTGGGTGTCAGCAGAGCCTATAGTAAGATTTCGTAAATGATCGTGGGGCAACTCGGCGAAGAGGCTCTTCAAACGTTTGATATCCGCCTTATTGTTTGCCGACAAGGGAATGAAGGGCACGCATAAAACATATGTAGGAACCATATATCCGGGAAGGCGATCTCTACAGGCCTCGAGCGCTGTACGGGACATATTCGAAAATAGCTGACCGGAGCATATCTGAAGATCTGTTGGAAGGGAAGGCCTCGCGATAGGTGCCAGAAAGGAGACAAGAAGATCCCTATCCTGTTTAAGGTGTCGGGTAACAAAGGTGACCACATCCGTCAATTGATTCGAGAGACCCGTCTTAATGGCGTGGTTTATTTCGCCGATTTCGAGCCGCTGACCTCGAAGCTTGACCTGGTCGTCGGCGCGACCTAGGAAGTCGAATGACCCGTCGTGGAGGACACGAACTAGGTCGCCCGTACGGTAAACACGCTCGCCATATTGCTTTAGAACGGGGAAGCGTTCCTCGCTGAGATCCTTCCGGTTTAGGTACCCCTTACCGACAAGTTTTCCAGATACACACAATTCTCCAACACCACCTCTGAGTACTGGGGTTTCGGTGCCAGGCTTAAAGACGTAGGTGCCGACGTTTGGAAATTGAGTACCAATATTCGAAGATCTGCCATTGGTAGGTACCCTCTGAAACATCGTAACACCGATAGTAGCCTCCGTCGGACCGTAAGCATTATAGATAACCTCTTTCGGGCCCCACGCCCGTAGTATTTCTTGCCGTAGTTGTTCTCCTCCAGTGATGAACACACCTCTACATAGGCTAGGAACTTCGTCAGGATGAGTAAGCCTCGCCAAACTTGGGGTTAAGTCAATGTGGGTGATGTCAAGACTTGAGATCGTCGCGGTTATGTCGCTAAGTATAAGATCTTTTGGCGCTGCAACAACGGTGATACCAACGAACCAAGACCAATACTGCTCGAGAACCGATACATCGAAATGAAATGAGGCAAATTGAAGCCACCTTGAACTTGAATCCCAATGTCCGTCGAAAAGATGCTTGAAAGCAAGCATTGCCTGGATAGTGTTGTCGTGACTAATGAGGCATCCCTTGGGAGTTCCCGTCGTGCCGCTCGTATAAAGACAATAACATGTATCGGAAGGGAATATTTGAAGTGAAGCTTGAAGAGCCGGCGAGAACTCTACAAGCTCGTGTTCGGTGATAACGTAGGTCGGCGCGGCTATGTTGAATTGTAAGGCATCGGCCAACTCGGGTTCAATAAGCAAACATGCAGCTGCTGAGTCTTCCAAGATAAATTGCAGTCGCGATACTGGAGCGCTAGGATCAAGGGCTAAAAACGCGCATCCTGCCTTGAGAATACCGAGAATCGAAAAATAGGCTTCTGGGCACTTGTTGAAGCACGTCGCGATAATACCGCCTGGCTGTGTATTATGATGCGAAAGTACGTTGGCCACTCGGTTTCCCATTTCGTCTAATTCGCGATACGTCCAGAACCGCCGCCGAATTGGATTACCTAGGTCCTCCACGAACTCGAGAGCCGTAGCATCGGGCGTGCGCAGCGCAGTTTGTTCCACAAGCTGATGCAAAAGTTCTGCCGTAGATTGGAGTTGTTGGAATTTCGCGGGAAGTATGGAGAAAATGTCAGTTGTTTGATAGAGAGATTGGTCGGTATGTCCTTGAGGCCACGTTAAAAGATCGGTGAATATTACTTCAAATTGCCGTAAAAGAAAATTTGCCTGTTCAGTTGGTAGTATATCGCTGTTGTGAGTAAGATTTAACCAGAGCTTTTCTGAAACCGTTTCGACGACTTCTAATGCAACTGTATATTCGACTGACGCGATTTCCTCTAGTACTTCCCATGGTCCATCGTCGCCCGCTTTCTCTACGGGCTGATAGGCGATAATTGTGTCAAAGAGATGACCCTCGGGGCGACCAAGCCATCGCTGGATTTTAGAAAGCGGCGTTCGTTCATAACGGCGTAGACTTGCATTATATTGCATCATGCTTTCAAGAAGGTCGGCATTAGATTCATGGTTATGTGCGGAAATTGGTAAAGTGGTTACCATCGGAAACATTATCTCCTGTTCCTCCGTTGTACTCCTCCCGTCGAGAACGATCCCAAAGGTGACTGACATTTCTCCTAGATAGGCAGAAAGCACACGAACCCAGGCTCCTTGTAATGCTGCTCGGATTGTGACACCGGCTTCTGTAGCAACACGGCGGAGACTGTGAGGGGAGGTAGCACACTCCCTTCGTGTTAATAATGTTTCATTGTTGGTAATACGGAGGGGAGTCATAGTAGGGAACTTGTTAACCACAAGTTCTTCAGCTTTTCCTCTCCAAAATTGTTTAGAAGCCGATCCATGATTGGCGGGATCAAGGTGACTAGAAAGGGCCGGCTGGATTGACGGAGATCCCTCTTCTATGGTACTTGTGAGAGCGGCTGCAACCTCGTTTAGGGCCCTCCGTAGTGAATCTGCGTCGTATAACGCGTGGTGTATAGCGAGGTGCATTGTTGGCTGTTTGGGTGCGTGGTCAATGATAATGACTTCCCAGGGTGGTATCGCAAGTGTGTCCAAAGCCTTCGAAGCCGTTTTCGCGCGCCACTCTGAATCATCAAAGGTGCTTGTCCGGCGAACCGATACTGGGACGGAGAAGTTTGCTCTTGGGTATACGACCATCGCGTACGAGGTATCCGGGTGATTAATTGGTATAAATCCGGTGCGAAATATCTGATGTCGGATTGCCAGAGAACACCATGCCTCGGCAATTTGTCGTGGACTGACTTCGGCCCTTAAAACCCAACTGGCATAATTGAAGTAATGTGCCCCTCTCGAGCTGAGGAACTGGGAGATCATGCCTTGCTGTGTCGGGGTACAAGGCAGCACCTCTTCGTAAAGTCCAAACAGACTAGGAGTATTGTCTAGATCCTTGCTGATAATATTTTGAAAATTGGTAAAATTGTAAGCAAATTGGGTTTCTTTGAGGTCTCGAGCTGACAGGCGAGCAGCAATGCCGGCACAGGTTGGGTTCTCGAACACGTCTATAGCAGAAACAGAATAGGACTCTCGACGAAGAAGTGTGGCGAGCTGGACCGCACCGATGCTATCCAGACCATATCGGTATATCGATGTGTTTCGTCCGATTTTCGTCTCTTGGATCTTCACCAACTTCGATAACACCGCGCGTACTATTGCCTCGGAGTCGGACCAACTCTCGTTGCTGTTGTGTTGCTCTGGCAGTGCAATCTCTTCGCCATTTTGGACTGACTCTCGTGATAAAGATAATTGTGTGATATGGTGTCGCCAAGGCTCGGGTAATCTTGATGCAGTCAATACGTACGAAGATGGGTGTTCTAAACAAGTGCTAAAATTATGTTTGAAGATATCTAGAATGAGCTTCATAGTTTGGTAGGAGAATATCGATCTAATTATGAGTAAGCATGTTGAACCGTGCCACAACGGGAATGGACTAGACTGGGTTAAAGCTCACGGATCTCGATGTAGTTGTAAAGTGAGTGTGCCTTGTTCTCGTGAAGGAGTGACCTCGCACACGAGCGGAACCTGTTACTGATTTAGTAATTGATGCTGAGATACTGTGATATCCGGTATAACTCACATCCATTACGCCATGTTCTTGGTCTAAAGACCATATATTCTCGTCTAAAGGATTGGCGTGGGGTTGGAGGACAAGGACGGTATCGAAAAGGCGCGATAACGATACTTGTGACTGTACTCGTCGTAAACTAGTGAATTGATATGGCATTGTTTTTGTATTTAGCTGCTGGAAATTCTTCGTAACATCCTGGAAGAATCCGACGCCGGAAAGGTTCATGCGGATGGGTATGGTATTAAAACATGGTGCTACAAGGGTATCAATCCGGTCTAACGCAATAGAACGTCCACTCACGACGTTTCCAAAACATATATCGCTATCGTCTTGTAAAAGAGACAACGTAACGGCCCATGCCGCTTGGCATAGTGGTAGTAGCGACACGCCTAGCTCTCGTAGTCGGGTCGTAATTGAGGAAAGCGATTGATTTACTATCTCCCCGGATATTGTTCTGGGGTTGGAGTCGACGCTAGGTGTCAATTTCTGAAAATGAAGGGGAGAAAATGAACCTAAGTGTGCTTTCCAGAAAGTATCGACATCTGGCGGTGGAGAAAGTGCTTCTCGAAGAAACAATTCAAAGGATGGTGAAGTTGGTAGCGGTTCGTGGCGAACTGCCGCCTCGATCTCCGCGAGCAGATGCCTCATTGAAATACCATCATAGATGGCATGATGGCAGACGAATGATAAATATTCTGTAGAATCTTCCAGGATGATAATTGCGAGCGACACTGGAGGCTCAACTGAGTCGATTGCAGCTGAAATGGAGCTCTCATGCTTGGACACATGTTCTTGGAAATTGGCTGCATCTGTTTTAAATGCCTCCCACTTAGGCAAGTGGGATTTTAAAACCACTTGGACTATCGGGTGCTGAAAATCTTCAGTCGGAATAAAGCACGTTCGCAGTATTCCATGACGTTCAAACATCATGTTCCAATGTTGTTTGATTATTTGAGATGGTAGGCGAAGTCGGAAAAGCATCTGATTGTAATAAGAAGACCCAACCTTGGAGGACGGAGAGGATGAAAGCATGGCTTCCTGCAGTGGTGTGCACGGAAGAACATCTTGTACATTGCCTCCACCTTGACTAGCAAATCGCACCTGAACAGCATTAATCAGCTGTTCGGGTAGAAGACTTGTTTCTGTTTTCGCCTGAGCTGTTACAGAGGATATTCCGTTGGCAATAATTGAGGCGAGTCTTCCAACACTGGGGTTAGACAGAATGAGAGATAAAGGAACGCGTTTCTGAAAAACCGACTGGAGTCGTCGGCTTAGAGGCATAGCCGAGATGGAATCCAGCCCGAGAGAAACAAACGAGCTCCAACGGTTGATTACCTTTTTATCGATACGAAGCGTTTCTGAAATTGCTTCTGATATCAAAGACTCTGTCTCGGTCCATTCAAGAGAGTCTTCGTAGAGCTCGTGTGTAGAGCCGTAGCAACTCAAGTCTTCGTCCGACATGTCACCAATGGAATGACGTAGTAAGTCAAGATCTACCTTTCCCGATGGTGTCAATGGGAGAGTAGATATGGGGAAAACAAATGAAGGAACCATATAATCCGGTAAGGCGGCTCGTACTTCTTGTTCGATCGTGACTATCGTCTGTTTTATCGAGTCCGCAATGCGTAAAATACTAAACCTAGAGGATTCCTCATCGAGAGGAACATAGAACAGTGCTAGCTGCTGTACGGAGGAGCCCCTAGCTATAAGGAGAGTAGTGCAAGTTTTCGCAAGCCTACTCTTCAAAACCGCTGCTTGTATCTCTTGCAGTTCAATTCTCTGTCCCCGGAGCTTCACTTGCGTGTCAACTCTCCCAAGGATGATTAATGAGCCGTCGGGAAGCATACGGCCAATGTCTCCAGATCGATAAAGACGACCATACTCACGATGCTGAAAGAACTTCTGATTAGTCAATTCGGGCATCTCGAGGTACCCCGCAGCTACCTGGTCGCCTCCAAAACAGAGCTCGCCCACGCAACCACGAGGAACCAATTCTGTCGTATTTAAGGCGAATACAAATGCCGATGTATTTTCGAAAGACCATCCTAGATATTGCGACGAATCCCCTCGAGAAACCTTTCTTACAGTACAGATATTAGTTGTCTCAGATGGCCCATACCCTAAAGATGTCAGCATATTCACGATTAACGTAGCGTCGCCGAACAATTACAAACCTTGCCAGAGCCGATCGGCCCATTTTTCTAGCAACCTATCAGTCATAGGTTCACCTGCTGTAGCTAAGAATTTGACACTAGATACGAGGCTAGGTTCTAGAAGCGAGGCTACAGTGACCGTTATGGCAAGATGTGTTATTTTCAATGCCCCTACGGCCATTTCAAGATCGCCGAACAATGTATCGTTGGTAGCTGAGAATAAGGACATGCCATTCCCCCACGAGAAGAATATCTCGAACACCGACATATCGAAAGCCTGAGAGCACGCTTGAAGCATTCGGTCAGAGGGTTGATGGGGATAGATGCGTGATAGGGTTTCGATGTTGCTTAATATATTGGTGTTCGTGATGGAAACTCCTTTTGGAGTCCCGGTAGTTCCACTAGTATAAATGATATAGGCGAGATGATTTGCGTTGCCAGAGATTTCGAGGTTAGAATCTGAATATTCGGAAAGTGGCAAGCGCTCGAGGTCGATAATTGGACATGAATTTCCTTCGGCCGTCTGTCGAGGAGAAGACTCGTCGATGAGGAAAAATCGAGGCTGTGCCTGTCTAAGGATTAGTTGCGTTCTTTGCGGTGGGGTACTAGGGAGGATAGGAAGGTATGCGCAGCCGGTTTTTATGATTCCGAGAACAGCGCAGTAGAACAATAGCGACTTCTCCATAGATAGGGCAATTATCTCCCCCGGGGTTGCGCCAGATTGACGTAGATATCTGGCTATCTGGTTGGCCTTTGAGTTCAATTCACGATACGTCAATGTTTGCATCTCAGCATCAGATGTTGTGATTGAAGAAGCGAAACACAATGCGGGTCGCGTCGGGTATATCGACACGGTTCTCTCCACCAACTCGGATAAACTTGAGAGTATTCCAAGCTGTTTAGGAGATTCATTGTAATGCGATAATGAGTGGATGGGAAAGCAATGCATGGTACTACTAAGCGTCTCATAGCTATTCTTGACGAAATAACTGACTAGACAGTCCAAGTGCTGAAAAATATCGTCGACTTGAGAACCTGAAAATGCGTCCGAGTGCCATGTGATTTGGCAAGAATAACAATTATTCGATGGGGATATTTCGACGAGAATTTTGGCTTCAACCGCATCCTTGTGCCAGGCTTCATGAATAATGTCGTCACTTCGTTGCCGACTAGGAATACTTTCTTGGTAGGCGAAGATGACGTCGAAAAGCTTCCGAGCGAGAGGGATACTAGCAGCACGCTTGATCTCCGCAAGAGGAAGGCTACCGTATTTAAGCGTATCCCGGTTAAACAAATGGATACCCTGTAAAAGTTCAATGATTGTAGTGTATCTACTTAAATCTGTTCGTAGGGGAAGCGTCGTCATGCATGGTCCCATTATCTTCTCGATCCCTGCTATCGGAAGAGTGCGGCCAGACGATACGGAACCAATTATCGTGTCATCAACACCATTTATGGCTGCCCAGAGCCAAGTTAAGCAGGTCTGGAAAATGACTTGAGGGCCGATAGACTTCTCCAGGGCGAAATCTCGAAGCATTTTAGGGTCGAGATTGATTTCCTTAAATGACGTTTGGATCTGGGCTTCCGGGACAGCTGTGGTTTTGAAGTTGGGCAATGGCGTAGGAACGCATCCGCGCAGCCTTTCCGCCCAGAATTCTTTCGCGTCTATCAAATCACCGCCCGACACGGTCGTAAGATACCGAGACACCTGCCAAAACTGAGGCCTATCAACCAATAGCTTATTGCGCACCAATAGCGAAAGATCTTCCTTGAGCAGATCTATAGTCCAGCCGTCATATATGGAGTGGTGAAGGGTTAATATGATTGTGTGATGATTAGTTCGAGGATCACTGGGGATGATTTCAAGTTGAAAAGGACGATGAAGGAATTTCTCCACATTCGCGCACTTAAAAGGATTTGCATTATCGGTAATTTCAATTTGGTCCTCGTTGAGTCGTTTCCAGATAACTTGATAGAGCTGATGATCAATATGGGCGAACCCAGTACGGAAATTCTCATTGCGCTGAGCTAAAATGAAGAACCACGATCTGATTGTTTCGATGGCGAGATGCCTGGGTAGATGGAGTTCTGTTTGGTTGATGTATAACCTTGAATCGTTTAGGGACTCCGATATCAATGCTTGCTGGAGAGGGCTACATCCCTCTATACGCTCAATATCGTCTAAGTGTGGTCGCACTGAGTCATCGGATGCTAAAAGCTCCCGGAGTTTATCTAAGCCAAGGTCATCATTTCGGGGTAACTCGGCGGAGCTGGATGAATGTGTTGGGCCCTGTCGAATCTTGATAATGTGATAGAGTTGGTGGACTGTCGGCGCAACGAGAATGTCAATTGGGTGAATGACCACACCGAAGTCCCGAAGCTTAGAGGTATATTCGATAGCTGCAAGGGAATCCAAGCCTAGGGCGGATAATCTAGACGATGGAACGATGTGTCGCTCGAGAATTCTTTCGGCGATTTCGCATATCTGACGTTCGAGGTCATCTTCGAATGCGTCGTCCACGTCGGGATCGCGTAAATCGTTTGGTGAGGTCGTTGCTTTGTATTCTTCAATCAAAGCTTTCTTGTCGATTTTGCCGGAAGGTAAGAGAGGGAAATGTTTCATTATTTGAATGTCAGTAGGGATCATGAAAGCTGGGAGCCAGGCCTTGCATTGGGCAAGGATCGCTTGACGTATCCCTGCAACAGGCTCTGGTTCGTCATCAATCGCCGCAAAGGCCACCAAAACATTCGCGATAACAACCACTACAGTGCTGTGGCACTTAGGCGTACGTAATATGGCGTGTTCAATCTCGCCAAGTTCAATTCTTTGCCCATTTAATTTCACCTGCCCTCCGCCGATTCTTCCGAGACATTCAATCGTTCCATCAGATCGCATTCTAGCTTTATCGCCAGTCCTATAGACACGACCCCATTGCGTGTGCACGAACGAAGTTGATGTTTGTTCAGGCCGGTTGATGTAGCCCGTAGCGATTTGGCTGCCGCCAACCGCCAATTCCCCCACATAGCCGAGGGGTAGAACACGAAATTCGGGTGCATGGCTGTCTATAATAAATGCTGACACGGTATCTAGAGGAAATCCGATATTATTCTTGCTAGATGTCTTGGAGAAGCTGGGTTGTAGGGTACTGCATGATTCTTCGTGAGTATGTTTTCTCTTTTTGTGTTGTTAAAATTTTGAGTGTCTGTTAAAAAGGAAAAAACGAAAAGTACAATAAACTTACCAGTGGATAGTTGCTTCAGTAGGGCCGTACATACCCCAAAGTATACTTTGTTCGCGTTCGTCGCTTCCGAATTCCTGTATGACGGGCTCGGTCAACATTTCGCCGATAGTTAATAATAGTCGCAATCCCGGCGCGTTTTTTCTCTTCTTCAACAAACTTCCAGCGACCGATGGCGTCAATTCGCACGCATCTATTCCCATCTCCCTCAATATATAAGGAAGATCCGTAAGCATATCTCCACGGTTGCAACACACGAGGGTGCTACCACGAAATAGAGGAAAGAAAATCTCAAATACCGATACGTCGAATGTTGGCGCCGCGAATTGAAGAAAACGAGCGAATACTGGAATATGACGATTATGAGCAAGCAAGCTCTGCGACGCTGCAAGATGTGATATTCCAACCCCTTTTGGTGTCCCAGTGGATCCCGACGTATACATAACATACGCCAAGTCCTCGGCGTTTGGCACTCTGTAAGGGCTTAACTGGGCCGTATTAGGAGGAGGATCTAACGCTTGGTCGATTGATATAACCTCAAAAGCACCATCTGTTGGAAGTCTGGAAGCATATTCAGAATTGACCAAGACAATTCTGGCCCCAACATCCTTCAAAATGAATCCTAGGCGATCCTTGGGGGTATCGGCGTTTAGCGGGCAGAAAGCCGCGCCGGTCTTCAGAATTCCAAGGAGTCCAATATATAACGCCGGCGACTGCGGCATGAGAATTGGAATGATGATCTGGCCATGGGTGTCTATCCCCGCTAGCGAATGTAAGGTCTGAGATATACGCGTAGCTAACGCATTAGAAGCGCAGTGAAGCTCCGAATAGGAAATATTAGTTTTATCGCCAACGGTTGAACGGTAATCTATGGCTGGTAGGCCATCATTGCTTGACAGCGCCACCAGACCATGTAAAAGGTGTGGTCCCTTGATGAGACTTGGAGAGGGGTTGATGATGGACAGCCCCTCCATGCCTATTTCTGTCTCCATCGAGAGGGATGGATTGTATTAGTTATAAAAGGGCGTGTATGTTTCGGAGAGTATGACAATTGATCGATATTCTTATTCTTGATTTTGGATACCACTTGGGTGAGTAGGTAACAATATGTCGTAAAGGTTGATGATAGATGTAATGGTGATGTATTATCCCAGGCATAACCGTGAATGAATTGACGCTTGTTAAATAGAATTCAATTCCCTCTTGAATGACGATATATATCCATTGTCCTTTACACGTATGATTATATTATATCAAACCGTCTCTTTCTTATCTAACTACAATTAGCATTACTTTTACCATTACAATGCAGCAAGAGCGGCATCGTCGCTGCTAACATCACCGTCTGATGTGGTAGTATCACCTTAGGTGTTTGTATGACCCATGGCTGAGTACGTACCTTCTATAGACGACCTTTTCTAGTTTGTCTGGCCTGTCTGACTTGACTGGCTTGTATTCATGGGTATCACAGTTTGGTAACACAACACTGTCAGAGTGGCTTTTGTGGCTTTTCTTCGCTGCAGGGGGCCTTGGGAATATCGAAATTGGTTGGCTGGACGCCACAATATGTACCTCAATAGGGTATTTTAAACAAGTTAATTAAGAGAAGGAGAACATTGAGCCAAATTGAGACGAGCTACTACACCTCAATGCGAAATCTGTGTATTCGGTAAGAGGAGTTCATTCGGCGGTTTTCCTTATGAGGCCTTTTTCTTGCTTCCCCTCTTAGTCGGCGTTACAATTCCATTACGTATTTATTTTCTGGTTTGGGCGGGCGACTAAGAGCTGTTACTATGCCAAGCGCTAAGTACACTGTTATCACATGCAAGCATTGCTTAGAGTACCACCTACTTAGTTAGAAGCAGCACTCCGTGCATCCGAAGCTTCTCAGAGGTTGCCAGCGGTACCAAGGTGTGTGGAATGAGTATGAGATAATCACACCTTACCAAACACATGTAAAATTCTAATATGATAAGTTTTATAAAACTTCCGGTACGAAAAGACGACGGCATAATCCGATGTGTTACTAATTTTCAAATGTGGTAACATTATCTACCTAGGTACGAAGGCGAGGTTTGACGTTTAAAAGAATGAACCACGAGTACGTACCTAGGAAGGTATTTGGTGAGGTTACTAGTAAAATACTTGAATAAAAATCTCGAAATCATTTATTCCATTTATTTTACCTAATGGTTAACCTGTAGGGCTTGTAAAGCAGGTACCCAGGTATGTATATGTACCTAGAATGTATGTAAGTAGCTCCATCAGAAGACAATTGATGAACATTGAAGGTACTAAAGAACAAGCCGCCGCATTGGGCAAATATTCATGTAACACATTGTTTATTATAATTCTACTTATTCCATACATTGTCATATTTACAATCCCAGGAACCGGGAAATAGGACGGGCAGGTATAATCGTGGTGGCCAGTGTAAACGAGTATTTCGGAACCAAACCGACAGCAAACATATCCATGTTGTTCTGTATACACAGCATACGTAGGTACATGTACATACATAACCTACCTGTAGGCATAGGCATAGGCGTACAGCATGAAATTCAGCGTGGATTTAACTCAAACAAAAATGCTTGTATCACAGTTGGCGTCAATTACTTCGGGACTGATTCCTCTTCTGTTCAACTACTAATGCAGCTCCATTTGTTTGTCCAGGGATCCTTATTGTTGCCAAGACAAATTTCCAGGACGAGATCTTTAGATGATCTTATCAGATCATCAGATATTTTCTTTTTTTGAAGCTAGTAATCACTTTTGCTCATTTTAGAACTTATCTACCGATGAAGCTAATCATTTTTGATACTCACCATCCGCCTTTTTTTTTTTTTTTTACATTGACATGTCTCCCTACGTTACGATGCGAGAGAGAAAAAACTTTTTTTTCTAGTTCTTCCCATCCGTTCACCCGCCCCTATCATTCAAACTCCCTTCGTATATTACGCATCCTTCTTCTCTCTCATTTCATATCGGTTTTGGAAGAAGTGGGAAAGATATGTCTAGTTTCTAGCCCGAGCAATTGGTTCGCATTTCAGCTTACCCAGGAACCGGAACAGTTATATGGGATAACCTTGATAATTGGCTGACAAGGGTGTCGGTCTTACTATGCAATAGAAGACGGTAACGATGAACAGAGAATATCGAATTGAAAGACCTAGAACCTATCTTGTATACCTAGGTACGTTGAATCCGAATACATCTATGTAGCGTAGCATTCGGGGGTAGCTTTAAGTCACTAGTTGTCCTCCTGAATCTTGGAATCTTGGTTTTCCTTGACCCTTCTAATTACCTGGGTTGATTGAATTTGTTGAATTCCCGCTCGTTAGTGCTATAGAAGCACCCAATCAGAACCTGGGAAGAACCCTGGAATTTTACAATACGAAGCGTGGCGGCTCATCCATCTACCCAGGTTGTCAGGTAGGTACAGTTTACTGGGTACACGCAGTTAAAAGCCGTAGAGAGTTGGAACCGAGGAAAGGTGTAGGCTGGCCGTCATCGGGGAGGACCGGCGTTCTAGATAATCCTCATGCACAAGCATCTTATCTGATCCGAAGATAACGCCGATGTCGCCAGACTAATGTTCCTGTAACCCCTGCGGTCCCATCTTGGCTGCGTCTAAGCCTGCATCGTCATCATCGCTCAGCTAGCTTAGTAGGCCTAAAACCCCGATCAGCTAAATCCATATACCGTCCTAGTTTAAATTAGGGCGGGAGCAGCCTGAGAGACCTAAACTGATCTGAGAAACTGTCATTGCTAGGGAGTGGGCGCCGGCTAATCTCTTCTTGAATAACATCCCGCACGACGTGGAAGTTTCGAAATGAGACAGTCCGCTAAGACAGGGTGCCCACGCCAGCCTAGGTACCTATTTCCTAATCGCAATCGCCTTAGTTACTTACATTTCCAATACCTACATGTATCCCTCTCTCGTACCTACGTATGAATTCATCAGAATCCAACATTTGAGTCATAAATCTCAGGTAGGCAAGTATTTCGCCTCATGGGTCCGAAGAAGTTGTCGATCTTCGTCCCTCCCGTCCACCTAACATGCTTCACCTTTTGGGTACCTACCTGCCTAGTACTAGTCTAGAAGGACTCCACACGGTCCTAACTGTAGGGCTTATATGTCTCTCTTTCATACTACTATAAGCCTACTCAACACCTCATGCATGGCGCGTCAGGCCATTCAACTTGCACCATGCCGAACATTTATAATATTCGAGCAAGGATGTACAAGGTAGGCCGATCGTATATATATATCGTAGCTGCTGCTGCATTATTCTAACCACTCCTTTCCGTTTGCTTCATTGGCGCTTTCTGGTTATTTAGCAGAAGTATCTATACTAAGAAAACGTCTCCCCGCAACTTCATCTATATATCTCTCGCCATTATTTTTTTTCATCTAACAAAGCATTGCATGTGCCCACAATACGCCGCAGAATTTATATAACCTTACCCCTTTAATACAAAAAGTAGCCGATCGACTCGAAGTCTTCTGCCCCCTTACTTCGATACGAACTAATCTCAGCGGTGGCTTGTAGCGCCCGTGTACGTATTCGACTACGTCATTGAAATCACCGGCCCGCTCCATAGATCTTCAACGGCGAGCTCGCGTTAAAGTGAAAAAAATAGTATGGCGCCGCATAGTTTACTAGATGGCCATGATGATGGTCCGGCAAACAATGGATCCTCGGAGGTCCGTCGCCACATTGACCCGGATCAGCAACCGAAGCACGACTCTCCAAGCCATTCGTCACACCTAGAGAAAGCTTCGCCAGGAGACATCCACGATTTGATATGCGTCGGATTTGGACCTGCCAGCCTTGCAATTGCGGTTGCCCTTCATGATTCTATTGAGAAAGGCAATCTGTCCAGGAATAGCGACGGAGGATCCCCAAAGGTACTCTTTTTAGAGAGGCAGCCACGGTTCGCTTGGCACGCTGGGATGCTTCTACCCGGCGCGAAGATGCAGATATCCTTCATCAAGGACATGGCTAGTTTGAGAGACCCCACCTCACAATTCACCTTTCTAAATTATCTCCACAAGAATAACCGGCTTGTTGAATTCATTAATTTGAACACTTTCCTGCCTGCGAGAGTTGAATATGAAGATTACCTTCGATGGTGTGCGAGCTTCTTCGACGATGTTGTTCAGTATGGTACAGAAGTCGTCTCAGTCTCTCCTGCTAAGGGACTAGATTCCCAAGGGCAGGTTTCTACTTTCACCGTCACATCGAAAGACGTTAAGACGGGCACTCTGACAACGCATCGAGCCAAGAACGTCCTGCTAGCCATCGGAGGACAACCCTCGATTCCGAAATCCTTACCTTCTAGTCATCCTCGTGTTATCCACTCTTCCCAATATGCACACCTTGTGCCGAAGATTCTTGAGAACCAGAATTCTCCTTATCGCGTGGCGGTAGTTGGAGCTGGGCAGAGCGCTGCTGAGATTTTTAATAACGTCCAGACACTTTACCCGAACTCTAGAACGTCTCTGATCATGCGTTCCGAATTTTTGAAGCCCAGTGACGATTCACCCTTGTAAGTTAGCCGATTTTAATCCATTTTACAGTTCGATATTAATTCATGCCAGCGTCAACTCAATCTTCAACCCCTCCTTCGTTGACTCGCTCTATCAAAGGTCGGCGGAAAATAGATATTCTTTGCTGGACGGTGCAAGGAGCACAAACTATGGAGTTGTTCGACTAGAACTTATCGAACGCCTCTACGAGCGTATGTACGACCAGAGGCGCGAACTTGGGAGCGATGAACGAAAGTGGCCCCACCGCATCTTAGGTGCTACCGATGTGGTAGGCTTCGATACTAAATCTGATCAATTGCGACTCATGGTTCGCCCTCTAAGTTCCGTACATAGCAATGTAGCGGAAGATGAAATCTTGGAGGTAGATCTCATCATCGCAGCAACGGGCTACCAGCGACAGTCTCATTTAGCTATGATGGAGGAAGTGGCTGATTTGCTGCCCGAGGTCGACGGCTCTAATGGAACCCCGAAGAAGAATGGGACAGAAGCAAAGATTCAAAACCGTCCGGTGAGGGTGTCCCGAGATTACAGCGTCGAATTCGCTCCAGGAAAAGTGTCCCAGGGATCCGGAATCTGGCTACAAGGGTGTTGCGAAGGAACGCATGGAGTAAGTCAATTTTCACGTCTTCGCACTTTCGATCGATTGCTTACATAAGGCTCTTTTAGTTGAGCGATACTCTATTGTCCATATTGGCTACTCGATCTGGAGAGATTGTGAATTCGATATTCGGAAACTCGAAGAGTAACGAGACCGCATAGCCGATTGAATTTGTTGTTAGAGATAAACGTCAATTCCTCCCTAGGGTAAAACACGCCACACGATTTTGATATGCATTGTTATCTTGGAGTAGTTGCCGTAGCAAAAGGAACGAGGAGTGAAAATAGTAACCATATGCTGGGTTTATATATTCCATTCGAGGTTTATAAACCCAATGCGTTGTCTTTCGAGAGGGTTTAAAAATTATGGATGGACAACATAGGCCAAAGCATCACTGAATGGACAAGTTCTACCTAGGTAGATTCACACGTCCTTACCATGTAATTATGAAGCTGTCCATACATATGATTATACCATAAGTTCTTCTGACATTTGCCTACGTTGTTGAGTCCACTAGGTGGGTTTAGCGGCTGCATATAGATTGTCACGTCTTCGTATATCTGTAAAAGTAAAACTCTAGTGAACATTTCCTCTACATTCCGCCTATGTGAACTGGAAACCACCTGAAACCCATCAACCATCCGCCATATATAGCAACGAATATACCTTCCAAGGAAAATCCGTCGAGGGGTCAATTACAATATATGAGAAAGCTATGCAACTTTAGGAACGAGTGCTTACCTACCTAGGTAGGTAGGTATACGGTCAGTAAGGGCACGCGGCCGTGGAATCGAATTTTACGATCTCATTTCCGAGACACAGAGGGTAGTATCGGTCGAAAACATAAGATAGATGGGTTTAATAATTCAATATAAGCTGATTTTATTGAAATAGTACCTACTTGAATAAGATTACCTGCAAGGATTTGAGGAACATGCCGACGTCAGCAACGCAGTGGTTCCTATTCATGAAGTAACGATCAATATAAGCTTACTAACTCACGATTCGGGGCGAAGGATTAACATAAATATGTCGAATTTTGTCCTTTGCTTTCTCGGAATGTAAAACGAAGAAACCTCATAAGCTTTCAATCAATAAATGATGGGATCCCTGTTGTATTTGGTGGGTGTCGCCTTTGCTAGCTTCGGGACCAGTACTCTCGCATCAGCTCAATATGAAGCACGCGAAGTGTTGGGTATTGATACGTCTACACTTAATGGGAAACTATTTGTAGGATATCAAGCGTGGTTCCGAAAGCCATTCGAGGATAACGGGAATTCTCATTGGACGACGTATGTATCTTTTCATCTACGCTGGGTATTATCAGCCTGGTCTCATTATTAGAGTATAGAGACACTCCAACACCTGAGGTTGGCCATGGTGAGTAGGCTATATGAAACTAATGGGTTTTCTGTGCTAACGGCAAAAGTTGGTGTTGATATGATACCGAATATCACGGGCTATCCACCAGAGTGCCTTTTCGATACGAACTTCACACTCCCTGACGGAGAAGCTACGAAATTTTATACGAACGACTGCGAGGGTGTGGTAGATTTACATTTCAAGATGATGGCAGATGCTGGTATTAGCGGTGCTTTTATACAACGCTTTTACGGGTACATCAACGAAGCTAACGGAGGTTGGATTAATGTCTGTATCGCGTCTTGATAAAGGTAAAACATTTCTAACGATATCACAGATCCTAAATTATGTGAAAACGGCGGCGGAGAAATATGGCCGTGGGTTCGTGATAGAATATGATCTTAATGGCGCCTCTACAACATCTACCAACGTTACAGAAACGTTCCTAGCGGATCTCGGGTCGCTTGGTTCCTTAACCTCATCCTCGGCTTACGTACATCATAATGGAAAGCCGGTCCTTGAGATATGGGGTTTTGGAATAGTCACGGAGGTCAGCGTCGACGATGGTATTGCGATAGTGACCGCACTAAAGAATGCTGGTTGGTACGTTATCCTCGGAGTTCAACAAGCGTGGCATGCGGAGTTAGCTGCCGACCAACCTGGCGGCTATGGCCCGGTTTATCGGCTAGCAGATATGATACAGCCATGGACCGTCGGTGCTTATGGATTTGATAATTATGACGACTTTCATGATGGAAGACAGGCGGTTGAAGACGCCAATGCACTTCGGGATCTTGGGATCGAAAGCAGCATCGTGGTGTGGCCTGGAGGCTCGAGCAGTAACGCAAATCCTAATGAAGCGTTTGACCATTTCCCAAGATTCAACGGTACATTCTACCAAAAACAGCTGGACGGCGCTGTCAATTTGAAGCCTAGTTTTGTTTTTGGGGCCATGTTCGATGAAGTCAACGAAGGCACTGCTGTACTTCCCGTCCTCAGAAATAGGGAATTACCCACAAACCAAAGATTTCTCGGTATTGACGATGATATGGAACCCGACTACTATTTAAAAATGGCTGGGGACGCAGCGTCAAAGCTGGATTCTGCTTGGAAATAGACCAATGAGTTGACAATTGATGTTGGAAATGAAAAGCTCGGCTCGGCTCGGTTCGGTTCGGTTGGGCACGGATCGCGAGGGTGTGCTATTCCTAGAATTAGTTGACTAAGGCGCGTCTGTTCTTTTACCATGTTCCAAGGTTTAAATTATGAAATTACGTTATACGTCATAATTTAGTTCAAATATGTTTTATGAAGCAAATATTTCAGATTCCTTAGCTGTCTACGCAGTCTGTCGCGGTAAGAATGTGCAGTTTCCGGCAATTACCCCTCTTGCTCCGTCGTGGTCCTCCGGAATAATTATCCCTAATGGAGCTAATACACGTAGGTATTTAAAGAAAAAAAAAATATCGGTCCTTAGTGGAAGACGCCGAGAGGGTCATAACTTGAGTGATGCTTCGAGGACTTAAACTAGGTTTCTAAGGTGCACTCATCTTTTTATCGCCTTAGGAAAAGTAGAGGTATCTGAATTACGCGCTTCATTCTTAGAAACCCGACATTACCTGCGAGAACTCGAAAACAAACCCGTCGAACATAGCGGGAAAAAAACCCCCAAACATCATGGCGTCGAACGAGCGAATCTCGATTTCTATCCAGCCTCTCCAGTACTCCGACATCTCTACCTGCGCCCGCATTACCTCGGCAGCTTTCTCTGTCGACCCTCATACAATTGTGAAACAGTTAGGTGGGGACCCTTTCGGCATGTATACCATATCGAGCTCCAGCTTTCTTGACACCCTCCATAAGAGAAATTACATATACGTCAAAGCCGTGGACGACCAAACGGGCGCGATCGTCGGCCACGCCGGCTGGGCTTTTAGGGGCTTGGATCCTGAGTTAATCCCATGGCGTGGGCCCGAAGACCTGAAGCCGACGAAAGATACCAATAAACAAACGCAAGGGAAGAATCTCGAAACGAGTGAACCAGAGAAAAGGGTGGACTCCATCACTCGTCTTCATGCTCTTGAAGATATCGACATGCAAGACTGGATATCTAATATGGTTTCTGCTGAGAAATCCTGTATGATTGTTGTCGGCCTCATCGTGGCGCCGTCATATCAGTCGCGAGGAGTAGGCGGCGCGCTAATGCGACATGGCAACACTATGGCCGATGGCCTAGGTTTACCGATTTGGGTCCATTCATCACATCAAGCCTTCGAAGCATACAAGAAATATGGATTCGTGGCCGCGAGACAGTTAGATATAGACCTGGACGAGTATGCGCCTAGGGGCCCGGAAGAAGGAGAAGAAGTAATGGGAGACAAGGGGAGCGGCCGTTGGGGGAGATATATCATTAGATATATGAAAAGAGTCCCGAAGAAATCCAATGGCGATTGAGCTTTAAGCTGTGTGGCCGCATAGCGAATGGATCTTGAGAACATTCGTCATTGCAATGGACGATACGCATCCGGAGACTTGCATTACTTTCGAATTCTACCCCAAGCACAAAATAAGGTGCATTCTCGTTCCAACCAAGTAGGCAGCCTAAAGCCTAACCCTTGGCCCGTCGCGCGAGATATTCATGCCACACTTTACCAAAGTCAGCAGGCCCGATAGGAGCGAACATATTCCCCAGCCAACCCTTCTTTCGATGTGATGCGACGCCGGTTTCGTCGAATAGCCTGTCTGCATACGGAACGCTATCGAAAGCAGCAGAATGTCCAAGTTCCCCGTTCGAGGGATAGCGTCGCTTATTCCATGCGATCATATGCGCAGCATCATCTTCCCTCTCTACGACAGAAGGAAGCGCGAACGCTTTGTCCAAATAAGCCACTGCCCAGATGGCTTGTGCCTCGGCAACGAACAATTTCGCCCTGGTGACTACATGATCCATAAAGAGAATAGATTCGTCGTTTACAGGAGCCATCGTGTGGTAAAATCGATAAGGCATTCGCGCTTCGTGCTTATGGTAGCGCTTTGGCGGATTTTTGAACATGACGAATAGTCCGAAGATCTGCTCATCTGCCCTACCTATGAGCTTCTCCCATTTGCAGTTCCTGCTTGTGATTCAATATCGTTGGAATCATAGCCCTATGCGCGTATGATTTTCGAACATATCAAGCCCACATTCCCAACCAATTCTACATGAGATAGCGTCACAAAGGAAATGCGTACCGTCCTCATCGAAATTTGTAGCACTCTCCGTGAGCGACATTGTCGCGGCCAACATGTCAAGGGCGGCCGCAGGGAGAGAAGTCGATTAAGCGACTTCTAAGGACCAGTGCCTGGAGCATGGTGTTTATTTCGGCCATCCCCGTATTCATGCCGTGCCATATTACACACTCGGATAACTTTAAGGTTTCGATTAAGCAGATGGACCTTGTCCTAAGCCACATTGTCATCGTCCCAATTCATGACGATGCGCTTCAGGTGTTATCCATGGCCGATACCCGTTACATCCGAGGTACCTAGGTATCTGCAGCGACACGACTCACTATCTATCACGGTGGCGGGGCGAAATTGAAGTAATGTATCAACGTAATAATAATGTACTTCTGTCTCACATCCTAGCCCAATGGCTTGCCAATACTTGGTGCCAAAATGATACACTCAGCGAATCACGTCCTTAACTCCCATAACCTGGAAGCCAGCCACTTCTAAAGGTGCTTGTCTTGTTGAGACGGCGATTTAATAGTATGGAATAGAAGGGCGCCTTATCTTGGGTACGTGGGTCGGGGGACCATCAAATCTATCTTCAAAGACTGCCTACCTAGGTATCCTGGGTAACTTCAGTTCCAACGCGGGACAACTTACAGCTCTTCCCGGCGGTTTGGGTACTTGACGGTTGCGGGGGTCATCTGGAAGAATTGCTTCGGGATGCCTGACTTTAGAATCACATCGCCTAGTCTAACGAGGAGCCTCGCGAGGCTCTTCGTGCGTTGTATGCGTGAAGTCGTCCTTTCACCGAACTGAAGATCCCAAATTGTAACACCATATACCCCGCGTAGGGCTTGAATGCGTGTACGATGTGTACCACAACACGTATTTTACGCACTAACTTAGGTACGTAGGTACTGAGCTGAGCTTCGGCTCAGAGCAGTCCACTGCATTTGGTCCAATCTGGCGCAGCAACCCTCACTCCCCGCATCCATAAAGGAGGAAATGGAAGAGAGCCTGCCCACAGGCCGAGAAAAAAACACCACCCTGCAGCAGGAACCAGGCAGGCTATGGCACATATATGGCACATTATGCACAAGAAAAGTCCTTCAGGGAATTTCACTCGTAGGAGACTAAGGTTTTTTCTACTTGTATTCATTTCAATATGGGTTGATGGATGCCTACACCTAGCGAGTCTTATTGCCTCTTATACTTCAATTCTTCCCATTATTGATTCTCACTTTTGAGGAGCCCCTTGTTTAGATATACGTCTGGAATGTTTCTCACTGCGGTTCATTTTTTCGGCGTAATGCACCTTTCGTCTGTCACCGTCTCCACAACAGTGGGTGTATCAATTACTACGGTTCTAGCCGTTATCGCCACAAGCCTACGCCTATGGCCTAGATGGACCGAAAAAGAAACTTTAAGAGTACACGATTACTGGGCAATAGCTGCCTTGGTATTGACCCTAGCTGTGTACTCAAACGCCATGATACGTAAGATACTTCTAACTTAGGAATAGCTAGAACATACTGAAGCATGAATACAGAAATCCTAGGTGGGGGCGTCGGCCGCCACGTTTATGATCTGAAAGAAAGCGATCCTCGACTCCTTATTCTCTACTTGAAGGTTATCACCCACATCATGGCTGTTAAAGATTGGCCGATTTGGGTATTCACTAATACATTTAGATAGTTATTTACGAGCTCCCATATACTTTGGTCCTCCTCGAATGTTTGCGTTAAGTTTTCGGCGTTATCGTTGTATCCCGTCCTATTTCACCCAATAAAAAAACTTTGGAATTACTGCCGATGCTTGATGGGCATTACCGTCGCTTATTTTATCATTGTCTTAGTTGGGTCTTTTCTTTTATGTCATCCTGTGGAGTTTAACTGGTATAAAACCATCCAAGGAGGCTGGTGCAAGAATCAGAACCTTCTCTATCTTACGACTGGAATAATCAGTTTGGCAATTGACGCACTTATTGTGGTCTTGCCATTGCCCGTTTTATTCGGTTTACAAATACGGCCGACGAAGAAATTCGTTATTGCCTGCGTATTCAGTGTTCGAGGACTGTGAGTAATTAATTGCAACGAATGATGGTTTCAAGGAACTAACTTTCAAACGTTAGCGTGTGTATATTATCTTTCATGAAGGTTCTGTGGCTAGTTCATTGGGATGTTGATGATTTTACACACGAGCTTGGTTTGGGAACGGTCTATTCTGTCCTAGAACCAAGTCTTGGGGTTGTTGCAACATGTTTTCCACTTTTGTTAAAACCCCTTAAAATGATATTGAGAACTAGATGCTGTGGATATATCAAAAGGGCCATTAACACTGGAAAATCCTCAAGAACGGGGATTCAATATGGCAATGCTCTATCGGACACTATCAGAGGTGGAAACGGTATCTTGGTTACACGAGAATGGGAAGTCATATTTTCAACTATAGAAAGCAGGGACGGTCCCACACAAGATGCTAAACTTGGACTGGGTCGGACATTGGAGGAGCAAAGTGCATGAACCAAGGTTTCACGTCATTTCCCATCATCCGAAACGCCTAACATTCCAGCAGGGGCAGACTACGGTTGATCGCTAACAAATGGTTCCTCACCTCTCTCTATCCGCCACCGATTCGTCGCCTCTAATGCCCCCGGAAACTCCTTAAACAACCATCCCCATTTCTTCAGAAACCCTTCTGACATCTCCCACCCCGTGATATCCCACGGCGGCGACCACGCAATGATGCCGCGCCGTTCGATCTCATCATCCGGAAAGCCCTCAAACAGTCCACCGATGCAGTCGGCCCATAGTTCGTCCTCGTCGAAAGTTCCGGCGGCCTGTATTAGCCGGTCTCGTCCCTCGGGACATGGGAACATGTCGATCCAGTCGCCATGTAGCACCGTCTGCTGAAGAGTGGTAGGCAAGAGTGTCGAAGGAATTAATTCTGGTTTCGTGGGATAGGGGACTATGTGAATAGTTTCCTCCCCACAGTCAAGTGGCGTGGTTAGGATGCCTGATATGAGAGTGCGATTAACGGCCAGGGCGCGAAGCGCGTTAAACTGGAGGAGTGTGATGAGATGGTCTGGACAGAGGGGAAAGACAACACTAAGCCGGTCTTTGCTGACTTTATCCGGTAATAGGGGCTTCCTCGCATTGTATAGTCGCTTAATACGGGACGCTGGGATGATGGAAACGGATTGCTGCCCATCGTTCCAGCATTCCACCAAACTTTCTGATTTGATTAGCGACCCGGCCACGACACCGGATACTTCGGCTCCGGCCTTTTTCGCTAATGCTTTGCGTTTCCCTATAAGACTATTAGCTTCGATAATTAAGAGTGTCCTGGGTTGGATCTGTCTTGGCTCCTAATTCGGATGAGCAATGGAGTAGGACTTTACTTACGGTATGCCCTTGTATTGAGTCTAGTCTGTGCCCGTCTGCGTGCTGCAGCATCGTTGGTCCCTGTCCAGTCGTCTTCCCTGCTTATCGCCTATACGCGGTCAGTAATTCATATTGTCTTGGTAATTGAATTTGGATTAGTGCGTACCTCAGCCAATTGTGGCATTGATGCGAGGTGAATGCGCGGAGCCGTTGAATGTTCAAGCCGATACGTACTAATCATTATGCTGGCGGACGTTGAAGTCGTGGTGATGAAAGGAGTGGGTTTCCTCGGACTGCCCTATGCGGTTTATGCGGCCTGCTCACAATGATGTGTCTTGGGTTCGGGAACGGAGGAATTGATGCACCTACTATTCCGCAGCTGAACATAGGGCGCTGACGAGGGTTAGTGGAATATCACGATATCATTGGTTACCATTAGATGTTCTAACCCAAAAGGAGGTCTAGTGTTATGCAACCTGCTCACATTTCCATCTTAAGGATGGGGACTAAGATGCTTAGGGTAGCATCGTTTCGATTGCCCGATTTGGATATTTCTTAAAGCTCGAACAAGCCTCAGCCTTCATGCAGGTGGCTCACTGACTGAATACCTAGTGCATTTAAGTTAAACGTGACGTATTGATCTAGGGGTTATGCAGGCTGCTCACGATATCTAAAGCCCGATATACAGTCAAATGTAGGTATCTCGGACATAAAGTATCGAGCAACTATAATATAAATATCGTAATGGCGCGACAATTTCGATGTAAGTTTTGGTATCATCAAAAACATAGAACTTAACCCAAGACGTTGAATTATCTGCCTCTCCATATTGCCTATATCTCAACACGTCAACTCGAATATTTTTCTTCAACATGACTTTTCATCCTGATACACTCCCCGATCTCAAGGGTAGAGTGTTCATAGTCACGGGTGGAAATTCCGGCATGTATGTATCCCTACTCCCGTTATATCATTGAGTCCATATCGCTGATTTTGACGAACAATAGAGGGTATTACACCGTAGCTCATCTTGCAGAACATGGCGCCCACGTCTACATGTGCGTCAGATCTCTGGAGAAGGGTAAAGCAGCAATCGCCAGCATCAAGGAACTGTACCCCTCAGCCAACATCGATCTCCTACAAATGGATCTCATGGATCTTAAAAGCGTCGTCGCAGCTGCTGCACACTTCCTTACTCTCGAAACAGCCCTACATGGCCTGATCAATAACGCAGGCATCATGGCGACGCCCTTTGAAATGACCAAGGATGGCCACGAAGCCCAATGGCAGACTAATTACCTTGCGCACTGGGTTTTGACAGAACATCTGCTCCCTCTCATGCTCCAGACTGCTAAGACGCTTCAGCCCGGTAGCGTGCGTATTGTTAATGTCACTTCATCAGGTCACCTGGCCGCACCTAAGGGCGGTATCAATTTCAAAGACTTGTCACTGAAAGATAGTAGTCCGTGGCCGCGATATGGTCAGAGCAAGCTTGCCAATATTTTGCACGCCAAGACCCTGAATAAGACGTATGGTCCAGGCTCATCCCGTGCGCGAAATGGGGAGGGCGAGATCTGGGTTTCGTCTGTTCATCCGGGTATGGTTGAAACGAACATTGCTACGTCAGTAGAGAAGTTGGATTGGGGTATGGGGAGTGTTTTCTCGATTGCACGTATGTTTGGATTGATATGGCCTTCAAATAAGGGATCGTGGACGAGTATATTTTGCGCGGCGAGTCAGGATATGAAAGCGGAGCAGAGCGGCATGTATTTCGAAATTTTCGGGCGGTTCGGGGAGCCAAAGTGCGAAAGTAGTGCAGCAAAGAACGAGGAGCTTGCGGAAAGGTTAGAGAAGTGGACCAAGGAAACGATGAGAAGGGAGAAATGGGTTCGATGATACCTAAATCGTTGAATTTTAGTTGTCGAGTTGTATGTTTAATTGATCATAGACTATGAAGAGTCGCCCCTCAACTCGATTTGTCCATTTTACCCCATTACCCGGGTGGGTGATTGAAGCGCCTACGAGAAGAAATCTCTCAATTCCTCACTCATTCCATCTATTTCATCCTTGCTTCCCTTTTCCAGAAGACCAAGGGCTTCCTTGATGGGGACTCTTACTTGCTTCACGCCCTCAACGGGTAAGCCAAGTAGCTCATCACGCGTTCGTCCCCATACATTTCCATCCCATTTCCTCCGCACTAGTAGCACGCCTTTCTGCGGTACATCGGGACCATCTATACATATGAAAAAAGTCTTGTCTAAGCCCTCGACAAACCGATTCTCCCGGCAAAACCAGGGAAATCGTCTAACTGCCTCGTCATAATTCCATGATATAAGTTCTATACCTTGTCTGGGGGGCTTTATGGCGTCGGCTGCATACACCAGTCGTTCTTCGCCGAGCCTCCGCTTTGAAGCGCTTGGATCGATTAAGGTAGAACCTAAACCAAGTTCCTTGCCGCGCGTGTTATACTGAAAAACGACGAAGACGGGTCGAGCGCGCACCTCTTCTGATGGCCAGTCGGCATCGCCATTGGCTCGTGTGAGGAATGGCGTCTGCAGGCCTTCGTAGCAAGCATACGGGATACGGATATGTTGAGGGGTTTCAAGAGCCAATTCCTCTCCAATGCGGCGCAGCTGTGTCTTATCGATTGTCCCCGAGAGATTCGCATCCCATGACGGTAATTTCACCATTAGCATGCCATTATCATCGGGATCTGCCGTATCAATGACGAGGATGTAAGTTTTATGTAGATATTTGTTTTTTGCACAGCGTAGGGGGTGTACAGAAGCGGCTTGTCGGATGAGGTCTTGGATGGATGATGACTCTGAGGTAGGCGTGAGTTTGGCCTGTATGCGGCAACCTATATTCTCGGGCGCTTTCTTTTGGAACGCTGGCTCTAAGTCTTCAACGACTTGATCTTCGGATAGACTTGAGTGGATGTAAATAGGGATGTAGTATCCTAGGGGAATATTCTTGGTCGGTGCTGGTGGTCCATCATCGTCATCGTCATCATCATCATCATCATCATCATCATCATCATCATCATTGTCGGCGTTGTTGTTATTGTTATTGTTGTCATCGCCGTCGGGAGTAAACTCAAAACTTTCTTTTTCTTCGTCCCACGAAGTATTACCAATTTGCAGGTTCGCTATACTCAAGCCAGAATCAACAGCTTTGATGCGAAATGAGTCCACATTGCAATCGAGTTCGTCATCATCTAGTGTTACTAATAAGACACCCTTGGATTGCCAGTCGTTATCGACAGCAGCGAGAAAATACCTGGGCTCAAACGCGTTTTGCGTTCCCAACTCGAGATGGTAATCAAATGCGGCGCGCAGTGGCTGGCCGACAAAACGTGGTTGCGGGGCGAGGCGCACGCTGGTGCCCCGCTCACTGCCCTCCTCAATGCACCCAGTTTCACACTTGCGCTCAAGGGCTTCAAGTTCTGCGTCGGTGAGGTCGACAAGTGTGTAGAGAGCTGTGGGGTGTAAACTCATAGGCGCGTCGTGGTAGCGTGCCATCGAGGGTGCCTTGGCGGGCAAGGAAAGGTCCAGATTTGCGGACATGATGTTTTCAGGTTATCACAATTGAGCGATGATTTTAGGTGTTTGGGCTTGAGCCAGACTCTACTTGTTGATGCTCAAAGCTGTATATTTTTGGCAGAATAACGAAAATAGTTGAGGGATAAATATAATAATATCCGTTCAAAGCGAAAATTACTGGGAAAGTATTTCCTTCTTTCTTTCTTTTTTCCTCCGAGAAAATAAAAAGATGGCTGTGATATAGCGACCGGCGGTACCGCCTGCATTTTCCGAATCAACCCCTTTTCCAGCACTTACGTAAGCATAAGCTGAGCTGATAGGTCTATGTAGTTTTGACGTCATTTAAATCTTAAAATGTTGTTGTGTTACAGTCTTATCGATCCTTCAACACAACTCGAAGAAAAAAGCCATAGGCGGTATAAATTTATTTCACTACTACAGTTACATGACGTACGTGCCATTACTAATTGTAACAGCCATAGTATATCTTGGTAATCATGTATACTATTATGTTGAATTTATAGAATCTTCTTCGCTAATTGGCCAACGAATTAGCAACTCCGCATGTCGCACACCTAATACTTTTGCGGGGATCAGAATCTTTACCGTAAGCCAGCATCAAATATTGTAACCAACCAACTCACCATTGAACCGACTAACCAAAGTCTATGGCACGCGTCGCCCGAGGTGGCATAGCTATTAATTGCCCACCATACTTCCCCAGAAAGGATTGATCCTCTCAAAACTGATAGTCAGGTAGCGCCCTATAGGATTTTTTCTGTTGTCGTACAGCATAAACTATGTGTTCAGCTCTATAACTAACTACCATTAACATCACCATATAAATAGATTTTGTCGATTTCGATGATGATATTCACCGAAGCATGAAAAAGTGGCTTGTATCATAGTCGCGTGCTTTCAGTAACATGGTCGGCGCTTTTGGCTCCTACCGTACATGCTTCGGATCAATGCCGATGTCTATACTCAACAATTTGAGAATCCTTCTCAGGTCGGACTTCATATTGAAGCAATCATGATGTCAGAATTCGACTAGCCTGTCAGCCTCAGCCTCGCCAACATCGACGATCAACCGTTGAGAATAGTTTAACAATAGCAAAAAACATGGGCGCTGAGGCCGGCGGTAACTATCGATATGGAGTGAGCATTTTGTCAGACTTACTATGGCTCCAGTTTAGTCAAAATCCCACATTCACGTTCAAGGCGGCGATGATCGGCCATGCAGTACATCTCACACGAGATTTCCCGATGCGGTAACCTCTCATGATGCAGGAGCCCCTATTCCGTGTGCTGAGGACTAAGCCCTCATGCGGGCCAAGGTTTTCGACCGAAGAATATCGTGGAGAAGAGGAAGATGGCGGATATTGTATAGCTTCTATTATGGGAATTCTGCTTGAGTGAGAATTAGATGCTAGGGGAGATGATTCTATAAAGTCGTGCTCTCGACGCCTGTTCTTAATCGAGCCCGAAAACTTCAGCAACCAAACCATATTCATCAACCATAACCGTCTAGTTTTGAGATTATCCATCACCATGAAGAACCTTACCTTGCTAGCTTCTCTCATTGGCCTCGCCGCGGCTTCATCTGCCGTTAACGTCCCTGACACAGGCCTTGAAGTTCGTGCGGATCCCGATGATCTTATGATCTTCGTATGCAACGATGGCTTGGACGAGATATGCACGAACATGTGCTACGGTATTAATGCTTCCCTTTTTTCTACAATCATATCAGCCCAAACTGACGTTGTTCATCATAGGAGCTTACTGCGCTGGCATCGGTACAGCGTTGCGATACGACCAGCCCGACCCAAGCACAAAACGCAACCGCCGTAAGGCTGCTGGCTGTATCGCGTCCGGCGGTAATCGCTGCTCAACTAAGCAGCATCACGATCCCGGGTACCAATGCGATGAGTATCCATTCGCGTCATCGGTCCCCAACGGTGGTACCAACGTCCGCCTCAACCGTTGCGTACCGGCCTCTCAGAATCGCAAGCAAGGTGGTATCATCAGCGCTTTCTACAAGAGCAGCTATTGCAAAGGCAACAATGGCGGCAAATGCGAGTTCTCAGTAGAGTTCTCTAATGCCGGAACCATCAAATACTGCAACCAACAAAACTGCGGTGACAGGGACGATAACGAGGTCCGAGGACCCAACACTGACGCTAACCCTGGCGACTCGGCTGAAGATGGAACGGATGATGACCCGGACGCCGGCCAGAAGAAGAAGCGCAACGGGTTGGGCAAAAGACTTCCCGGTGCACCTGTATACCGTACAAGCTCCGGCCTGGAGCTTGATCTGCCTAGAGGGGCTCAGATCGGCCAGCGGGCTTTTGTTGTCTTACCGCGCAACGCGACGTTGTGGGATGAACAAGCTCAGTTTGGGAACCCTAAGCATGTAGGGCAGCTACATGGCGATTTGGATGAGGAAGACGAAGATTATGATTATATGTTGGCCAACTTGGAGATCAGGGAGGACACAATCGTCGAAGAGATTAGTTCGGCTGCTTAGGTTCAGGAACAGGTTCCCGTTGCGGTTCTATAAAGCGCGACAGGCTTCGGCCTTACCAATTTTCCTTTTAGTATAATGATAGATTTGGATAGTTTGTTATCCTATATGTATTCGGTATACTATGTACCTCGGTGTCATGACATACACCCAATCGTCTATTAGGACACCGTGACACCACCTGCGTAGAACCCCCCCAAGATCCAATCAGCACCTTTCACTGGTTCAGCCCTAATTTAGATCATACGATACACTTACTGACCACATTTATGGCCATCAAGGTTAGTGGTTCTTTATTAAGAAAAGTTTACCTTACTCTAATTGTTTAAATAGCTATGTTGAAAGCTTTCCAGAATGTCTCAATGATTATATCCAACACTAATAGTGTGACCGTTAAGAATTTCTATTCGAAGGTTACAGATAGAGAAGAAACACTCTATACTCACACCTGCATAGCATAAACCAGCTCCTAGAATAGCTTCAAGACTTCGCCACATAACTATTAGCCGAACCCTTTCATTATCACTAAGTCATTTTATATACGATCTTAATATTTCCATCTCTTACATTTATATGCCGTTTGATTGAGCACATTCATACGTTCACAATATGCTGATTCGTTATTACGCCATATCCAACTCGAAAAACATGAGATTGTAACTACTTAAAAGAGCGTGTAACAATTAGATATCAGGCACTATGTCATCCCCATCCTAACAAACAATTCTCCAAGTACTATGTACCGAATATCATACCGAACTGTGGTCGGCTAGTTGGTTTGTGATTTCGACGGCGGCGTATTTGATTCCATTTATCCAATTTAGCAGGTAACCTTAAAAGAACTGAAGAAGTCGGTGTTGCTGGAAACAGTAAGGCAAGACTCCTTGTCGATATCTTGGCTCTCGCCGGTGCAGTCGGGAGTGGGATAGAACTCGACTTAATATTATGCATAATTAGCTTCCTTCAAGCATAAGTGAAGTAGGGGACGGGAAGTGACTTACGGGAGCAGCCCTCAGCGTCATATAGCTCTACGTTGGCAGACCTGACACTGCCAACACCAGCCGCCGGAGCAGCAAGTTGACGGCAGGTGGCTACCTCAGACTTGGTAACGACATAAATACCAGTAGAGCTCGAGCCACTGCAGTTAGACTCGCGGAAGCCGCTGAATTGGACGACATTTGGGTTTTGGCGAGGGACACTAGCAGCCTCGATGCCCATAGAAAGGACAGCAGCGGCGAGAAGAGTGGTGAACTGCATCTTGAAAGATGTTTGGAGATATTCAATTGTCTTAGAAGTTAAGTAAAGCTTGCAAGTTGTGAGGATTGGCAGCGATATCTAATTTTGTGTTGCGATATCCTTATGCCTTTATATAATAAGTTTCATTTTACCTATCTCTACTACGACTTCATCTTAACTTGTGCTATCCCCAACGCGTCTGTATAGGTGTATCATATTGCCTTCGTGTTATAGACTGGTAAGAAACGTACCATATCATGAATGATTTATTAATTAAATATTTCAGCCTGTTACCGAGTTTGAGTTTTAAGTCGAAGTGCCAATGATGATTCATTAATTTCTAATATACGTATATGCACATGATTTTTCGTATACGGTTAAATGCATTCTATTAAAAATATTTTAACAATCCCTTGTCTTACAAATGGGAGGATATTTCAAACTTAGGTAAATGACCTTAATCGAAAAGTCTTATGGAAGTAATTGAAGCCGCCTATGTGTCTATGAGTAAGTGGTTACCGATAACAGGTAACTGATTTAAGGTAGGAATTTCGGAAGCAAATCGCTACACGGAACGAAATGGTGATCAGGTAAGTGCCTGATGTGACGAACCTATGCTTCAAAGAGGTATAGTCGCTATTGGATTCAGCTACGACTATGCGAAGCACAGGAGAATAATGAATATGTGACTAAGATAAGAGTCTTTAATAATTAAAAATTAATTCCTTTGATTTAAGAAAATTAAAAAGAAATTTCATTATTAAGGGATTCTTTAAAGTAAATATAATTAAAAAATCTGGCTTTAAGAAATAAGAAATTCTTAAATCTTAAGGCTAGGGTTGTTACTTAATATTAAAGGATATAAAATAAACCTATATTTATTTAAATAAATAAAAAGTTACTAAACTGGGATAACTTTAAATTAATAATTAAATGATGGTTGCATGTTACAAACCAGCCATGAGGGACCCTTGTCAGACCACGAGGGACGGAACATAGGCAACCTATCACGGCTAAACTCCGGTCTGATATACTGAGATGCAACACATCGCAACACATCACAACACATTGCAACATATCGCAGCATATTGTAATAACCTCAGGATGAATGATGGTTGCATAGGTGAAGGACACATGATCTACTTAGTCATCATGATTTCCTTTAAATAGATTATCTTCCTTGTTTACTCATATAGATAGAATTTCCTTTCTTAGATAACTTAATACATATTATCTTATCTCTATTATTTTATTCTTTTCCTTATTTTTATTTTGTTTCACTTATATATATATTTATCAACATTGATTAATATTGTTAGATAGTTAATAACATAGATTAATAAAATTAGAAGAATCATTGTTATAATAATTCAGAAAACCTTATTATAATAATATAAGCAATACCAGCATATCTATTTCTATCCAAATTATTTTTTTATTATTCTGTTTATGATGGAATATTGTTTCACCTTATTATACAATCCCTTTGAACCTTTATCTACATATCATAACTTAAATTTCTTATTTTTTATATCTTTAGCCTTACCATCTTTAACTTTTATACATACTATAATATCATAAAGAAAAAGCTTAATATAAGCGCAAATACATGTCATAAAGAACAACCTAATCATTATAAAGAACATAGACAAACTACAGGAATTAATAATATTTATATCTGGCTATGCCTTAACTTTCATCAATAATTTTAACCATATAACAGTAAAATAAGACAATATTAATCCCATAATTGTTATAGCCAAATAAAAGACAACCTGGGTATTCCTAATATTTGTGGAATTTGAATCTATAGACAGAAGCACAATGAACGTACGAACACCTAAAGAAATAATAGATAAATACCAGGAACGATTTTGGGGATTCATGTAAATAGATTTTAAAAATATGCCGAAATAATTATAATTAGCATTACAGAATGTACTAATGTAGCAAGGGATTTATGTGAGACGATATAATTCCAACTAGGCTACGACTTTGGCCTACTTTATTATAATGAATAAATTACCTATATGGAATTTTAATGAATTAGAGGTAGTAAAGTAAAGATGGCTTAATACATTGGCATGGAGAGTATTAGTCTATAGTATTGATAAGGGATTGGTTTATCCTAATATATAAACATCTATTTGCATTCTCACCGTATCATAATAATCAGCTATGTTCAACCTGTAAATGCTGACTAATAGGATAATTTAATCTGGATAGGCCCAGATTACTTCTATCATTCCTACCAATGAACCCCCATCTTATATATAATTTATACCCTTCATTTTACTAGCCTGTAATAACCTATTAGTTGTTTTTTTTGAATTATTGCCTGTTCAAATATAAGGAATCTCAGCTTTATCAAATCTTTAATAATTCCTTGCCGTGTTTTCATCTTCTAATCTCCCTCCCTCTCCCCTTCCTTAATAATTCCCTAACCAAATTCTTTAAGGGATATTAAATTACCTATTACCCTAATAAAGGTATAATCCTGGATCTGGTTATGGGTAAGATTGGGGAGGATTATTTAACTAGTTAGTATTAGAAAATATGTCTAGACTCCCTGGACTGTTATCAGGTGGTCCATTTATGATATCAACAGTATCATTAAATAATGAACTTGGAAAAGGAAATTAATAACCTGTAAACTTTGGTTCTTTCTTTCAGATGGCTCCATTATCTTTATAGGTTGATATCTAATAGAAATAAATTCCTATATTTATTGGTAATTAATAAGGTAATACCTACTATAATATTCCCTTCATTTATATTTTAAATGAAATATATCTCCTAATTATTATAGATTATTTTAAAAAGGCCTGGAATAATAAGAATAATTATATAAGAGAAATATATGATATCCTGAAAGATAAATTCTGATTTTTCCTAGATATCTGTTATATTATAGGAATATGACAAACATAATTCCATGTTATCTTCTTAATAATTCTTATTGGAAAGGTTGTCATTTACTTTTTTTATAATATATTATAATATTGGTATTTTGTGGATATATATTTGGCTATGGAATAATATTTTAATATGGAGTAAAATAAGATTTAGTATTATTAAGATTGGACTTCCATTACTTTTTTTTTAATTAAGGTTGATAAGAAGAATGAAGAAAAGTCTAATTTGGAGATATTTTAGATCATGATAGATAAGCTCTTGCTGTGCCAAAGGGTTTTAGGTCCTGACTTTTAAGATGAATAATAACTGGTTGCTGCTATCTACTGCACCTGCCGAACTGTTCTTCAATTTTAATATGCCTTTTTTAAATTATCTATAAGATTTAAAGATCTGGTAAGCAAGTTTAAAGCCTTTTTGGGAATATATGAGATCCTAAAAGAGGTATGGTAATTTATAATGGAAATAAGTAATAATAATGACAAAAAAGGCAATATTTTTTATGTCAATCATAAATATCACAGAAATAACAGAGAAGACAAATATAATCTAAAATAGTCTGTCAAGAAATAAAAATATTGTTATTGGGTATGCAAAGAGGAGGAATGTTGGTCCATCAATCATTTTGAATAAGAATGAAAGAAGATTAGAGAAGAATAGAAGGCTAAATAAGGTTTTTTTAAGAAAAATTATGTAACCTTCCTGGTAGATTATGAAAGATTATAAGATCTAGGATAGGAATCTGATCATTCTAAGAATGAAATAGTCATTCTAATACTGGATTTAGATAAGGATAACCATATGTTCTTAATTGCTGTTTATTTATTAAACCAAACCTTCCAATATTATTTTAATATCTTTCTTCCCATGAATAAATCTAAAATTAATATTATATTCTTCCTAAACTATTATATAAAAGATATTTTCTAAAGGATTATATCAGATATGAGGGTAGTTTATATATTAATTATTGGAAAGGGTTAATTCCTTATTCTTATTAAAGAATAACTGAATAATCATCTAAAAATAGATAATACCCAAGCTAATAAAATTAATATTAGATTTAGTAATGGATTGCTAATGGAGTCCCTCAGAATAATCTCTATCAATACCCTTTTTGGTAAAATAAACTTCTATGTTATAAAAATAAATATCTCCTTTTTCTTATTATTTAAGGATATAGATTGATTTGGAATTTACCTAAATAATATCATTAATTAGTTAATCTATAAGAATGGTGTTATTATCAGTATTATTTGAAAATGGGGATATCTATGGTTCTATCTTAAAGATGTTATATTCTTTATTGAGATTGAATTATGATGGCTCTATATTTGCTTTGGATACCTATCAGTTAACAAATTGTATACCCTTTTGGATAAAGTTGGTTATAATATCGAAATCAATAATATCAAAGAAATTAACAAGTTTTGTCACCATTGTTAAATTAAGGGTAAGCTTTTGTAAAAGTTTAAGTTCAGTTTAAAAGACCTGGACATGGATTTTAATTATGAAATAATCATTGATATTATGTACCTAGAAGAATATCCAGTACTGCATATAATTAACATGGCAATAGATTTTCAGGTAGTATACTTTATAAAATCCATCTTAACCAGGGAGATATAGGAAATGCTTAAACAATGTTAGATTAACACCTACCTTGGACCCCCAGATATTATTACACATAACGCTGACACAAACTTTAACAATGCCAAGTTCAGGAATAAGACTTGCATTACTGGTGTTATCTGCCATCAGATACCAGTAAAGGTGTATTGATCCATTGGCAAAATAGAAGAATATTATGGTCCAATTCAAAGGACATACAAAATCATAATTAATAAGTTATAGGACTCAGGGTCCAGAATATTGCAATTCCAGATGGCAATTAAGGTAGTTAATAATACAGCTAATTTAAATAATCTCATACCTACTCTCTTAGTTTTCAATACCTACCCCAAAATCAATATAAACTCATTACCTACCCTTTCTTAAACATAAAGGATATAGACAATCTAGAAGACAATAATGAAGATTAAGAAGGTCAAAGCATAATGTTTGGTTAGAGACGTATTAAACATAAAAAATGGACCCAAAATCATATAAATACTCCCAGGATCTCTATTAATTAATAGCAAGATATTAATATTCAAAAAAAAGGAAAGATAAAAAAACCCTTATAAGGTTATTATAATTATTAACAAGGATATAACTATTGTTTCCAACATATTGAATGGCACATCTATATTCCATAACTTACATATCAAACCATATGTTTAATCAAAAGAAGACCTTATATTAATTAAGTTATTTAAGATCAAATTACCTAAGCCCATATTTAACTTAAGTAAGTATAAGATCATCCCTAAGAAGGAATTCTTAATGATTAATGACCTTTCCTATATGGCTATCTTATATATTATCATTAAGGAATGGAACAATCTTATATTAGCAATTAGATTATAAATTAATAGAAAGATATTGATACCCGGAAAATCATATGAAACATCAGATATAAAGGAGTTAAATACCCTATTTAATGAGGATATCCTTTAACCCAAGATATATGATCCCTCAATCCATAAGGATGTAATAATATTTAAGTCATGAATGGTTTGTGAAATCAAGGCCAAAAACACCCCCTTATCATATGAGAAGTCATGACTGATGATTCAAGACTATAGAGACCCTAATAAAGAATTTATCATAATATATATACCTATTATTTAAAAGATAAACCAATAGTTTATATTGGTCCTAACCCTTATATTATATTATTAAAGAATGAAAATCATGATAAAAGATATCATCATGGTATATACCCAATTAAAAACCCTGATATAAAAGATAATTTTTATATGATTATTTATTGAATTAAAAAATAAATATCCTAAAGGAATATTATTATAAATTATTAAATTATTATATAGCTTTGTGGAGTCTAATATATATTAATTTAAAATATATTTACAATATTATTAATGAGAATTATATATAAGATTATTGATATTTAATCTATATTTATTAATAATAGATTTAGATCTGTTTAGGATCATTGGCCTATAAATAAATAACATATTTAATATTGGTATTAATGAATTTATTACCATTAAAAATAAGGCATTAACTAAGGCTAAGATCAAGGTATGTCTTTAAAAGATATTAAATAAAGGAAATGAAGATTTCAACAGCTTACATATTACGGTTCATAAAGAGGAGTATAGGGTTTCCATTATATAAAAGGGATAGACTAAAAAACTTAAATTATTGGATATCAAAGCCCCCAATATAATCAAGAAATTTATGGAGTAATAGGTCTAAAATACATACATTACATTAATCTACCAACCCAAGGCTGTGTTTAACTATTTAATAATAATATAGTATCTAGAATCAAGACCTAAAAAGATCAAGACCTTTAATATCAGAATCAAATGGTAGATAGATAATTAGGTATGTGGATTTAATTACGTCAATCTGGACCCCCATGGATTACGTCTCTACATATTTATTAATGGATTATTTACAAATAACAAGGACCTAAATTTGCAAATCGGTTACATAATTATTCTAAAGAACAAAAAACTTATTAACCAAGATAATAAAATTTGAATTAGGGATAACATCATCTATTAGTTGTCTACCAAGTATAAGCAAGTGATATATAATGTATTGGCTAGTGAAATCTATAGAATGGTACAGGGTTTCAACATTGGCTACATTATTTATTATATCGTTAATACAATTCTGAAATGCTTTTTACTTATCGAAATCTTTTTTGTTCTATGTATCAATTCTTTTTCTCTATACCAATGTTTGGTATAAATAAGCATTACCAATGAAAAGAGATTGATGATTGATTTAATAACTTTAAAATAATTATATAAGAACTGAGAAATAGATGATATCCGTTGGATCTATGGTAGTTATAACCCCGTAGATATTATGATGAAGGTAATCCTAAATAAAGTTATAAAGAGACTAATGGAGGATAATTAAATTAATTTGTGAATAGAAGGATAGATAAAATATATGGCTAATAATAAATTTATAATCGATTGATTACAAAAAGAAAATAGAATAAGTAATGGTTGCATAGGTAAAGGATATGTGATCTACTTAGTCATCATAATTTCTTTTAAATAGGTTACCTTCTTTATCTATTCATATAGATAGAACTTCCTTCCTTAGATAATTTAATATACATTGTTTTACCCCTATTATTTTATTCTTTTCTTTATTTTTACTTTGCTTCACTTACGTACGTATCTACCAATAATGAAAGAAGGGGAAAGAATAACTATATAATCACAGATATTTCTTATGTATCTAATCACTCTTTCCATAGCTCTTTAATTATTAATTTAAGACTATCCTTTTGAATATAGTGAAAAGACTTTAAGCTTCTCTGATGAATAGAATATATTTAATTATTTAATCTATTATTGATATTATTATTTTCAAATTAAGAAACCCTGGATTAGCCAATCCAGCAATGATTATACCTTTTTAAAACATAGGTTTATCATATTTTGATAATTCCTTAATCAATATTAATATTAGGTTAAAAAATGATATAAACCATCTATAAGATATCCCTTTACCATTATTAATCAAACCTTCTTTTATTTTATTAACCTTTAAAAATAAGATAAAAAACCTCTATACCTTCTAAAAGTTATTTTTTAAAATATACCATAATTAAATATAGAATAAACTAATAGATCTTAACCTAGAAAACAAAGAGGAATTAAATAAATAAGAATTCCAGAATAAAGACCTAGATAATTTATAATAACCTAATCTATTACTGCCTAGAATACTTATATTTATTCATATTATTTAAGATTTATTATTAATAAAGAAGGTATTTTAACTTATTAACAAGATGGTGTCTCTTAAGATACACTTATAAGTCCCAGAATTAAAAACATAGGAAGAAATCAATATCAGAATAAAAGAAGATAACCAGGAAGAAGAAAAGATCCCTGACTAACAAGTCAGAATAATAACTGTCTTAAAGAAAGTAAAAAGACTTAAAAAAGAATTAACTTTAAAAAAAACTAGATTAGAGAAGGCCCTTAAAAGATTGTGACGAACCTATCCCTCAAAGAGGTATAGTCATTGCTGGATTGGCTAATCCAGGGTTTCTTAATTTGAAAGTAATAATATTAATAGTAGATTAAGTGGTTAAATTGATTCTGTTTATCAGAGAGGCTTGGAATTTTCTTACTATATTTAAAAGAATAATCTTAAATTAATAATTAAAAAACTATAAAAAAATAATTAAATATATAGGAAAATTATGGTGATTATATAAATATTCTTTATTATTACCTTCCTTATAAATAAGGTTAGATCTCCTTATTTATATTTATCTCTTATTATATTTGTTAGATAAGACTAGATATATTCATTTATATTCATTTATGTTATATTTATTAGATAAGATTAGATATTTTTATTTATATTTATCCATGTTATATATTATATATTCTTATTATCATTATCCCATTTTAATAAGGAAAAAGATTTCTTCTAAGATCTTATATCCCTATAAGCCTATATAATTTGTAACATTATTTTTCCCTTCTTTAGTTCCTTTATCCTTAAAGATTTTTTTTTTAATAGATTCCTTTTAATTTAATTTTTATCATATTTATTAATCTATTTGTAAAATATAAACATATTAATTAGAAATAAGAATATATAGAGTTTTCAAAATAGATTAATAAGATTAATTTTAATATATGTTGGTAGGTACGTACGTAAGTGAAGCAAAATAAAAGTAAGGGAAAGAACAAAAGGGTAGGGGTGAGACGATATGTATTAAGTTGTCTAAAGAAGAAAGAATCTTCCTTAAGGATATCTGCGGAAGGCTACCTATTTATGTGTATGTCTACCTGGGTACAAGATTGGGTTGTCAATACAACCATCACTCACTCTGTTTTCTTTCGCAACGAATTGGTCGTGAATCACTCCCTCTTAACCCATCCCTCAAGTTTAATAGTCAGACCATTCTCTTCGATCAAAGTCTTCATTGCTTCATTCGGGGATGCCTTAGTCATGGCATCCGCGGGGTTGCAGTTTCCTTGTATCCATCTGATGTCGTTAATCTCCCTGTTCTCATACGACTGCCTCAAGGCCATCAAGTCAATCATCAATCTTTTCTTGTTAGTACTCCCCATCTGTACGAGGCATTGGTATAGGGAGTAAGAGTCTGTGCAAAGTACGAGCGGGACTCTGGGGAATGATAGGCGTCCCAGAACCGTGTTAATGGTATGGTGGACGACGTAACCGATATCGAATCCTTGAACCATCCCGTAGATTTCGCTTGCCAAGACGCTACGGGTTACCCGTTTGCACTTAGTGGAAGACCAATGAATGACGTTGCCGTCAATTCTTAGTTCATTGTCGTGGGTGGTGGGCTTCTCGTTGCCTAACACGACTATGTATCCTATTTGCGAGCTCATATCCCTGTTGTTGGCAAATGAGCCGTCAACGAAGATATACAGGCGAAGGTCTTGGGGATCTAGTTCCATGTAGTTGAGGCCTCGGTCCTTGTTGTCCATCTGCTATTGGATCCTGGTGTTTAGGGTCTTGGCTTCCTTGGGTCCCGGCTCAGTGTGTTGAGCGGCTGTAGAATAGTCGAACGCCGCCTCGGGTTGGCAAATGGAGGATATGTACGCTCCTCGTGCCCTCTGCTCAACATAGCGTTTGACCATATCAGATCCCTTTGGATCCAGGAGTTCCAGTTTCTCCGCTTGGCCTTTCTGCGTAGTCGAGAGACCATAGCCCTCCTCGTGGATCCTCATTCGTGAGCCGTTGAAGTCCTCTGTCATGCCGTTCTCGAGGATCTTCTGAGGTTTCGCCTTAATACCCACTTCCACCAATGCTTCGTTTTCCTTCTTCAGGAACTCCAACGTGCCGATGTTCAATGTGTCATCCGTTTGGAGGCCTGTCACTCCAAATGGTTCGTCTGCTTTCGCGATCAAAAGGCACGGGTCGAATGCTGATGGCTCCATATTCAGTTTGCGTTGATGATGTTTCGAATAAGTTTCGAATCAATATGTGCCTGATTCCGCTAGTCCGTATAGCGGCTTCAAGACATGTAACAGCGTCCCCTCGGGATATTTATTCTTCAATTCCGACGGCAGGTGTACGAAGATCAGTCTTTGGAGCGGTGTTTGTGACTGAGTATATGCCATCGTGATGTCCCGAACCATGACCATCATGCCCCGTTGGCGAAGAGTTGGGGCCAGTGCCATGATTAATCGTTGACTTGCCCTCTGGATCGTGGGTGCATATGTCATGATGAATTCCTTGTCGGGATCCCCATATCCCTGTATGATCAGTCTTGATTTCTCGTAGGGGGTAGGCGTATTCTTGTCCTTGATTTTCCGGACCATTCTTGACTTGAATATCATGGCCTTCCGATGGATCGCCTCATCATAAGCGATGGGTTGGAGTATTCCATCGGCGAAGAGTGCGTCGAGCTCCTTCATGTCTGATGCCTCGTAGGGTTTGCCCGGGGTGGTGACCCTTCCTTCTGCTCTCAGTCGCACTGCTAGGGTGTGATTGCTTTTCTCTTTTATGCTAAGATATGTGATATTTAGGTCTTCTTTTGGGACGACCTTATAGTCTGATGGGTTGAATCTTAGTTTGGGGAGTTCAACGATTAGGTCTTGGACGGGCCTTGGTTCGTTCTTGGGTTGGAGATATGGTTTGACATGGAAGCTACGGAAAGTCGAGGTTCTTCCGGAAGCACTAAAGGAGATCGTCACATCCTTGTCAGTGACAGCAATTACCTTGTGTGGCCCTTTCTATCCACCCTTTTCCCGGTATACCAATATTTCATTCCCTAAGGGTAGAGATATTGGTAAAGTCTTCTGGGTGTTTGGTCCGTTGCGGGTGTTCAATGTATCGCGGATTGTCCGTTGTGCCTTAACCTTCTTGACCTTTGCCATTGTTTTCTGAATCGCTTGGGCCTGTTGCATCTGGGATAGAGTGGGAGGTGAATCCATGTTGATCTTCGGGTATGCACCGAAGACAAGAAGAGTGGGGACAAGGCCGTCAGGATTTACTATGTCATTTACCACCTTGATTGCCATCTGTAGGCATAAGGCTTATGATCCTTGGACCTCACTTGATATGATCTCGTATGCTTGTCTGATCGGACCATGATATTCTTTAACCTTGCTGATTGACCAATGTGTCTCCACAGGTATTTGTTTACATGTGACTCCGGCTAGTCATGCCTTATTTTGGAATTCGGTGTTGTCAAGGGTTAGGGTTAGGGTTAGGGTTAGGGTTAGGGTTAGGGTTAGGGTTAGGGTTAGGGTTAGGGTTAGGGTTAGGGTTAGGGTTAGGGTTAGGGT